GGGCGTACTTTGCATTCATTGAGTGACCATTTTATGAGCACTGGCTGTCACTGAACATGCACTGTTGCCAAGCTGATATCAATCGAGCGACGCAAAGTCAAGTGCAATCGTTTCGGAGCGTCGGACATTCGCAAAAAAAAAAAAGGTAAACACATTGTATCGTAGAAGAACGAGACGGCGGCAATGGGAGCACTTCCCTCTTCTCTCAATATCAGCGACAATAGGATGCAAATTCGTTCGGAGTTCGGAGCCTGCTCCGAACTTCGAACGAACTCGCATCCTTTTGTCGCCGAGGGTGAGAGAGAGGGAGAGGAGGGACCACACTTCTCACACCCTCTCCCATAAACACGCGGTTGCCATGACGACGGCGCGCGTATTGTTTTGTCTATTTTTTATTACTTTTGGAGAAACCCAACGCCCGTTAGGGGAGATTTGGCGCTGCCGTCTGCAATTGGAGTCCCAATGGGAGGTATAGGAAGAGTCCGCCGGTTGGTGTCAGTTCTAGCGGGACGAACCACCAGTCTGCAGGCTGGGGTCCCTGGTGGTCGGGAGTCCGGCCTGTTGGCAGGCGGGCTCGACGACGCTGGAGAGCTGATTGAACCTCAGCTCAATGGCGCCTTCGAGCAGCAGGCGTCGGGCAGTCAGGTGACAGGAGATAAGTCGCAGGACAAAGGCGCGCAGGCACCAGGGGGATCTAGGGTACTGGTAGTGGGGAGCTCTAACGTAGCACGGGTTACGAGGGGTGTACATAACAGGGTGAAGGGAGACCAGAGGGTAACCGTAGAGGTCCAGCCAGGGAAGTGTATGGTGGATGCTATGACCGCAGCACGTGAGGGGGTGTGGGATAACCGGGAGGGAAGGAACCTAGTAATAGTTCATGCGGGGCTTAATGATGTGCTGAAGGGTAGGAGCCAGAACCTCGGAAAGCAGCTAAACGTGGGAATACGTAAGCTGAGGGACGTGTCTGAGAATGTGCATGTGGTTGTGTGCACCATTCCAGAAGTTCGGGGGCAGTCCGGGTTAACGGAGAGGAGGGTTGTCGAAGCCAACGGAGTAATTAAGGGTATGAGTTGACAGCTTCGGTACGACGTAATGGAAGTAAACAGAGAGGTGTACGAGGCTGGCTCCCGCCCTTTTGCAGATGGCATTCACTACAGTGAGGCCACGGGTTACAGGGTGGGGGATAGGATGGGCCGCACGGTGACTGCTTTTTTGGGGGGACCGAGGGCCCTGGGGGCACTGAAGTAATTGAAAACCCAACGAAGTCAGGAGAGGCACCCAGGGTTAAAAAGAGGAGAAAACGTAAGAACAGGTATAAACAAACAGCACAATCAGACATTGGATATATTAACATGCAGGGTGGTAGAAATAGGTTAAAATGGGAAGAGGTAGAGGAGCAACTAAGAAAGGAGGATTTAATGGTGTATGGGTTTGTGGAAACACATCTCAGAGACATGGAGCAGCCACCTTGCAACCCTGACTATGTGTGGGAAGAATGCAACAGAATGGAGGGAACGAGGAAGGGAGGTGGAATTGGAGCATTTATTAAGAAGAATATGAACTTTCAAAGGATCAGAAAGGAGTGCGCCGAACATTTGTGGCTGAAAGGAAAAGTCGCTGGGGAATCAACAGTCCTTGGAGTGGTTTACTTATGGACAGGGACAGGTGCTAAAGAGGAAAACAGAAAAATGATTGATTGCATATCAAGAGACATTAGTGAACTAGGGGAAGGCTCCGAAATAATTATTATGGGAGACATGAATGCCCATATTGAGGGTCTGGATGGGTATACGGACTCAACTGGAAGCATATTACTAGAACTGGTGGAAAAACATGACTTAGTTTTATGTAATACCAGTCAGAAGTGTGACGGGCACATAACTTGGGAAACTGGCAATCTGCATTCAACTATAGATTACGTACTCATGTCACACAAAATATATGGTAAGTTACAAGTAATGAAAATAGATGAAGAAGGTTCCAAAAGTCTTGGTAGTGATCACAAACGTATTAAGCTGAATTTTGCCAGAGAAGTAAATCCTGAAACTAGACAACATAATTCAAAGCAAACTTTCTGCAGCGACAAAGAGTTGGAAATAGTTGTTGAAAGAATAGAGGCAGCAGTTTCAGGGCACCGGCATACAGGTTGGACCTATGAGAGCCTAACTAGGCTTTTTGCTCTAGAACTAGACAAAGTTAAGAGTAAACGAAAGGGGAAGCAAGGACATAGACCAAAAAGCTGGTGGGACAAAGAAGTGAAGCAAGCGATACAAAAACGTCAGGAAGCCTCTAGAGAACACAGGTATTCCAAGCGTAGTGGGGAGTCCGAAACGGAAGTAAAAAGAAAATGGGACAATTTTATAACATGTCGCCGAGAGGCATCCAGTTTGATCAATGCGAAAATTCAGAGAAAGGGTGAGGAATGGATGAGTAATGTAAGTAAGAAAGATAGAAACGCTGCCAAGAAGTTTTGGGAGCACTTGAACTCACTCGGTGAAACAACGCAAGCTAGACAGAGGTTCATACTCTCGCATCAGGGAGATCAATTAGAGGGAGATGATGCGATACAATATATAGGAGCAGTGATGGAGGAGAAATTTCGGGAACGGTTACATGTGGAAGATAGGAGAACCGAAGGAAGTAGCAGTCCAGTTTGTGACATCGCGGATTTTGGACAAAGAGAATGGGAAAAGGCGGAACGAAGAGTCCCTAGTGGCACGTCGACAGGCACAGATGGTATCCCTATCAAGCTGGTGAAGAATTTGGGTCCTAAATCTAAGGCAAAACTAAGGGAGGTAGTGAGTACCATGATAACAAAAGGAAATATTCCAGATGAATGGAGGCTTAGTAGGATGAGTATGATATATAAGGGAAAGGGAGATAAGTCTGATATTAGGAATTATCGTCCTATAACCGTGACACCGGTTATTTACAGGTTGGTAATGCAGATTATAAAGAACAGACTGGAGGAATGGGTAGATTGCGAGGGCATACTGGGCGAATTACAGAACGGGTTTCGAAAACAAAGAAGGTTGGAGGACAATTTATTTTCTCTAACACAGTGTATAGAAATAGCGCAAAAAGAAAACAGACAGCTCTGGCTGGCATTTCTGGATATCAAGGGTGCCTATGACAATGTGAACCAAAGAAACCTGTGGGACATAATGGAGAACTTAAACCTAGATGAAGGACTAACAGCACTATTAAGGAACATTTACAAAGATAACAAGGTGATTATAACATGGGAAGGAAAGGCGACAGGGAAAATAGAGATAAGACGAGGCCTTAGGCAGGGGTGCCCGTTATCGCCTTTGCTGTTTATGTTGTATCTGAGAGGATTGGAGGATAGACTAGAGAAGAGTGGGCTTGGGTTCAACCTTTCTTACAGTAAGCTAGGCCAAAAAATTCAGCAATCCTTACCGGGATTGATGTATGCGGATGATATTGTACTAATGGCTAACAACAGGACAGAGTTGCAGGAATTAATGAGCATCTGTGGTAGGGAAGGAGAGGAATTAGGTTTAGAATTCAGTAGCGAAAAATCGGCAGTCATGATTTTTAACGAGGATGAAGTTGAGAGGCTGAAGATACAGAATATTACAGTTGAGAGAGCTAGTAAATACAAGTATCTAGGAGTATGGATATGTGATGGTGCAGAATATCTCAGAGACCATGAAAAGTATATAATAGGTAAGGGCAACAGAAATGCAGCTGTAATGAAAAATAGAGCACTTTGGAATTACAACAGGTATGAGGTGGTGAGAGAGATTTGGAAAGGGGTCATGGTGCCTGGCTTGACTTTTGGAAACGCAGTGCTATGCATGAAATCCGAAGTGCATGCGAGACTAGAAATAAAACAGCGCGGAGTAGGTAGACTGGCTTTGGGGGCACATTGCAAAACGCCAAACCAGGGAGTACAAGGAGACATGGGATGGGCATCATTTGAGAGCAGGGAAGCGGTGAGCAAGGTAGAATTTGAGGATAGGTTGAGGCAAATGGACGGGGAGCAATGGGCACGAAAGGTTTTCAGCTATTTATACATGAGGAGTGTAGACACAAAGTGGAGACAGCGCACTAGGAAATTAAGAGGAAAGTTTTTGGGCTATAGCGAAGATACCGAAGAGCAAGTCTCAGTTAAGAAGAAAGTTAAGGCCACAGAAAGAGATTGGTGGCTAGAGGGAATGCAGACAAAGACGGCTCTGGAAAGCTATAGATTAAACAAAAGAGTTATTGCCAAAGAAAGCATTTATGACAATTCTAGGGGAAGCTCATTGCTGTTTGAGGCAAGAACGGGTGTTCTGCGAACCAGAACATACAGAGTGAAGTACCAGGAAATTGATACAGTGTGCACTGCTTGTGGAGAGGAGGAGGAGACGGCTGAGCACTTGATACTCTACTGTAAAGGGCTTCACCCTATGCCTACCGAAGACAACATAGATTTAATAAAGTCATTGGGTTTTAGAGACAGCGAAGGGAGAGTGGATTTCAAGACTGTAGAGATTACCAAGCAAAGATTAAGTGAATGGTGGCAGAAATCGAGAGAAAACTAGGTATTTTCTTATCCACTGATGGCAAGGGGGTTTCATAGCCTCACTTTCTTTGCACTGCGGAGTGAATATAGATTTCACATTTAAATATTCTAAGCTTAAATGGTAAAACAAAATGGCTAGGTGACGTAAGCTACCGCCCGATCCAAAGGGCTCAGCCGTATTCATCCATCCATCCATCCATCTATGCACTCGGTGCATTTGGCGAGTTCGTTTGAGTCCAGTTTTCCATGCAACACTCTGTGAGTGCGATGCATTCTGGGAGAGAACTCGAACGGTGCCAGTGCGAGTGAAACGAACTCGCTATAATAAAACGGCTTTACATTTGCAAGTCCCTTTCCCTGTTACTTTGTTGCTTATATTGTTGACTAACGAGTAGCGCCACCGCAGCAATCGTACAAAAGTAATGAGCGGCAGGCAGGGCCAACAGGGCAGCCAACGTCCTTGTGCTAGCCATACACAAAATGGCGACCGGCAGTTGAGCTCGGCGACTTTCCCCACGTTCGAATTCCGTTAAAAACTGTCCCTCGACCCCACATTTCCGAACCATTACTCTCAGCAGTCATGCCGTCGAGTACCCCGAAGCTGATGGTCACCCTCGGTGTGGTTGGACTCGTTCACGCAGCCATCTCGGCGGCACAACACCGCTCCTACCTGCGCCTTACCGAGCAAGACTTCACTATCCTTCCACTGGACATCATCTTCCAGAGCGTGATGTGTCTTCTTGTGACCATGTACGGCGTCATCTGCGTCGCCGGGGACTTCAAGGAGGTCCGGGCCACCGTCGAACTCGAGAACAAGAGCTTCGAGACCTTCGGCAATCGACCGTCCTTCTACACCTTTTGCCATCGAGGTCGAGCGTTAGCTCGGGGTTAAGTTGTTACTACGCGATTGCCACTATGGGCGGCTGGTCTTCGACCCTGGCGGTTTACTTTGTCTTTCGTTGAACTATACCGCGTTTTCTTGTACAAATAAACTATAATTTGTAAACCGGAATACATCAGTGTCCTTCAAAATTGCGAAACCGGCTTAGCTCACTTCCATGACTATTTTACGAACACATAATTGTGTGCTCGCGCAGTAGCTCGTTGAAATTCGCTCTAGCCTTGGTTGCGGTGAAACCACGCCCGTTAGAATGCCTTTCATCACATGTCCCTGTCTGAAGTGGTGAGCCAGTTTGACTTTATTCTTTAGCAGAGTATGAAAAGATTTATTACCAGTAGAGCTAACAGCCAACTATTTCCAGGTTGGGTACCTGCCACCCCACAAACTACAAAAAAAAAAAAAAAACGTCCATGAAACTTGTCCACGAGACAAAAATGCAAGCCAATTAAACCAGTTTGTCCATACTAATGGGGTCCGTATTAATGAGACACCACTATCTGTATAAACCAATTGCCTAGGTAGACAAAAAAAATACTGACAGCATATCACAAGAACTATAAGATCATAAATGGTGTACAGTGTAATCCACTTGTAATGATGGCACATAAAGCAATGTCCTGCTTACAACGATAGAGTCTTTCAGGCTTTCTCATTATATTTATAAGTGGATTGCACTGGACCATGAGGTTATATATGTAGTAATACGTTGCAAAAGCACCTAGAGGTATTACAAATATTGGCACATTTGCAAGGTGCTGCATGACTGTTTAGAACTTCATTCCCGAAGATTGAAAGAGGCACAGGACAATACCTAAAAAAACCACTGACCACAATTGGCTTCTATGCAAGGGAACCTTTTTATTTACACAGACAAGGCAAGCCCACACATGGGGCTCACCATCTGACCTAAGCACCTTGGAAACCGCTCGCATCCAACACAAACTGGCGCCACATCGAACGAAAAAAATAATATATATTAAGGTTGGTCAACGTCGTGACGAGACCTCAACATCCATTACTGGCCAAAGCAACCACCAAAAAAAAAAAAGAGAAAAAACTGACTTCAAATCTTCTTGCAACCACAGCAGCAGATTCATTTGCAGCCTTGAGCGACTCCACTATTTACAGCATCTCTATTTACAGACGCATACACCCAGAGCTTCACACATACACACACACTGAGCAACTCAACACCTTTTTTTTTTTAGAAATTTTTTCGTAACTGCGTTGAGTGTTCTCAACGCTAGCGGCACACAGCAACTGCCAGCGTTTATAACGGGGCCATCGCCACGCCCTTCCGGCCGGGCCACTGAGCTCCTGACGCTCGACATTGGCGGACAAAAACAATCCAACGAGAAATGCACGGGGAAAACTTTCCTAGACCTAGCTTCTCGTGACAAAACATATCAAAGCGAACAAACGTTCCTAATCCTCCGGTGCGGTCATTCCGTCGTCCTAGCTATGTACAACCAGGCTGCCACTCTCCGCACGGGCAATTGGCTAACCCAACAGATGCTCCGCAGACCCTGGGAAAAACAACCGTAGAAAAAGGCGAGACAAAAAAAATAGAAAAAAAAATTTTTCACTTTAGGCTTGAGACGTTAGCAACACCTCCAGTAAAGCAAAACGTGATGCAGAAAATGCCCTCTCAAACGCATGACGCTTCGTAACCCTACGGGCTTGCACGACAAACGAGTTCTGGTCTTTCGAACCTCCTGAACAGGCAAAGTCTTTCCCGTTTTCCTGGGGGAATTTCGGCAAAACCGAGTCTTTTGAGGGCGCCTCCCGGCTTCGCATCCGCAACGAACGTCCCGCGCAAGGAGGGGCCATTGGTTAAGTGATATCCTAGCGGCAGTCCCGTCTGATCCACGCGCGGCACGACGCGACACGTCACTCCGAAGGCGGCGGCGGGGGTGGCAGTGGCGGGTCTTTGGGCAGGGGCGGGGCCAGGGGGGGCGGGGGAGGGGGCGGGGGGATGCTGAAGTACTGGGGCATCGGGTGGTACCCCCCCGGACCCATGTGCATCGGGGGCGGGGGCGGGGCAAACGCGAAGGGCGGGGCGGCGTAGTAGGCCTGCGGCACAAACTGGGGGGGCGGCGGGTAGCCCGTGAAGGGCGGGGCTGCCGGGGGGGCGGGGCCGGCGGCCGACACTGATGCATGATTGGCCCCGTTGCCGGCGACCTTCCGCGACTTGGGCGAGCGGTGGTCTCCCTCATCCCCGGAGCGGCGGTCTCGTTTGCGGCCGCTGTTCAGCCTCTCCTTGCTGATCTTCAGCTTGAGCCCGCTGCTCGGGGGAGGGGGCGGAGTCTGTGGGGCCCCACCCTCCGAGGGTGGGGTCTTGGGCGGCGGGGGCACGATCTTAAGCTTAGGGATCTTGATCTTGAGAGCCTCCCGGGGCGGGCTGCCTGTCGATCCGCTGCCGCTCGACTGCTGCAGCTTCTCCTTGGTGATGGTGATCTTGAGGCCCCCACTGCTTCCGCCCGAGGAGGACCGGCTTCCGCCGTTCTTCTCCCTCGAGCTCTCTTTGCGCTCCCTCCGCTCAGACTTGTCTCTCCGCGACGAACCCTCCGACTTGGAGCTACCCGACGATTTCCGGTCGTGCTTGCCGATGCCGTTGCGCTCCACCCGCTCCTCCGTGTGCGCTTCTGCAGGCTCTGCAGGGGAGGGGGCCGCCCCGGCGGCCTCCGCGGCGTTCCTCATCGCCTGCTGGTGCAGGGTTGGCTCGGGGATCCGGTCGCTCCCGTGCGCCCGGCCGTCCGCGGAGCCGGACTTGTCCTGCCCGTGCTTGTTTGCACCGGGCGAGCCGTGCTTGCTCCGCGAGCGCTCCGACGACCCGTGCTTGTGCTTGTGGCGCTCCTTCCGCTCCCTCCGCTCCGAAGACCTCTCCTTCTCCTTCACCACGGGAGCGGGAGGCGGTGACGGAATCTTCGGCTCAGTCTTGACTGCGACGACCGGCGGAGGCAGGGGTGGCGTGGAGGGCCGTGCCACCTTCGCGGGAGGGGGAGGCGGTGGGGGTGGGGTCTGGGGACGGGGCTTGGGCGGTGTCTGTGGCCTCTGCTTTGCTGGTGGCGGCGGCGGCGGTGGAGGGGTCTGAGGCCTGTGCTTGACGGGGTGCGGGGGAGGGGGGGGCGTCCGCGGCTCTGCCTTTACGACCGAAGGGCCGTTGCTCTCCATGGGGGCAGTGGCGGGGGGAGGAGGAGCCTGGTTCGCCTCCTGCGAGTCCCCCATGTTGTCGTCGTCAAACTGGAGCGGTGAGATGGCGGGCATCAGGTCGGGGTTGTCCAGGCCAAAGGGGAAGCTGTCGACGGAGTTGTCGCCGCCGCTGGCCTCGAATGCCGGCGGGTAGCCGAAGCCAAAGTCGTCCGCGACCTGCTCCTGCTGCGTTCCGGAAACGCCGCCGTCCTGCCTTCCGAAGTCCATTGTCGCCGGTGGGTTTGTGTCGTGGTTCGTGGGCTGCGAATGCTGTTGGGGCCGGTGGGGGTGGAGCGACGCAGATGCGGTCGCGGACGGGGGCGGCTGGTGCGAGAACGAGCGGTGGCGCTCCTCCGCCGCGCTGACCGCGGATGGGTGCGGTCGGTGGGACTTCTGCCTCTGCTGCTTGTCCCTGTATGCGTCCAGGGACATCGACGGGTGGCCAGACTCCTTCCGCTTGCCGGGGGACAGCAGGTGCTCCGCCCCCTGGTTGCTTGGCTGGGGCGCCGGCGGAGAGCGCTGCGTGGGGTTGCTGTGCGGCTGCCCCGGCTTGGATCCGCCGCGGCTGCCGGACAGCTCCTGCTTGCTGCGGCTGGAAGAGCTGCGTCCGTCGCCAGCACCCTCGTGGTTGCCCGACCGCTCCTCCTTTTTGATGGGCGGGTGGCCGTCCTGCGAGAAAGGGTCGCGTCAGTCAGCGTACAACGCAAAAACATCACGTGCAAAGCCCTAAGGAGCTCAACCATAGCAGCTGAAAGACAACTGACGACCCTTTAGTGTTTTTCGAGAGAAAACCGAGTGACGGCATCAAAAATAACACAGAATGCGAAGCTCGATAGTAAGTATGCTACGATGACCAAGTACCATTTTACATGAAGACCTCCTGTACCTTCATGTCCAAAAACAAATTACAGTCGCCAATTGGTTTTCGGGTATCGATAATTCGGACTTGTTCGATTTTTCGGACCTAAAAGAGGAACCGTGACCTACCCGGTAGAAATAGTGCATATTCATGACCGATGTTTCGGACAGCTTGAACTCCGAAAGTTAGATTTTTCGGACAAAACTGGTGCGAGTGATCAGGCGGGAAACACCACTGAGAAGCGACCATTTTGGATTCTATGTTGGCAGCACATGGATTGGCTTGGTTTGGCAGTGCTACTTGAGTACTGCTAAAACTTACTGCTAGGTGACTTCGTACGGCTTTGTATTCTCTAGCTCAACGTCATTATCCTTATATGTTGTTACATTTTGCTTTGTTCATGCGCCACTGCAGTCGTGAACCTCTCATCTCGTCTTGGTGAATAGTGCTTCCAGACAGCGCTGGCTTGGATGTCATTGCACTATCTGTTCTTCCGCCGCCGCAGTGTTCAGCTGCGCAGTGTTAAAAGTACTCGACCATAACGCCAGAGAAGAAGGCTAATAGAAAGTTGCCGAACGCAAACAAAGGCGTATCCTGAAACAAGACGCGCAGGCGTAACCTGTAGCAAGGCACTATTTACGGCTTTTTTTTTAGCCCGCTTGGATGTAATAAGGACAAGTTTTTTAGTCTTCAGATTTTTTGGACTGCTCTATTATTCAGTCCCTGCGAAGTCCAAAAAATCAGTCGGCGACTGTAGGAGAAAAGTTGATGGAATGTAAAGAGGGTGCTTGTTATTTGTATGATCGCTGACAGGATGGTAACAGGTCGCCCCTTTCAAATGCCTGGCCTCCAATACATGTTGGTAGCCCTCTGCTGTGCTTTGGCTGCACATACGCTTTTGAGAGACACTAAAGCGTTATCAATGTTAGGAAGCTCGTGTTGTAGGCGGACGACTGAAGGACCTCCCTGCTAATCTCACCCTGTCAGATACCACAGTAGCATTTCTTACTCTACTAGTGTGGCCACCTGGGAAATAAAAATAACCCTCCAGTGTTCCTTTGAGCAGCAGATCAGGTTTTGGGAGCACTGATCCGGGCACTCAACCAGCCTTCAGTTCCGATGCTAGCACAGGAGGGGTAGCGAGAATTTAATCGCTAATGGTTCCCTAGATGCCGCCTTTTTTAACACAGGTGCAAATGTGCACGACCTAGCTCCGTTGCCCCGTATCCCATCGACGCTTTGCCAATCCATACACCGCCCCCCATTTGAGCAATGCTAACACTGACCCCTTCACTTTTCTATTTTGGCTTCAACAGACCCACATAGTCCGTTGCAACTCAAGAAGGTAGGGCAAGGGTAAGACAAGCCGGAGAGGAGGAAGCAGACGAAACGCTAAAGAGAGAAGGTTTCCCCCTCTCTTCTCCAACGTTCCGTCTGCTTCCTAATCCCCGGCCCGCCTTACCCTTGCCCTACCTTCTCGAGTTGCAACGGACTATAGTACCGAATCAACTGAGAATGCTGTCGCGAAGCGGTCGGACGAAACGGGGCACCTTTCTAGAGGAGCCTGTGGCAGACGATGTGGTTGTGGCTGACGTCGACGCTCCGGCCGAAGATCCGCTGCCCCCGGCACCTCCGCTCATGATCTTTCGCTTGAGCCGAATCGGGCACTTGTCCAGGATGGCCAGGAAGTCGGACGTCAGCTCTGCACGCCATCCAAGCCGAGACACGACACAAACGACAGAAGCCGCGTGAGTATGACTGCCAAACCACCCACTGTAGGGGGTACAGAATATAATCAAAAATGTACGGCTGTCACTAAAACTCTAGGATGCGCTAGCATTGCCAGATAAGGGCATACAACCTTCACTTTCCCAAACTTTCAGAATGGTACCAACACATCATATACAGACATGTTCAAACAAACACTAATTTCCAACTTTAAGAGCAATTCCTCCAATGCTAGATGAGCACATGGCTAGAAAAGCAACTCTTTCCATGGAATCTATTGCCCTCGAATGCCGTCTTGAGGCTATCTACACATAAGCATTTTCCTGGTGGAAGAAGCTTATGTATGGTAGTGCCAGTTTCACACCCCCTGTAGAAGAACAAAAGGAAAGCAACGAAAAAAGACTTCCCTCTTATTCCTATAACATCACCGGAACGCCCCGATTCATCAGAGTATTTTACGCTTTCACCGAACGACATACGTAACAGCCTCCTTCAGCCGATACTGCTGTCAGCAATTACCACCTGTAACCAGGCTGTTACCACCACTTCAAACAGAAAGCAAACTAGGCACACAGCCGTTTAGACAGCATGAGGTGGGTATGTCACCAGTTCAATCCGCGGATGCCAGTGAAGTACAGCTGCCTGCCTGGGGAGTTTAACATGCACCACGCATAGTGATACTTGACTGCACATGCTGCAGGACTTGGGATCCTCGAGTTCTGGAGCACAAAAGTTTGCTCCACGTGCTCCAAGCTATGGCGCGGTAACACGCTCGGCCATCGGACCCCATAACGGAAAGCAAACGGGACACTTTTCCCAAACCGCGCCTGACTAGCAAAGAACCGTAGACCATGCCATTACCGACATTACACGCGAAACTCCACGTAACCGAATGATGGCACGCGCATAAATTAACATCTTTGCAATGAAGAGCCGCGGCGGGCGCCCCGAGCTGCACCGTAGCCCGGCCTCCCGAGGGGAAAGGGGGTGGGGAAGACGGTGCCCACCTTCGAGCAGCTCGGCTGTGCAGCTCTGCTCCACATACCAGAACCAGTCCTTGTCCTCGCTCGACTTGGGGATCTGAAAGGGGACCCACTGCTCGCACAAGCTCTTCTCTTTTTCTCTCTAGCAGTAGCGGCAGGAGTAGTGCAGTCAACCCTTGGGTAACTCCGAGTCGCTCTGTTCGTATTCTCGGCTCGTGCGAAATAAGGCAACGACGCTACGCAAGAAATTGCACGGTAATCCGAAAGCTAACCTTCGGAACTGTTAATTGGAAGAACGTTTTGAGTCTTCTGAAGTCCGAAAACTATGGGAGTAGTACGAAAAAAAAACCACCATCGTGGCACATGATCATAATTATGCCACGGCATAATTGCGATAATAACGATTCTGTACAAAGCATATAATAATACATGCCTTAATCTATTGCTGCCGCTACACCACGATTTAGAGTCGAGCCCGGTTATGTCACCCCGGGTATTTCGAATTATTGTTTATATCACACAGTCCAAACATCCCCTTGAAAATCACATGTAAGAGTCCAGGAGCGTTGTTTTTCTGTATCGAACTCCGTGGCGGGACACTCGATATAGCGAACTAAGCACGGCCGTCCGTCGCTTCTCCCGCGGTCGGATTGCGCCTGCTGTAGGAACGGTAGCATGTGCTCTTCCCCGAACACCACTGTCGCCCCAAAATAAAATAAGCAAAAAAAAAAAAAAAAAAAAAAAACAACTTAAGTCCAGTTTGTTGACAACAGTTGGGCAATCACACTTTGAATGCCTTATCTTTGTTTACCTTTTTCCATTTTTCTTTCGCCGTTATTGCTTTACCTGTTTTTTTGCCTTTCTTTTCTGTTTGTTTGAATTTAGTGAGGTTTCTTTTTTGTTGCTTGCTTTTGAACACCCTTGCCACATTTACACTACGGTGTTTGTGATCTTTACCAACTTAAGCTCTACTGTATTTAGCGGCTCTTAGAGGTCCTATTTGGTAAGGTCCCATTTGTCGTTTGTCACAGCCTTCAATATTAGCAGAGACTTACAGAAATTTCAACTGAAGTTTAGGTCAACACATTTTTGTATATCAAATTATTGATATATCGAAATATCTTACGAGCCCCTTTGAATTAAATATATCCGGGTTCGACTGTATCACGGCCTCCGGGTAAACAACAAAGAGTGCAGCGAAGACAAGCATGGTCTGGCGTACATATTGAAACCGGGTCTAAGGAATCGCCTAGCCCGCAATACATTGTACAATATACATATTAATTTTGCGTCGTGGTCCGCAATCCACTTTCAGACAGTAAAATTGTGCAAGTGTCTAGGCTCAATGTGGTGCAAGGAGGTGACGATTCCAACAACAAACTGCAAGAGCCACTCAGGCTGTGCTCGCCGACGCGAGGCATTTCGAGGCCCTCCAGTGGGCCCACGATTCTTGAAGCGTATTTACCGTGGCTCGTCCACGTCGATGTAACGAGCTTAAAATCCATTAATTTCTTGCAAGCAGTAGTCCAATAGAAAACGCCAGTCCGATCGTCTCATCGGCTCAGAGTTCGCCCAATCCGAGTTATTTCACCATCCTCACCGACTCCGAATCACCGAGAGTCGACTGCAGTACCGACAGAGGTAGTGGGTCTCCCTTTTTTTCTCTTCCCCTTCCCCCTCTTCCCCCACTCACCTCCCAGTTGGACCACTTGCACGCAAGGTGGATGCACAGGCAGGCCACCACCCGGGGCTTGTACAGCAGGCACATCATCGTCAGGTGCAGGCTGGAAACAATTTGAAAAAAAAAAAAAAGAGTGCTCCTTTCCGGCTTTGGCGTGGCAGGGGCGGTGGTAGAGCGGTATGCGTCGCTTCGCGACGACGTTGCACAAAGGAACTCGGTACGCGTTTCTCCGTCCCTATCTGCCCGTGCGTAGAAGGTGGTCCCGGGGAGGCAATGAACGACATCCCAAGAGTCGCCGTGTCATACCGTCGGATGTCGTGACCCCTGGCGTTTGGGCATAAAGGTTCCCGCAAAAGGTGGGAAAGAACAAGAGCAACCCGCTGCAGAACGGGCGTCCACCACATCCCCCAACTCCGGGATCGCGACGGGCGACGGAGTGACACTTCTACGTCGTCGTCGTTCCGCAGATCTCGAGGGATTACTTTGTAGGGCGCAGTAAGCACACTGGTGGGAGACTCGTTCCAGGAATCGCGGCGGCGCAATTATTGTGCGCATTGTTTCTGAAAGAATGCACACAATTGGCAGTGCCAAAGCTAGAGCTCCAGCGAGAGGGGTACACAAAGGTTGTGTGTCGTGCAGTTGCACGCCCCGGTTTTGACCCTGGTTCCACACGACGTGGCGGAAAAGCCCCGAACCAACCCCGGCTACGCTTACCTGTTCGTGGCCATGAAATACGACGTCTGCGCAAGGTCTTTGCTGGCTGCGAGGAAGAGAGGAAGAGCAGGACTGAGCACGAGCATCCGAAGCCTTTAAATAAATGGTTGTATCTGACAAAATTGTCATACATAGAGTACATCCTAGGATGTATTTACAATTAACACTATTGCAGGTACCCCCGAGCATAGCGGACGGTAGTCATGAAATCAGTCTTTCGTCGTGCAACGCTAATGATATCAGTCCCATGTCACCTTGTCCTGTCCGTTAGCCTTTTGTGTCCGTCTTTTCCTACAGAGTCGGTTCACTAAATCTCTCCCACGTTAAAATAGGTGCCGCTCACGCTCCTTGCAAGTGGCTGTGGGGTCTCTGACCAAACTGGCAAGGCAGCGCGGATTTTTAAGAAGATTTAGCAGCCTACAAGTGACACAGACTAGAAGTTTCGGACATTTTAGCGAAAAATATTCTCGACTGTCCGTCAGCCATCGCTACTCGTAAAAGGTGGTGCACGGCGCCGCAGTACCAAAATCAGTGCGGGGCCCACTCACCTCTGACTAACTGGCAGAAATTGACTACGTGGGTGTGGGGGTGCTCAATCCCTATGTCGAAGCCTGCAAAAACACACAATTTCAACGAAGATACCAGACTAACAAAGCCAGCACACACTCCAGGCATTCCCTGGCTTCCAAAAAGCATCCACTGCACAACTACGCGTTCCGACAAAATCCATCCCGTGCCCGGTCTGACTACTTCCCCAAAAGATATTCCCCAGAGCTCGGGTGACTACAAAGCCAGCACACACTCCAGGCTTTTTCTGGCTTCCATAAAGCATCCGCTGCACAACTACGCGTTCCAACGAAACCCATCCTGTGCACGGTCGGGTTATTTCCCCAAGAGATGTTCCCCAGAGCTCAGGTTTCATTTCCAAATGGATAGTACAAAGACAGAGTGAATGCACAGGTTCTGTTTAAAGGACACATGCAAAGGAAAAAAACATTTCTTTTAGACAGCTTAGATGGAAAAAGGATGTCATAAAACGATTTTACAACGAAGAAAAAAAATATTTAGAGCTATATTTACGGCGCTATACGAATTTGTAGTTGGCGCTCGCGGGAGCCGCCGCTGGTCACGTGGTAGGCCCACGCGCCGCCGCACGCTGAGCGTTGTGCGAACGCCGCTTCAACGCGTTTCTCCACGCCGCCGCCGTCGTCTGACCGGCACACAGGTCTATCACGTCTGCTTGCGCTTTTTCAGGAGTTTCCTTTGGGCTCTAAAAGTTACTTATTCATCTTAGTTTTTTGTTATACTTCAAACAAAGATAATAAGTTACTTTTAGAGGCCATAGGAAGCTTCCGAAAGAACGCAAGCACCACGTGATAAATAAGGACCAGTCACGTGATAAATACGGACCACTTTTCCGCGGTGCCCGCGGGCGCCAACTACAAATTTGTTTTGCGCCGTAAATATACCTCTAAAATTTTTTTTTCTTCGTTGTAAAATTGTTCTATGGCGTCCTTTTTCCATCTAAGCCGTCTAAAAAAATTTTTTTTTTCCTTTGCATGTGTCCTTTAACTATACACGTACAGTACTCGCAAGCTGTTAAAGTATACAGGCACAGAACGGAAATACTGAGGGAGAAAAGCTTGTCCCATCTTTTCCAGTTCGGTTTCATTGTGGCACTTCCGCAACATTTCGGCGGTCTCGAATTTCGAATTGGAGGTACTCTACAGAGCTCCTCTATTGGATGATGAGCTCTCGTCCTCCGAATTCAAATCTGAGAAGCGAGTCTGAATAGGAAGAGTCGGCAATTGCCACTACCGTGAGAGTAGGCAGAGTAGCCTCGCGCGAATTATGTGCGTGGAGCATCTAATTTCATCTAATTTCATGGCTATAAATAGACCCGGCAAAGCAAAACACTATGGAAATGTAAGGTTCATGGTTCTCCAAAGACCTAACAAAATGGCAACACCTCCCGAGGTGCGTGCAATTTCGCGTTCAGGCGAGAACTTCCAAACGTGTAATCGCCGCCACAAAATGTACAACGACGACCGCCTAAAGGTCAAACACGCTGCCGAGACTCACCTAGTGTCTGAAGCATCATGTTCTCGTTTAGGACGAGCTCCAGTGCTTGCTCTTGGTAGGCCTGCGTCATTGAGGACAAAGTTCAGTGTCAGCTCAAACCGAATGCCGTGCCCATTTAGTCCGCTGAAAAATCACTTTCCCATATCCCTGCCGGCATCTCAGACAAGCCCGACGACGACGAACAAGGGCTTTACGAAGCAACAATCAAGTATGGTGCAAAAGCAACGTCAGTGTGGATTTGAGGTTGCTTCACATATTTCGCATTCAAGTGCGGATCAACGGCTCCCAAACCTCTCGTACCCACTTACAAACGAGGGAACCCACTGGGACGAGGCGCCATCTATTGGTAGCTCAGAAACACTTTAGATCTGCAGTATTGGCAAGGCCGAACTTGGAAATTTTACCTAAAGTTAGGAAATGCATAGACTGGAAGCGCTCCAATGCTATCGAAGAGATAGTGCCAGTGCATTTTCTCGTTGCAAGCAGTTACGACCGGCACCTCAGGAACCTAATGGACAAATCGGTTCACCCGTTGGTGCGGAGACTCGACACAACCGCTGTCGCCATACTCGAGCTAGCTCGAAGGAAGTGAAGAACAGTTTTCTCGGCCGTCTTTCGCAATGTCAAAGTGCTGCCAGCATTGTTTGCGCCATTTCAGCGTAAAACTTATTGTCACACGTCTTTTCCACGTTATGCTTCGGTGTGCCGTATGTATGCGAAGCGCCTTGCCTACCGAGGCGGTCTCCTGTCATCTGTTCCTTGCCAAGTTGACTGGGCCCTACGAGGGACATGGAGCCACCCAAGACACGGACTGGGGCCCGCCAGAGGCACCGCATGTGGCAGCTATGGCTGCCAGAGTGTCGAGACGACGCAAAAGGACCCAGGTGCACAACGTCAGAAGCACCAATAGTGACTTCCACTTTGGGCCTGGAGGTTACGATGGGTGCGTTAAGTCTGTGCTCCGGAGTGCGAGAGTTTGGCGCTCCTTTCACTGAACGGACAGGAGTGCCACCAGAGAGTGACACTCGATCGCGCTCTTCGTGCACCAAGAATTATCGAAGCGCGAGTGACTTCTTCGCACTCAGTGACATCACGTAAACAAACAAGATGGCTGCGCTGCTGTTGGGGCCGTCGAGACGAAAGGCGTAGCCGGACCGCAGCCCCTTTTCAGTTGATTAGTGCTTAATCCAGCAGGTAAAAACTATTTGATTTGAAAGCCAAGACAGATATTAGCGTTCCGATAAAGGTTTGTTCGTGCATCTCGCCCAAAGAATAAATTCATCTGTCAAATAGTAGCGTGGCAATAGCACAGCGACAGAAAAGTTGTCGAGATGAGGAGACATTCGGACTGTTCTGTTCTTTTTTTATAATGCTTAGCCCAGCGAATAAAGATACTTCGATTTGAAACTCGAAACATCAGTGAGCGTTGAGGAAAAGGTTTGTTTGTGCGTCTTACCTGAAAACGAATTGATCTATCGAACGAGCGTGCCGATAGCTCGGACCTGCTTGGACTGCTTAGCCCAGACGCAGCAAATAAAGATACTTCGACTGGAAAGCCGAAACAACAGTTAGCATTGCGGGAAAGGTGTGTTCATGCATACCGCCTAAAAACGAATTGACGTGCTATCGAACGACGGTGTGCCGGTATTGGCGTAGCTTCCGTCTCGCTGCGAGACGGAACCGACGGAACCAGGGAATCTCTGGCAAGTTTGAGGGTTTCCTGCGTCGACGAGCGGGTTCAAGAAAGTTGTCTTTATTTTAAATCGGAACAGCATGCATGGTCAATAAATAAATTGGTCAAGGTAACCTTCCACATATGTGCACGAAGCGAGTCTTCAAGCCTTTCAGGAATGTTACAATGTTTCTACAAAACTTCATAACGTCGCCGGCTCTTTTGCTTTAGACTCTGCTGCTCCGCACGGGCCTAATTATTTATCTTCGAAATATTTCCGGCTTCTGCCGCCCGTATCCACTGTCGGAAACAGCTTTAGTGGCGTCGATAGTTCCTGGCCGTGTTCCAAAACTTACTCCATCTAACTCTAGGGTAAAGGTGGTTATCGAAAACCTACCTGCACCCAGCGTTTCTCTATTTTTGTTGTCACGTGACATATTCGAGTAGGTTTGAAACGCAGCCTCAGTATGTTGCGCTCCGGTACGCTATGCGTCGTTTAGTTGCTACGCTCGGAGTATGAAACCCGGAGAGTCGGAGTAGGAGTAAAGGAGCACCGACTTAGCACGCCCAATGGTAATCGAGGCGCTAGCAGCACCTAGCAGCCCGTTTGTCATTATGGTTCGTTTTATTTCCCTCTGCTCATTGGAACGTGGTAAAAGTGAGTAAAAGCCACATGAAAGAGGGCTTTGAATACTGGCACAAGCATATCTGAAGTTTGAGCACCTCACTCAACCCATGTTAAACGTACGCAGAGACGCACGCTGACAATTTAAACTTTGCTTTAGTCGAGCAGTGAAAAAGCACACGACAGGTATGCACATGGCGCTCTGAAACATCCGAACGCTATGCCGAAGATTGTCAGCCTCGTTCGGCTTTGTCGGTCACCCTAAAACTGAGCCGGCTCAGCCAATTCCCACTCGGCCAACTGCCACGGTGCCTTGCTAGACCAACCGTGGCGAAAGGTGGCGCGGGGAAAAGCATAGCACCACTCCGGCAGCCGGAGCTACCACATACAGTGGCTCTGGGGTTCGCAAGAGAGCATGCCAGCACCCTCACCTCGCTGGCGGGGTTGAGGGTGGGTGCGTCCCGGTGCAGGCACATGTGGGCCACCTTGATCACGTGCTCCAGCTTCCGGGGCTGCTCCTCCACCTTCGCCGCCAGGAACAGGGCGCAGGCGGCAATAGACTGCGACCGCCACATCCCACGGTCACTCGCGACGTGTCTCCGCGTGCGCAAGACGAGGCGGCCGAAACTCAGGCACACTCGACTGTACGTGCTCCTACCGACCGGAGCGGCATTTGCATCGCAGATATTGTGGAATGCAAGGAGGACCGCTTGCTTTCAATGACAAGCGTGCGCGGATGCATTTGACTACTGCCCCCATTTGCGGATTTGAATTTACTGCACTTCCCAGCATATAAGTTGGTTAGTTCCAAGCAAATTTCTGTCTATGCATCCTACCAAAGGGTGCGGGATAGGCACATTCTTTTTTGTAAGTATAGACCGTAATTGTCCAAGATGTAGGCCGTGCTGACATTTACGAGGGAGGGACGGCGGAGCACCCATCTATGACCTGCTCTTCTAGTGGTCCGAAGGTGGCCCTAGCGGCAGCAACATTGGTCCCCAGCTGCGGCATCGCGCCGCCCACGAAGTGCGACTTGTACGGCAACTTTTTCAAAAAAATGGCTGTCACTATACACTGTGTCACTAGTTGCGTGCAGTACAGGCGAAGGCAATGCCAGGCGAGGGGGAAAAAGGGCAAGCACTAGGAAGGCTCAAGACAAGGAGAGAAACCATCCTCTCCTCTCCTCCTCTCCAACTTTCCTAGTGCTCTCCCTTTCTTCCCTCACCCTCCATTGCCCCCCTCTCCCGTCCCGCCTTTCTAGTGCTCGCCCTTTCGCTTCGCCTGGCATTGCCTTCACCTGCACTGCACACAACTAGTGACAAAAAGTATGGGGGGGGGGGGGGTGCGACTTGCAGAACAAAAAATATAGTGACGCTTACTTCTTACGGGCCCTGCCTAGATTCTTTCACATTGTGCAGGCAGCCTAATACTTGGGCAGACGAGGCAAATGTGAGAGAGAAAAGTCGACCACGACACTCACGTTTCTGTGGAACTTGGTGAAAGAATGGTAGTAGTAGAACCGATGCATGTACACGATGGCGGTGTTGATGCAGAGCTGAGTGCTGAAGTTGCTAAGGTCAAGGTGGGTACCACGACGAAACAGACACAGGCACACACACAGACAAGGGATGCACCCTAAGAGAATAACTCCCAAAACCTCAATCTCCTATTACTTGGGTAAAACTGGTTGGAATGAATTATGGGCTGGAATTCATGATTTTAGATTGGGATTTCATTAGGTAAACTAGTACACGAAGGTAATGAGTTAAGAACCTGCTTCTCGGCACGAAATGATAAAAATAGAAAGGATTTCTTACCGCCTTTACATCAAAAGTTTGCCACCTTTTCACTGCGGTACATGCACACTACTCAAGCACGTCAGCTGAACCCAGCTCACGTCTTGGACACAAGCACTGAGTCACCCGGACACATGTGCTCATCAAGAATCAATCCGTCGAGGAATAATTGAACTCGCGTTCGTGGCCAATGAGTGCCAATATGGCCAATGTGTGGAGGCACTCCTCTTTCGCGAATGACATGTTTTATGGTGTGCTTAAAAAGCACGGTGGAAGCTTGGAGTCATTGCATTCCGAAACCAACACCGTCAAAGTTGACCATCTTAGATTACTGCTATGTACGTCGATGAAAGCAATATTTAGGCTGGCCAGTCGTGGAAGGCCGACCACGTCGGCCAGACGGCTGGGAGGGGCTGTTGCTGTAACTCAAGATTTAACGACAGTTGCATCGAATGCAAGGAAAACAAAACAAACAGCTAAAGGCCCGTTCACACTCTTGCGACCTCTTAAACCTGGGTTGCTTAAAACTTCATAAACCAGAGAACACACTGGCGCCATCTATTGGGAAGCAGTGTAAACGCGGCGGTCCGGCATATTTTCTTTTATTTCTCGCGCATTATACTTTCTTTCTTGGCTCGAAAATCTTTTGTCAATTTTATAAACGAGCCTTTCTATGGGTATTACGCACATTTGACCTCGGAAATCCCGCAAAGCCTTCGCTCTTGTGAAATGCAGTTCCAGGGTCATCGCATAGATGGCGCCACAATGCCAGTGTGTTCCCTGATTTTAAAAACATTTAAGAAGTTTTAAGAGATCTTGTCTCTCTCAGTCGTACTCGGTCGCAAGAGTGTGAACGGGCCTTTAGGAGGAAATGGAAGAAAAATAATTTTATGGTACCTTAAAGCTTTCCATAAACTTCTGTTGATACTATGCACCTGGCAAGCAGTAATTGACCAAACTGCACCATTTTGTGCCACAGGTTGTCCTTGCCAAGTGAACCACAAGGTGCATGCAAGCCATCCGCACGTTTTTGCAGTGCCATCTTAAGGCTACTTACAAAATGTTTCAAAATCCACCCCTCTATCAAAAATTGCATTCAGAATAGACCCTTTACACAACTACATTGAGCAACATTGGCAGCCGCCATTTCCGAGCCCTCACCAAACGCCGAAGGAGCCCTCATGTTTAACACCTGCACAGAGTCTGTGCCAAAAGTTTGTGCCAATGACAGGCTAACAATCGACATAGCAGCTGCTGGATGGTGCACACTTTTTTTAAAAGGAGTCCATTCGGCCTAATCGAGAGAGCGCACAGAGAGAATGCAACACCGTTAGCCTGAACCCAAAACAGTAATGTTTACCGCACATTGCCACAATGAAATGTGCTCGTGTGCAGCAGGACCCGAGGTGGTACCGTTTGCTGCTCGACTAACCCGTACAATCAAACTGCAACATTCGGCTGGTTAAACCTGATTCACACACGTGCGGTTGGGTGTCGCCAAGTGTGTCAAGCCTGCTCATAACAGCTTACAACAGGGGAAGGTAAGCTCGAAATAATTCTGAGAGCGTTACCAACGACCATGTCTCTTAGGAAGTGCGTAGATTTGATTTTGCCAATACTCAAAACCTTCAGTCTAATTGTACCAGACTGGACGAGTTCCACAGCTGCCCGATAGGCGCACCTGTGTGTGTCCTCTCGTGATAAGCGGTTACAAGCAAACAAAACGCAAATATGCAAATCGGCCTTTACGTGTCCTGGCTGTTGCGCAGCGTATGTCAGCCGCTACCTACTGACCCCTTAACTGGGAAGTTCCATGATAAAAAAAAAATATTAACAAAATGAGGTACTTTTTTGTCCCCATTTTGCCAATCTTTTTCGGTACCACATATATCTAGTCAAACTTTTTTTGTGCTGTCATTTATGCATTGATTTCTAAAGCAAAATTACTTCCTATGTTTGGTGTTTGATGGTGCTTCCTCCCGTGCAACAAAAAGAGTGAGCGTTTTAAAGACGCGCTACCTGAGACCAAATGAAGAGCGGCAAGTCTATAGACGCGCCCCCAAGTCCAGTCCGCAATACGATGCGATGTTGAGAATTATGCAGACAATGCACAGAGTGCTTCCAAATATCGGCGCAACATTTTTTTTTTTTTTTTTTCAGGCAACTTATTTGCAGACGAAAATAATCCCTGGAGAAGGGGAACAAGAGGGATCCCCTTCTCCAGGGATTATTTTCGTCATTCTTGTCCAGCTCGCTTGCACCGTTGCATTTAATTGCATTATAAACTTATTTGCAGTTTTTTAGAAGCCACAAAAAAAAGGGTATCATATTTTTTTCTATCTTTAATATTCAGAGTGTGTGCTTTCAATGACCCAGGACTGATTATATTTGGTGTGTGTGTGTCTAAACCAAGGGTCTCTTAACGCTGACCGCGAGCCAGATCCGCCTTGCAGAGGTCTTCAGACAGGCATGCGGCTGGCCGCGGCCCTTTCAATGAAGCCCTGCCTGCGGCCCGCTTCCCTCAGAACCGCTGCTATTAGCACAAAATGAAGTGCACGCAAAGAAACGGCGCTGCAACGAGCTCCTAATGCGCAAACGACAATACAAGAAAGAACGAGGGAAACTGCATCGAAACATGGGTCCTTTCGCCAAAATATTTATTGAATATTGTCATTGTTCTTAGACCCCTGGCTCACGTCTCTGTAACTTTGTTCAAGTTTCTTTGCGTTCTCGTGTGCATTGCGCTCAGTGTCCTTTGTCACAACTCTTGCGTATTGTCAGCATTAGTTTTATCATTCTCATTAGTATTTTGCACTGGGCGAATGTGCCAAATTTCCCATGCACTTTGATTCATGCCTGGTGAATTTTCTTGATCACAATTGTCGTGTAAGGTCATCACTAGCTAAATATTATTAAACTTAATTTGTGTTGAAATGCTTATCTTTCTTTTTTTATTTAGTTCTTCCTCCTTTATAATTACTCTTTCTTTCCCAGCCCTGGAGCCTGCGACAGATCACTAAATTAGCCCCTTTACCAAAAAGTTTGGGCACCCCTGGCCTAAGCCATAGAGAACTTCACGTGACCATGGAAAAGATAGTGAGTACGACTCAACCAGTCAGTTCTCGGTCGGCGGTTTTCGGGCAGCAAAGAAACAAATTTCGAGTCGCAAATTGTGTTCTGGGTTGTACAAATAAAAACCTTGGCGAGAACAAACACCCTGTCAGTGTCCCCTTAGGAGGTTAAAAGTTTCCAAAAAACGGTACAAGAATTTAGAAAAACGAAACGAATAAATATAGGCTGCCTGCTGTCTTCATCTTGTTAAAAACCTGCACTCACTACCAACGCTCCAAAAACCTGCCCTGCATAGGAATGGACTGAGCATCGACACACTGCTTACGTTCCCGATTTCAAAACGACGACAGCTGCAATTCATACCAAACTTTGTTATTTAATTGGCTTTTCCAACACCTGAGCGGTGCATTACCCCTGGAAGACAGGCAATAGCACCCTCTAGAAATAATAATAATATAAAAAAAAAAGAGCTTAACCAATGCCTTTGTGCGGGATGACGTCACGGGGCAAAAGACCTGGAATCTCAACACTGCGCACGTGTTCCGAAAGATCAAGAAAAGCGGCAGATGACGTCAGCCAAGATCGCCCCGTCGAGAAAACAAAAACAAAATACTTCAATGCCAAAACAAAAATGGCCGCGCGCTGCGCGCGGCCTTGCGTTGTTCCCTCTACGGCCAATACCTTTCCTACGTATCAGCCACATTTATTTTTTTTCACAGAAAACAAAACGCAGCGATACCGCTAACCGCTAGCATTCAGACGAACTAGGATAGTTGTGCCAACCGACGGAGAGGCGACTCCGGTTACGAGAACAAGCGACAGCGGCACAACTGCGCATCAAAAAAACGGCGAGCGCGCGACCACACTAAAAGATGTCGTGGCCTCCGCACATAGGATCACGCATTTTACGGCGTTCCCAACGTAGCCTAAAACGACCGGACGTTGTAAAACTAAACCTTAGGACTTTCTTTTTGGGCCAGATAACGCTTTTTAGCACCAATACGACCGCGAAACAAGACGGCAGCGAACAAAATAAACAAAAAAAACTCGACTGCCATTGGGAAGAAAAAAAAAAACCTCACGTGCTCGGCGCTCCAGCGACGGGCTAGAATATTAGTAGTATTCGGTGTGCTCCGATCTTCTGGACAAACTCGGAACGGTTATGCAGGTCTTGTGCGTTTCGGGGGTAAAACAACGCGTTCATGAGGGAAAAGAATTCACCTTTTACGTTACCTTATCGGTGTCGAAAAGCGGCCTTGGGCAAGCTCGGCGACTAGAGCGTCACAACGCCCAACGATGACACTCCGAAAACGCACTGTCGGACGCACCGTAGGAGCACCTTTCAAGCACTTCGGGAAGCTCGGACTCCGTAGATTCGGACGACAAAACCGGCGTTTCACTGGAGAAAAAGCACCGCAAGCCGTCTAAACCTAACGGAGACGACGGTAAGCCTAAACATGTAAGCGTCGAACGGAACACTTCCGCGGCACAAGGATACACTTGCAATCGCTGTCCCATATCTTGGATTAAGTTGGCAGCTTGCTGTCGGTAGGAGAGCTCCTTGTCCGCGTCCAAACCACATTTTCGGCTCGGTGTACACGCCAACTGTTCTTTGGTAAAATACCATCTTTCTGCTGCCGCCATTGACCCTGCAACCACCACGGAATCGCCGTCAGTCCCGCAGAAATGTCCTTTTCAAAGGTGCACTTGAAATTCTACAATTTGTACCTAGAAAACGTAGATAATTTAAATATATTTATACATTGTAACATAAGTGTTTATAATATATTTTTGTAAGTTTTTTTGTTATCAACTTTCCGAATTCCCTCAGAGATGGCGCTAGCGTCGCCGAAACCAGAACCGCGGAACTCTGGTTTCGTTTCGGCACCCTAGTTTCGGGAAGTGCGCAGGATTTTGGAAGGCGCAAATTTACTCACACTACAAAACAGGCTATATTTATGACGACATTCACTCAAAAGGATCTTGTAGCCCATATACAATGATGAGAAAACCCAAATAGCAAAATGATCATCCAAAATTCTCGTCAAAGCGGGTGCGTACAATCTACGCGTGACATCGGCTCCCGTTGACCACAGTGACCACGACTTTTTTTACGTGCGCGACAAAAATCTTATGAGCATTCCAGAAAGATGTAATTGGAAAATAGGGCCCGTTCCCGTTAGCAGTCATTACATATCTCCACATATTCGCGGGCTCCGTTGGACGTAAACTCCAGCGCTACATTCCAGTAGATACCGTGCGTTCGGCAATGCAGTTTATTCTATTGGCGCAAGCAAAAACGATATTTCCTAAGGTTGGGAGGAGTGTGAGGCGAAGTAGAAAGGCAAAAGCCCGTAAGCTTTGTCTCCGCCCGGAATGGGCCACAGCCACTAGCTGACCGGAGATAGCTTGTGCTTGTCTCAAACGCCATGTAACATATCTTTGACGTAAAATCTAGTTTCCCCCTTTCCATGGGCACTTTTTACTGCATTAACGATAATCCATAGTGAACCTAAAACAGATTAATAATAAAAAATAGAAAGAAAAACAAAGCCTTTGTTGTTTTGTTCGGTTTTTGTTTTCTTTCTTTTTCTTTTTTTTTAAGAGGGAAGGGGGAGTATTATAAATGTCATTTACCTGCGTTTTTTTTTTTTTATCCCTTATATCTTGCAGTAAACGTTTTCCAGAAATATTTCTACATGTCCACTTACCACAGTTTTGTAGCGGCCTTGCTGAGGTCCTCAGAGACAAAAACAGAATGCTGACTGCAGAAAAGACCTAAACTAAAACAATTAACCGTATATTCGCCAAATAAGAACAACTCCACTTAACGATCGAAGCTACACTTGCACTTCCGTGACCCAGGTCGCAACGACGAATGAACAGTAGGTCGTCGCGTCTTGACAACAGGATGCCAAGGACCTAGCTGAACGACATCATCATACAGCACATGGGTCCAGAGATAAAGAAAAAAAAACGTAAAAAATTAAAGCGAGAAAAAAAAAAGACTGCAAGTGAACGTTTCTCGTCCAAGACCGTTTGAAAAAAAGTCAGATATATTACTGACATGATCGCGCACAGTTCCTATATCCCCCAGAAGTGAAAGTTTACCTTTATTCCCCCAGTCTCTTGTTCAAGGCCGTTTGAAAGAAGGAGGGCGATCGAGTGACGATGATTGGACTTTCGGGATTCAAAGGAGGAGTGGGGGTTCGTCTTCTCGTGATAGTGGTACGGGTAGTGTTGTTATCAAGTCTTGCGGGTTCTTGCTCAACCTGATGAAAGTTTTGCAGCATGTGACGTCACCCGTTGGAAAGCGCTGGTGACTTTGAATGTTAGTTGGTCTTTGCGTCACCTTAATTTGCCGTTTTCTTAACGTATATTCTTAATTAGCATGCCGGGAAGAACAAAGCCCCGGGACTCCGAAAATGTAAATAGATTGGGAAGCTATAGAAAAAAAAAAGCTTAACGATATTTTTTTTTTTTTTTTTTAGTATAGCGGATTGTGCGTCACACGAATTCGACACTTCAAAATTATTGTCCTTTTTTGTAATATATTTCAAGTTTATTGGACATATTTACTTATGGGACACCTGTGAAAAAAAAAAAATTTATTGACAGAGTTTTTTTTTTTTTTAGTTATTCTGAATAGCGGTGTGTGAACCGTTTTAGCTCCGTAGATAATGTGGTGCCTGATAGATAAGTAGGTACTTGCATATTGATGTAATCAGTGTCGGCTACTCTGTTTTCTTTCTGTTATCTCCGCTAATAAAACTTTGGTTGAGAAAACAGTGCACGCTTCGTCCTGTCGTGTTTGTTGTCTTCACTCTGGCTTCGTCCTTTTAGTGATTTTCATTGTGTATAACGTTTCCGAGCTTGCCAAATTTGCTACCAAAATCTGCGCTTGAAATTTCCAAAATGACGCGATTCTAAACAGAGTTTGCACGCCAGCCGGATGCTAGGTACAGCCCACTCGGCGGAGCAGACGACATCGGGTGAGAGGGTGAGGATATTGTTTTCTCTCTATTACCCTCTCTGCTATGACCCTAAGACCGTTCCATTAGGGTCATAGCAGAGAGGGTAATAGAGAGAAAAAAATGCCCTCCCCATCTCACCCCGCATGTCGTCTGCTCAGCCGAGTGGGCTGTACCTAGCATCCGGCTGGCGTACAAACTCTGTTTAAAATAGCGTCATTTTGGAAATTTCAAGCGCAGATGCACAGATTTTGGTATGCGAGTTCCAGTTTTCTGCGAGGCGTAGTTTATTTATGCGGGCTAAAAATGCGGTTTACCTTTCTGCACGCTGGGAGCGCGCACGTAGCGAATGTAAAGCGCATCCAGTGTAAATGTGGTTAAACCTGAATTAATACTTTTAACTAGTTATTTTACAGCTCTGCTCACGAATGCCCGACTGCAAAAAGTTTGAACCTCAGAAGCTGGGTGTCACACGTTGTAACTGGCAGAACAGCTCACTCTGTTGTGCAGCGCCACCACTCGCTTTGTGGCTTCGGTTTCACCACCGCAAAGCTCTTGACGGTGACAACGGTGCCTTCCTGGCACATAACCCATCATGATGTAGACTACCCAAGACTGTGGTAAAAGCCGGGAAACTTGGTCGAAGAAAAAAAACAGGGGGAAAGAACGTCTCAAACTCAGTTTCTGCGTTCATTTCCTCAAAGCCTTATATATCCACAACCTAATCACCGACCACCGACGTCACAAAGTCAACCTCTGTTATGCAATCCTACCCACACTGGTCTTCACCTGAACCGTAAACGGTGGCCTCAATCCCAAACTGAAAACTTGGGACCTTGAACAAAACAATCACACCGACCCACTACTCTTGCAGCCGGAGTCTGAAAGGGCTGTGCTTTATCTAAACGAGAACTGATATGTCCTCCAACTGAACCCCTGCCCCCTGCCCGCAAAATGACTCATTGCACATTCACATACAACTCAAAAAAAAAAAAAATACATTTAGAAAAATTTTTTGAAACTACTTCCAAATTGCATCGTTTCTTTTCTTTCTTTTTCTTCTTTTTATTTTACAGTTGTAAGTGAACGTGCAATAAGTCCTTTTGCGGGCAGGGGTTCAGTTGGAGGACATACAGGGTGCGGCCGTAAAAACTTTCACATTTGGCACGCCTAGCAAAAATCGAATTTCAAACATACATACCTGAAATTGGGCGCACGAACGTCGTTTATTCCAAAGTTTTTTGCCTATTTTTTGCAGACGTCAACTCTGGAGTAGCGAATTATTAGAAAGATAACAAAAATGGCAGACGTGCATTGCCCGTTCGCCGTCTGCTATCTGGTTCGCGACGCCGCTCCCAGGTGGCGCACTGAACGCAAAAACTCGGGAAACCCGCTCGAAAGGCTGGTGTCGGGCGAGATAATCGCGATAAAAAGTGATTTGAACCAAATATATGAACAATTGTTGAAATTACCTGTTTCAAGTCAAGTTCTGACAGATCGTCATGCAAGCAAGAAGACACCATGATGCGACGAGATCATTTATTTACAGCTGCTCGTCTTGTTGACAATTGCGGGTCGCTCTCGAAGACAGCAAGCACCGCTTCAATGAGCTCCTCAGTTTTCAGTAGGCTCTCACGTTCACTGACTGGATTCTTCTTTTTACAGTCTTCTCCCCTCACAAAACGATCCGCCCAACTCAAAACAGTTGGGCGTGAAGGCGGGCGTTTATGAAATGCAGTGCGAAATTTTCGTTGTGCTGTGGCCACCGAGTTCCGCTCCACGTACCACTTGACTGCCTGGGCACACTCACTTGCCGAGTATTGCGGCATCGCAGGGCGGCGCGGAAAATATTTTGATAATAACTGCAGAAGACAGTGCAACAAAAGCAATAAATAGGAACAATCAAGATGCCTCAGCAACGGCACTCTTGATTCCAAAGTTGAGCTTTCACCGGGAACGGACCCGTCAACAGATAAGCAGACGACAAATGAAGACAAACGTTCGTCTGCTTTAGAACATATTTTTATTAAACGAGGGCGTCCGCCAGTTTCTAAATTTCAAGTAAAAGGGCATAATCGTTCACATATTTCGGTAAAATCACTTTTTATCGCGATTATCTCGCCCGACACCAGCCTTTCGTGCGGCGTTTCCCGCGTTTTTGCGTTCAGTACGCCATCTGGGAGCGGCGTCGCGAATGAGATAGCAGACGGTGAACGGGCGGGTATAGGCCATAGGAAATGCACGCCTGCCATTTTTGTTATCTTTCTAATAATTCGCTACTCCATAGTTGACGCTTGAAAAAAATAGGCAAAAAACTTTGGAACAAACGACATTCGTGTGCCCAATTTCAGGTAAGTACGTTTGAAATTCGTTTTTTGCTAGGCGTGCCAAATGTGAAAGTTTTTACGGCCGCACCCTGTATATCAGTTCTCGTTTAGATAAAGCCCAGCCCTTTCAGACTCTGGCTGCTCTGGCTGCAAGGGAAGTGGGTTGGTGTGATTGTTTTGTTCAAGGTCCCAAGTTTTCAGTTTGGGATTGAGGTTACCGTTTACGGGTCAGGTGAATACCAGTGTGGGTAGGATTCTATAACAAAGGTGGACTTTGTGATGCCGGTGGTTGTCTCTTTCGGTTGTGCTCGGTTGCAAGAGTGTGAATGGGCCTTTAATCTTTGAAAATGAAGACCCATTCACAAAACTTGCGCGTGTACGACCGAGAGTGACGAGACCTGGTGAAACCTCTTAAAATTTCTTAGGACGAGAGAACACACTGGCACGCTGGCGCCATCTATGCGGTGACCCTGGAACTGCATTTCACAAAAGCGAAGGTTTTGCGGGATTTCCGAGGTCAAATGCGCGTAATACCTATGAGAAAGGCTCGTTTATAACGTTGACAAAAGCTTTTTGAGCCAAGAAAGAAAGGATAATGCGCGAGAGAAATAGAAAATATGCTGGACTGCCAAGTTTACACTGTTACCCAATAGATATTTTTTTTTTTTTTTTATTTTTGGTTTGTTTTTTTGTTTGAAGGCTTTTGGTTTTAAGATGTCGCAAGAGTGTAAACGGACCTTGATCTCGGTTATCTGAACTTGGATCTGCAGACGGACGGCTGTTGACGGGAATCAGTGGAGTGGAAGTATGGTGCCTGGATCGCGTCTTCGACTGGTGTGTTTAGCGTCCTATCCCGCCCATACATCAAAAGTGGTCCCGATGTGGCAACAAATGACGCGAGTGTCATGCTGTTGCCTGTCGCGATCCTGGCGGTTGGCCGTAGAAATGCTGGCAAAAAGCACGAGCGAACGCGAGTGTCGCTGTCGTCACGGCGTCCCGTTAGACGTCCCAACTTCCGGCTGCCCTAGCTTCCGTGAACTGTCACAATGGAAAGCCTATGTGATGGAAAGCGACCTGCAGCAGAACAGGCGTCTGCCATTTATACCACAACTGTTGGGACGCCACCAGGGTCGCGACCGGCGACAGCATGACACTTTTATGACGTCATCAGGCGGAAATCGAGGGACCACTTTTTTGGCCGCGGTAAACACACCAGTCGGAGACGCGTTCCAGGCACCATAGTGGAAGCTATGTGATGTCTGGACGCTGTTGCTGGACCAATGAAGCGTCGGTGATACGTCACGTGACAGCGCTTTCTGTGGTTTCCGCGGCCGGTGAACGAACTGGATATATTTTGTATTCTATAAAATTGTCAGGCAGAATTAATAGTCGTTGTTCATTAGTCACATAGTTTCATAATTGGAAAACATGAGCTTCTCGAAAAAGAATTTCAGGAAGCGAACATAGACTATTTCAGAGTACGGGAGCGGTGCACAGCCTTTGCAGGACTTAAAAACGCAAAGGGGAAGCTAAACTTAAACGCAGATACCAACAGTCACCTTTAGTAAAGACAGGTTTTTGAAGGAATTTGTCTAAGTGCAATTAATTTACCTTGTTTGATATGCTCGCCATACTCGGATGGCCAAAAATGGAGGGTGTATGCTGGCAGTGATCTTTTATTAGTACAGAACAAAGCATTACACAAACTTCGGGGCTGGGTGGAGGCTGGCTCACAATCTTAATGCGTGTCTGGAAGTTTGCAAAGTTGCAGCCCTTGGAATCGTCTGGGATCATCAGAGAAAAACAACTACAGTAAAATACCGAAGAAGGGCCCACTTTGTTCAAGCGCCCACTATAACATTCCCCAAACTTGAGAATTCTGCAAATTATATCTTAATTGCCCGATTTGACTGGACAGGCGCCCATGTAACCCAGTTTTCAGCAGAAAAGGGAGTGGGCAGGCATTTTACGGTAGCTATTCTTCTGCAGAGCGAGTGCAGACAGTTATGGCCATGTTGCAGTCGGCAGACGAGGCACCGAGTTTCTGGGGCTGGTAACATGTATGTAGGTGGAAGGCACTGTTGTTTGTGTCGTGCTTTGGTGCACCTGGCAAGACCACAGACTTTCTCCCTTGGACAAAGCCCACCCAGTAAAACACATTCTCCCCAACGAACCTCCTAACCCTCCAAGAGCTATTAAACCAGACATTCAGAGGCCCTGGAGAGAACCTCAACTTTTTGGATCCAGTAGCCTGCCACACAATCTTTTCTGTTTAAAGACAGATCAAATGGTCAACGGGCCACAACCTCCTACCTGCACCTGGGGCCTTCGAGTCGTTGAAACAACAGCAGTTGTGGAAGAAATTAATTCAGAAATTTGTTTCACTCGTCGATGCCGCCACCATCTGCCCCCTGCTTTTAACCTGCAAAAGTCCAAGTAACGGTACTTGTTTCTTAGTGCGGAGTTCTGCAACATGTTAACTGAACCATATGCGCTTCAGAAGACCTATTGTCGCCGATAGGAGGGTCGTGCTGGAGGTGAGACAAGTGAAAGACTCCCTTGCTGCTCTCATCCTGTCAGTGGATATAACTATATTTTGCCTGGTACCACTTACGCTTGACTAAACCCCTCAGTCTAGTCGTCAAGCCAGTCACCTTTCTTCAGCGCTGGACAGGCATCCGTATAACCCCGTTCAACCCAAGGAAGGACTACAGTCGCAAACCCGTTTATTAACTCGCAGGCTCTCGATGGTACACACAACTTAACGCGGTCTAGGGCAGCAGAAACACGAGGCGGCGGTCGTCAGAGATAGAGTCCTTCGGGACTGCCCTCCTTCTTGCGGTAAAGCACGTTTTCCTTGGACTTGCGGAAGTCCTCGCTCGTCACCTTCATCCGCCGCTCGCGAAGCGCCATCAGACCGGCTTCCGTGCAGATGGCCTGCGGAGAAAAATCATCGTGCTTCGCTGTAAGGATGCTACGACTTTCTTTCGACAACCCCGTGAAGGATGGTTCCCACATCAGCATTTGAGTTTGGTCGACTGCATTCGAACCACTCGTGGCCGTGTTGCGGATAGACGTCTGGCGCCACCTATCCGCTGGAGTCGCCAAAAACGGCATCGTGTTCGGATGCACTGGCAAACCAGCCCAAGACGTCCGAAGACCGATTTCGAGATGCGACGCGAGAACGCTTCCGATTGTAATTGTAATTTTAACAGAAATAGCTGCATTAAAGGAGAATAAATTTATTCCACTGAGCTGCAACAATGAATGCTCAAAGGGTCATAAGTGCAAATCAAATTATGGACCACAAATGGTTCAATATACAATTTGTAAGTCCCTCGGCAGCTGTATATACACAAAGATATGGGTTTCGGCGCACTTTCCGCCGAACAGCTAAAGGCATTTTTTTCTTGAATAGTGCCTGAATGTGCAGTGTGGCTTGTATACCTAATCAGCACTTAGTTTTATTATTGTTATAAGTATTGCCGTTCTTCTTTGCAGACAGCATATATTGGGAAAATTGTGCCTGCAACTGCCAACGGGGCTTGGGACATGTCAAGCTTCATAATGAAGCTCAAGAAACTTGTAGATGCGAAGAAGCAGACACAGACAACCACTTATTCGTGTCCTCTTCTCATGGCTGTCTGTGTGAGCCTACAAGTTTCCTGAGCATCATGCACAGTGTGTCTATGAAATTGCTTCTCAAATTTGCAGACTTTTCATGGTTACCCCTAAACATCTAAAATAAATGCTCTAACCTCATTGCAAAGGAAGAAAAAAAAAGAAGCAGGGGATGGGGTTGCAGCGGCTGTTCAAGCTGTTCCCATTTAACCCGGTGAACTGGATTGTGGCCCACGCGACCTAGTGATGCCTCAAGCAACTGTTACTGGACGCGAAGGCCATCCACGTCATTACTCGGTCTCGCCTCACTGAGTGTCGCTGCACCGTCCACGTCTGTTGTTTTCCCCAACTTTTTGAATGTTCTAAAAATCCCGACAATTCCAGGTTTTTCAAGTTTGGTGAACACCGCGATGCACCAACTGGCCCAACAATTCGTGTTGTTAAACTACCAGGCTAGATCAAGAAAACGAAATACGGCCTTTCGGTTTGCATAAATAGAATTTGCATGGCAGAAAGCTCAAACTCTGCGAGATTGTGACGCAAAAGGTGATAAAAAAACGCTAAAAGTCTAGACCAAAAGATACCAAGAGGAAAACAAAATTTCTCCACGAGCGGACGTCCACCCCAGCCCAGTATTCATCAAACCGGAATTAGAGATTGTGGGCGACTGCAGCCTTTTTGTCTGTGGAAAAATTTGTCAACGAGAAAGAAGACAGTATTGTCCTTCTAACTGACAACTTTTTCTTTTCCACTAAAATAAACGCCACAGGTACCCACAGTCTCAAATATTGATTTGATGAATGGTGGACTTTGGCTCAAGAAGAAATGTTGTTTTTCTTGTTTTGCTCAAACTTTTGCACTTTATCACCACCGCTGGCGTCACATTTTTGTGATTTTTCATATTTCTGCGATGCGCAGCTATTCATCCAAACCGAAAAATCGGGTTTCTTTTTTTTTTTTTTTATCTAACAAAAAATGTTTTTTTTTTCACACTCTACCAGCTCTGAAAAGGGTCACTAAACCACTTCCTGTTTACGATCATAACTCTATCTATGGGCTTTAAGCATCCTAAAAAAAAAAAAAAAAATTAGTGTAATCATGTGTGGCAGATTTTTCCATTAAAATCGGTGTCCAAAGATAGACACCAGGGTGTCTGCGATAGTTTTGAGGTAATTCATCTTGATACCAATTTTAATAGAGAAATCGGCCATCGCACGAACATAACGTTTGGTCTTTTTGGATGCTCAAAGCCCACAGATTGCATTGCGATCATAAAGCGTTGCAATCATAAACATTCCACATTAAGCGCCCATATCCAAATTTCTAAGATCTGAGAAAATGTGCACAGTACATTTATATGTAAAATTGATGACCGGACAAGCGCCCATCCCCCATTTTTTCGTGATTATTTCTATACTTTGAGTGGGCGCTTGCCCGGTATTTTACGGTGTTGCAGAAAGTGGTTTAGTGCCCCTTTACAACAGAAATCAACCTCCTTAATATTTTAATTACTATTATTATTAATGTCGTTCTGCCCGACCCACCTTGATGTACCTGGTCCCCAGAGGTCGTCCTTATTGAGTTGCGATCATAAATAGCCTTTTGCAGAAAGAAGTTTAGTGCCCCTTTAAAATAGAAATGAACCTTATTATTCTTAATGTCGTTCTACCCCACCCACCTTGATGTCTGCTCCTGAGAGATCGTCCTTAGCAGCCACGAGGTCGTCGCACTGCACGTCCCCGGCCAGGGTCATCCGGGCTGTGTGGATCTGGAAGATGCGCTTGCGGGTGCGCTCGTCCGGCAGGGGGAACTCGATCTTGCGGTCTATGCGACCCGGTCGGATCAGGGCCGGGTCCAAGGTTTCAATGCGGTTGGTGGCCATCACCACCTTCACGTCGCCCCGGGAGTCGAAGCCGTCCAGCTGGTTCAGCAGCTCCAGCATTGTGCGCTGGATCTCGCGCTCGCCCCCCGAGTTGGAGTCATACCTGCGTTCAGCGGTCACAACTGGGCGTGTCACAGTACTCAGCAATCGTAACTGGGTGACGCGGCACTTGGCAATCCTACTTGGACGACACGGTTGGCACCTGACAATACAGTCGCCGATCGATTTTTCGAACTTCACAGGGACCGAAAAAACATCCAAATAACGGAGCAGTCCAAAAAATCAGCAGATTAAAAAAAACTTGCCCTTGTCTTTTGGGCCTATTGACACTAAGGCACTACCGACAACTTAAAAGCCGTCAATAGTCCCTTGTTTCAGGTGACGCCTCTGCTTGCAGCCGGCCACTTTTTATTCGTTTGAGAATTGCCGCCTTCTTTTCTAGCGTTATGGTCGAGTATTTTGCGCGCCTCTTAGCGACATTTCACGACGGCGCAAGAACAAATGGGACCACGACGTCCAAGCCAGCGTAGTCCAAAAATATAATTTACCGAGATGAGATGAGAGGCGCAAATCCATGATGCAGAACGGCAAATGAATAAAGCAAAACGGTATCAACGATAATGATAATCATATGCTACTAGAGAAAAAAAAAGCCGTAGCATAACGTAACCCAGTGGTAAGACTTAGCAGTACTCAAGTAGCGCTACCAAACCAAGTCAGTTGATGTGCAGCTAACATAGAATCTAAAATTGTGGCTTCTCGGTGGTGCTTCCCACAGATTGCTCGTGACGATTTTGTCAGAAAAGTCTAACTTTCAGACTTTAAGCCATTCGAAATATTGGTCGTGAATATGCGCCATTTCTATCGGGAAGGTGACGGTTCCTCCTTTAGGTCTGAAATATCAAACAAGTCAGAATTATCGGTGTCTGAAAAATCGGCCGGCGACGGTATATTGAAAAGTTATGCGTTCCTGGAAAAGAGGAGATTCCAAACTTTCTTTCGAATGTAGCATCTTTCAATTGCATCCCTGAATAAAGAAGTTACAGCCTAGGAGGCAACACCTATTGATTACTCCCTTTATAATGCAAGCCTCGTAGCCAGCAGACAGTACGAATCATTCCTTACGCTAGCATTATCATTCACTGGGCAGTGCACATTGTGTCAGACCAGGATGACTTTTGTCCACGCCAAAATTTTGGCCTTAGCCTTTTATACGTCCGCAGACCACAAAACGCCCGTTTTCCGCCTTGCCGATGCATTGGGAAGCTCTTCAACTCACCGCTTGGTTCCCACAGCATCAATCTCGTCGATGAAAACAATGGATGGGGCGTGTTCTTCCGCCACGCGGAACAGTTCCCGCACCAGCTTGGGTCCGTCACCCTACGAGGAACATTGGAGCGCTTGGCAATCCTCATCTCTTTGGCAGTACCCAAAAATAGCATCAACACTTCATAGCTACCAAGAGCAAGCAATAAACTAGTCACACTCTCAGTACACATATTCATTGGACGAAGCAGGTAGCCAAAAGAAGCAAGCTGGTTAGCTATGTTTCTAAAGCTCCACCTCATCCCACCTTTTTATCCCTTAATCCTTTCCCCTGTGCAGAGTAGCCAGCTGGGACAGAAGTCCAGGCTTACCTCTCTGCCTTTCACTCATCACTTTAATAAAAAAAAATAAAGCTCCAAAAAAGAATCACCAGAGAAATTTTTGTATGCAAACCACTGTTTCGCTATAAGCCTATCTGGGGGTCTTATCCTCTAACCTAAAGAGTTAACAGACCAATTTGGAACAGCCTTGTTCAGAGAAGCAAGCAACGAGCGCATGTAAATGCCACAACATTTTGTCTCGCCTGACGGCCACTTCAATGTAAACAACATTATATAAAGATGTCGGCTTCGTTGGCAGTGCTCTCTTAGATGGGATCTAGCAAAACGAATGCACGTAATGGGTTTTCTGCACTGTTGCTTTCCCACAATGCATCTTTTCTTTGTGGAGAAGCATTCTTTCCAGAGGAACACATCCCAGCAAGGAAAACGCATCCTGATGCTGGTATTGAAAGCTCTAGAGATTGTGAGAGGGCGCTCGTGAACAATCACCTTCTAATCAGCACTTTCTAGTCTTCATCACAATCATCATGAAGATAATGCAATGGAGGTTAAGAGGGACTATCATCAAGCACCCTCTCAAGAGAAGCCAAGAAACTGAAACAAATTCATAAGAGGTGCATGGAGTGGAGGCAGCGGAATCTATAAAAATGCAGTAGCAGCCCTATGCCCACATTACTTTTCTTCAGATAGCACCCACTTCACGGCAGGCCACTTTTTCTGAGCCTACCTGGCATCCCCCGCTCTCAAACTAAACATACTGAATGTACATCGCTTTAACATAGCCAAAATTTAGGCCAACTTGTTACACGTGAAACCAAACGACGATTAAATGGTGCTAAAAAAAAAGTGAAAGCAGTTTACAACTCCCTGCAACGCCGAATTAGAGCGCAGCTCTTGAGGAGGAAGGAAGGGTACTAAGGTAAGGGGGGGGTCACGTGACCCCCCCTCCTCCCCGAGGTCACCGAAGGTACCCGAGGTCCTCGGGGGGGATGGTCACGGTTACGCCAACGGCGCCGCCGCTCAAGCCGGAAACGGGCACCGAAGAGCTGCGCTCTAAAACCGAATACTACAAAAAAGGTGCGCTCTAGGCTTTTCTTTGCCAACATCGTCTGGCGTGTCTCAGGCGTGGCTCTTCCCAATTTATTTCGTCAGAGCTATTGAATTTCTGTCACGCTAAACGGGACGCCAGTGCGCTTTGTTGTGCGTCGGCTGGTGGCCAGAAGATGGCGTGACTTGGCTCCCGGGCTTTCAAAGGGCACAGGGCTGGGACATGAGCATTCCAGTCAGCTGACTTCTTTTCGCAGCGTACTGCTAGATTACAATCTTGCTGACTCTCTCTCGCATTCTTCCGTTCCTATCCTTTTTTTTTTTTTTTTTTGTGTGTGTGTGTGCGTGTAGGGGGGGGGGGGGGTGGAAAAATTCCTCCCCCAACAACCCTTTTTCGTTTTTGGGCGGCAGCCGTCAGTAAGAAGTCCGGCAGCCGTCAGTAAGAAGTCCTCTGTTGTACTCGAGCATCGACGGACCACGGAGCGAGGTCGTTGCCCAAAATAAGGCAAGAGCTCCTACTTTCACGGAGGCCAAAATCGGACCCCCTTTTGCCTAAGGGCCGTAGTAAACACGCCCCATGCCGGAGGAATCCTTCGACCCACCAGGTACTTCTGTATGAGCTCCGAGCCGACGACCCTGAGGAAGGTGGCAGAGGTCTGGTTTGCCACGGCCTTGGCCAGCAGGGTCTTGCCCGTGCCAGGGGGTCCGTAGAGGATGACCCCCTTGGGGGGACGGATGCCCATCTCCTCGTAGTACTCCGGGTGGGTCAGCGGAAGCTCCACCGACTCCTTGATCTCCTGGATCTGCTGGTCCAGGCCCCCAATGTCCGCGTACGTCTCCTGCGGAGCCTTCTCCAGCTTCATCACCGCCACCATCGGGTCTGCGTCATCCGACAGCACCCCAACCACCGCATGGACCTGCGCAAAAACCACCATGGAGCGGGCTGTCCTTCACTGAGGAACTAACAGCTCAATATGTAGCACGACAATGGGCTCATTCAATCAACCTGCACCAGTCTATGTCGGTACAGAGAAGTGCAGAGCAGTGTACTTCTGGTATGTGCTTCAAGATAGGCTGCACTTGTAAATCCAATATGGCGGTGTGCACCACGAGGAAGTGGTGCGAGTTTAAGTAAATCAAACGAGTCAACTGTTTGCATACACGAATGATCACGAGTTTGTATAGTTTTTTCCCTCAAAACAAATCGCAGTCGTCAGAACTACGACTGTGGTGGACACTGCTCAATTGGTGTCCCAACCAAAGCAAAAACTTTTATTGCTCGTCAATCTCCTGCTTTAGTGAAATGTGGAAAAGCGCCGATACGCCATTTGTGCCAACTGTGTAACGCGGCGTGCCAGTATTACAAGCACGCTTCAACTTTGCTGCGCTTTGTCCATGTCCTTACTGCGACGGGGTTATTGCCAGGGCCCGAGGAAAAGACAGAGAGTGACGGCCATTTCGTGTGCAAGAGGGCCAGACCTTGAGCTGTTATTGATTTCGCTCTCGACTGTAGGGACGCTTGTAAAGTCCAGTGGTGCAGAACCGAAGGAACTAGAACGAGACCTGTCAGCCCGGCGAACGAGTGCTGAGCCCGTGGCCCGATAATGAGTGTCTCGGCACTTCTCACAGACGAGAAAGTGCTGTCGCAACGATTTGCGCGAGAATTCAAGCACATGCGAATGCCTCGTCCAACGGCGTCTGTCCGACGCGACCTAAAAGCAAGGCCCCAGCGTTACGTCCCCGTTACTGGGTCCTCGACCCGCACCAAGTGGCCAACATGCTGGCGTTCACTGAGAGTATGCGGCAATCGGTAAACACGTGCTTTTAAGCGCCGCTGTCTACTACCCAATGCAAGATGCGGGTGCGGCGACGCAGACACGAGCAGCACTGCACTTATCCACTATAGACAACGTTGGAAGAAAGGCGCGGGCTTCTTTGTCTAGGTGGCGCTGGTCTGCCACCCCCCTCCCCACCTTGTGATTGAGGAGGACGGAGCAGCCGGGCTCAAGCTGGTCCTTGTCTACGAAGGAGAGCATGGACACGTAGTGTTCGGAGCCGACCGAGGTGGACACGATGGCATGGTTGTCGTCGATGATCTCCTCCAGGGTGCCCACAGACATGGGCGAGCCTCGCAGGTCGTCCACCTTGGAGCGCTCCTCCTCGTGCTTCTCCTCCTGGGGCTTGAGCCGCTCCTGGTTGCGCAAGAATTCCTCCTCCATCAGCAGGTAGTCCTTGATGCGCTCCTGCTTCAGCAGCTTCAGCCGGCACCGGGTGTGCGGGGTCACTGTGGTTTCGAAAGGGGCGGTGTGTACAGGGGGGCAAGGTGATCAAAACGTGCTCCTTCGTGCGTTGGAGGGAGAGGTGCAAAAAGGTACCTTTGACTCTGCAGTGATGCAAAGTTTATTTTTGTTGGGATGTCCCGAGCACTAAAATGGACACGCGCATTGTGATATCATCCCGCCGATTCATTTTTGCTCGAAATGTCCCTACGCTTTTTTAATGTAATCACATAGTTTTTACTTATCTTTCTTTGTTTCGCTTAATCTTTTGCTTCCCAGCTTTCTGTTTAGGCAACAATTCCTGTACTAGGCTGCGAGGGCGAGCTGTTTTCTGAAGGATGCATCTCGGATGCTGAAACTCTAGATCAGCAGGAGCAAGAGCCGAGGATAAAGACACAAACTCGGGATGCTCGGCTTAAAAAAAAAAATATCACCATTAAAAGACAAGTATCGGTGTTGTAATAGAAATCGTCAGGAAGACAAGAACTGTCAAATAACCGACTGCTTTTTTAGAGACATGTTGAGCTTAGCTAATTCCTGAGTGAATTGAGCAACAGGAACGATAGTCTACTTGCTCTCTTGTTCCATTAAAAGTGTGAGCACGTTGAAGGGGCGGTGTCATTTTAATTATTCTTATCACATCAGGTGTGTCTCATATACAAATCAGACATAGTCTTATAAACAAATCAAACATAGTCTTATAAACAAATCAAACATAAAAATTGCACTGGCAAAACTGAGTTTCCAAAAACTACACAGCACAAGGGTGTCTTCTCTTCCCAATCTTGACCCCCCCCCCCCCCCCCCCCATCCAACTTTGGCCCCCGGCCTTCCCAGTGACGGTTATCTGGCCCCCATGTTTAAATGAGTTTGAGACCACTGCTTTATGTATAGACTCTCAAACTGTGTTGTTAGAAAAACCCCAGAGTACCTTGGTAAGTACCACCAAGCTTGCAAATTTTCTTGAACGTCCCCAAGTGTTCTTAAGTGCTATTTCGGCAAATCTGAGCCAATCACCAATACTCAGCTAAGAGTCAAACATCAATTCTTGTTTATGAAGCGTGCAGGCTTGCGCACAGCTTTATTGGATTGATTCTGAGACTGGGCTGCCATTCAAGGCGGATGGGGGTTTTTTGACGTTGAAAAGTTTGTAAAGCCCTGCTCCACAGTATGTCAAGTAACAAGGCAAACAAGCTGGTAACATAGCCTCAAGGTGGACGCTGAAGGCTGGGGGAACAAACTAAAATTATGAAAAAACCAAAACATTATAACCGAATACAGCATAACTTTACTGTACAGTAAAAATATGCATCTCACAAAAGAGAAGCTACAGGAGTAAGCTTCGTCATGTTGGTACTAAGGAACTGATATGGTCCAAATGCCGACGCAGCAAAGACTTTCGCGAGCGTTGCGGGGCAATGTGATTTTTCGCTCTAGAACGCCGCCATGTGAGAACACTCAGGAGTGTCCGATTCAAACTCACCCAGAGGTAACTTGCTGGCGGCCTCCGGTCCCCTGGTGCGCTTCTTCCGCTTTCCCACGCGGCTCGGGATTGGCGGCTCATACTTGCGCTTCTTGTCCTGTGAGCGAAGCCAGGCGTTAACTTGTGGGCGATCCTAACTCCGACTGTCCCACATGTCCTTTCAACTTGCTCGCTATCCTACTGCTAATTTGAAAGAACAACGGCAGTACAACGATGGTAGCAGGGGCGGATGCAGGAATTTTCTGAGGGGGGGGGTCAGGTGTTGGTCAGCGTACAATATGTTCAGAAACCCCCTCTCCTTCGTTTTACGCCCTAAATTTTACACATGCAGAAATCAAGAGGGGGGTCAGGACATCCGGACCCCCCCTCTAAATTTGCCCCTGGATGGTAATACAACAAAGACGGCGCTCACATCCTTCGGCAAAGTACGGGTCTCAAATCACGAACACAAACGGCAATGATGAACTGGGCCATGGCAAACACAATCAAGCCCTAACACCCTGGCACTGGTCAAGTGGTGTCAAATGATACAAGTATGACAACGACAAAGAACTGTAAGCATGTTTCTGAAACTAAAACTTTGTTGTGTTAGGCATTCGGCAAGAGTCGCGTTTAGACACACAGACCTATCATTTAAAGCTTATCAAGCTAAAAAAAGCAACAACAAAAAAAGAAAACATGCAAAAAAGACATGCAAATTTAATACCAATAAAAAAAGCAAGAAAAAAACCAACAACAATGGCAAAGTATGCTTTACGGCGTGCTTAGTTTGGTTGGGACATCTCCCAGCTTCCGCAGTATTTTCATAAACATACAAGAACATTAAAATCACTTGCCTTGTCGTCTTTCTTGTCCCCTCCGCTGCCACCACCGGGACCCCCTCCTTGAGACTGATTTTGGCCCTAGGTGAGGAATTAATAACAATAAGGACCATAAAAATAGCAACATACATTCAATTTTGCCACACAATGGTAGTCTCGTGCTTGTGTGAGAAGAGGCAGTCGATGTGAAGGAACCGAGTTAGCAGACATTATACTCGGCAAGTAACATACATTTATTTTGACCCGACTAAACGTAAATAACAAAATGATACACACAAGTTTGAAGCTGCTCAACAACAAGCACGAAAATCTCTCTAAAATACACCATCTATTATCTGTCTTTACAAGCGCAAAGAGAGTTTCAGAGTGGCAGTCAATGTCTCGTCAAGATGTCAAATGAGTCGTCCGTTTCGAAGAATTCCGGTGGCATTCAGGTCCTTTTGCAACTTCACATATTAACCTGCAAGTGCCAGTTAACATTTACTGCACTCACAAACAAGCAAGAAAGTCTAGTCTTGGTTGCTCGTCTCTGTTACTTGGCCAAAGCACAAGTGAAAATGGCTGACTCACTATGCGGCATTGCTGTCTGTAGCAGAATCTCACGATTTAAAGTGCTTACACGTCCTCTTCCGTAAAACAAAAATCGTTTAGCCTTTCCACTTTCGTGAAGGAAGACCAGCAGAGCTGTACTCGATACACTGTTTGCTTCTTCTTCGTCGTCTATTTTTCGCGCTGCTTCCTATGATGAATTCCCACCAACTCGCCCAACTATCCATTCTTCTAGTATAGCTGGAAAGGTTGCCGCCATCTACGAGCGACGGCGGAAACCGTACTGGTTATGCGCTTGCCGCCATCGCTTATAGGTGGCAATAGCTGTCCAGGTAGGTTTGTGTCGACATACACGGACACAATCCTGGGGAACCTAGCCCTTAACAGCTCCGCTGTAATAAACCTTTAGTCTTCCAAGTTTCGTCTCAATGGATAGGTTGCTACCACTAATAAAATTTGAGATCTTTTTGGCGTGCGCATGTGCAATTTAGGTCGTTTATCCTAGCTGCACAACTTCCATGCCTTTTTGATGCTGCTAACAAACATGATCCACACTCGCGCGCGCGCACACACATACACAATATATCAAGTTTTATTAGTAGTAGTAACGTAACCATTGAGACGAAACTTTGCGGTCCTGTAAGCCAGGGTTAAACGTCCCGGAATACGGAGTATTATTATTATTATTATTATTATTATTATTATTATTATCATACATAAAAGAAAATAACACAAGAAAAAATATACGAACCATCTCTGAATCACTGGTCGTGTGTCAAAAGACCACCTAACAAGCGAGTGCATGACTATCATTAAAAAAGGAACCATAATGTCAGCCCCATCACAACTTCTGTAGCAAACATGTGAGGCATTGTGTTCAACGTGTGAAATTACTGAGCTTAGTAGTTCCATCTACAGAAACCAAAAATATGTACTAATGATTCTAAAAAGAGGAAACTGTGAACTTAAAAGCCGGGAGGCCAAAAAGTGACTAGGCACAGGCAAGTTTCTGGCTCGCTTTGGGAACGTGTTAGACGTGCTGAAACGTCCTCGTCATTCGTTATTAACACAGTAAATTTCTCCGGTCCAGGAAGAAACGCAGCTGACGGCACGGATCAATTCATTTGTTTTATATAATAATTAAAGTTGGAAAGTTTGCAGTCAGGATGACTTACCATTATTCCCGTGGATTTGATGATGCCGACGATGTCGATACCCGATGTGCTGGCTCGTCTACAGAGTACATACAGTACATTTCGCACATAACATTTTAGTGACGCAAGCTTTAAAGATGTAGGTTAAATACTCAATATTACATAAATACAAGTAGTTATACTGAAGCTGCAAGATTTTTATGCAAATTAAATTAAAATGAGGACATAATCTCCAGATATACATACGAGTTCCAAGATGGCAGCCACCAAACAATCACAGTTGGAGCTTTTCGACTTTCGTCGCACTAGTCTATAACATTACAAACAATGTACTTCATCTGACGCTGGCCAGGTGACGCAAGCTATAGCCTGTTACAACAGGTACAGTCACCATCATCTATCCACCGAGAAACTTCAAATTAATCTTCGGCCGCCGGACAGAGACCGCTTCGCTCGTCTCTCGGTGTCTCGGTCCCGGCGAAACGCCAGGAGCGGTTTCGACACCGCCGTAACAGCCAACATCGGTCATGGCGACCCAGACCAAGGCCCAATTTCCGTAAGTAAACGCATTTCCGAATTCAAAAACGAAACTATTTCCGCACTCGCGCTAAGTTGCCGCAAAAGGCCCCGCAAAGACGTCCCGGGGTTGAACCGCACATCCCAGCTGTCGGTGCCGCGGATCCACGTTAGTCAGCTGGATTCTGTCAGTGCCCGCTCGTTCTGTATGCGTTGAGACATTAGAGATGTGTCTGCATCCTGTTTGATTGAAGGGAGCATCGGGAGCCTTCGTCGTCAATTTCCGTATCAATGGAGGGTTTTACAACGAAGATCCGCCGATAACCATGTCTCAAGGCCGTAGCAAATGGTCCAGATTGGAGATAGTGGATCTTTCCCCACTCGTGACCGTTTTTCCTGATGACTCTCTGTCTGACGATAACAGCAAACATTTGGGTGGTTTCAAAAATATAACCTTTGGCCCACGATTTTTTTTTTCTTTTTTTTTTTTTTTTTTCTGAAAAGCGTTAATTGAAAAAAAAAAAAAAAGAAACAAATAAAGGTTTTGCTCCAGATAAGCGAGGTGTTCGCCCTTCCAAGGTCAAATCACGTCCGCAAATGACCTTTGCGGTTCGGAAGAAAATAAAAGTCGTGAAACCACGCTACATGTGAGATGAAAAGTGCGAAGACAGCATTACCTTGTGGATTTCTCAGCGGTGACATCATGACATATACACAATGTTTGCTTGTATTTCAGCTGTTTCTTGCATGCATAAACAAAAAAAAAAAAAAAGTAATAAATGACGGGCTCCAGCGTTTATAATGCAACATTATAGCATAAGTCTTCAGAAAATCCCGAACAGCTAGAGCAATCATTCCATTAAATCACAATTTTTTGACAGCACTTTTTATTTGGTTTTGCCTCCCTTTTTTTAAAATTTTATTGCTAGTTGATAGGAGAGGGGACATATGGTTGTTCAAACTTGTTTGAACAAGCATATTTAAGTTTGAAACTTCGAACATGGGGTCCTAAGGTCCTTCTTTCTCTTTTCCTCCTCAAGTCAAAAATAAAATGGGAAATCACACGGTAGTCATGTGCTGGGGCCCAGGTACGATGACTCCAAGCTTAATCCACCATAGAACTTGTCATTCACAAGCAATGATAAGTGCCATAATGTCCGAGCGACACAGTGCTCTTGTCCAATGCGTGAGCTGGGACACGAGCACTGTGTCACAGTAAAAAGGCGGAGAGCTTTTGAAGGAAAGGAGGCACAAATAGTCCGCTATGCCCTCGAATTTTCGTACCGAAAAGCATGCTTTTGATTTTATACCCTCTTTCTTTTGCCTTACTAGATGATATGGGGTTAGTAGGATTCCAATCTAAAATTATTTATCCCAGCCCAAAATTTATTTCATGGTCCCTTCATTTGCTTGTGGTGCGACAGCCCAAGTGTTCTATGGCACCCGACCAGTAATTTGACAAATAACGAACCCTAATTGCAGTCGTATTCAAAGGTATACCTTCCACATTGCTCTAAATGTAAAGTATACAGACTTTATTTCACACTAAAGTGTATTATCGATTACACATTTGAACAGTAAATTGAAACCCTTTTCATAACTTTGCAATGAAAGAAATGAGTGATCAAAGATTTTCAGTGCAGCAGGTGTTTCCCTCTTTCACCAATTTCAGCTTGGTGCCCAAGGTGGTGAATGGTGGCATAGCGGGGATAATTGGTGTCACCTGCGTCTTTCCCATTGACCTGGTGAAGACACGACTTCAGAACCAGCAGACGGGACCCAATGGAGAACGCATGTACCGCTCTATGTAAGCTTTTAAAGGCCACTTTTACTTAAAGGGCAACTCCGCTCAATTCAAAGATTTTGGGATAATTAGTGATTTCGCATGAAAAAGCCCTAGTAAAAGACACTACGTCACTTGCTTTGCAAAAAAGGGGATATATATTTTTTAATCTAATTTTAAACGCGTCAGAAACCGAAACTCTGGCTCTGTTTGGTGACATTGACCTCGGGCTGCCAAGAACATAGCTATCGTTCGGTACGAGATGTCATTTGATCCTCTACGCAACGATGGGTGGGATTGAGGCTGGCGAGGGCCAGGCACAACTGTCGTCTGCACCACATTCTTCACTGCATTTTGGTGTCTACGACTTTCGGCGACGTCTGCACAACTGTGGCGTAAGTGCACACGTAGTGTAGATGAAACTCGGAGAGACAATAATCACAAACAGTGAGACTACGGCGATTGTGACTCGAGGGACGGAGGTAACAGCGGGACCACGGCGGTGCGGTCAGACGGCTCCTAAGAAGTGTGCTGCGCAGGTGCATACGCCAATCACGTGGACACTGCTAAGCGCCTAAAGGCAACGTTGCTGACGTCACCTGTTAAACGCTCGCCCGGAGAAGTATAAACAAGCAAAAGGGGGCAACGGGGATGACGTTTAGCTCAATGTTGGCTACGCCCACGCTGTAGCCTTAACTGCGCTGTTGGTTGCGCCTCAATTCGCCCGCTTGAGTCGGCCGATTTCGGCAACTTGGTGAGTTACAAAGTTTGCCGAACCGTTTAAGAAACATTTAAACATAACTATAGGTTGTAATATTTGATCTGTGGTCTTCATAGGTAATACTGAACAAGACTGCATTTTTTTTTTCATATATAAAAATGAAGCAAAGTTGCCTTTCAATCATATTCTAAATTTTTTTTTAATGTCGGTACATTTGTAGTTTGAACAAAGGCAAAGAGAGAAAAAAAGAGAACTCTTTCTTCAGTATTGAGAAGAGATTTTTGTGTGCCAAAATAAAACCTCGCCTATGTCAGCGGTTCGTAAACCAGATATCGAGCCAAACTTAAAAAGAAAAGAGTAATCTAATTTTATAAAAAATTATTTAGATGCAGTAATTGCCTAAGACAGCATTGACAAGTATACACTGCGAGGAACAGTTTGCATAATGCACCGTTGACCTCCAAAGCTTCTGCTCCTTCAATATGCGCGCACTCATTAAAAAATAAACGAGGCTGTCGAGCGTGTCAAATCATGCGTCTGCTAAAGTCTTGACGCACACTTCCAGGCTCGACTGCTTTCGCAAGTCATATGCCGCTGAAGGGTTCTTCGGCATGTACAGGGGTGAGTCATACTTTCTGGCACAAAACTTGCACCCGATCTAAGGACCCCTAAGTTGGGCTCATATCTGTGGCCAATCTCGAGACCCTTATGTTGAAAGCCAATTTATTCCCAACCTAGGGCCCTAGGTTGGGCGACATTTTATGCCCAATCTATAGGGACCCCTAGGTTGGGCGCCAATGTATGCCCAATCTAGGGACCCCTAGGTTGGGCGCCAATTTACGCCCAATCTAGGGACCTTTAGGTTTGGCACCAATTTATGCCCTGTCTAAGAACCCCTAGGTTGGATGCCAGCTTTATGTCTAATCTTGGTGCTGTTAAAAAACACTAAACCTAGGAGAAAAATTTTTTTTTTCTAACCTGATTACGACAGGAATGTCTCAAAATAAATGTTTGTAAAAAAAGAAAAAAAAAAACCTTTTTGCCCAATATTTATGCCACAATACAAATTTTTCGATTTGCGGGTAAGACCTTAACTGTACCCCTGTGAGGGGGTGATAGTGTTTGTACCCAACTATAGTCAGATGTAACTTGAGAAAGACTGGACGAGAGGGAAAAAAGTGTGCACAAGAAAAGGTGTCATGGAAAGCAGGTTGCTCCTCTTCACTTCAGCTTTCCTAATTTCCACCCTTCTCCCCCTCACCCCGTCTTTCTTTTGTTGTATCTATTTTCAACTCCACCCCGCTGCTCGCCCTCTCGTGGACGAACGAAGAGTTAGAGGAGCGGGGACGGCGGCGGAGACGTTGCAGGGACTGTCCGCCTTGGTGCCGTTATTCTGGCCGGCGTGTTCGTGCATCAGGCAGTTTTTGTTTATTTATTTATTGATACTGTTGGCCTGTGGCTGTTGCAGGGGTAGGCTTTCGAGAAGTGTACACGAAAAAACCGAGCGCACTAAGATAGGAATTTTTGTGGTTCGCTTCGCAACAGCGTTGCACGAAGGACCGCGGATGTCTCAGTTCAAGGGACTTTTCGTAGATCGCGTATGCTGCGGATTTTGGGTCTTGCGGTCACCAGCAGAATCTGTGCTCAACGTGACAGCAAAAAAATCCCTCAAGTAGTACAAAGCTATTGCGTATGATTTACCAGAAAAGTATATTTTTTCCAGAAAGAGGGAACTGCTCGCGCAACGGTTTATCGAGCAGTAGACATTGGGAATGGGTTCAACTTTTATGCGCTTAAAGGCCGTGACAAGGAACGCGACACTTTGCTCCAGGCTAGAAGACCGACTATGCGTACCTGCTTTCAGTGAATTAAAGAGGAAAATAAAGAAATACTCGCAGCATTTTTAAGTGTGTGTGTGGGTTGATCGTGAGGTGTGCTTTGAACGGGCAGTTTTAGCGAGGCGGGTCGTGTCGATGCGAATGATGGTACAGAGGCGGAGAAAACTGTATAGTTGAATATTTATTCTGACAGAGCAATAAATAAAACCCCTAAACACGCTGATGATGTTATTATGCAGTTCTTGCACATTGTTACCGAGGCATGGCAATGCTATTGCGCGCACTGGAAATCATGCTTCAAAGGTGCAGCGCAAACTTCTAGTTGCAATGCCTCACCTTACGGTATCTTGCGGTTACGCTATGTTAAAACTGGCTATTAGTAACCATGCTGCAGAATGATCATGTGTTGCAATGCACTAAACCCGCGGTGGTGTGATGAGCTGCGAGCTTCTGACAGAGATTCTGTGGATGCTGTTCTATACCAGCTTGACGGTCACCCTACGTGGCCCAGATTTTGGAGCACTGGTAGCCAGGCATATCGCAAACACTGCAATATTTTCACTGCCCACAAAACTATTTTACCACACACAATGACGTGACAGGTGCTCAAAACGCGCTCGCCCTCTACAAAACCTCACAAGTTTTCTGAAGTTTCCGCAACTTCTAAAAAATGTGCCATTTTTCTAACGCTTATCAACCTCTCCGTCACCTGGTATACGCTCCTGCCCTACCCGTCCAGAATTTGAAACCAAATAAATTAATTTCAGCACACTGACCAGCATGAGCGAGCAGGCGCATGGGAAATCTATCTCCATCTCTCCTGCCATCTTGTAACTATTGCCTTGCCATCTATAGGGCATTGGAGCTGCGAATAGTGTGTTCTCTGAGGTCCAGCGAACTCGCTGTGCACACAAATTGGGTAAAAACGCTATCATCATTATGCCACACGGGTACAGTTGCGGTTTCGCCTGCAAATCGAAAAATTCGCATTGTAACATAATATTAGGCCAAAAAAAAAAAAAATTTTTTTCCGACAAACTTTGCTTTTAGGTTTCAATGTCCTAACGAGGTGAAAGAATTTTTTTTTTCTCTAGGTTTAGTGTTTTTTTAATGCCGCCAGAGTACTCTTGATAATTGCCAATTCTTTTTTGTGTATAGGCTCTGCAGTTAACATCCTGCTCATCACACCAGAAAAAGCCATCAAGTTAGCTGCCAACGATTGGTTCCGCCATGGTCTTTCATCATCTGCCGGGTGAGCTCATCTCTTGACCTTGAGTTGACCGATCATGCTTTTCACTAAGTGTCGGCACCGCACGGGGGATGTTTGCTAATCTAAACCAATGTAATGTGATGTCCTTTTACTGTCAGGTGCCACTTCAAAGACTTTATTGGTAAGGACTACAGTGATACTGTACTAAAGATATCTACACCGCTTGCTTATGTACAATTGACAATATTTTCTTTTTGTGTGTATAAACCATCTGGCTTGCTGTAAAATTATACGGTGTGGCTTTAAGTTGTCGCCATTATTGTCTGTCGTATACGGCGGTATAACTTGGAATTTACTGCATATCTGCAGATAGTTTATAACACCGTATGACAAAATTCAGCAACAGCCTTTATCAATATGGTCAAATATTTGCATGTAACAACTTTGCCCATAATCACAATTCCCTTCCCTAACAAAAAAAAGAGTAGTAAAACAGGTCATATTTGTAGTTATTCATTAAGAAATATCACTTTGTCAAACCAATAGCCACATGTACAAGAAAAACAGCACTCTGTGACCTCTTTTCTTATGGCCAATTCATACCTAAACCTTTTTCTGCATCTAGTTGCACCAATTGCATTTGACAACCATTTTGTCATGCGTCTCAGTGTATGTCCAAGCTTACAGGTATTTGGATTGGACAATACTTGCAGGAAGCTGAGTCTAACCCAAGAAATGCTGGCTGGAGGGGGCGCCGGCTTCTGCCAGATCATAGTCACCACTCCCATGGAACTTCTCAAAATCCAACTTCAAGATGCTGGTCGAACAGGTAGGTACATTTCTATAAGGCTTCATTGCAAATTTCCAGTTCAGATATCTAACGAATAGTTTGCGAAGAAAATTGAACAAATGTTGTTACTGGAAGCTGGGCTTAAATAATGGCTGCAATGTAAATTTTGAAAGGTATGTGTGTCCTCTAATGTCTGAAAATGAGAAGACACGTCGGTTTTGGGGGAAAAGTGTCTTTGGCTCATTTAAGACTGACCAGTAAAGCCTTCATTGGTGTCATACTGCAAGATATATAGGTGTGGACTCCGCACGCATGGCAGGTGACAGAAAAAAATCTCTCCTCGCCTAGATTGCAAGAGGCACCACCAGATGACTGATCTGCACCTGATGGCAGCCTGTCAAGGGCCCAGTTTCTCATGCTACTCTATGGGAGACTTCATGCCCGAGTATCGATCGGAAAAACCCTGTACCGAGTATCGGTCGGAAAAACCCTGTTGAGTGAACTCCAAGGGCATTTGGTAGATCTAGGGCTCGTGTAAGGATGATGTGGGTCAGGCCAAGGAAACTGAAGACACGGTGTTTGCTGCAGGCATGACAAAATCCTCTGCGGACACGCTTCAGACACGTTCTAAGCACGTCTGCTTCCTACATGTGCATGCTTCGGACGTGTTCATACAGCCTTTGTACGATGTATTAGCACGTAAACCCGGTTTTAGAAAGTTGCAGCTCGGGTCTTCCGTTGTGCAGGGGCGGACAAGCGGCTCTCAGCCCGCGCGGTGGCCACGCAGCTGATCCGCGAGCGAGGCCTGGTGGGGCTCTACCGGGGCACGGGGGCCACGATGCTGCGGGACGTAACCTTTTCGGTGATCTACTTCCCGCTCTTCGCCCACCTCAACTCCCTGGGGCCCCGGCGGGGGGACGGCACGTCCGTCTTCTGGGCCTCCTTCCTGGCCGGCTGCGGGGCCGGCTCTGCGGCCGCCTTCTGCGTCAACCCCTGCGACGTGGTCAAGACGCGCCTGCAGCTGCTCAGTAGAGCCCCCGGGGAGGTCTCCTACAAGGGCATCCCCGATGCCTTCTAGTGAGTGGGCAGACGGCCACGGGGTCTGGAGCCATAGCCTCCTTTATTCTCGAAAACCTGTCAGTTCCACAACGAAGCCATTAAGCACCTGGCTGCCGGGAAAAGGCAAGGCCTTTCCTCGGGGCCGTGTGCTCAATGCCACCTATGAGCTGAACGATTACCGATATGATAGTGCAGAGCCATTTCTGGGCAGACCCCTCGGCTAGCGCCAAAAATATGCATTGCGACCTCTCCGTGAAACAGCAACAAACCGCAACGAAGAAAAAATTAGAAGAGGCTACCAGTGCATGGAGAAACGGGAGAGGGGCAGAATAGTGGAGGTTCAACACAAAATCTTCTCTTGCCCGAGAGACCCCATGCACGCACCTTCTTCCCCGATCTCCTTTCCTCTTTACACACATTCTTTAGAGATTTGACAGAGTGTACAACATGGGCATACCAACGGGGGGAGGGGGGTGCAAGGGGAGCACTTGCACGTTCAGCTCTCAGAGTGGGGGTATGGTTTGCCCTGCCACTCAAAAACAAGTTGGTACGCCACTGCTCTAGAATAAAGGATGCTGTGCTGGCACACACCTTGCACTGGAACCAAAATGAACAGAGTTGAGTTTCCTGTACAACTAGCATAATTCGAACCTGAGACATGAAAAGATGGTAGGCACGTGTCCTTTTTGGGCGTCGACTCTATTGCTTCCCTTGTCTAGGGTTTTAATTGAATGCATGTTGTCAGCCCACCTGCACACTAAAGACTGGTTCATGCACTTGTGTTTGCTTACTACTGAGTTCTTGCTGGCGCCACCTATGAGCTAATGCGGGAACTGTATTTCACTAAAGCAAAGGGTTTTGCAGTATTCGCGAGATTGAATGTGTGTACTATCTATGAGAAATGATTGTGTATTCCAGTGTCAAAACTTTGTGTGAACGAGCCTTTAAAAAAAAAACCACTAACACCTAAAAAAAAAGTGAAAAAAATTTTTTTTTGTTAGGCACTTTAATGTTGTGTGCAGACACTACCCATTCAATATTTGCTGCAGGGTCACATATCTTTTTTATTAAATCGAAAAAGCTTAACTGCTCTGAATCCGGAACATGAGCACGGAGACTCGTGGTTGGCTAGTGGACCGAAAAGGAGGGGGAATATGGTAGAAGAGAAAGTTGGCGGAAGTCATGGTGCTGTCGCAAAAACATCGACTTGGCGCTGAGATGTGTCTTGAATCCTAATTCCTCTGATTGCTAAAAAATTTCTCTTTAATGGCCAGTACCGCAAATGGCAGTTCCGATGTAGCGGTAACAAGTCCATTGTGTGCTGCCATCGCGTCGTCCGCTTCAGCGGCTCCAGCCCGCGATAAGTTGCCGTGTTGAAAATGACGTACTACAGTAAAACCTTGTTATAACAAAATGGGATATAACAAACTAATGGATATAACAAAGCAATCATAATTCCCCTTGCTTGCTAATAGTGGAGAGATTGACATTGGCTATAACAAACTAATGGTTATAACGAAATAATTACGACCGCTCCTTCAACTTTGTTACAACGAGGTTTTACTGTACATGTTTGTCCGGTGATCTGTGCAACTTTTTTTCTCAATCAACATATTTGCAGCTTCTTGGAAGTCACAAAAAATGGGTCTCATAGTCTTTTCTCGTTTTAATAATGAATATATTTGGTACTCTAGCTGGGACGGCGGGTGACCATAAAAGGGAGAGTGAGCGTGCCTCAACTCGGCCGATATTCAACAAAAAATTTTCGGGTATCTTTTGGCCGATAATTGGCAACAATTTTCGGGCATAAATAACAATTTTGAGTCTTTTTGAGCTAAAAATTGGTGTCTCCATGGTGCTGTCAGAACGGAGTTGACATTTAGACCAGTGGTTCCCAAATAGGGGACCGCGGACCCCAGGGGGTCCGCGAAGCCACTTCTGGGGTCTGCCAGACCGTCAACAAAAATTACTTTTTTTTTTTTAGTTGGCACGTTTTTTCTAGTTTGAAGCCCGAGTGTGCCTTCATTATGGTCAGTGATGAACTGACCATAATGAAGTGATGTGGCACTTTTGTTTTGTTTTTCTGCTACGTAGCAATAAAAGGCACCTGTTTCATGCTCCAGATGTGTTAACTTACTAACGTCCCCTCACTCCCCCCCCCCCCCGCTGGAAGGGGTCCCCCATCACTGCCAGCGGTCCGCAAGGGGTCCCCGACACATCCATGGCTGGGAACCACTGATTTAGACAATGAAATAGGTGTTAGAATTTTTCTGCAATATCCCTTTAAGGCTTGTTACAAACTCTTTATGACGAGAGAAAACACTGATGCGCTAAAAACATAATTTCCTTTTTTTTTTCTAGCAATATCTTTTTTTTTTTTTTGGTTGTTATAAATTAGTGGTTTTAAACCAGTGGTTTTCAAATGGGGGTCTGCAGACCCTTAGGAGTCCCAGAAGGCCTTCTTGGGGTCTCCGAAGCACTCGACTGCTAGTCAAGCCTAGCAATAAAATTTTTTTTTAATTTTTTTTTATGCTGGCTGTTTTACAAAGTTAAATAGACCAAACCATGTGCACCAAGTTGATAGGGCTGATGATTCTGTTTTAGAGCTTGAAAGTAGTGTGTGGGTCTTAATCTATTTTCTTTCTTTCATGACCCTTTTTGGGAAGGGGTCCCCGAAACGTGCGTGGCTGAGAACCACTGTTATAAACTATCACTTCTCATAGATAGGGCATACATTCAATACCCCAAATACTACAATATATTCGCTCTGGTGAAATTCAGTTCCAATGTCACCTCGTAGATTGTGCCATCATGCCAGTCTGTTCTCTCGTCGTAGGAGATCCCAGCAACCCGGTCGTAAGCAGATGCATATGTGTAGACAGGCCTTACTGTGTCTTCGACTAAAGCGAAAATAAACGAAGTTGAGCTGCCCTTTTACAACAAACATAATTAAAATCTTAAAAACGAGAAGCAAAACATGAGACGCGTAAAACCAAGAATATAGAAATGTAGACAGTATGTCTGTGCAGCGGCAGTCCCAGACATTGGTTCTAAGAGGAGATGGGGAATTCTAGATAATGGTTCAGGGTGGGGGAGGGGGGGGGGGGGCGATAACAGTAAATCAGGCGGCGGGTGCAACCCCGAAAGAAATTCGCGGTGGACAGTGCCCAGGAGATTATGCCGAGGCCGTCGCCGCCATGTCATATGGTGCCGCCTAAACCAAAAAGACCTCAAAGCGATGGCTAACATATTCTGTTCTAAAGACAGATGACAGAACTTTGAAGTAATCCGTGAGGTGTGGCTGGTGTACATAATTAAAGTCAACTGGCCACTTCCAACAAACTAGAGTACTCCCGCATTCTTCAAACAAATGTAAAAAAAAAAGGGCTAAAAGGTTTTGTGTGGTGCAACCACCCCCTTCATTTCTCCCCCACACCCACTTAGGACTGCCACTACCCTTTATCCTTTTAGGCATCACCTTTTTTTTTTGCCTTTTTTGCCTTAAGTTTTAAGTTTTAATTGAATGCATGTCGTCAGCTCACCTGCACACTCATACTCTTCGTACGGATATCTTGCACCACTTATCTTTTCCCAAACTCTATCGTCAACATTCGGCAATCAAAAAGCTCTTGTCATCGTTTTCAGCCGTATCCTGAGGGAAGAGGGGATCCGTGCCTTCTTCAAGGGAGCGGGCTGCCGAGTCATCGTCATCGCGCCGCTGTTTGGCATTGCGCAGACAGTCTACTTCCTGGGCGTGGCCGAATTTCTGCTTGGAATGGACAGGTGAGTGCGCACCCTCAAGAGCCTTATCGGGTCGAGCTCACTCGCTTGGTTAGATTCTGCAAAAACACAGCCGGTAGCCGTCATAGGAAAATGAAAGCTGGCAACCAGTCGGACAATGTCAATGCGCCACTGCACAGCGGATGGATCATTCTCCATTTTCTTAAACCACCTGAAACTAGGTGGATTGAAACGTTGCCTTCCGTCATCCTGTTCCTTCCTCTTCCGCTTTGGATTCTTCTCATAAACCACCCAGTCTGAGATGGTCAAAAAGAGAGCTGTCAAAGCCGTCTTGTCTTGAACTTTCAACCCAGTATCTCGTTTATTATATCTAGAAATTGCTTCCTGACACTGGAGGGGACAGTGCACCAGCTGACCCCTTGTCGCTTACTCATTTGGCTACTCATGGTTGAGTGAGAGAACCACACGTATGTGACTTGGTTTGCATGAAGGACTTGTCCCGACAGTCGTTTTGTCCAACTCTCATCCCTTATTTAATTTTTCCGTCCTTTCAGGGCCAAGACTGCCTGAGCTGGACTCAAAACAATGGCGGCACACCCTGAACGAAAAACGCGGCACACTCTCTCTCACAAACAAGCGACGGCACTTTCATCATCTGCCCGAAAAACGCTCTCGCTACGTGGAAGGGACGATGGCGTTTTATTTTTATTTTTTTTTAAAAAATGCTTTAGGGTCCTATTGCCCACCTTTCTCTGCCCCCTAAGTTGCCTTTAGTTAACCCAACTAGAATTTTGTTTTTGCTAGTCTCGGTAGCTTTTTTGCGACGATGACAGACCCTCTACAACTGTGCACGCCTGGAGTGATGACACAATTCCCTCGGTATATAGTTTCGTATTTTTTGGTTTTGATTCCAACGACCGTCACATCAGCCTTTGCTGGATGCCTGAACCTGGTGCTTTCACTGGACGAAGAAGAGGCTAATCTTGTATGCCGTTTACTCTGTAAATGTTTCAAAGCGCTGTTTCATTTGTCTCCATGTGGTGGAAAGACAGATAATAAATGTTTTTTCCGTTATGTTTCACTACAAGCTTGCATACCAATGTCTCGTTTTCGTATATATCCCTTCCACAGGCAGTAACACACTGTGATCGAGCCCATCATAGTTGCCACCGACACTAAAAGCTATGTGTACTCCGTTCACCCTAAAGCTGACTGTACGGTGGCAGCTACGTGCCCGCTGGGTTAATCGACCACCTGCCCTTTACCTGATCCCACTCTCTTCCCATGAATCTGGGCAGGAGCATTATGTGGCAAAAGACAGCCTTACAACTGGTCTAACAAGCATGTGGCTTCAACTGCTGTGTTAGGGGCAAACGAAGTATAACCACAACACAAAGCATTGTGCTCAGATAGGCTCACGTATCGGTAGCTTTTGCCTGCTCTGTAGACTGTTTGAATCAATTTTAAAATCTTATCCCGTTGCAGATGGAATTTTCGTGTCGTTTTACATGCAAGTGGCTGTCCGAGTGGCACAAAAATTCGTCGGATTTAAATGCGAAATGGGTGTCTGATCATCTGATGTCTCCGCTGTAGAAAAGAAATTTAGCCAGTTGCAGCAAGATGAGCTCCTCCGCTCTTACCGCTTTAGCAGACCGAATGCTGGAAAAAGGTGATCTCTCTCTCCTCTAGAAAGGAGGCTGTTGAAGCCAGGATCCGTGGCTGTGGATGTGTAAGAATACACTGGACACAATTCACTATGATCCGTGCACAACTTTTGCCGGACGGAAGTGTAGGTTTTCTCTCCGCTTCCGGTCTGCTTGCGAACTATTTTTACCAGGAAAGCGACTGCCCACTTGCATCCTTGGAACATATGCTCATGACGTACACCCCCATATGTCACGGACACTACCAAATAACTGTTATATGTATAAGTATAGACAGTCAGAAGTTAGTCTGCCTCAACGGGCCACTTTTCTTGCTGCTGTAGATGAGAAATTTAGCCGGTGCTGTACAACCGCTAGCCTGAGTTTGTCCAGATCGAACAGGCAGGGGTGGGGATCAAACCCAGGATACTGCAGAGGAAGCTTTCGCTCCATGCACTCCGAGCTGCACACACTCGGCCACCAATCCCCCGGGACACAGCCACTCGCACAGTCTGCTGGCTGTTAGTCAAGACCTTCGCTACTGGTATTCGTCAGTCATGCGCACAGGGTTGCCTGTGCGCATGCATAGTGGTCGCAACATTACTTGATCAACTCGATTGGCCAACTCCCATGGAGAGTGTGATCTTTTCTCATACCCCTTAGCCAAGCTAACGCTGTTTGAAGCACCAACCTTCTTGCTGCGGCGCGCCTTGCAACAGCAGTTCAAAACATGGTCGCAGCGGCCAAAAAGAATGACGCTTCCAACAGCATTTCTGAATCTAGCGGTTATCAGCGGAAACTAACGTGTCTCAGCGCATATCTTAGGGGGGATCACGCTCTCAGTGGTAGTTTGCCAACTGAGTTGATTGAGTAACGTTGTTGGTGCATGCACAGGATGGACCTTGATTGGCAGTCTACAGTAGCAGTCGGCTAATAACGGTGGAGAACCGTTATTAGTTTTTATTCCAATACACCGCAATTCTGTTCCGCCTTTGTATACAGCAGTGAGAGACAGAGGTCCAAAGAATTGCTATGGCATTTAAAACAAGGTTCACTGGAAGACTGCCGACAGAGCTGTAACACAAACATGGTCTACCTACGCCCATGGATCTCCAAAGTAGTTCATGGGCTGAGGATTGAAGACTCCTCAGACTGGCTCGTACTTTGATGTTTGGCCAAATATGAAGCGAAGTCACCGGTCTTCAACCAATAGGGCAGCCCTATTTTGTCTAGTGGGTTCGCTGCGTTTCCATAGGAGTTAAGCAGGGGGATCGGTGGCCAAGTGGGCTAGTGCTCACCAGCTTGGAGCACGTGGAGCCAAAGCTCGCGTTGCTGAACCCAGAGATCCTGGGTTCAATCCCCACCCCTGCCCGTTTCGATCTGGGTGAGCATCGTACCGGCTTGCGGTCGTGTATCACTGCTGCTGCACTCGCAAAAGTTCTCATCTACAGCTGGGAGACAAGTCGCCCGTTGAGGCAGACTAAGTTCTAGGCTGTTTAAACTAACACCATAGCCTCCTGTACACTGACGAAGTTTGGCCAATCACCACGAGACGCGGCCGCCGAAAGTGAAAAGGTATAGAGCGGCAGAAAACGAATGAGAGGAGAGGCATGCAACGGGTGCCCTGCTGCGGGTGTCCTGAGCGATAGAATGTCCGCTCGTGCTCTTCAGATTCTTCGCGCTACCCCTTTTCTCGTCGGGTTTGAAAACCGTGTTTCGGGTCCTCACTGCTGCAAAAGCTGTGCGCTGACTACAGGCTCCCCGAGAATTGCTCTGTGCTACCAGATCCTTGCGCTCTAAATCTGCGACCGGGCACTCTATGGCTCAGTCGTCAAACTGCCAGGCTTTGTGAGTATAGAGGAGGCTGTGCATACACACATCCCAATTTTTTTTTTTTTAAGGAATTAAGCCTTTTTTTTGTTTTTACTTTTTCCTCGGGTAAGTTAGCTCTTTGCAAATTTGATAGAAAAAATGCACCCCCTGTGGAGAATGCAGCACAAACTCGTAGCGCATTAGACCCATTGCTCTCGGGCAGGGGGCACGAGTGCATCCGCAAGACGCAACTATTTTATGCAGGCAGCACCATCGAGGCGGCGCTGTAACATTCGATTTTGCCTGTGCCACGTTCAAATGCAAGCATCTGTCAGCATCTTTAGACGTGCGGTAACAAAATGTTCAAAAAAAGAAAAACTAAAATAAAAAAAAAAGAATTATGCAGCTCGCGGCCTCACGTCCCATTAAACATTCCTTCCAGGTTTATTTTATTGCTTTCTTTCATAGCTTCCGTGAGCCCGTATGTTTCACTTTACGTGAAAGCGAAGCTGAAGCAATTTGCAAAAGCACGTCGTCCTGAACGATGCTCGCACTGCACGAGTGCACATACTTGGAAGGGACACTGAAAGTTTAGAGCTCGCTCATGTAGCCTCGGCTACGCTGGCACGTCTATAATTGAACGGAGTAGAGAAAAACTGTAGTGGGGAAGCGTTATGACGCACGTTCGAAGCACGAGCCAAATATTCTATTTTGCTCGCCTGGAGCGCTGCTCGAAACTTGAGAGCTACGGGCCTATAGGTTAAAGGGGCCCTGCAAGCACTTTTTAACTGGTTTTTAGTTTGCACCGAACCTGAGCGCACTGAACGTAGTAACTTAATGAAAATTTTCTTTTCTCGAATTTCGCTTTATTTTAAAAGTTATAGGCAAATTAAAATTGCAAAAACAAGCAAAAAATAACCTTCTTCATGACGTCCTTGGTTGTTTGAGTGGCCGTGAACTAGAGGAGGGGTAGTGAGCTCGGCGAGCGCTCACAGCTGCCGCACTCCGTGTCGACGGTGCGAGAGGGCGCCACTAAAGCATGTTCTGGATAGGCTGTATGCAGCGGGCAGCCAGAGTGGCTCTCGTTGCATTTGCTGAGCGACTAAACACTAATACTTCATTGGCTACAAACGACAGCAAACACAAGGTAAAGATCAGTTCAGAATGGGTTCCGCTTCGGGCTGACATATCGCGAAACGGCCAAACCGCAAGACAAAGCTGATCGCCAAAGGCCTTCAGAACGCTCGGAGCCGGTTGGATCCTCCAGTCCATATGACTGCAGCGCCGCCGCGTACATCCGGGACGTTTCCGTGTCGGTGCCTGATCCCACTACTCCTTTCTATGCGCCGCCTTTTCCACCGCTTGATGGCGGGTATGTTGACGGGTCATTTCTTGTTTCCGTACTTTAAGAACTGCATTTGTTTCTTTTCTTATATAAAATAGTCAACAAAGGCTACTCTTATAAACTATTGAAACGGTTTGCACCCCTTATATTTTGTATTTCGACTAAAAGTTTTTAGTGACTCTAACCAATAGGAAGCCCAGGACCAAAGACGTCAATATCATGCGCATTCGGTACAGCAGGTTGCCCCTGTCGGTGGAGGAGGTTTCCGCGTCGTCCGGTTAAAATATGATGCACTGATATTTAGTTACCCTCTCCGTGCCCACTGATATGATGCACTGATATTTAGTTACCCTCTCCGTGCCCACTGGCTTGCCCGAACCCCAAGAGACGTGGAAACCGCAAAAAAGTAGACTCTTAAATATGATAGCAGGGCCCCTTTATGAAACAGATTTCTGTGGTCGATTTAAAGAGCCTGGCCGCTATTTGAAACACCCTGTAGGAACGCATAAGGCCATTGTGCTGTTTACGAGCAAGCCCACACAAGGTGTGGGCAAACCTTAACCTACTCTGGGCCAAATGCACAGTTCCCACACGAGGTATGGGCACTGCGCGTGCGCAAGAACCAGATTCGCCTGAAGTGAAGCGTCTGCGCATGCGCCCTGCCAACAGCAGCGCCGCAGCAGCGACGTGACGTTTCTAATTTTTAGTAGCTTTTAAAAGGTTACTTGGAAGAAGTCTAGACCTTTAAATAATTTATATTTACAATATTTACACACTACTTAATATTGTACATCAAAACTCAAACACTTCATCTCCTGCGTAATAAACGTAATAAAACAAACAAACACATTTGATTGCAATCTCGCAACACTGGTTAACATCCAAGATGGCGGAGTACGGGGCTCATCTGACGGGTCACATCGCCCAAAAACCATCAATTTTCGAAGTCCTCGCCCAGGAAAACCTCGCAAAAGCGCTGCGGAACGCAGCCAGCCACCTCTTGTCCTACTTCACCTCGACGGGCGACGGCCGAAAGTGCTGTTTCGTGCGCGCTCACATCGACGAGCTGGTGACGGTGTCTGACGTAGCCATCCAACTGTACCACCTGCGTCGCTACGGCGGCTCCTTTTCGGAACACTTTTACGGCCTCCACCGCATCGGCCCTGACGGCTCCCTACAACGGAAACACCTCCTCCGCTCCCTCGCAGTCCTTGTGCTGCTCCCGTACGCCCGCAACAAACTAGACGCCGCGTTTTCCAAACCGCAAACCCAAACCGAGGGCTGGCGACTGAACCTCCACCGTGCCTACGGGGTGTTCGGTCTCGTCTGGGAAGCACTTTCCCTGAGTTTCGCGCTGCTCTACGCCGTCGGCAAGTCGCCCGTACACTCGCCTTCGTTAACCCTATCCTCCGTTCGACTCGCGGTAGCGCCGCCCGTCGAGAACGCCGTGAGCGGTGGCAACGTCGCCGCGAGAGCCATGCGCGGTGTCGCGGACGCCGCGTCAGCGACGCTCGCCACGGCCGCGTTTCTGCTGCATTTCTTGGACTGGTGGAACGCGCAGCGGCGAGGGAGCTTAATACCCGCGCCGCCGGTGCCCCCGCCTCCCCCTAGTCGTAGGAAGGTGCTGGGGCAGCCAGACCTGTGCCCGCTTTGCCACGAACACGTGAGTCGTCGTGCCGCCGTGATCCCCGCGAGCGGATACGTGTTTTGTCACGACTGCATTCTGGAACATCTCTTCCGTAGTCCGCGGTGTCCCGTGACCGGGTACCCTGCGTCCGTCGAGAATCTCGTGCCTATACTTGGACAGTGAGTGCCACTACGGTTCCTGGAAGGCAACTTCAACCGGTGTCCTTTTTTAGCATCCTACATCGACCATGCATCGAAAATTGCCCCTAAGTGGTAAAAAGTGACGTCACACAAGCCGGCCTGTCGTGTTGTTGGATGTCGCGATCCTGGCGGCGAAAAATACGAGCGAATGTATGTCGGTGTCGTCACTGCAACCGATACCACCAGGATTGCAGGCAGCGACAACGTGACACTTCTGCGACGTGAGCGGGCGCAAAATCAATGAAAAAGGGTGCGTTCCAGACACCCTGGTGTCACCGTGCAATTCACACCGAGGAAAATGCTTCTTGTAAATCTGCAGCTACAATGTTTACTTTCTTGCTTCAATAGCGGACCGCATACCTTGCTTTCGGATTAAAAACAAAGGGAGGGACAAAAACCCCATCATGTTTGCGACTGTCCGTCCTTTTTGGTTCATTGACATTGCCACTGTAGTCGCCAACAGAATGAGAACAGCAGAGAGGAAATTCAGTTGTCCCGCTTCCAGTGCTAGCATACTAGCTTAAGTACCACTTCAGCACCCCGCAAGGTTCGAGCGTGCACATGCAGATAAAGCATGGTGGAAGGCAATGGGCGCACGCCGGAAGCCAGTCATCCGAAAGAGACGCCTCGCCGTTCTCGATCTGTTGGTGATACAGTAAAACCTCGTTATAACAAAATGGGATATAACAAAATAATGGATATAACAAAGCAATCATAATCCCCCTTGCTTGAATAGTTGGAAGAAATGGACATTGGCTATAACAAACTAATGGTTATAACGAAATAATCATGACCGCTCCTTCAACTTCTTTATAACGAGGTTTTACTGTAATAGCAGATATTTTGCAACTATGTTGTTGGCAACAACAGCCAAGAACCCGACGATGTTACTCAGTCGAGCCTGCAATCCTTTTGCATAGTCGTGTCTTGTTAATTTGGGCCCCATATAGGTAGCATTTTCAGGTACGAACAGGGTAATTATGTCCATTTTTTATGTCCACCCCACCACTGGAAATGACGTCCATTGTCTCGATAGGATGTAGGGCGCAGTGTGTCCGTTGTCGATATTGCCAACTGCTTGAAAAAGACTGCTTGCCACTGCGGTGCTCTCGGGATTTGATCGTGGATCCGCTGCTTGTGAAGTGGGCGTGTTACTACAGGACTATGCCACAGCTTTGACTGCCCGTTTGACGTACGGCATTTCTGGAGCACATGGTTCTTACGTGTCCCGTGCGATGCCCGACTGGTGGCCACAATTGGTGTGACGTCGCGATAGAAAACTATTTGGAAGTCTTAATTTCAGGAGGCTCATTAATTCAAACTCCAGCAAGCCATGAATTTTGTTTAAATTATCAGAAGTTTAAATAATCAAATCCAGTGATGGAAGTAGCATTTCACCTTTTGTGGCAGGTTCTGTAGCAGGCAAAATATTGGATTGGAGCAGCCACCGACGCTTTTGGAGCGGATACCAACATCTGTTAGCCCATCACTTGAAAATTAAAAAGTGATTGCATCGCTAAGTGAGTTTATATTTAATGATTGAGGGTTCCTCCTCGATACTTCCACATATTACCTTTTTGTTAAAAGAATAGATGGGGCACAAGAAGAACACAGCCTTCTTTTAGAAATAAGGCTCTGGTCAGGGTGGCTTCAGTCCATAATGGGTACTAAAAATGGTTGAAAAATGACTCTGTGCAACATTTCAGTTTGAAATGTTGCACAAAAACCACCATATCCGCCGACAGGTCTATCAATAAAATTGCGTCTTCCAAGTTTTATGAACCCCAAACTCGAGACTAATATTATAAACTGCAAAAACCACCATTTAAAAATACCATGAAAACATACAACTTTTACTTTAAAAGTGACGCTGCTCTTCAGCGGTGTTAGAATCAGAGTTGAGTCAAAGTTTGCTGCTCTTTCTATGGACAGTTGCACAAACAAGTTTGACTACCCTATTTATTTAAATATAACTCTGTGCAGCCTTTTAAAATTATAGATCAACCTACAATCAAGACCAAAGAAGGTAGACCTGCATAGTTTTTGAGCCTGTAACCCAGACGCCCACCGATGTCCGCCTCCGCTTCTAGCACTTTTAGCTCATGACATTATATGAAAATTTAGACCATCTTGGTGATCAACCCGCTAGCGCATCAACTGGCCAGCGCGGTTGACGAGCAATCACTATGCTTCGTTTTATCTTTATTATAAGCGCTGCCCAATCTAAGAGCCAATGGAACCAACCAAACAGCGTCTGTGCGACATCAAGACATTGTCGATCTTCCCGTATGTGTTCTTTCATCAACTAAAAGTGCAGTGAATGTCCCGTGACTTGCGCCTTAGTGTGTGTTCGTTCTGGCATATGTTCCACGTTTTTGACTGTTCCGACCTAAATGAAACAAACTATATGGTGAGTAGAGACGCTGTGAAATACATATTTGTACCATTTTGCTTTCCGCTTACTTCTCTGAATATTAATGTCAATCAATAGTAAAACAAAATTTATTTTGCTTTGCTTAAGCCTATCTCGGCACAGGCATGGCGCAAATCTTAGCAAAAATGGCACAATTGGCACAAGATACAGCAGATTTTCATTCGTGGCGCAATCTGGCGCAAATGGCACAGCACTTCCATCACTGGAAATTAATCTAAATATGAGACAAGATATAATTATAGTTTGTTATATGAATGGCTACACATACAAAACAGATATTTGATGATTTCCTATATACAGGCCAACTAATCATAAGCATGTATGGTACACACAGTACATTGGAAAGATTTATGAGACAAGTTCATTCATCCTCAAAAAAACGTTGCCTATCATCGATTGTTTAGCTTTTTGATGCTCAGTATTGCTCAGGAGCAGCAACTCAAAAATGACTTCATTTCTCCTATGCCATGTGCACCTCGATAAATTTAGCGCTCTTTGTTGCAAGGGTAAGAATAGCTACGCTTAGCAGTGAAGAATCGAATTGCATCTTCAGAACAGATTGCTTGTCCTTAAAAACCAAAGCTGACGGGGGATGTGACGTATGATGGCATTAACCACTGACCTCGCAACCCCAAGAAAAACAGACACAGATATTGCAAATCCAGTTGCAAGTCTCTCTACTGTGCGAAATGCAAAGTACACCTGTGCCTACTCCCACGTTGTAAATGCTTTCAGTCATTGGTTGTAAAATAATGCTGCAAATGCCTAATGTTGCTCACAATCAACATTTCAAAAACATAATTACGAAAAAAGGTAATTTTTTTCCGAGACTTGATTTATTTTTTGTGTTGTAAAACCACATCAGGATTTCTAGGACTCCCGTATTTCAAGTAAAGTTTTGGGCATCAAAGGGTTAGGCAGCACGCAGCACCTCAAAACAAAATTAAGTTTGTTCATCCAGCAAAGAAGTTGTCTAAAGGCCCGTTCACACTCTTGCGACCTCTTAAACCTGGGTTCCTTAAAACTTCTTAAACCAGAGAACACACTGGCGCCATCTATTGGGAAGCCGTGTAAACTCGGCGGTCCGGCATATTTTTTTTTATTTCTCGCGCATTATCCTTTCTTTCTTGGCTCGAAAAACTTTTGTCGATGTTATAAACGAGCCTTTCTATGAATAGTATGCACATTTGACCTCGGAAATCCCGCAAAACCTTCGCTCTTGTGAAATGCAGTTCCAGGGTCACCGCATAGATGGCACCACAATGCCAGTGTGTTCCCTCATTCTAAAAACATTTAAGAAATTTTAAGAAATCTCGTCTCTCTCAGTCGTACTCGGTCGCAAGAGTGTGAACGGGCCTTTATTGTGGACTACTGGCCCCGTTAAGTGCACTTCTTACCAAGTACCGGTGCACCGCGGAGAAGCAACACCCGCGGAAGCGAGCTCCGGAGGTGTTGCTTCTCCGCAGTGCAGCGGTGCTCGGTAAGAAGCGCGCACAACAGGGCTGCGATATCAAAAAGTGTGAATTACACGAAAATGCCGTTTGAGTTAAACGACTCATATATGCACTAAAAACATAGCGCGACAACTAAAATTTTGAAATTTGTTTTGAATTAACCAGAAGTATGAAACATCATTATCACGAGCCTACTGTAATCCCAAATTTAATCGGAGGTAATTGTTAATATTAATAGCTTTGGATAGGTGGCGCAACCTGTCGCCCAATTACATGAATCCAGCCGTATCCGTCCAATACCACTAGAAGACGAGGCCTGCGCATTACATCATTGTTCGTGAATCCTGCGCAAAGCGGCAGACGTGTGCGTCTTGCCGTTGTCGCATGCTGGCGTCGCGCAAGCGGTGACGGTGAAGCGTTTTGCCGTTCGTCACAGGGAGAGCAGCGGGGTGCTTGCTCGTGAGGAGACTTCACCTTCAATACCCCACGGTGCGTGAACGCAGCATTGATGCCCAACGACTTCGCTGCAACATGCTGCAGCCGACACGTCACGGACTAACACGGGACTGTATTGCAGATCGACACAGGACTGCTCATTTTTTTTTCTCTCATTATTACAAAGAACTTGCATTATGAATGCTTCTTTTGGGGAATGGAGGCGTCTATATTAATGAGACATCATTGTATAACATATATAAAGAAAACAATTGAAAATATTTACAAGTTTATTTTGCATTTTGGGCAACAATATGAAACAGCGGCCACACGAAAAAAGATTTTTTCACCTGTGGTGTTCTTAATGGGTTACATGGCAGAAAACAGTTTATGCTAAACCTTTATAGGTCATGATGGCCTCTCGGTGCTCCTTTCCCAGTTCAGCACTTTTTGCACGGCCTCCTGCACAAACATTCAGCAATTCAGCACCATGTACGCTCGAGGAGACAACAGCTATAGCGCCATACTTGACGCTGTTGCGGTGGTTACGTACGTGATGCTTGTTGTGCTGCAGCAGAGACAGAAGACGAATCGCCAGAGGAGTGTCAGCTTTGCTCCTCACGAAACTTGCGACACCATGCGTAGCCATCTCGAACAGCATCGGTGTTTTGTCGGGGGTGAGCTTGCCTGCGGCGTTTCAGAGGCGTAACATCCGGTTTAGAAAAAGTACTCCTTATGACATCTTAAACAATTTTAAGACAAACTGACAGACGCATGCTAAAAGAAAGGATAGACATTGTCGTTTTCAGGGAATGTGATGGTGAAACCGAACACTGCGTGCCTTTTCTTTTTTAAAGGTAGTCGGAAATGAGGCTCATTCTACTACACTACGAATTCACAAGTAGAGTTCACAAATAAAAAGTCTCGTAAGCAATATAATAAAAACAAAAGGTTAGTAGGTTACCTGTCTTTCATGAGAATTAAACGTGTCTCGATCATGTCTGATAAATTTGAAGATGGGCAGAATATGTTGCCAATGAGTGGGTACATGCAGTGTGTACAGGCCTGATGTCAAGGTCATACAAGCAATACAGCCCCAAGGTGTGTGTGCTAATCGAGTGTAAGGTGTTGCTTTTCTCATGAAACTCGGCTCTATAATACATTTGGTGTTAAAAGCACAAAATCCTGAACTACACACTTCATATGGCAAGGCGGGTCAGTAACATTGTCGGCATTCATTATCAACCGTGATTTGCAGGCGGAAAGGAAAAAGTTGTGTTACACTAGGCTCTGCCAGCGCCCTAGTTTGGATCACGGCCCCACCTTATGGAGTAGTTGTAAACTCAAAACCTCTAAACACACATTCAGAACACAGAAAACTATGAACGCAGGAACCCTCCGAAATCTCAATGGCTTGCAACAGGTGCAAACTGAACTTAGCAAGAGGCAACTGCTTTCATTCTATTCGCCTTCTTTTTCAACGACCTAAAAGAGTACAGATGACGTTTAGTGTGGCAGTGCCCTCAAAGAGGTACCACACGCCAAGAGGGCATCTTACCCGACAGCAGGTGGCTCGCATAAGCCTCCAGGACCACGGGGTCCTCTTCCGCAGGTTCCAGGAACCGCCCAAGAGGTACCACCGACTGAAATTAATATTTAAAACGCTGGCCTCACTTTCAATCCACACCCGTAAAGAGAGCATGTAAACCAAACACAATCTGGTTAATTTCTCTAGCGGAGACTACGAACCGTCCCAGTGGAGACGTCTTAGCTCGCCTGCCTCGCAATCTCTTTGGCTAACGTGGAAGACTGCGTTTAAGGTAAAACGAGACGCACCGTCCCGTTACACTGTGGTACCCGGAAAGCATCTCTGACCGCTGCGTTCATAGCGTCCTCACTTGTGACTCCTCGATTTCAGCCCGGCGACGCCCCACTCGTGTCATACTGTCATCAGTCTCGGTGGTGGCACAACAGCATGCGGCAGACGCCTGTTTCGCCGCAGTCCAATCTGCAGCCATCCGGCCGACAGACACCGAAGCAGACGCGAAATGGGACGCCGTGACGACGACACTTGCTCACCTTTTTCACCGGCATTCCTACCACCAACCGGTATACTCCATTTCACCTTACGATGGACCGCGGCGGACACAATGAGCCACCCAGCCAATCCAGCGCAGCGAACGTGTCGCGCGACTACGTGTCCCGTGCGTCGCACCGCAGAGGTTATGCGATAATCGCGCAGCGTTGGCTTCGCTAGCTCCTAGTGCCCCCTGCAGTTATGGCGACGTGAAACGAAGTTAGGATAGCGACATCTAACAGCACGACACTCCGGCCGCCATGAAGTCATTTGTTGCCCCTTCGGGACTACTTTTGAAGCGTGAGTGACAAGGGTGCTAATGGCACCTGTCAGAGATGCCTTCCAGGCAGCTTAATTACACTGCGGCTCAACTAGCGACAGCCAATCAAACATTTCATTGGCAGCGGCGTTGCGATGAGACGAGGACAAAAGAGGGGGAGACGCGTGGAAGGACAAACAAGGGCACTGGCTGGCAACTCCTGCATTTCTTCTACCTCTCTGCAAGAAGCAATACCGTGATACAAAGAAAATAAAAAATGATTGTGAAATCCACGCATTTCAGAGTGACCCTTTCGCCAAGTAGTCTTTGTTAGGTGGATTAGAAGGGGTGCCGACACATCTATCATCGAGCCGTGCAATAGTTTCAGCCTCAATAATCTCTCGTATCAGCGGGTCGCCACTCCACACTGTTGCGGAGCACAAATCTTTGATGCCAAAAAAATCAGTAAAAAAATGACCGCATCTTTACGTGGTGAATGATGTCGATTGGGGCGAAGCTCTGGTGGTGCTGATAATACCGATTTTGTTCACAAATAGTGCTGATGGTGCTGATTTTTAAAAATTTTTATTGCTCATAGTAGTGCTGAGTTCCGAGCTGCATTTCGACTTCATTAGCCAATGCATGCAAAGTTTAACGCGATTATATACACATTTGACCGCAGCGCCCTCTCCTGTATAGACGTTGAGCACTTACTCGTCCCGCAGTCGTGGCCGAGTGATTAAGGCGATGGACTAGAAATCCATTGGGGTCTCCCCGCGCAGGTTCGAATCCTGTCGACTGCGCAAACATTTTTTATTTTTTTAAGAAGACAGATGGGATGGCAATCGATGTGAGCACGGACGCTGGACAAGGCTAGACCGTAAGGAGTTTTGCCCCTAAAAATATTTTTTTTTTTTTGGAAACGGTGATTTTGAAATTTACAGCTATGTACTTTTCTTATAAGCCAAGTTTCTCATTATGCAGAGCAATAATTGAGCCACAATATTAATTTATAATATCTGTGCAGACTGAATCAGTGTTGAAATCGAGGCTAAATTGGCACTTTCTCAAGATACAAATTTTGGACTCTTTGCAAATGAGCAGGAGGGATATCTCGGCATTTAGGGCAATATAAGTGTGGGGAAGCTTTTCAGGAAATCTATGAATTTATTACTTGGCAGTCACACAACAAACACTGACCTTCAATGTGCTGTGAAATCACTAATAGTCCAATCTCAAACGTACTTCCAACATTGCATTGCTTATATTTCTTATTATTTAGCCATGTGTTAAACAAAAATTTTCGTTGAGCACTTTTTATTTATTAATTTTTAAACGAAGGCAAGGGAGCTCCAATTACCTGAAGCGTTAGAACGCGGAATGCCAACATCTTGCTCTCGCATTTGACAAGTGCAGCGGAGACAAAGGCAGCGGAGACAAAGATAGCGGGTAGACCCAAAGCTAGCTTTGGGTCTACCCGCTATCCCGGCGTTCCGAAGTCCCCGCATGCTCTCGTCTCCTCCTCTCCCTCAGTTTTTGGGCGCATAGACGGCCTGCTCGACTGGCAAGCCTGCCTGCCTGCCACTGACGTCACGAACACTGAAAAGCGCAGGTATATTTGAGTATTGGTTTCGGCATGATCTTCCTTTGCTGACTTCACAATAACTGTTCCGAATTTCGCAATACCAAACACAGCACACCAGAAAGGGTACAGGCCGGAGACTCAGAAAAAACAGCATGTTGGGATAGACCAAGAGATCGCCGGAGTAGCCGTTTAACGAACTCGACCGAGACCACCTGCCTGGGAGGGCAGCAGACGTATCAGGGGCAGGGCCTCAGGGTGCTCCGCAAAGAGCAGCCTCCGGAAGTGGGAGTCGCACTCTGCCTGCAGGGGCACCAGCAGCCAGCAGGCAAACACGGCGTCTCCGTACGACTCCCCAGCAAACTGCTCCAGGAGCCGGGGAAAGCTGGGCAAACGTGCAAGTCACGGAGTTAATACGGTAATTAGACAAAAAGGTCCCATGCGTTACGGCTGCTTCGGAATGGCAGGGCGTCTAATCGCGTTGGGCCCACATTGCTGGCGACGCCTTAAAGGGATACTGAACCAAAGAATTTAGTACCCATAATAAGTGGCGCACGTTCTTTCCACGAGCCAGCAGCCGCCGGTGTGCGCGAGCACACGCAACAAAAATGACGTCACAGACCTCCATTCGCGGTTGAGATGACAGTGAAATGCATGGGCTTCGGACTATAGGAGAATAAAGACAGGCTTTTCATCTCTACAAGTGAAAGCTACGTGCTTGTTAGACCAATTCATCGCATACCTCTTACACCAGACACCGCTGTGTAGATGCAAAACTTCTCTTTATTCTCCTTTGGTCCGAAGCCCATACATTTCACTGTCATCTCAACCGCGAATGGAGGTCTGTGACGTCATTTTTGTTGCGTGTTCTCGCGCACACCGGTGGCTGCTGGCTCGTGGAAAGAACGTGCGCCACTTATTATGGACACTAAATTCCTTGGTTCAGTATCCCTTTAACGTACGCAAAGAAGCGGGAAAACATCACCAGTAAGGTTTGTACCTATAGTGCTCGTTGGCACCTCGAAAAAAAAAAGCAAGTTTTGTGCCTTCTTCATATGCCGCACGAAGTAGTTCTTAGAAGATTGGAGAAAGAAGCTACGCTTATGGCGTTTGAAATGTGTACGTCTCGATAAGATAACACGTATTTAGTCTAAAATGCACTTGCATATACCTTCGTTCTCGACTTAAAAAAAAAAGTGAAAGCCGTTTACAACTCCCTGTAACACCGAATTAGAGCGCAGCTCTTGAGGAGGAGGAGGGAATGGTTCCTGGGGGGGGGGGGGTGAAGTGACCTGGGGGGTCACGTGACTTTGGGGGGTCACGTGACCTTGGGGGTCACGTGACGATGTTGATGATGTCATCAGTGACGTCACTGATGACATCATCAGTGACGATGACGATGCGGACTCCGATGACGTCATCAGCGATGATGACGATGACGATGCGGATGTCAGTGACGTCATCAGTGATGATGACGATGCGGATGCCGGTGAGGTTATCAGTGACGTCACTGATGACGTCATCAGTGATGATGACGATGACGATGCGGATGCCGGTGACGTCATCAGTGACGATGACGTCATCGGGGAGGTCTTGTGAGCTCGGGGGGGGGGGGGGGGGGGGGGGGGGCACGTGACCCTAGGGGAGGGGTCACGTGACCTCTGGGGGTCACATGACCTTGGGGTGACCTTGGTTACGCCGACGCCGCTCAAGCCGGGTACAGGCCCCTAAGAGCTGCGCTCTTTAAAGAAAAATCGGTAATGTCCACGAGGAGCCACACCTTTTTTACTATGGTTCTTGAAGTGAAAACGAGTACCGTAAAATCCCGTAAGGATGCCCTACCCCCTGAGATCGCCCATCTTGTTTTCCTGGCTAAATATCCGCGACATAAAAATTCAGAAACATTTCCCAGCCTCCAATTCCCATTGGGCACCACGCAATATCCGACGGCAGTCGCATCAACCGCGCAATCTGCAGTACCGCTATGTGTGAGCAAGTTCGCAGCAGGTTCCCGTGTCTTTGTTTGCGATCTGTGTGGGAAATATGGGTCCCCGTGACATACGAGTTCTTAGTGAGTTCCCACTTTTTTTTTTTCGTCTGCAATCTGTGCGTGCCATATCAGTCCCCACGGCACGCACATTTTGCAAATTTCCGCATGTTTGTTGCACCTTGAAAGACGAATTAACTACGTCCGCAGTCTGCAGTATCCTTTTCCGTCACGCAGGAGTTCATGGTGAATTCCCACGTGCTTACCGCATTGTGAAATGCTAATTTGCTGTGTCCACAATCTGCAGTACGAGTTCCCGTGTCACGTGGTTTGTAGTGGGTGCCCCTTGTGTTTATCATCAATTTTGATCAAGTTTTGTTGGCTCATCCCCAAAGATATCCCACCTCATGTTTTTTGCCATTTATTTTTTCATTTTGGGTGGGCGCCCTAACAAAATTTTACAGTATAGCTCTTTTCCAACTTACTTTGCATTAAACCGGCATCTTGGTATTAAAATAAGTAAAGTTGGCAAGCGCTCTAACAACTTCATCTTGTCAAGGGAAAATGAACGCACCTAACCTATCGTCTGCTTCATTTCTCCATTCTTCCATCGCTCTCTTTCTTGCCCTTTCTGTCGGGGCCACCGATGTCAGCGCCTACGATTCGCCGCATTCTGTTTCCGTCTTTACACTCCTGAAGCAAGCGGATATGGGACCATTATTAAACCCTTTAGCGCCAGGTTCCTTTTTCCCACAGGGAAAAAACAAAAATTTTGGTCTCGGTGACACTAAAACTTCTGGAGGCGATGAGTACGAGCCCTCACAAGTCGGAAAAGGGGAGGAGGCCAGGCCAGCTGCGTAGGTCCAGGTCCTTCTGCGTGGCGCAGAGTAACCTGCGCCGACGAAGGAGGCGGAGCACCAGCAGAAGCAGTCCTTGCACCTCAGCGTCCAGGAACACGTCTGGACCTGCAGCGATTCCACCGGTAATATGGTCACTCCCGGCCTTAGACATACGGGGCATGGCACATTACGTTTACATTTCGAGCGTGCTGGTTTATTCTTCGGCATTATAATTGACTTATGCTGCAATCTCATTGGCTGCTAAACGATAAGATGTTCAGAACCCGTCACGTTGTGCATATTTTAAAATTCCCAGCGACTACAGGACCACTGCTCAATCTTCCGAGAGTGATGCGCACGACGGTGATCGGTTGATACGACGAAATCGCAACTCTTCGGTAGACCTTCCACATTTTTTGCGCTGTTCCTGGGCAACCTAAAGAGACTGTGAAATGGATGCTAGCACAAGAGAATGGGATGATCCCTAAATGCGTTTATTTAATGCATTTTGAAACGGTGCAGCAAGGTGCACGCTGCGTCGTAAGTTGAGAGAGTCTGGAGACTCCGGTAACAGCCGTTCTCTGTGAACGAAACCCGACGCGTGCGAGTAAGGCCACGGGACATTGGCGGTCGGACTTCATACGAAAGTTCTTTACGCATAGTCGCGGCATATAGTCTGGTGCGCCACTGGATATTAGCTATATTGGGGACTACTAAATGGATGTTCCACCACTGAGAAATAGTCCTCTCCTTTTTGGTCAAGGGGCGGGAATGTCCACCCCTTCACTAAACAATGTAGTCATTTATATTTGACTAGAAGATATTAAATGTCGTGCAACGTTATTGCGCGAGATCGCAGTATCGAGCGACGTCCCGTGCCATGAGGCACCCTGGGGATGCGCAAATGAAGAAATATCTGGGGCCGTGTTCCAAATTTCACCCAAATGGATCCGAGTTACTCCTGCGGGTCGTGTCACATGACAACACAGACAGAAAAACGCTGGACATGGGTAGGTTTCTGAACGCCAAAGTACAAAACCCTTACTTTGGAGTAAGATTGAGTAAATTTTGGAACACAGCCTGGGAGTAGGGGCAGCCGTCATAAAGCATTTCATTCTTTAAAAAAAAAGGACGAATCGATGGAGAAATCTCTGGGAGTAGGGGCTTTCGTTATCAAGCACTCTTTAAAAAAAAAAGCTACGACAGCCTGCTTCTGGGTTATTGGGTTGCAGAACGACAAGGCACGAGCCCGATGCGTCGGCTAGGACTCCGCCGTTGCTGATCGCGTACTGCAGCCGCCATGCTACCAGTCGCCCCCGCCGAAGCCACTCACCCGCGAGGAACACGGATGCCAGCCGGCAGTAGTGCACCAGTGGAGGCACCGTGGCGAGGACTTGCGGCCTCTGGCGAAGTAAAAACGCCACCCAGCGCAGACAGCCGAGCACCCCGTGCAGGCTGCAGGCGCTGCAGCGGACGCAAACATTCCGGTCAGCAGTTTGCGTAGAAAAACAACGCTGATCGAACATCATCAGCATCGTCGCTTAGCGAACATCGAGTACGGTGCGGGAAACGCCGTCCCCGACTGGTGCGTTTATCGCGTCCCAAAAAATGGCGCCTTGATTTCTGCTCGACGACATCAAAAAGTGCCACGCCGTCGCCGGCCACGATCCCGGTGGTGGATGTTGCAGATGTCCATTCTGCTGCAGGTCGCTGTCCAGCTTGACAGTCCACAAAAGCTTTGGTAGCCGAGAGTTGAGACGACGTGACGGCGGCGACACTCGCGTTTGCTCGAGCTTTTCGCCGGAACTTCTACGACCAACGACCAGGATCACGACATCTGACGGCGCAACACTGCGGCTTTTCCCACGTCATCTGTTGCCACTTCGAGACCACATTCAATGTACGGCCGGGATAGGAGGGTAAACACACCAACCGAAGAAGGGTTCCAGGCACCGCACCTTGGGGGTCCGTACGGACATTACGCGAGGAGTGAGGAGTTGCGGGACACCAACAAATAAAAGTTTAGGAATCTGGCACACGCGAAAACAGCAGGCACGGCAAAGCGGTGCCAAACTTTTTTCGACGGCTCTCTGTTCAAAGCGGAGGCGGGTGAGATTGCCACAAGCTGTACGAGAGGCAAAAACGACACCTTTGGATACAAAATGTACAGAGATCTGGTAAAATGGCATCATTAGAAAACAAACTTCTTGGAAACTAAAACTTCGCTAAAAGACTGCGGCGGCAGACATTTCACGAAGGAACTTAATTAGCTTCTTTGAGGTATTTCGTTAGAAGACTTAGAAACCCGACACTTCACTGCAAAACCTAGCTTTTTAGTGGCATTTTGCCAAAGCCAAGAAGCTATCAAAACGTTGCTGCCACACTGATGCCTCTGGGAGTTTCCTTCTTAGAGTTTTCCCGAACCAGCATCAACTGCCTTCGTAATTTGTATACTGTTCTTACATTATGTTGCATGTTAATTAAGTTGTATGTTGTGTTATATGTTAATCATATAAAACGTTAATTTCGTAATATGTTAATTATATTATATGTTGCATTTTATGTAGGGTTCCGTGTTTTCGGGTAAATCCGATAAACTCGAGAAAACCCTCGTCGGTAAAAATTTTGGCAATTCGTATTTATTTGGAAAATTCAGACTTTTGAAGTAACGATGGCAAAATGAAAACAAAAGACAATATATTACAAATAAAGATTGTCAGAGCAGAGGGCTAGAGGTTCTGAGTTAAAGCTAATTCAGTTTTCTTTTTCTTTTTTTTTTTTAAATTTTGGACTACATATATTGACAAAAGGAAGTTTCTTGGTTATTTCGTCGAGGTTCGTTCAGTACAATGGGCCAATGTGCTCCTGAACCACGACAAAAGCCGCTGTTCCAATTCCCAGTTTGGACCACACTTTCTGTGCTTCTCAGAGGAAGAAGGGGCTGTTTTTGTAACAGCTAAAGATGTAAACCTGTAGATTTCGTAGGATGGGGAAAGCAACTGAAGGTTTTATGCTCGTTTCGCTATTTCAAAGTGCCTACATCTATTGAAGTAACACTTGCTTTCAGTATTTGGCGTGGGACAGTTAGAACTGTCAATCACAAGGGTGCCAATGCCAAATGCAGCTGCAGAAATATCTTTCGATACTGGCGATTTTTTTCATATGAATTTACTAAACATTTTTGTCTGAACATATTTTATTTTCATTAAAAATAGATAAGAACGGAGAAAAAAGTAACTCAGAATTTCGGAGAATTGGGAACCTAACAAAAATAAACCCTGATAAACCCAGAATTTCCAGCTAAAAACACCCTCCAAATTTCACGAAATTAAGCAATATGTTAATTTGCAAGTGTTACTCACCCAGGTATCACGTCTTCAGCGCACAGCGCTTCCAGAGGAAGGTAGGGCCAGTCGAGAGGAAGCACTGGATGCTCGGCCCAGTTCAATGACAGCGCTCTGCACGGTTCACAACGTGTACTTTTCAAAAAGCAGTGCTCAGAAACAAAGGTTCGGTACCAGAGTTTGCGAGCATAATGCAACATCTGGAGAGAAAAGCATGTGCTGCAAACCAAACCATTTGGGGAAGGCAGCCGAGCAGCTCCCTAGGTAAGCGCAAACAAGCAATCTCCGTTTTTTTATTTTCTGTTTTACAGCGAAGCTGTTTATGGCTAGGGTTCCGTGGATTTCTCGTGTGCAGTGACTAAAAACTCTACGTTTGCACCGCCACACGTGCACACCTTCCCCGAATAAAAGATTCAAAGTAAATGACCAAAATAAAGCATTGACGATGGCGCGTGCAAGGTGCCACTTTGTTTTAGTCTTTTGCTCTAGAACAGTTACTGCCGCAAACGCCGGCACGCGCGACGCGTGGAACACCATTTCCTGCATTCTTCTCGATGCTTGGGTAATTTAGCGATAGGTCCATTCAGTAGATTAGTTATCAATAGGCACCATTTTCAAGATCAGTAGACCCTCAGGTAGATAATAAAGGTTTCTCAGAGATTCGCCGCTGTGCGACCAGCGTTGGCCATGTCTACGCTCGCACCGCCCTCTTTGTCGTCGTTCCAAGCACATGCGTGCCTAGTTTCCTTTCCTTCCGCTCTACCTGGGTGGCAGTCCCGTCGCACGTGTCTAGTTTCCTCCGGCTCCTCGGGCCGGGTCTGTGTCGTGTGCTAAGCACCTTCGCTGGGCATCCACCTTCGCAGAGGGGAATGGCTCATGATTTTTTTTTTTTTTTTTAGAATTAGAGGACTGTTATTGGAACTACTATTGCAGTCGGAAGTGCTTATTCGGGGCACTTACTGAATCGGTCAAATTGATGCCTGCCTATACCCCTACGAAGTAAAACGTGAAATGGTGCCAGCGGCACGTTTGCGCCAACAGTGCCGCACGACGTAGGTGAGGTACGATCCCACAAAACAACGATTAGAGTGTAGCTAGCGGGAGTTCGTTTACCACATGGTGCAAAATTAACCTGGGATTGAAGAACAAATCGAAATGGGAAAGAGAAGAGGCGACACATTCCCGTGAACCCCGCTTCTCGAGGGAGAAACACACGTAACTGAGTTGTGCACTCCGCAACACTATCGGCGCAAACAAGGTCATTGCCGGACTTCTCCATTAATTTTCTTGGTACTGAAAGACTGTCACCAAAACTATTATAGTGGTGATATTGCTCAGTTTTGGTACTAGCCCAAGTCGTAAAGTGTGATGCCTGACTGTACTTTTTTGAAGAAGAATGCGCAAGACGGATCATAGGAGTCACATCTCTCACTCACTGGAGTTCTCTTTTCGGGAACCGCTGACGGACCGCGTCCAGGTAAATGTTTCTCACGGCAGCGAGCTGTTGATCGTCGCAGGGGTCTGCAGGCATTGAAATTGAACTTCCTGTGACGCTCGTCAAGGTCTCGCAAGCGTCGACGCCGCTGGCACTCTCGCCGGGCTTACTGGTGTCCTCAGCCCTGAAGAGGGAAACGACACCTTCATCCCATGTACAGTAAAAAGTCAGAAATATGCAGAATGCAGACTGAGGGCTGCTATAGGGCAATGATCTGAAAATAAATAAAATATGAGGTTTTCCAGCTAATTATCGCTGACGGCAGTCGCATCACGTTGGGTCATATGGTCACGCGACATTCAGATATCGTACGACACTGATGCCGTGCAACACCGCATCATAACATAGACGCCGGATGACGTTGAGATTAATCATTACGTAACGTGATCACAAAGCGCTGCTGGATCGTATGGTATCTACGACGGTCACATTACCTGCAGCAACACGAGTACATAGCGGCTGTATTGACACTAAGCTATAAGCTGCTCTGCTTGCGCAAGCGTAGATCATCAAATTACAGAGCAAGAGGTCCACGGTTCAATTCCTGTCGAGGGATAGAGGTGTTTTGTAAAGACACTTGGCAGAGTCGTCATAACAACCTTTCGTGAAGCCCTAAACATGGAAACCAGTGCATAGAGTACTCTGCTTTAATACATGCAAGATGACAGTCTGCTTTCTCGTCAAATGCAAACCGCGCGCCAAAAAAAAAAAATGTGGTCAAAAGACTTCAGGGTATTTATACCACCGAGCTCGTCGCCTTTGATGACTGGTTTCTATGTCTGCTGCAAACGAGGTTACATTGATGAGACAGCATTTAAAAGGCTTGTCATCTTACCTTTGAAAAGGTTGAAACTGAACTCACCGAGCTAATTCTGGTCGAAAAACGACGCTCAGCAGCAAGCTGAAGACCCGGTCCTCAAAACCCGGAGCACAGCTACCAACAAGAGTCAGTGACACCTGGTGCCAGAGCAAGGTGTCGTCCTTGTTTTGGAGAGACTGTAAAACATGGCACCACCATTACATACCTGCGTAACTAGAGTCGAGTATGTAAATCTGAACGCACATTTTCTGTCATGACATTAGATGTGGAATGAAGTGTAACACACTACAATATGTATTCATTGAAAAATCTTATTTTGCCAGACTTTTTGACTACAAACATCTATCCTTCTGCCAGCAGAAAGCTTTAAAACACATAGTTCAAGAGAGTTCAGTTTTTATATGACTAAACAGCAAAATTTTTCCCTACGCTTGCATGGCAAATGCACGACTGGCATGTTTTGAAGAAATTAAGAGCCTGTAGTAGTAGCACTCCTATAAAGGCCATGAGTGTGTATAGTAACTACCTAAAAACGTGCCTAGATGCCGAACCACTTTCGGTGAGAACAATGAAGCTTAACATTTTTTTTAAATTTGAGGCACTCGCACTCATGCCCCAAATCACAAAAAACAACATAAAAACAAACAAAAAACACTATGACATCAACAAAGAAATACAGGACAAGTCTATAACTGATGCATCATGCCACGAGCAGCAAAACACCTATGCATCGGAGTGCATAAATGGGTCAGCTGGTTCATCTTGGTGCGTCGAAAAAGCCCCAAAAGAGACAAGGACAAGACAAACTAAACGGAAAAAAAGCATGTACAAAAAATCACATTAAAAATACTCTAATTAAAACAATGAAACAGATTCGAGAAAAAACTTTCAGCCTTTCCAGTCTGGTGAAGAAGGATGACCAGCGGAGCTGTACTATGGTGGGACGACCTCAAGGCCGACTTCTTGGACGACCTCAAGGACGACGCCTAGAGGACGACGTCTAGGACGACCTCAAAGACAACGTCTAGGACGACTCCTAGGACGACCTCGAAGACGATGCCTAGGACAACCTCAGGGATGACATCTAGGACTACCTCAGAGACGGCATCTAGGGCAACCTCAAGGACGACGTCTAGGACGACCTCAAGGACTTCTAGGACACCTCGAGGGCAACGTCTAGGACGACCTCAAGGACGACGTCTAGGACGACCTCAAGGATGACTTCTAGGACGACCTCGAAGACGTCTAGGACGACTTCTAGGGCAACCTCCAGGACGACGTCTAGGACAACCTCAAGGATGGCTTCTAAGACAACCTCTTGGACGACCTCTAGGACGACCTCAAGGAAGACTTCTAGGACGACGCCTAAAGAAATGCAGCCTTTCCACTCTGGTGAAAACCAGAGCGGAAAGGCTGAAAAAATTGCCGCCGTCGCTCATAGATGGCGGTAGCTGTCCACGGTTTTGTGTCGAGATTTATTTGTCCACGGACACGAAACTAGGAAAACTAGCCCTTAACGGTTCCGCTGTAAAAAGAGTTGCAGCTTTGGGCAACGCCCGTATACGCATCTCTTACCAACAAGAATGCAAAATCGGCAAGTGCCTCACCGTGCAGGCGGCGAGAAGCACCAATTCGTGCAGCATGTCCAGTTCGGCTCCTGAGCACCAGTGAAGGCAATGGACGTGGGCCTGGCAACCACCGGATCCTACCAGCCGCCGCAGGTACGATGACACGCCTGTGCCATGTAGTAACATGTCGCGTGCCTACACGACCGCAAATAAAGCAATCTCAATTTTCTAAACACTTGTTGCAAATCGAGCAAAAAGAAATCAACCCAAAATATCAATACTTTACATTCTGCAAGAAGATGAGACATGCAAGAAAGTATCGGGCATGCCTTAGCCTTTTTTACTTTTTTCTGGCACTTTTAGGCATTTAGGTTTATCTTTGGCTTTTCAGTGGTTTCAAACTCATTTCGAATGTACGATTAAATGACTTTATGACGAATAGCTTCCCAACGAAAATGCCCATCTATCAAAGTAAAACAAGGCCTCGGCCTATCTGTTTAGTTTGCTTTTATGTTGAACGACGACAAAATAAAGATGTAGTGAGCAAGCTGCTGCAGTGCAGGGGTTGAACACTTTGAATAGGATAGTACAAATGCCCTACAACAGTGTAACTAGGAAAAGCCTAAAGCAAAAAAAATGAAAGCCGCTTACAACTCCCTGTAACGCCGAATTAAAGCGCAGCTCTTGAGGAGGAGGAGGGAAGGGTACTAAAGGTCAAAAGTTCTCGGGGGGGGGGGGGTCACGCGACCTAACGGTTATGCCGATGCCGCTCAAGTTGAAAACGGGCGCCTAAGAGCTGCGCTCAAAAACAAAAAAATAACAACAGAAGAATGCACTCTGAAGAAAGTTAAGTTATAATCCTATTAACATAGGGTTGCAAGAAGTGAAAGCATGCAGGAGAGCTGGTAAGGAAACATCATAATCTAAACCCCGAGACACCGACAAATAAAAGAACGGACAAGACGACGCAGATTTTGTGTCGTCTTGTCCGTTATTTTATTTCACCTTGTCTCAGGGTTTAGATTATAATACAGGGCATTTTTTTAAGGCTTTACAGATTTGTTTAAAAAAAAAGGTGTCAAAGCTACATTAATGTGGCTTGTGCAGGTGAGTTATACAGCCAGGGGAACACACACGATGAGGGAATAATTGTCACAATAAGTCTGTTAATTAACTCGAATTAGATAATTAACCTCTTCCGTTGTTGAAGATAAAGATACGGTTTCAATCAGAAACTTGCTGAGCGTCATCGAACACCACTAACTAAGTAAACTTTAAAAAGGTTTGGGGTGCGTGGGAAGCACGCTGATGCACTGTCAGGGGAAGCGCGCATATGCATGCACGTAACATGGGCCGCACCTCTCGGATTGCATGGGCAACCACTGTAGCCGTTTCGCGCCGAGCCCGAGAGATGGCGCAGCGGCCGTGAGTGGGAGCGGGACAAAGCTGCGGGCAGTCCCAGGAGTCGGCGGCGGAACGAGAGGCTTAGCCACAGAGGCGATACCGCCAATACTGCTGCGCGCGGGTACGCGAAAGAATAGAGTGTCTGAGAGATTTCTTGCGTGTGAGGACTAATGAGACAACCAGCGACGAGGTATGTCACAGCATTAAAGTTACCACTCGTTCAACAGGCACAAGGGTGGAGGTGCGCAAACGCGCTTGAAGCATTCCTTTCTCTCTTGCCATCCACATTTTTGTACCGCCAGAATTGTGCCCGTTGCAGGTGCGGTAACTTTATAGCACACTACTGCATTTCCCAAGAGCCCCCAAATCTTTGTGAAATATACTTACTCATAGTGGTTTTTAGTTACAGTCGGCAAGATTTTAATTGAAACCACACATCTATTCTCACTAATTAAAAAGTCAATTAACAAATTTATATTAATCAACCACTCGTCGTGACGACCACCCCCCATATTATATCCCCCCGGCCATACGACTCACTTGCACAAACCGCGTTCTGTAGCTTTTAGGGAATTCTTTAAAACAAATCTCTAAAGACTAAAGAAAACATGACTATAAGCAACCGACCTGGTGCCAGACGGGGTCATCTGGGGAGGTGGTCGTCGCAATGTGCAGAAGCCTCGCCAGAGAGGCCACGAGGAGCGATATTCCGGGAGGAGAGACGCAACGGTTACCGAGCTCGAAACCGCCGGCCACACAGGGCGCTCGACCAATCAGATTGCTCTCCTTGGGTTCGGTCGGGCGTGTGAGTAGAGAGCAGTTCCTGCAGTAAATATGCAGATAGAAATAGAAATAGGACAGTCATTGCTTCACTGCACCCCAAATGATCACAGGAAACAAAAGAGAAACATCCTGCAACACAGTTGGCATGTGCACAGCATCGGTGCTTTCGCATGTCTTGCTCGAGGAGATAAGTTAAAGTGCCGAATTTTACTGCCTAGGCTCAGGTCTTGCATGGGCAGGTTTCACTAAACTAGTGGGAGTTTCGGTCGCAAACTTTCAGCGTAAAAAAGGAACAGAAAAATCGGCAATTCCCTCTCTGAACTAACTGTCATGCTCTGCACGTATATAGGTGGTGAGCGCCAAACAAACTAAGTACTAGTGCAACAGTGCCTTTGAGAGAACGTTCAATGACACCACACTTTGATCAAACATTTCAGAAAAACTGAGGAAGATGACACTATGTCAACTTAGTCTGACGCAAGGTTAACTGTGCAAAACTGCAGTCTGTTCTTTGCAACGCCGCACCTCAACAGATGCATATCACCATGCACAACAGAATGCAGAAACTGATCGCAGGGCCCTTAAAGGCATTTTGTAATGGTATACAGATGAGCAACACAATTGAACACATGAATGGCACTGATGTGTGTATATATGAGTGAACGCGTGAATGCGCACAGAGAAAGTCGATCTAGGCACTCACATCAAGGCCGTGCTCAGTGTGGCGAAGCGTTGTGACCGCAGCAAGCTCACTAGGGCAGTTGCACACGGGGAGCTGGACCGCAACTCAGGTGCACGTAGCGCAGCCAGACAGTGAACCGCTGCCGCCACCAGGGATATTCCCTCCTGCAAGCGTTGGTATGGGATAACTTACACAAATTTTTCGACTACATAATGAACTTAAATATTAAGTGCATGTCAGAAGCAACAGTGGAGCAACGTTGCATTCCCAACTCTTTTGTCTCGTCATGCCGCAGTTGCGATAATTTAAGCAGTAAGAAAACTTAGGGGACTCTAAGCTTCGCCTTTAAAAGTGTAACACGATAACGGGTCCCGTTTGCAGAGCCTTCCCACATAAACACGTGCTCGTTGCCAAGCCGTGCAAGCACATGTGCGTGGCCTAGTCGGTAGCGTCACGTGTCACGTGACGTCACATGTGGCTCTGACGTCATGACCCTACCGACCCGCTAAATTTGGCGGGACAGTTTTCCGCTAAACTTGTCAAGAACATTTTCCGCTAGATTCAGTGGGAAAATTTTTCGGTAAATTTGGCAGGAAAAGTTTTCACTAAATTTGGCAGGAAACTTTTTCTGCCAAATTTAGCAGGTAGATGCCATAATGCAATGTGCAAAGCCACGTGTGACACACGTGCCTGTGCGCGTTGCATTATGGGATTTTTTGGTCCCACCGAAGCTGGTGTCAACGCCGGATTTTTTTGCGACACGAGCTCCTAAATGCTATCGCATTAAAAAAAAGTCTGCTTCGTCGGTAGAGTGCTGTGATATTTGTGACAAAGGCCTGAAACTTAGTCCACCGAAAATTAGATCAATATGCACATGCACGATCCAATAGATGGGTGGATACGACTGAACCTCTTCAATCGAGAGGTGTCTTTCACCACCTAGCCAGTGTTTTGTGTCTGTTACCAAGTGCCTCTGGTGGTCCATTTTGTCCCTATCAAAAGGTCCTCCACTATTGTGATAGGACACTTATGGTATCAGAGATGCAGAATATGAGGGTCCCTTATTAAGACTTTTTCATATGTTCGAGAATGCCTATCTATTTGGAGTGAGAGCCCAGGTACAACACCCCCTTGCTTGCCCCTCTCAAAAGTCGTACAATTCGGTGCTTCAGAAGCTTACAAACGTTTATATTAACAATCGCAGCTGTACGACAACGCATGATTCAGAAGTACTCAAAAGTTTTCCCAAGCTAGGAAAACACTTCAGTAGGAGCAGGATTGTTATTCAACACTTCCCAAGTTTCCAGTTTGAAAGTTTTTCGGTATAAAGACGCGTGGGAGTGGCGTAAGCCAGCGCGAACACTCCTTCGAGGGACGACGCTAGATTCAGTTAGCTCTGTTGGGCCACGGTTACCCGGGATGAGCTTCCGAAATATTGCTTTTGTTCCTATTGTGACTTATATTTCACCGCCCAAGATAGCACATACAAGATAGCTTCTCCTGCGCCCTTCTTAGTGGCGCCTTTCCTTTCCTCGTGTTTTCTATCAAGAAATCCTCAAACCAGTTCTCCGACAAGGGGCAACAGCTCTTCCAAAAGAGGTGAATACAGTGAAATCCACTTATAACGTTGTACCACTTATAACAATCCGTTTCTAGAGGACCACGCGTTTTTGCATGGGGTATCCAGTCCAGATACAACGATAATCCGTTATAACGATTGCATTTTTGGGTTCTCTCATTATCAGGAGTGGGGAATCTCCTGTCCAGATAGGGAATCCCCTGTCCACCCCTGGTGGTGGACAGAGGATTCCCTGTGTTTTTAGAAAAGAAACTGGCTTGACAAATTATTTGTTTTGTGAGTCTGCTTACAGAGCAGGAAGTTAGTGAGCCCCTGTGGGCACCTGTTGTCTCGACCGTAAGTGAGAAGCTTAGCCAGTGAAGAATAAACGCTAGCCTGGGGTCTTTAACGTGCACCACACAGCAGTGTCGCAAGATTGCATGCCAGTTTTATGCTCGTCCTCATCGAAAGGGGAGGGGTGGGGATTGAACCCAGGATCCTTGGGTTTTGCAGCCCAAACTCCACGTGCTCCAAGCTGCAGTACACCAACACGCTCGGTCACCGATCCCTTCAGTTTGAAAGGCCACGAAGCAGAAGAATGGCGTTGATTATGACGGCTACGCCACACGCACAAACATCCATTCACTGGCTCACCCCAGAGGCTTCGGCGTGGTCCGAACGTGCGAGCCAGTCCGCCCAGCGGCCGCAGCATGACTCCAGGATGGAGCCGAGTCCGTGGGCGGCCTCCCTGGCCACTTCCGCGGGCAGGGTGGCCAGACAGTGGAGCAGGCAGGCGCCATACTCCAGGTCGAAGGCCTCCCCGTCCAGCTCAAAGCAAGAGCACAGCTGGAGACGCCTCGCCACTACTGGGAACAGCGCCCTGGAGAACATGCAACGTCCACCTTCAATTCACAATTCCCGGCGACTTGGAACGAGATTCTCGCTGTGGCCTCCGTCTAGTGTAACTCAGTTTCGCCTTAAAATGGGCTGCTACGAGCCACTTGATCCAAATCAGCACAGCGAAGCATGGAACCCAAAGCCAGTGGAAGGCACTCGGTGCGGAATTGGTTCAGATGGCTCATAATGCCCGCTATAGTCGGCCTTGGAGCCAAATGGAGTATCGCGGGGACTGGCCTTGTCACCTACGTATTAGCATTCGGCTCTGGTAACGGGCCTGCAATGTTTGACCAAACCTTGTTTTAGCAAGAGGTGGTCGTTCTGTAAGACAAGTATGCAAAATAAGTCTAAGATCAGGCTCTATCAGAGACCCAGGAGTGAAACAAAGACTGGCAGTAGCAGATGTTCCTCGGCCTGCTTTCAGGCATGAAGGAACCCAGCATGAAATATACACTGTGTGCATGCACAAGTTGTAAGGCCTTCCAGGATTTTCCATGAAGTCAGATAATATATTAAAAAGCCCAAATGTAGGCACATTTTTTTACAAAGGTGCCCCATGGTCTGGGCTTTTGCGAAAAATTGTTGAGCCCATCCACTTCACGTGAAGACAGAGGACCAGAGAAGCCGTTATCTTTACGACAAAAGCTACTAGCAGAGATGGGCATAATACATGCAAATATGTATCGAAATACAATACAAAATACTTTGTCCAAAATGTATTTAATTACAAATCTAATTACATTTCCAAAAAAGCATTTAAGTACCAGATACAAATACAACCAAATGTATTTGGTCTCCTCCAAATACTTTTCCATATGCATTCCTCAAAATTTGTGTCAGCAACTTCAGGGCATCTGTAACGGGTTTCTAGGTATCTCATTTTAATTCTGAATCGCACACTCGGGAGTTAGTGTGTGAGGCTCTAGTAACGTAATAGAAATATAATAAAAAAAAAAGTGTAATCAGCTTGGACGTAACAGGTGAAAAAAGTAGAGCTTCAAGCAGCTTTTTTTGTCGATTACATTTTGGTATAGACCAACAAAGAACCGAGACGACCAAGACGTGCAGCACTAGCTAGAGAATTTTTTATTGTTGCAACTCGCAACAGTTACGAAAATCTGGACGACGGCCCGCGCATTTAGAACGTTCCAGGCAAAAATATGGAGGGAAATCAGGCTGGAAAGCGTCACAAGTTGTCACAGGCACTTATTTAGCCAGTCTGCCTGTGAACGTAGATTTCGTCACTATTCTTGCCCTGGACTAGCACCGTAATCACAATGTCACTAAACGCTTGTGCTTGATTGAGAGACACTGCATTCGGTGCAGAACATGGTTTTTTTCCTGCTCTGGACAGTGACAATAAATTTGAGGGATGCATTTTTGCGCACAAAATTGTACTTAATTATAATTGTATATGAAATGCCCACGTTTTAGTATTTAAATACACACGTCAAATACATTACCCAATTTGTAATTAAATAAAATGCAAAATACACAAAGTATTTGAAATACGTATTTCAAATACTTGTATTTGAAATACTGCCCATTCCTGGCTACTAGTTTCCGCTTGGCATCGGCGGCCCGATTTTCGTTTATCATTTTTGCCTGGCGATGACGTTCACACTCCCGCTTCTGTTGCCGCTGACGCTCTAGACAGGAACGTTTTTTGTCGGCGAGTGGAGGATCAATCGAAGCCGATAGATCCACACCGTCGGCCGCAGCATGTTGGGCAGCTGTGTGTTCGGCTCCTTGACGCTTTCGCACACATTCGTGCTGTTGAGTGCGCCCGCCGACAATCCTTGTAGGCGCATTCTTCTTCAGACCGAGCAACACGCGGCTTACCCATGGCGAGTCCAAACGGCAACTGATAACGTCGCTAGGAAATGGCTACAACAAGAGGCCAAAAAACACAGCCGTTGGTTGGTAGCTATCTTAGGTTTTACAATGACGTTACAGCAAATTGCTATATTGATTGAGTAAAGACACATACATTCATAAAGGTGATAAGCTCTTTCAACAGACGACATTGTAAGTTTTAAACCTAATTTTCTGAGGCACATCTCAAGGAGAGTTTTTTTCGGTTGAGCCCAACCCTCTTTATCAGCATCATGTAAGCGAAAGAAAAGAAGGTTAGATCGGCGCGTTCTGCCCTCAGCCTTGTCACAGTGCACTCTTAGCTGAGATAAGTCGGTGACTGTAGATGATAACAAGGGATCAGGACCTCAAAATGTACATGTCAAGGAAGGCTGACTCGCGCGGTTTGCCCGTTTTTATTTATACTCAGTGATGTGATGGGTCTAAGCCGTTTTGGAGCACCTTTTGGAGCAGCCAAAACAGTGTTTTGGAGCAGCAAAAGTGGCCTTTGGAGCAGCCAGAACAGTGTTTTGGAGCAGCAAAAGTTGCTTTTGAAGCAGCCAAAACAGCGTTTCGGAGCAGCAAAAGTGGCTTTTGGAGCAGATATTCTTAGAAAAATAAACATATTCGTTTTCAGTGCTGGACGAACAAAGGACACTTCGCTCGCCGCCATAAACAAATTATGGTCAAGTTCGACCACCTGGGAGTCTTCCAACAAGTAACTGAAATGCCAATGACATGACACATTTTTCAATGCTTCAGGTAAATTATACATATATATGTAACGTTATAGATAAATAAGAACCAAACTGCACATGTTAAAATTTATTTGAAAATGACCAGCTTATTAGTAAATATCACAACATTAGGTTGACTACCGTAGTTATATAATATAACAAATGGAAGCTGTCTCCGACTGATGAAACACGAAACTACTGCAGTGCAATGCGAAATTGTACACAAGACAAAGGTGCATTAAGACTAGCGGGTGCTTTTCTTTTTACTTTTCGAAGCTTTCTACAAGGCTGCTGCAAGCCTCGCTTTGCCTTTGGCTAGTAATGAATTCCCACTTTCAATGTCTCCAAAGAGGCATTGAGACATCCCACAAGTGAACAGTGCTGTGGGCGTTGCTGAGCAATTCCGAAAAAAACGCTTTCCACCGTTATACTGGTTCCCGACGTGCCAGATTTTCGTCAAAAGTAAGCAAACGTAAAACAATGGGTTGCAAGCGTCCCGATTGGTGCCTCTGCAGTGCAGTCATGTTCGCATGCACATAAAGGCACCTTCGGCAGGCTTGCATTTGCACGTGGTTCGTCGCGCAAGCGGAAATGGCAAGCTACCTAGCATGAGCTAGGTAGCTTGCGCTACCTAGCTCATGAATGCTCAATTACGGTACTTAGTTTAGTTTCGGTTTTGAAAGACGACCAAAATTGGTCTTTTGGCGCAGGCTTGGTGCAGATTATCCATATTTTTGCAAAATGTAGCAGGATGTAGCAGGGTTCGCCCTTTGGCGCAGTTTGGCGCAATTGGCGCAGCAATCACATCACTGTATACTTGCCATGACCAATCAGAACGAAGAAGCGCCGTTTAAATGAGAGTTTTTTTTGTTAACATCCATAGACACATTTGTTTTCAGATTCTAGCACATAACAGCTTCGCTGTAAAAGTTTTGCTTTGGCATGCGTTTTGCTTCGCACAACGATGGTCCAGAGGAGGTTTCAGAGTGAGTGGTGTACTACACTCACAGGCAGAGACCTCCAGCCAGTTCGTAAGCCAAGAGCACCCGCCACGTCCTCACAGCCTCCAGGGCCAGGCAGAGACAGTCCGAACCAGGAAGTCGACTGGCACTGCAACCGCATAGCCATTAATTTGGAAACGTTGTATACTACAGCGCTCACCAAACTTAAATGGAACAGATACACTACCATATTTTCTGGTCTATAAGTCTCATATAAGTGGCCATTTGCACAAAAAGGTTGGTATATATGGGGTGCCCCCAAAAAAGAATTGCACTGTTCTTTTTCATTGCAAAAATAAACTATGCATTGCAGAACTCCGCCAGAATTTAGCGCTAGAGCTCCGAACCAGATGCCAAAGTTCCAACACTAACCGTTATCTTATTCAAATGTTATAAGTGATTTTCTGAAATTTTCAACGGGAAAATGAAACTCATTTTTGCCCGTTTTCGCTAGCTGGCGTCCATGTATTCAAGAGCTCTGTCGGCCGACATTTTCCCAGTGAAAATTTCAGAAAATCGCTTATAACATTTGTATAAGATAACGGTTAATGCAGAAACTTTGGCATCTGATCCGACCCTCTAGAGCTACATTTGGGCAGAGCATGAGCGTTCGGCGATGTATATTTTATTTTTGCGGTGAAAAATACCTTGTATATAATATATGGCACCTCTATATTAGCCACGTAATTACAGAGCACTGCGAAGGATGGCGTATGGAGTGGCCGCAGCCACGGATCTATGCCGCTACTCTTTGGATCGCTAGAAGAGCAGGTCATTGACGAGTGTTCCACTGCTCTTCCTTCGTCAGAGAATCCCGATACAGCCTACATCTAGCACAATAAGCCCAAACGTCTAAAAAATATATGTAAGTTTCACTGTCGTACGAGACGCATCAACGGAAGTTTTGGAAAAAGAGCTGCGACTTACACACCGGAAAATATGTTATGTCTTATCTCGTGGGAGCAATATCCTGGCAGCAACCAAAGAACTACTTCATGACGTAGCGCTCGGTGGAACAGCCCGAACAGGGAAGGCTACTCGCTCAAGGTCGAAATTACAACTACAACGCGTTTTTGGCAGTTAAACGATGCATCATGGCGCAAGAAGGTGGCGAAAAGCAGGAGCCCCCGGCAGTCAAAATCGCTGTGTTGTGACCGGTTCAGCCGCGATTTCAGCCCTTCCCGTGCTTGGGCTGTTCCACCGAGAGCTCTGCCATGACACAGTTCTTCTGCTGCTACCACGATGGGGCTGTCTCGAGGTAAGACACAGCTTGCATGTTCCGTATAAATTTGGGGAGCACTGTATTTCGCTCCTTGCCACCACCACTTGCCTGGGGTCCAGTGCCAGGTAGGCAGAAAGGCTCTCCTCCAGGGGATACCGCTGCAGCTGAAACCAGGTTTTGAATGTACCACAGTTCACCAATTAAAGCTGCACTACATTACAACTTCTCTGTAGTAGAGACAAACATGGTGAGGATACAAATGCCACAACGATGCAAAGCTAGAGTATGTTTTTTGCTAATGCCGGTAAACAATTTTATGGTAATGATAGAGTGAACAAAATGATAGATATATAGTTGAGTCATTCACATGGTGAAATGATTGATATAGTAAAAACTGATATAGCAAAAAATTGCATTTACTATGAAGAGGTTCCACCATGGGCACTAACAAATGTCGATTGTTTGTTAGCAAGATTGCCACTTGACAGGGACAATGCAAGGCCAGGGTCAATTAATGTTTCCAGAGCACTGCATTCTTTAGCATCAGCTGGGGAAGAAAACAAAGCCCACCAGTTGGCTGGTTGTGGCCATACTGGCATTGGCTGCATCAGTCAAGCTAGTGGAGGGAGACTACATGGCCCTGTACAATATACTCCAAAAAAGAGTCAGCCTATAATAGCTCGAGAACAGATCAAAATCAAAGAGAGCCAGATAACCGTTGGGTCCAGGCCACACACCCAGTCAAACAAAGTCAAAGTTGGTCACATGCAAGACTACCCAGAGTCAACCAAAGGCCAGACGAATCTGGCCTCAGCCAAGCCGAAACCAGGGAAGAAGGCTCACCAGAGTGCTTGCGAGGGAGCGTCCGGCGGCTGCCAGGGATCGGACAAGTTCCAAAGCAGACCACATGGGGCTCCCGTAAGCCTGGGCCATCTTGCCGGACACCACAGCTGCCAGACGACAAGAACAGGTCTTCAGCATCATGCAGGGTAGAAACGCTCGCTGGTGTGTCCTTTCCACAGAGACAGACATATAAAGATGGCTCCCCAACTAGGTTACCGTGGGCAACCCAGAGTGACCCCCGGGGATCTCTCGAGAACTTTCTTGTGCTACCTCCTCGAGGAAAGCTTAGCTTCCACAATGCTGCATTCCCATGCTGCTGCAGCACAGTCGTCTTGCAACTTGTCTGTGTGCAGTCACTCAAGTGGCATTGACAGCACTGCAAAAACTATGCTAGCCTCAACGACGTAGCCAAAAAAAAGATGAGAATAATATTCTGAAAATAAAGCAAACATATTAATGTAGTACGTAAAAGATGCATACCTGGAGACCCCCAATGCTGTGGCAGAAATTGCTCAAATACCAACTCCATCAGCCCCGGGTGGTCCAGTATCTGTTTGAGACATTCCGGTATTTCTGTGAGACACCTGAGCATTTGTCTTCCGACATTCCAGTATCTGACTGGAACATTCCATCATCTGTCTGAGACATTCCAGCATCTGACTCAGACATTCCAGTACGTGTCCGAGATGTCACTCGTAACCGTTCCAAGCTCTATGATGGCAGTACAGTATAGACCACTTACAACGTAACCGCTTATAGTGCAGGACCGGGTATAACGCGGCTTTTTTAAACCACCGGTTCGCTTCCCATAGAACTCCATGTAATTACATACCGCTTAAAATGCAGGCACGTGAAGGGAAATACCGGTTAGTGCAGTCCACTTATAACAATATTATTAAATGTGGGAAATCCAATCGTTATAACCGATTGTCGTTGTATCCACACTGACCCTGAAAACTGCCCAAAATAGTTCCCCCAAGCAGAAGGTTACTCACCAGTGTTCACTCAATCACACCATAGAAGAAGCGCCGCAATATAACAAAGTTTTATTGTAGGGTCAACAGCAAGCACGCAATGAAATGGTGTCAAACACACTAAAAAAAATCCAAGATCTCCGCTTGCTTGTGCGGCAGCTTGACTACCGCGGTTTGCAAACAGCTCGTACAAGGCTTCCCGAAGCCTTTTCCGCTGGTCGTCAAAGCCGCTTGCTTCAGCCTTCTTCATTACGACGTCCCCGGATTGCAGGATGGTCGATATCGTCGACGAAGAGTGCTCATACTTCCAGACGAGACTCCCGACCTTGAATCCTTGCCGCCAATCATGTAGGATTTGCTTCTTCTCCTCGAAAGAGACAGCTATTCGCTTCGTCGGAGCCATCTTTCACGCCAGCGACGCGGGGAAGAGGAGGGTGGGGAGGGGTTACGAGGTTACGGGTATGATGATGATGATAGCGCCGAGGTTTAAAGGCCGCGTGCAGAGCCTGCTCACGGAGTATTCGGTCAGTGCCCATCGGATGTGATCGAGTCCGCCGAGTTTGGTTGTTTCTTCGTGGAATTTAAAAATTTTTATCTCATTTTCTGTTGAATTTTCGTAGTAAACACATTCTACGCGATCATTTATTGATCGTTATATCCAATGTGCCGGGAAAAATGCATCGCTATATACGGTTTATTTTTACATACAACCAATGCAAAAATTGATGCTTCTATAAAATCGATCGTTATAACCGATATATCGTTATAAGTGGACTGCACTGCGGTTTCTGGAGCAGCCCGCCGACCGCGCTGACCGACCGGTGCAGCGAGCACGCTTCCCTGTGCGACACTAGATAATGGCGCTAGCCGCAAGCAGAGGCCGCAAGTGGCACTTGTGGGGCAAGGAGGTTGCTTGAAGAAGCGGGAAGAAGCGAAGAGAGTTGCCATAGCGACGGAGGAACGCACCCTCACGGTCGTTCACGTGCGTGCGTCCCTCCGCTGCGTTGGCAACAACCGCAACAACAGACCAATCGCAGGTCGAGAACTGGTCGCGCGCGTTGCATGCCGGTCGCAGGCCGGCTTCTTCTATCCGCAAACATGGCGTTGGTTGTGATCGTCGACGTAGACAGCGTGGTGGAAGCTCATCGTTCTGCGTAAAAGTGCTATCCTTGACTGAATTTTCGTTGTGTGTCGCTATGATAACCCAGCACGTACTAGAAGGGAAGATCCACCTACTCGTGCGGCGATGTCGTGGCGGCACTCTCAAGACGGCAGAAACGCCCGTGTCGTCGTGTTTGTTTACTTCGACTAAAGCATTTGCGTTTTCGAACATCGCCCGGATTTCTTATTTGGAGCATTTCATGCCTGTGCTCAAGTTCAAGGTATTACTGGCGCGTACCGTATAAAGGGTGCGAATTTTCACGCGTTTTCATCGCCGGAGAAAAGTGTTTAGGTTTAGCAATCCTGAACGCTCGCAACGTCCGTCCGCAACCCGCTACGCCGTTAAAAGGCTGCGCCAGGCAAAAGTCGCTCATTTCTTTCATATGTGTGACACACTTGAGAGACAAGTGTACTAGTCTGGTGAAATAAAGACTTTCCTCAAACTAAGCTTTATTTTTCATCTAACATAAAATAAATTGTTCTACAAAGGTAAGTTGTCTCATGGCATGTATTTTGGCCTGAAAAATTGATGTTTTGGTTATAGCGCGGTACCGCTTATAGTGCGGATTTTCGCGATTCCCGCGACATACGTTATATGCGGTCTACACTGTATCGGGGAACCAACATACAATAGTGGCCTCTACAAACAGCCTGTAGGGGGTGACTGAGGTGCTTGTTTTGTGTTTCTGCCTACCTTGCTTGCATCTTGTTTGTCAAACAATGTGTTGCCATGTGCAAACCCACCTTTGTGGCTGACTGCAACGAATGGCGAGCCATTCTCGCCAGGATCAACAGTGTCGATGCCACCGCGTTGGCGCCTGGACAACACTTCCGCAGGACGTAGCTGAGACGTGTCAGCAAGTCCATCCGCAACAGGGCCTACAATACAATAAGAAACAACAGCAAAAAAACAATTGTTTGCTTTGGTGTCTCTGAATTCTTCGGACAACATGTGTTCTTAGCGTTGTGCGAATATTCAAACGGCAGTTTTGGATAATACGCTATTCGATATTTGCTTCGAGATGAGCTGTGATATTCTTACTTTTCGGAGTGCCGATCGCGGCGAGTTAGCCCCGTTCAGTGTGCCTCTCACCGAGCACTTGTGCACAGCGGGAAAGCAATTCCCGCGGAGCTCGCGGGCATCGCTTCTCTGTAGTCCACAAGTGCTCGGTGAGAAGAGTACCTATGTGTTAGGCGGGGGTGTCTTGACAATCTGCGCTCATCATCCGTGCTCTTTTTTTTTAGGGGCGAAACTCCTTAGGGTATAGCCTTGTCCATCCGTCCGGCCGGCAAAGAAAAAATGTTTGCACAGTCGACAGGATTCAAACCTGTGCGGGGAGACCCCAATGGATTTCTAGTCCATCGCCTTAACCCCTCGGCCACGACTGCGGGACGAGTAGGGGGCTCTGAGATGTGGTAGTAACTCAAGAGCTGGGGTTTCTGTCATGGATGAAACGTTGCATGTAGCCGCTCAACGTCTATACAGGAGAGGGCGCTGTGGTCAAATGCGTATATAATTGCGTTAAACTTTGCATGCGTTAGCTAAACGTTTATAGACGAGAGGGCGCTGTGGTCAAATGCTCAAATGTGTATATAACCACATTCCATACGACACATTCTCTTTCTGACATGGACTTGAGCAATGGAGTTGCGTTCCCACGGCTACTAGCGGACCCAAGCTGATCCTCTAGAAGAACCACTGGCTCTGCATTTCACCGACCATAAAGCAGTAACAATGAAGTCGAAACGCAACCCGGAACTCAGCACTACCCATGAGCAATAAAAAAAAAATCTGCACCATCAGCACTACCTATGAACAATAAAATCAGTATCATCAGCACCACCAGAGCTTCGCCCCAATCAACATCATTCACCACGTAGAGATGCGGTCATTTTTTTTGTTTTTGTCAAATTTGAAATTGAAGAAAGAATGTTTGCGTATAGCATGCAGACTTCTAAATCTCCTTGATTAAGATAGCTGAAACGATTTTGCTGTTTACTTGTTACAATTTATAAATATAGCTATATTAAAATTAACTGAGCTGACAAGTGGAAGGTTGGGAGCAATCTTCACAGGATCAGTTAAATTTCCATCTAAGCATTGTGGTCTTTTATTTCGATTGTAATGCTCATGTAGTTTTGGGCACCGATTTTGGTGGAAAAAAGTGTGCAGTAGAATCGTGTAAACATAGTACATGGTGCGAAGGTCACACGGAACCTGCCGCAAACTTGTATGTTATGGGAACTGATGCCGCAAATCGCGGATGAAGCAGCTTTGCATTTCACGGTGCAACAAACATTTGGGACAACCCGTGTGTCCGGGAACCGATATCGCGTGCGCAGATCGCGGACAAAAAACACGGGAACCCACTACGAACGCGCCTGCCACGGGAACAAATACTGCGTATCACAGACGCAGCAGACTTGCAGTTCAGAATGCAATAAACATGTGGAATCGACTTGCACGTCACATGAACCAATATCGAATGTGCCGATCACGGCCAAAAACGCGTAAACCCGCTAGAAACTTCCTTGTTAGACGTACCGGCACCGCAGATCGTGCAGTTGATGTGATTCCCGTCGGACATGGCCTTATTTATGTCCGACGGAAATAGGGGGTGGGTGATATTTCGGTATGTTTATGTTTTAGATATTTAGCCAGAAAAACGGGATGGGCGATCCCACGGGGGAGGGCGCCCTTATAAGATTTTACGGTAGTGAGCGTACTTCCCATGTAGTGGCGCTGGCGCCAGAAGCCGACGCCGTGACAACATTCCACTAACGCTTCATAACCAACAACCAGGTGGTTTTTAATTATCGTCTTTCAGTTTAAAATATGTTTTCTTGCGTTTTTGTAACGAAATATTGATGTTTCTAAGATTTTACTGCTACCTACGTCATGTTGAAGCAAAAAAATTAGCTCCAGAATTTTGTTTCCGTACCCGGTTGTTACTTTGGTTATTAAGAAAAGTAACTACCCAATATCCCGAGAGGTAACCCACTTAAAAGCAAAAGAAAATCGGGTGAAAATATGCAATAAACCACTTTCGGCGTGCGATCAAAAAAAGTTGAAAAAATGCTAGTTTTAGATTTTGCAACTTGCAAAACTTGCGATAGCAGGGAGGGGCAATGAACCAAAGACGACTGTCCTCAGTCAGCAATGTTTGCCTGTGTCCCGTTGTGGCTAAGTAACGCCATTTCTGCCGCGGTCACCATTGACCAGGGTCATACAATTACTACTAAAAGTCTGCTACCTTTCGATATTTTTGAAAAATAGCAAATCCTGCCAAACATAGGGGTGGGTTATCTTCGGGGGTGGGGCATCTCTCGGAATATTACAGTAGGTACAAGTAACACATAACATACAAGTCTGGACGCCACACCTCACCTTCCGAGTCTTGCTTGTTGTGGGAAGTGCACATACCTTGACGATATCTGCCTGGGACAGCTCGAGGTCCGTGAGCTCGTTCGTGCCTTCCACGCGTTTCACCGGCTGGAGAAAAGGACTGCGGTGGCCCAGGCACCAGAGGAAAGCGCACTTCAAGACTTCCTGTACACAAGACGGGGATCGGTAGCCAGGCGCATTGGCATGCCACGGCATGGAACATTCAATGCAAAGGGTGGCACAGCAGAACACAGGGTTAATTTTTGGTTCAAATCCCGTCCCCTGCCCATTTCAGGTTGTACGAGTGTCATACTGTTTTGCAGTCGTGTGGTCAGTACTGCACAACGCACACTACAGGCCACTTCTCGCAGTACCATTTTCTTACAATGTGCTACGTTGCGCGAGCTTACGTCTGCTTACGGTGCGAGCCACCGGGACATCCGCACTTCGTGTGAAGTGTGGCAACCAATTCAAGGTATAGCTTGGCATATGCCATACGATGCACGGATGTCCCGGTGGCTCACGACGTAATGTAAGAAAACGTGAGCAAACACTCCTGCGCAAATGGGCCTTAGGGAGCCCAGGTTAGCAGGCATACTGCACCGGCTAAATTGCCCCATTATATAGTAATAAAACCAGTGTTGCTATTTCCCAAGAGGGGACTGACCTTAGATTTGTGATGAGCGGAGTGCTATACAGTAAGTACACTTCTAGCAAGAAGAATAAAACAGAAAGAAGGTGTGCCCGCGTGTGTCTATTCTTTCTGCTAGGAGACTAACCTCTTACTGTATATGTCCCGTTCACCGCTAAGCTGACAGGGCAGTGGCAGCCATGTGTGCCCCTTGGACCAGTCATACGTCGATCCTTTGCCATGTGATCACGCTCCCGTCTATAATCAAGCGCAGAGAATTGAGCCAGGTTATGAAAGGCAGACAGTCGATTAGTCCGGCAAACGCGTATCTTTCATTACCCTGTCAGCTTAGGCACGAACGGAGTATAGGCATTAACAACGTGCTAATTCGCATATAAAGAGTTGAGCTTGTAGCACGGGGGATTTAGACTGTACAAAAAAGTAGCCTGCCTCAACAGGGTATTTGGAGACTGCACAGTGGTATCTAAAGCTACACAGCTGATATAAATTTAGAAGCTAGGCACGGTAACACCACCCATCTCAAGGATAAATATCACGTCCAGAAACGCCAGGTACCCACTTCCTGTGGGCGAGAGACCACCAGGGCACGCAGGGCAGCCAGTGCGGCATCCAGGGTAGACCGGTCGTCGAGTGCAGACCTCAGCAGCGGCGCCAAGCCAGAGCCAAGAAGGTGGTCTGCAAGATCAGTCTCCGCCAGCAGACCAGCGTAACGACCCTCCCAGTGCTGAGGAAGAAATGACCTATAGATTATTGGATCCTCAATTGTCTACCTATATAGCAGTAATTCTAACAAGTTGGGTGTCCATTAAATTAATACATTTATTGCCTACATGTACCCATGCAGTTGGCACATTGTTTATCCAGATGGCTTGTGGGTTTACTTTCCTGCAGAGTACACAGATGGCCAATTGTTGTAGTTAACAGGTGGGCAAGCGAAAGACGGCGCCAAGACACTTCCCAGAAAAGCAAACTTTGTGCCCCACACAGGGTATGAGGAACGTTGTGCCCAGAGTCACAACATAAGGATGTTATTTTCAACTCTTAATTTCCTAAACTCCCTAGCAAGAAATCTCAAAACTTCTGGCTAACTTGATAGCGCATCAACGGGCTGAAAATCTCTAGAAGTACTTGAACTGATCCTCATTTAAAGGTGAACTCACCTATAGAGATGTTGATATTATCTGAATTACCTTTTTCAAATACTTTCCATTTGAAGTATCAAGTGCTTCAATCCACAGGGACATTCTAACCACTTAATATTAACAGGCCTAAAGGATCAAACTTTTATTGAGAAAGTATTTTTTTTACCAACTTGCCCTCAATACAAAAAAAAAAAAATTCTGACATTTTGTTTAATTGATTTCACTTCAATGGTACATATTTTCACATTAATATATGTCCTGTTCATGCTCAGCTGCATGAGAAACTAGGCTTAATCTAAGAAGGGGGTCAGTTATTTTTCAATATACAAGTATGCGTATATCTTCCCAAATTTGTCTTGTGCTTCTTCAGTGCACTTTAACAAGCCGAGCAACACTGAAAGTTGACTGCACAGAAACATGCAGATTTGCTCTAGTTCGAACACAGTATCGTACTTCGCCCAGCGTAGGACACATCCAAGCACAGATCGGTCATTGGGTTCACAAGGACCAATCAATGATTGGAAGTAGACCAATCACAGGCAAATGATCAGTCTATGATCAATCATCAATCCAATGGTTGGTCAGAAAATTTGCATGACCGACCACCAATCGGTCACCAATCTGCCTGATCATTGATTGATTGATAGGGCCCTCGAGACACTTGCCTTGGTGAGCATTCGCTCTAGAAGCTGGAGTGCCAACAGGCGCTGAGACCGCACGCTGCTCCGTAAAAACTGCAGTATCTCCGCCGTGCTGTAACCTGCTGCCTGCAAACACAGCACCGTCACACAATAAACTCATAACCTTGCAATGTAATAAACTTTTCTAGATTCAGCTTAATGTCAATTTGCCTGCATAATGACCTGCAAATGTAATAAAACCAAATGGCCAACATAAAGAGCTATCTTGTTTTCACCTCAAGAACCGTGGTAAAAAAAGTCCTGCTCTTTGCGGGGCATTACCAATTTCCCCTTTTATGTGGAGAATTAAGATATATGAAGATGTATTATACATTTGATTATGTTATCTTATCAAGACGTACATATTTCAAATGCCAAAAGCATCCCTTCTTCCTCAGACAACCAAATCTTGTAAGAAGTGCTTCGTGCAGCGCATGAACAATGCACAAAACTTGCTTTTTTTTCTTGAGGTGACGACAAGCATAGTATTGAGTTGGAACCAGCCTTGGTGTTTTCGTTCGTTAACGGTGAGATCCATCTGAAACCAAGCACGGTTCGTTCACCTGTGGCGAGTCGCCGTGGTGATGCAGACCACGGTGAGTTGGGATCTCTGCGCTGGGTGAAACCAGGTTGCCCTCAAAATCGAAGCGCCCCACGACAGGGTCCTGCAAGAAAACCACGCTTTAGTTCAATTAAAAGGGGAGCTTTCATCGCAGGTTAATGATTCGAGACCTTTGAGTCCGGTTCCTTCGCCGGAGGAAGCATGGTCATCCACTCCAGCTTCTCTTCTTCCACTTGATCCATGTGAAGCCAACGTTGGGCCGCTTCCGATGGCCGGATCGGAAGCTCGCTTTCGTCTGCAAGCACAAACTACCACAATCGAAACCGAGCCGACCGAAAAGAAGTTTTGAGAGCGACGAGTCATTGCTCTCCGAAACCAGATGGGTTACAGGTCTGTGATCTCACACAATTCCGAAGAACCTAGACTTTGTGTTTACACTGTCCCTTTCTTGCCTCAGTCTCGGGTTTTTTGTACCATGATCTTCTCTGACATAATGCTTACAGTTCTACAACTTTCTAGTTCAGTGGTTCTCAAATGGGGGTCCGCAGACTCTTTGAGGCTTGCGAAGGCATTCCAGGGGTCTGCGGAGCCCAGCCTTGTCAGTCAGGCCCAGTAATAAAGGTCTTTTATCTGACTGAGAAGAAACATTTCAATTTTCGGGTGAGTTTTCTCGTGTGTATGTAATGAGAGAAGTTTGCTTTGCACCAGCCCTTAGTTATACAGTCTAAGTTTGTTTTAACAGACCTTGATTTTGACCAAGATTTCGATCTGTTGTAAGAGTATGATATATGCAGATATGAAGTTGAGTCAATGGTATGTAGAGGAAAAGCAACCAAACTTCACAAACTGGTATGTTATAGTATCCAAATGTCTGTTGTAAACAGGTCTGTTGTAATGAGCTCAGATTATCCACTTATTATATCATTATCATAATTAACCTATAACTTTCCCTTCCCCTTGCCACGAGCTGGGTCCTCCATCATATCCGCTGATCCCCAAGGGGTCCACACGAAACATCGACGGTTGAAAGCCACTGCTCTAGTTTGTTGATTTTTCGTAAGATTTTCCACAGGTGAACGGCGACGTTCGTCTAGAGTTCATTTAATGGAAAAATGAAGGTCGCACACGAGATAAAATCGAACCGCTGTTTACTAACCAGAGGTTTTTGAAATAACTCCGAGGTCCTTCGTTTTGAATCAAAACAGCATAAAACACAGCCCATTTTTGTTTTGCCTCGCTTAATCCACAATGTATCTAGATGCCAGCAACACCCAGAAAGGTCAGCACTCCAAAAGACTGGCACCTTTTGAGGCTACGACATTTTTCAAACATAAAAAAAGAAGAAAAAAAGAAATGCCGCCACTTGCCCAAAGACAGGCACTTCTCGGTCGGCTTCTCCCCCGTGGAACCCAACGAATCATGCGGTTTCTTCGGTAAGACTGGAGCAGCATCTTCCGGACGGGGACTGAGTTTTGTCCAAGCACCATCTTCCGGACTGCATCCGGGTTTCGTTGCAACGTCTCTTCTGGACCGGAGGAAGGAGACTAAAGTTGGATCTGGAATGGAACAGAACCTAGTTACTACAAGTATGGCGCCTGGAACAGGTCTCCGACTGGTGCGCCTACCGCGTCCCCAAAAGTGGCCACTAAATTTCTGCCAGATGACGCCATAAAAGTGTCACGCACTCGCCGGCCACAATGCTAGTGGCGTCGCAGCAGCGGTGGTGTATGTGGCAGATGCCTGTTCTGTCGCAGGTCGCTCACCAGCTTGAGAGTCCACAAAAGCTTCGGCTGCCAGGAGTTGGGCTGCCGCGACGACTACGACACTCCAGCTAGCTCGTGCTTTTACCGGCGTTTCTACGACTAACCGACAGGACTGTGACGTCCGACGGCACGACACCCCGGCTTTTGTGACGTCGTTTGTTGTTACTTCGGGACCACTTTCGACGCTAAACACACCGGTCAGAGACGTGTTCCCCGAATCATGTTCACAAGCAAGTTTAGCAGATGGAGGTGGAACGAGACTTGCGGAGGTCGAGGTGTCTGCCGTATTCGTCAGGGATAGAAACAGACTCGTGCGGAAACTAGGAATCAATGTTCAGGGGGCAACTCTGGTCAATATTTTCAAACTGGGGTTACAACCGTCTTCAGCTCGGTCAGTGTCCCTGAATCACGAGGTGTATTTCTTTCCGATACTGTGAGTACTTTTGTAAATGGTACGGCTGAAAGTCTGCTTTCGGGCGTCTACGGCAAAGCCGGAACTGTCTGAGAGGGATGGCAGCACTGATCAACAGATGTCACGCTGGTGCTGCGGTATGCGGTACAACAGGCAGCTGACCGACTTAAACTACCAATTTCAAGAAGTAATGTCAGCTGCTTTTTTTTTAGTCTTTTGTGTCATGGGAGAGCTTATCTAGGAAAGATCAGTGTGTATTCATAGAGCTAGCAGCTAAAGACTAATCCCATGCACTGCGTACACAAAGAAACGAGTGCATTTGGCGCCAGCCACTGGGTGCTGGCGCAAGGCGTGCAGCGTGGCTGCATCGCAATGCCAGTTCTGTTTCTTGCTGACGGAAATGACAGTCGACGGCATGCATAAGAGGAGGAAGTTAATACTGGAGCATCAAACGACTAAGCGGCGTGCATTTCACATGCTGTACAGCTGTTTGCAGGTGGGTGCTCTTTGAGTTGTGTACTATGCACAAGAGTTTGCACGCTGGAGTAGTTAGCTACGGTATACATATCTCTAGGTCGATTTAAATGCGGAGAACCTACAGTGGATGTCCTTGCATGTTGCCTGGTGTAGTGTTCATTCTCCGCCCTGGAGGCGGTACTTTCTGAAGCTATAAAGCATTTGTCAATTTCATGCGGTGGCACAGTGCAGAGCAGCACAGCTCGACTGCATACTTTATGCACAGGAGCACTAATACACAAAAAAGGATAAGCTTTAGGCTCACAAAAACTGCTAGGACGAAACAAAAAAATAGAGAAGGGCAGGAAGCAGAGGAAAGGCATGGAAGAAGACCCAAAGCACAAATGGCCCAGTGTTGTTTGACTTACACTAACTTGCTGGCCACATGCTAAAGAGCAGCTGGTCGCGTCTTTAATGTTGGTTTTAGCGGAATACGCGGCTTCACTTCGACGTTATATTTTGGCTGCGATCATATTTTGTGCCCCTAAAGCGATACCGGTCATCTAACTCAGTTCAGTTTTTGACCAGGGTTGCCCTTTAAAGGGGCACTGACACATCCATATCATATTTTTTTTTTATTATCCGTAACGATTGAAAACGATGCCGGTACATTACCCTCAAAATTCGAAACTTGGGAATTCAGTATTTTTGAATTAAAAAAACAATTTCCAAATACCGAATTTGAAGTTCCCACGCGATCTGCGCCAGTGCAGTGAGTCAAATTTTGCGGTCTCCTGTGACTCGACTTTCTTTCAGACCTCCACTCTCCGCTATGAAGCAAAGCGCCGTTGCCACAGCGACCCGAAGCGAGGAGGAGGTGAGCAGGCGAGATAGAAGGGCGTCGGCGCGGGAAAAAACCGGTTTCTTCCCCGACTCGCCGATAATCCTCTGCTCGAATGCCGCCAAGTTTTCCGAAGCAGCATACAAATCCAGGAAGCGACATCACACCGAAATCTGATTTTTGGTATTTCAAAAAGGGGCCGTAGTGCGTTTGCAATTGCGTTAGAAAACATGTTTGACGATTGCCGTTATTAAATGCAATAGAAAAGTCGCCTACAAAGCTTCTAAATTTCCTGATATTTGACGTCACCGATCAAAAGAAGCAAGGAGCTGAGTGCGGGAGATATAAACAACAAAAATAAAAAGGCGCACGTGCGCGCAAGGAAGTTTTTTTTTCGCGATGCGTTTTTTTTTTTTTTCGTGTTTATGACTACAATTTGCATGGTGTTAGACCAGGGGTTCCCAAACTTTTTTTGTCTCACGGAACCCCAGGAAGCCTCAAAGACTGCCGCGGAACCTTCCCCGACCTCCATATTTGCCGACCGAGAAGCAACAGATGCACAATTGTAGGCAATTTTGCTTATGTCGTTTCCCATATATCCCCACCATATCAATCGCAATGTCAGTACAAAGTGAGATGAAGGTGCTTTGCAAGGTCCTGCTGCGCAGCCTGCGGCGTGGGGGGGGGGGAGGAGGAGAGGAGGGTGAGGGGAGGGGGTTGCAATTTGGGTGTTCACGGAACCCATGAGACCAGCTCGTGGAACCCCTGTGTTCCCCGGAACCCAGTTTGAGAACCCCTGTGTTAGACAATTAAAAAGGTTACGACCTTTGGGGTGTCAGTGCCCCTTTGATAAGACAAATCAGCACGTGCAACTAGAACTAAGCAGAATTGTATGTGTGGACACGAAAGAGCAACTGACTCAAAGCAATGTGCTACCATTGCTTTGGCGCCCACACTACGTTCAGGTTAGAACACTTGATAAAATGTGAGAATGAACTTAGAACTTTCCAGAAGAATGACCGGAAACACAAAAGAACAGGGCTGACGGGATACAAACACCATACCTCTGCACGGCAGACATGCACGTTGCCGACGCTGCTATGCATGCGGCGATATTTGGGCACCTCAATTGCTCGATCCACCCGCGTTTATCGCCACTTCTGTTTGACCCTGCAAGCTTTCCTCGCCCTCAAATTGTTTGATGAGCGTAAAGGCCCGCTCACGCACTTGCATTTGCTTACGACCGAGGTTTTGCGATTTCTTTCAACGAGAGAACAGGCTGGCCCCATCTATGAGGTGGCACCGGAACTGAATTTCACTAGAGCGAAGGCTTTACAGTATTTGCAAAATTAAATGCACATACCGTCTATGAGAAACGGTCACTTAATACATTGTCAAAAGTTCTTCGAGCCGAGAAAGAAAGAATGATGCGCGAAAAACGAAAATATACGGAAGCTGCAAGTGTTCCACGGCCACCCGGCAGATTGCGCCAGTGTATTCTTTCGTCATCAGAGATTTTAGGGGACTTTAGAGGCACACAATTGTAAGCAGTTGCGCGTGAACGAACCAGCCTCAAAACTAAAGCTAACAACGACGACAACGACGCAACAAACAGCATGGAATGCTGACGAGAAAGCATACCAAGCCGGGCCAGGAGTTGATCCCGAGCTTGCACCTTTTCCGCGTGCGACATGTTCTGCAGTCGCTCCAGGTTCTCAGCGTGGATGGCTTCTCGGTCACTGAGTGCGAGGGCACCGCCGTTCGAGACTGGACAGGAGCTGGTTTGTGGTACGTCGGAATCCCTCAAACCGGACGAAGAGTTGCCCCGCTTGGCCCGCAGTGCAAACAGGCTCTTGTGTCCGATCGAAGGCGGAGCCCCCTAAAAGAGGTCGAGAGCAAAACTCGGTATGCTGAATTTCGACTGGATCCAATAGGTGCACATTCGATTTAGCCCCACCGAAGGAAAAGTGCAAATATTCTTCAAGGCGGAAATAGTATTGCTGCATGTATGGCTCAGATTATTAGCAAAATTAAAGTGATATAAAAAAATAAAAGAAACTCTTTAACACCTGAAAAAAAAAAAGTATTTTAAGTTTACGGGTGAAATTGGGAGATACAGGATGTGCATCATGTCTTAAGCTGTGCGGTTGTTAACTTGTGAGCTTTTCTGAGCTTGGAAGTTTCACTAAATTCCACTAACTTTGGCGGGACGTAAGTCGGCTAAATTTGGCGGGTGCACCGCAGTTTTTCATGATGCTCTATCGTAATGTTATGCTCATCTCATGGAAGCCAGTTTTTTTTGCTAAAATCTAGGTTAGTATGCGGAGCTCATCTTAATCTGCCCTCATTATACTAGTACAGTGCAATCCACTTATAACAATAATGACAAAACCTGAAATTTCAATCGTTATAACCAATTATCACTGTATCTGGACTAGAAATTGATTGTTTCTAGTCTAGAGGCTCTAGTAACTGATCTTTATAAGCAGTACATCGTTATATCTGGTATCGTTATAAGTAGATTGCACTGTAGTAACACTATTGGATGTTCATGAAATGATCAGAACGAAGGGACCACATCATGAGAAGGGTGGGGATTGGACACAACGCAGTTCGAAAACAAATTAATTATTTATTTATTTGTTTTTTTCCTGTTTTGATTTAGTCTGAGGGTGTCTGCTTGATAATAACATTGGATTCAGGAAAATGGATAAACTTACCAGCACCTTGAGCTGCTCAACCTCAGGAAACGATGTGGTTGGCGCCGTTGGTGGCAGAGCGCTGCTTTGTTCCACACTGCGCTCCTGACAATGGGAAACAATGAGAACACATTTGATAATCAATGCAATTAGAGACATGTGCTAACATGCCCATAACCAACTTTATAGTTTCGCATTGCTCACTACATCCACACCATGCAAGATCTGGAAGCGGTTGAAGTCCAGAAGGGCTGTAAGTACATTATACAAGGGGGACTCCGGCGATTTTTAAGTTAACTCAACTAAATATATTTTCTGACTCCCCGGCCTTTACCCTTTCCGGTATGCTATTTAGTTTCGCGAAATTCATAATAGTTATAGCGAAATCGTCAAATGAAAATGATGCAAAAACCAACATTCAAATATACCCGCACTTTTCAGTGCCGTGACGTCAGTGGAGAGCTGTCTTGCCAGTCGAGCGAGCAGTCTAAAAAATAGAATATGCCAATCATTTGTTCCGTGCTGGAGCGCGGGGACTGGAGCGAGCTTCCAAAGCATTTATTTGACACCATGAAACTGCTTCGAATCAGTTGGGAACAAATTCTACAGTCCAAAGAGTAAACCCCGCACTTCCACTGACGTCACTTTTTCATTGTTGACAGTAGAGACTTTCAGTTTGAAAAACACGGTGAGGACCAAAATTGTAAATTAAATAAATTCGTGAAAAAAATTTATTTTGACCTAATATTTCGTATACTATTTTGGCCATGTTGTTTGGCGAGTTTAGCAAAATTTCAAGCAAATCGGGGACCATGAAGAAATCGCCGGAGTACCCCTTTAACAAAGTGCCTAGCGTTACGTCCGACAGAACCCGAAATAAAGATTAAAGTTACGTTGGACATAACTTTACCCCAAGGATTCGAGTTATGTCCGACATAACCCAATATAAAAATTAAAGTTACGTCCGACGTAACCCAATATAAAAATTAAAGTTACGTCCGACGTAACCCAATATGAAAATTAAAGTCACGTGTCCGACGTAACTCAATATGAAAATTAAAGTTACGTCCTATGTAACCTATGCAACCTACACGCATGTTTTGCTTTACGTCTAATACATGACGTACATACAAAAAACATTGTAAATTATTACTGCGTTACGTCCAATGAAGCATTCGTGAATCGGTTAAACTCTCAACTCTATCCGTTCCTTCAGATTTGTTGAGAGGGCTGGAGTGTCTTCCTCACACGTCGAGGCTACTGAAGCTCGGTGGGTCGATGCTCGACACATACATGTTTTTCTTTCTCTTCTTTTCCCTCCTTTAAAACAATTGATTGAATTTTATTTTTTTTTATTTTATGAAATCACTTCTTGCTATCTCTGCGGCGTTTGTTACACCTGCTTGTAGTCCTTGCTGGCTCAGGCTGAGAGCAAAGTTGATATGGCTAAAAGCCGAGGGTCTGTTGTCGTTCTCACACCTGGGCAGCCCCCTCGAAACAGCTCTTCATTTGCGACACTTTAGAAAAAAACACTGCCAAAGCTAGTGCGCGTGGCGATTTGAGTGGTACGTGAAGATTGTGCCAGTTTTTAACAAGTCTGCCAGAAACCCTGCTGCTGTAAACAGCACAATTGTATCACATTACCATTCTATCTCTCTTAATATTTGCTTCGGACGTCCGCGATTCTCAGAAAGCGTCGCAAGAAATCATCTTTAAGGAGAAAAATAAATTGTCTTAAAAACAAGAAAAACATGAGAAAAAAATAATAATAATGTGACGGGCATCTGTATCTGGAGGTACAAATGGAGTCGCAATTTTAACCAATTAATGAATGCTGCATCGAACGTAACATAATAATAATTCACTACATGTTTGTGTTTATGTCATATATTGATCATAGAGCATAACATTCAATAAGGATGAGTAGGTTACACAGGCCGTAACTTCAACTTTTATTTCCGTTGGACATAACTTTCATTTTCATTTCGAATTCCATCGGACGTAACTCGAAACCTTTGGGTAAAGTTACGTCGGACATAACTTTAATTTTTATTTTGGGTTCCGTTGGAAGTAATGCTAGACACTAAGTATACTTAAAAAGAGGTTTAAAAAACTTGTAATTTACTTCGAGTATATTCATGAGTATATTGTACCTAGTGTATTTACCACTTGTAGTACATAACCTCTAATTTACCTTGTACTTGACATCAAGTACTTTTTAGATGTACTTTACCCAACACTGTTGAAGTTAGGTGTCATAACACTGTTTTTGTAGCACACACCACAAGAGATGATCACCCTCCAGCCAGGTGACTAAGAATGAATCCATCGCGCTCACGACGATATTATAGAATTTAGCTATAAGCCTCCTTTATTCAAAGCAGTGCCCTCCACGTGCCATGACACAAGTTCAACCTAACTGGCCCATAGCTGTGTCTTGACCGAAACCGTGCCAAGAGTGAACTCCCCTGTGCTCCAAGTAAATGCTGTAAATGAGGCTGTGGCCCTGTCATCTTCATTGTGTTCCCTTTTAGTTTTGATGACTGTTTATAAACAAAATCGTTTCAAAGGGTGGACTGGAATAAATTGCAAAAATCGTACAACGCTGTGCTTCGGAGACTAAACAAAACAAGGCAACAGAATGGGAAGGTCGCGGGCTTACCACGACATCGCAGAGCACAGACGCAAGTGGGACGTCTGAGGGAGACTTGGTCGTACTGTCTTCGACTTGTGGCGGCAATTTTGACGCGTTCGAAGGTGTCCCTCGATTCGCTCCATCACCACGTTCCGGACTGTCCTGTTTCTTAGCAGACCGAACCACCTCAACCGACGGTTTCCCGCCACTCTTCAAGAAGTCATCCTGCATGCGCAAGAGTTCTTCGTCGGTTTCACCGCGCTTCGGCCGCGCCAGCAGCGGAATCTCCATGTCGACGCCGAGAAGGTCCTGTACTGTACGTCAAATACAGCACTGTCAGCACAGACAGCTCGGTGGTTCCATGGCGGAGGGCTGTGATTTCTGGACGCAATATCACACTAATGATTGGGATTTGGACGATCGAGGATCAGCGACAAACATTAATTCAAACCACAATCAAGAAATCAAGCACTCGGTCAACTCGGTTGACTTCTTGACTCGGTGCCGCTCAAAACGTGCTCAAACGTAAACATGGAGAAGCCAGAGTAGACAGTAGATTAGACAGCTAGTTTGGCAAGTTTATTTATGTAGCCAACTATTTAGCCACCTATTATAAAGTCTGCTTGTTGCAGCCTGTTTCCACGTTTTCTTTTTAAAAACTAAGAGTTATTTGGATATCTACTGGTATAACTCTTTTTAAGCAAACGTATAATTTTCATACATAATTTTATTTACATTTTGGTGAAGATTGACAGTCAAGAAATGTCGCAACCTAGCCGATGTCGTCACAGTCAGTTCCTCTCCGTCCGACCACCTTGAGTTGGCCAACATGGCAGAACAGGCTCCCAGTAAATCTGATATAGCGACGATTTTCAAAAGATTGAGGTCAATTCCTGCTAACAAGGTAAGCTTTTTGGTTGAGGCAATCGCGAACTTGCGGCCCTTGACCTTTCGTCCCCGGTCACTCAGTTTGTCGCCGGGCCCGTATTGAGGTTCGCCGAGTCGGTGACGGCTCGCGGTGCCCAAAGCCGACTAAACGTCTCGCTTGGATTTCGATTGATGGTCGTGCTCACATCCGGCCTTCCTTGTGCATATTTTTTTCTGAGAGTATTGGGGAATTTTGCGCGAAGGAAAACACAAACATAAAAGAGGCACCGTGTATGAAGCGTGCGACCGCATGCGAATATCCAAACCATATGTTCGACACGTAGTCTAGAGGGTAGACTGAAATGACGTATCACATGTATCACATGCAAATCGCACATCCTCGCTAAATCGCTCCGAAATTTGTCAGCTCAGCCGGTAAAAAAAAAGAAAAAACGTATTCCACTCTTTGTTGTTTTTGTCCGCTGGATTTGATGCTCGTCTTGACGAGAGAGAAAAAGGGGGCGATGGCCACATTTTATGGCTGCTCCTAAATACTAAAACGACAAAACAAAAAACCGGATTTTGCGACCACAGTTCGCGTTCGTACTACCACAAGAAGCTTATAAACGAAAACAAAAAGCGATCAGCAGGTAAATTTCGTCCTGTCAGCCGTGTCAGCAAAAGAAATGAAGGATAAAAAAAATTCGTCCTTGGAGGGGAAATAAAAAAAAAATATAGTAATTTTCTTTTAATTAAGCGAACTACTTCGGTGCTGTAGTAAATGACCTTTGATCAATGAAAACATGAAGATGCGAGTCTCACGTCCCCCAACGTTCAGATTGTTTGGGGAACATTTAAATAAGCTCATGATTCTTGCATCAATATTAGCACCTTACACTAGGTATAATATAATAACTAGAACAAAGTGAATTTCACATTGACTTTGTCATGTGATTGTAGTCAACAAGGCGTTTGACTGTGAAGTTATGTCCCCTGTCATGAGACGACTATCACTATGCATTTACTGTTTGTTTATATATGCAACAGAGGGACAGAGGTTGTTGGGTGCCTCTGTTGCTGTGATGGTGTTACCGTGGTTCATAAGAAGGAAGAATTTGTGACGCTCTTTTTTTAATTATTTTTTGAAAGCATTGTATTTATAGTCAATTAAGAATAAGCTTCTAAGGAGGGCATTTTCTAGGGCTGTAACAATGATTCACCTCTCAAGATAGCCCAACCCTGTTTTCGCTTGAATTGCGCAGCATCACTGTAAACACTGAGGGCACCACGCAGCTGCAGGAATGTAATATTTTCTTAATCTCTGCACTGGCTGAGATGTACTGGAAAAGCTTTGCACCGGTTTGTTTACAGTTTGAAAAAATACAGCTGCAGAATTCAGGAAAAGAATTATTGTAAAATTTGGTATAAAAAGACAAAAGTCCTCATGAGTACTTTTCCAAAATGGGGCACACGAAGATACAGATACACAATCGACCTCCTTTTCTCTGTGCTTCTCACAACATCCAGTCTTCCTTGAAAGAAGCATTGTTAAAGGACTTAGTTTAATATAATTCTTAAATACCATGCTGACTCTATACTTGACTTATTTTGACAAAATGTGCTGCAAGACAGGGACAGAGTAAGTTAGACAACACTTTCCCTGTCTTGCGGCGCATTTTGTCAAAACAAGTCATGTACCAACTGGCCCATCTGTCACTCTTGATTCATACTTGATGCCAACAGTCCTAAGTTTTTTCTTCTTTTTTCTTTTGTTTTTTATATTTTTTGTGATTAATCGTTCATGTTAGTGTTTGCACATACATTTGTAGAAAATATGTTCCTTCTTTGGGTTCTGTTTGTTTGTGAAAGTGCCTAAAGACTATGCAAACAGGATTTTTGTTAATAAATTTCAACAAAGCTCCCAAGACTAGGTAAATACACAAGAATTCCAAAAGAAGCAGAGTTTGCATGTCTGCGTTTTTGCAGCAGGCAGACGGATTTGGGCCAATGTTTGACTGCCAACACACTTGCAAAGCAGCACTAGAGAAAACAGCTGCTGATGGTGCGCCTTAGTTAGCCTAGATCTGGCAGTGTTTTTAGCTGTTCGATCAGGGTCATGTGGTTTATGGGTCTGATAGCGTCTCTATGCTTTGCTCGGTCTCTTTACCCCCGTTCTCGTCCTACGGCAACGCACATACACACGTGAGCACCCTATCTGCGCGGGAGTTCGCAGGTGAAAATAAGTCCCCCTGCAGCTGGATTATGAAACTGGTCTCAGCTGGATCCAGTTGGATGCGAAACAATCGAGCTGGATCCTGATAAGACCAGTTTTGTAACTTGGCTTCATGTGGACTAATTTTCACTTGGGTTACTCTCTAATCTTAAGTCCGGCAAGAGAAGGCCACTGCCTTCACTTGCCGGAGTGTTGGAGCAGGACGCAGACGAGCCGCCTCGCTGGCTCCAAGGTGAAACGCTGGCCTATGAATCCCCGGGCGCTGGGTTCAAATCCCGACCGAGGTGCCCGCATTCCGGCGAAGGCTTGTTGCGGAGGAGGTGCCGTGTAGCCGAGATTTCATCTGCACATAAAAAGATCCCCAGGTGGACGGAATCAATCACCAGTCCTTCCCTAGGGCATGCCGTTTGCTCTTCGTGTGTCCGGCACGTAAAACCCTCACCTTTGATTTTCTTTTAGTGTGCGCGATACTCCGGCAACACTCTTGCGAGTCTTAAAACGCAATGCAGGTGTGTTCTTGCCTTTTGAATGGGAACTGCACCGGTGCACGTGCAGGTGTGCTTCGACTGCGGGGCCAAGAACCCGACGTGGTCGAGCGTCACCTATGGCGTCTTCATCTGCATGGACTGCTCGGCGGTGCACCGCTCCCTGGGGGTGCACCTGTCCTTCGTGCGCTCCACCCAGCTGGACACCAACTGGACCTGGCTGCAGCTGCGCGCCATGCAAGTGGGGGGCAACGCAAACGCCGTGAGTTCGGATGCCTCGTGTCCTTCGGGGCGGCTTGTCGGGGGCATCGATGCCTCGTCGAGGGAATTCATTTATGCATTGTTGGGGGAAAGAATGCCTTGTCGAAGGCATCAGCTACTGCCTTGCCGGAGGTATGCGTTTTTGCCTTGTCAGAGGCATGTGTTTGTGCCTTGTCGGAGGTATGGTTTATTGCCTTGTCAGAGGCATGCATTTGTGCCTTGTCAGAGGAAGAAATGACTTGTCAGTGACATCTATGAATACCTCGTTGGAGACATCCATTTGTGCCTTATTAGGGGCACGCATTACTGCCTCATCGGAGGAACTCGTGTGCCTTATCAGAGGCACGCATTAATGCAGTGTCGGGAGCATTTATTAACTCCTTATCAGACACATTCATTGATGCATTCAGGAGAATTCATTATTGCCTTCTCAGAGGTACCATTAGTGCACTGTCAGAGGCATGCATTAATGATTTGTCTGGGTGAATTCATTAATACCTTGTCAAAGACTTCAGTACTTTCGTTCATGGCATCCATTAATGTCTTATTAGAGGCATGTATTAATGCCATGTTAGGTGCATGCATTAATTCCTTGCTATAGGTATGTATTATAGCCTTGTCAAAGACGCCAATTAATGTCTTTTAGAGGAATGCATTATTGCATGCTTAGATCTTTATAGGAACACGACCAATAAATAAGCAGCTTTATTTTATAATACACAGATTTTCCGAAGTGCTGGTTTCAGGAACATTTCACTGGCACATAATTCACATAATTCTGTGACCAGGAGGGATATGGTGTGTGTTCCTGTGTTCATTACCACAAATTGATTTATATCCAGAATATTTTTTTATATTTTTCTATTAAATGTGGACAATGCAGGATGTTTTCTTCTGACAATTACATAGCTTACAGTGTGTGAATCAGAATGCCATTTTTCCTCTAACAAAAACCGCCAGTTGAGAACCGGCCCCTTGTAAATTCTCCGACTCTCTTTGATGATGCCATGAATCTCTCCATAATATATAGATGTAATGAAGCTCTGTGAGGCCCATATTCTGTAATAAGACTAACAAAATGGGCAACCATATAATTTTATGCCTACATAAAACTTCCCTATTTAACTCCTTCCGTAGTACAACGCCTGTAGGCCATCACCCACCCCGGGATCAGTGGTTTCTATGCATTGCCGAAATTTGAATTTGGCACACAGAAACACATGTGCCATCTTGTGGATAGCTGAAGAACTACAACTTCGGTTTCAATATTATTTGGGGACTGCCACATAGAAATAAATACTACTGTGCGGTTGTCCCCAATATCCTGTTGACATTGAGGACTGCTATAAAGACAGCTTCTATTACATGATTTAACGGCTTTTTCTATTTATTTTTTCTGGATGAGAGTGGGCAGTGAGGACTGTGGATGATTTTGGATCATTTATTTGAACTTCCACAGTGACGCTTCATCTCCGAGGCACGGATTATCGACACTCTTTGGAGAGTGTCGTTCTAGCTCTCAAGGCTATCCTGAGCCAGGGCACAATCTTTGTGCCACAAGCCATAGAAACTCTAGCAGACAAATTAGAGCAGTGCTATGACAAACCAAGATTTTATGCAAAAAAAAAAAAAGAAAAAGAAACTGTTCTGAAGGACATGCACCTCTACGTGCAACAAACAGTGTCCGAGTGGCATGGTGCCACAGAAGTGCACTTGCCGATGTACCAAGTAACGACAGTATCAGCTAGAGCTCGATAACCTACAGAAGTGACGGTTAAATGTATAAGGCACATACTATATATTTAGAATTTTTAGAAATCATAGTAAATTTAATATATCTGCAAATGTTTTAACTTTTTTATTTGATTTGGGAACAATTTTCATGTTAAGCATTTGTATTTGACAAACTTTTTCAGACAGTGTTAACATTTGTTTCTTTTAAAGAGCAGTTTATTGGCTCCATTTTGATGCATCATAATTAACCATATGCCGAGTAGTTTTTAAAATAAAAAAATGTTTTGTACATCTTTCGAGTATCGCCACTTCTTTCCGTGGTATGGAAAGAGTCGCTTTAAACGTTCATTTGCGGGGAAAAAAAATTCCCAAGTGGATTTTCGTACTTCTCAAGTCACAGTGATTTACGCTGGTCTTCCTATATTCTGTATGACTTTGTTTTCCTCTGTAATAGGTAACTGAGAGATTTTTTTGTGCGTTTCTAGCTGACAGTAATCCTAAATTGCACTAACACCTCGCTGTAAAGGCCCGTTCACACTCTTGCGACCGACTTCGACCGAGAGATACCAGACCGGTTTTTAAGCCTTTTGCGACTTCTTAGGACCGGATGCGATGCAGCGGAGCTGGTCCTAAGAAGTCCGGTCTGGTCTCTCTCGGTCGAAGTCGGTCGCAAGAGTGTGAACGGGCCTTAAGGTCTTGCCTTGTCATCTTTGAAGCGAGTTTCTGGCCCTCGACTGACGCAACGGTTGCTGTTGTCACGTGTGTGCGTGCGCAGGTGGCCTTCTTCCAGCAGCACAGCTGCAACACAACGGATGCCCAGCAGAAGTACCACAGCCGGGTGGCACAGCTGTACCGGGAGAAGCTGCACCAGCAGGCGGCAGCCGCCATGCGTCTCCACGGGACCAAGGTTTGGCGCCCCTCCCCCTTCCTTCTCGGGACAGCTACCGTGCGGTGTTGCAGAAGTTTAGTATTTTCTCGTTTGTTACCGACACGCGCGACCAAGAGCATCGCCGTGGTCGGCTTTCCACGGTTAGCTGAACGACGGAGAGTGTTGTCTGACCGTCCACTTTGATGTCATTGGTTTAAGAATGCAACGGCCTCTAGCTTCCGTCGCGCTGTTTACCCGCACCGTCGAGTTTGTCATCATATCCGACAAGTAAGCCAGGATCGCAACCGGTGACGTCGCAGTGAGGCAAATTCTGGTTGTGACATTGCGGATGGGAAACATAAGAGGGCACTACCCAGACTTCTGGGCACTAATAAGTTGCACCATTCTTGAAGTCGCACCCCTGCCCCCTATAAATGGCCGTTTTCATGAAAAAGTCGGTAGTATATATGAGCTGCATGTTCGTGTAAGTCACACTTTGTGCTGTCAGCCCCGCAAGATTGAATGGATAATCTGGCTAATGTGTATCGCGTTTGCAATGTATGTGCCTGTGAGAGCCAGTTGCCATTTTCTTGCTAAAGAATTGAGTGAGAGATATAACCACCGCCGCGAATTTGCGCAGAAGTTAAGGTTAAAAACAAAATGTGGTACAGTAATGTCTCGTGAATATGGACCCAGTTAATATGGACACCCCACTATATGGACACCATTTTCGGGAACAAACTGGGAAAATACATGCATTTTTATCTCGTTAATATGGACAACTCGTGTTATGGACAATCTTTGGGGGGAACGGAGGTGTTTTTATTAACGAGACATCACTGTAGTCAGTTTGATCAGAGTCATTTCTTTGAGAAATAAAAACAGTTAGAGCAGTGATCAGGGGCTGCTTGCAAAAGTGCACATACGATAACTCACAAACGAATGCTGCTGATTGCCCATGCAGCTGCTTCTGGATCACGTCGAGAGCCCTTGTGGTAGTCCGGAGACCAAGGAGGACATAGACTTCTTCAAGGAGCTCGAGAAGGAACGAGCGGCCGCGCAGGAGCAAGACGACGCGCTCAACGCCGAGTGGCGCAGTGCCGGCGCCCTCTTTCACGCGCCGACGGAGCCTGTTCAGGTTGGTTCACGAACAGTGCTCATCATCGCGGAGGAAGTCCTTCTTGTTGCACATTTTTGTACCGTCAAAGTCGAAATCTGGTGAAGTTCTGATAGTAGCCAATTTGTTTCAAATTTGGTTCAACATTATTAATGGACCGATCTGAACTAATAACCCAAATTGCAAGTCGCACTATTTTTCTTTTTCTTTTAAAAGTTACTGAACTTCTAAATGTGGTCCAAGAGGTTGAGATGCTGTACTAGCAACGGGAAAACGTGACGTCAGGTGTTGTGATCTGGAGAAGCAACATGGGGACATTACAGGTTGTTCTCAACCTGTTACGAGAAGTTTGGAGGTGTGAAATTAATGCCGGTTAAGCTCAAGCCAGCAAAAAAAAAAAAAAAAAGAAAAAAGAAAAAAAAAAAAACACTTGCAAAATGCTACTTTTTTTTTTCCATGCTGCCTGCTAGGCTTACAGGTTACACATGTGACGTCAGCCCACTGGAGGGCACAAAAATTGTAATGCTGGCTTTGGTATTCCCTGCATTTACCGTTTCCCTCATAGCTATTTCGAACTTAGAGATTATAAATAGTGTGCCAAAATAAGTGAAGCCTGGGTATTCCGAAAATGTATTTAGTTTGCACAGCTCAAAAAACTGCTGGAGCTTCCCTCATACATACACCTTCGTGCTATTAGTTGGCGCTGTAAATAGCCTAAACGTTGCTGATCGGTGCCGACATTGTGCTGTATCAGCGATACAGTGTTAAAATGCTGCTAAGTTACGTTCAAGTCTGCACAGCATCATTGATATTCTTGGTATGACCTGACACTGCAATGTATGTGTGAACCGGCTGTTAAAGTGAAGCTACTCAATGCCAGGACGTTTGCAAACCCTGTTTAGGCGTCTAATATAAGGCACTCGATTGCGGTTTTACTTTTGAGCTTGTAACTCTAGCGCACACCTAGCGGACGTTCTTGCGTCGAGCGGCTTGCATCTTCCTTGTGGTGCTTTAAAAGCAATCCGGAGGCATTTGCTCTTCGAGGTGGGACCTCTCGCGTAACATTCCGTGGTGAAACTCCAGAACGAGAAAGGATTCTTGAATGGGAGCTGCTATTGAACCTTGCACTTTTGTGAACATAGATGTTCTGAGATTAGCCGAAATGGGGATGGATGTGCTGTTCCTTTGCCCCGGGGATAAAGTTTTGCAATCCAAAATTGGTTTTGACTGACAGACGCGTGAAAATGAAGCGAACTCCTTTAAACATCGAGACGACGGCTAACGAAAGTGGAGGCAGGCATCATCTAAGTAGCTCGCAATAAGTGAATCTTTTTGCATTTATGTCATGGTTGCAACATTGTATTTATTTTATTTTTTTAGGTGACTCCATCGCTGAGCAGCGCCGCGACTCCTGCGGCGACTCCGGCTCCGTCTCTGTCGTCCGGACGCAAGCCACAGCGCAAGCCAGGCAAGGGTTTGGGTGCACAGAAGGTGAGATTACTGCATAGCTACCACAGTTTTTTTTTTTCCTGCCGGTCTCACCGGTGAAAGTTGCTTTAATTTCTCGAAACTCGTAACTACGAAGCATGAGCTTGAAGCGGGATGACCAAGGTTCCTCCCCGCGGTTGTCACCTTGTCAGCGACCGTAGCGTGACGGCGTTTCATTCGACCGAGTTCGTGCTCAAATGGCGTCCGACTCGTGCGGCGCAGGTGAGCGCCAACTTCCAGGAGATCGAGCGGGAAGCACAGAAAGCGGACGAGATGAGGGCTGCCGTGAGCACAAGCCAGGCCGGCGGACCCGGCGACTCATCGGCCTCCATAGGGGCAGAGGAAGCGGCACGTCAGCTGGCCTCCATGCGGCTGGCCTACAAGGACCTGGATCAAAACGTGCGCGGGAAGCAGGTGACGGCCGCAGGCTTTGCTCTCCTGGCGACCATGTCTGGAAAGGGTCGTTTGCTGCAATGTGCTCTTGCTGCATCCCACTTCTATCTTGCTGTGGTGCTGCAGTGTGGTTTCATTGCAGCAAATCTGGCTGCAGCAGACATTTGGTTACGGCTGGGGTTCCGTGTTTTCGAAAAAATATGAAAAACACTCGCCGCTGAATTTTACGTCAATTTCGAATTATCCCGAAACTTTAAAATTTCAAGGTCACAACAACAAAAAAAAGAAAGGCAAGAAAGATATGTTTCACAAATAAATTTTACAAAGGCAGAGGGTCAGTGGTCCTCAGGTGATGCCACTTCCGTTTCCTTTGAAATATCAAACTACTGACAGAACATATTTGCCCTTTAGCATGTCAAGGAACCTTGACGACCTAAAAAGGCCTTTCGTCAGTATAAATGAAGTTCGGGTCATGAAAGAGATGAGGTCCAGGTCATAATGCACAAACCTTATTTATTTTGTTTTTAATTTTTAAAAATTGGGAATTCCAAATTTCAGAGAATTTGGAATCTAACAAAAATAAACTCCGATAAACCCAGAATTTCTTGTGAATAATAGACTCTGAAACATGCCCTCCGAATTTCGCGGGGAGTAAACTCAAAAAGCACGGAACCCTAGTTATAGCGCACCGATTTGTGAAGTTTGGGTTTGGTTGGTCTTCCTATCTATGCTATACAGCCAACTTTGCTTATAACAGATTTTGTTATAACATACATTTGGATATAACAGATGGCACTAGGGAGTTTGTGAGTAGTTTGCCATTCCATTGTAGCGGACTCTTCGAGAACAGTCATTATTTCAGGCATTACACGACTTTGGTTTGGTAGCAGTGGCATCCATTTTGCAAACTGCTGTCATCGTGCTCGGCGCCTTGAGAGCCTCGTATGGACCAAAGCATGCAGTGATGACAATCCTCAGTACGGCTGAACAAAATAACAAAAAAACTACCTTTCAAAGTTTGGAAGTTTCAGTAAACCAGATCTTTCCTAATATCCATTCACATTTTGTCAGTGTCACTGATTAAACAGGCTCCAGTCATAATTTGTGTCAAAGCCTGTAGTAAGAGTATCTGCATTCTGCATACTCCTTTTAGAACAAACCAAAATATTTGTCATTATGAAGGTTTGTTATAAAGTGTTTATACTTTAATATACCTTTCTGGAAAACCTCAGAAGGCCTCTCCTGGACTCCATGTTGCACCTTGTGGGGAGTTGTTGAGCCATTTCGACGTTTGTCGTGGGAGTGACTTAATTCCTTCTCACTTGCAGCTGCGAGCTCAGAACACAAGGGAAACTGAACGAGCAGATCACGAAGCCGACACATGCCGTTTTCCTATCGTCCTGCTTTCCTCGCGTTCTCAAATCGCAAAACTGCTGAACACGCAAGAACTGCTCCGCCTATTCATGGGTACTCCTTCACGTGCCGTAGTGCTTTGAAAAGATGACGGGAGGTGCCGCGTGTTTCCAGAGTGGTCCAATAGACTGCCAAAGGTTTTTTTTTTTTGCTCGAAACCTGAACCAACGTTTCTCCACTTGTTGCATGTGGCTACTCTAGCTTTTTAGTAGTACCACCAGATTTGCTCGGTTGTTCAGATACAGTGATGTCTCTTTAAAACGGACACCTCTGCACCTTCAAACAAGCATGCATAATGTGACTTGTTCATAACAAACGAAACAACAATGCATGTACAGTGCAACCCCACTAACAACCATACCACATATAATGATGTACACTTATAACAATCGGTTTCTAGAATTGCTAGACTGGAAATGATCATTCTCTAGCCCAGATACAACGATGATCGGTTGTATCGATTGTAATTTCGGGTTTTCTCATTATCGCTAGAAGTGTGTTGCACTGTATTCACCCAGTTTGTTTCCAAAAATGCTGCATACAAAGTGGGGTGTCCATATTAATGGGGTCCATAACATTGGGACATGACTATCTTAATATGTTCTCCAAAATTAAAAGGAAACAAGAAAAAGGAATGTCTATACTTGTTTTCACCTCGTAAGAAAAGGAAGTTTTGCACATTGTTCATATGCCACATAAAGTAGTTCTTATGAGATTTGGTTGTCAGAGGAAGGAGCAATGCTTTTGGCATTTGAAATGTGTACATCTTGATAAGATCACATATATCTAATTTAAAATGTACCTAACATATATTGTAATTCTCTATGTAAAAGGATGAATTAGTAATGCTCAGCGAATAACCAAACTTCTTTTGCTACGGTTCTTGAGTATATTGAAAGAGAAGTGTGATGCTACATAAAATTGGTGGGGATAAACGAATCAGCGAGAGAGGAAATTGAGAACATAATTAAAAGGGGAGGGGTGTAAACGTTTCTAGGCCAGGTGGCGCGAACCACCGCCCGATACGAAGGCCATAGCCAATACCATCCGTTATCCATGGCTGAAGTACAGCTAGCTCGTTGACTCTATGGTGCCTGGAACGCACCTCCGACCCTTCGGTTTACCTTGGTTTTACGCTTGCTCCGCTGCGGGTCGCTCTCCAGCTTGTCGGTCCTCGGGAGCTTTGGCAGTCGGGACGCTGGAAACACGGTAACGCTCGCGTTTGCCCGTGCTTTTCTGCCAAAACTTCTACGACCGACCGCCGACATCCAACGGCGCGACGCTCCAGCTCTTGCAACGTCGTTTGCTGCCACTTCCGGGCCACTTTCGACACGTGGGTGGGACGGGACGCCGAACACACCGGTCCGAGGTACATTCGAACACCGTGGTGACCCCGGCGTCTTCCGTCTTCCAGGTGGACCCCCGCAAGGCGCAGCAGATCGAGCGACTCGGCATGGGCCTGGGCGGGGGAGGAGCCGGCGGGAGGGCGCCAGTGTCCCACTCGGCGCTGGCGGACATGCGCACCATCGCGCAGGAGGCGCCTGCCTCGTCAAACAGCGCCGGCGATCGCGGAAACCACGATGGACTCTCCGGTGGCGCGGGCTTTTTTTCGTCCGGAAACCACAAGTTCAACGATGCGTTTGACGACATGCGGTCACCGGCGCCGTCGTGGGAGACGCTGCTCTCGTCACCCTCCGGCGGCGATCCCGACACGTGCGTCCTGGAACAATTTTTACCCTTGGTTTCCTTTTCGTTGCTTCTCCTGCGTTACTGGTGTCTCGTCCGCTGCTTCCGACTCTCACCCGCTTGTTGCTTGCTACTTCTTCATTTATATTGTGTTTGGCGCACTATGACCTATGTTGCTGCTGTGCCATAAAACCCTAAATTCAGTTCAATTCAATTCTCATTTATTGAATACCCGCTGTGCCTTTCAGCATTACAATGAAAAAGATACAAACACAGAAAAAAAAATACTGTGATTTTTTTGTGTTTTGTCTGCTGCTTGTGACTTTTTCCCATGTCTTGTCTGCTACTCTGATTTTTTTCTCTCTCTCTCTCTCGTCTGCTACTTGTGGTCCACCAAAGAAAATACATACAGTGAAATGCCGCTTGAACAAACTCTAGTTGAACAAGCTATTCAGATGAACAAACTTTTGTAGAATTCCCCAGCCAGACCCCATTGTCTCCAATAAATTGACTTCAGTGAACATTCACTCAGGCAAGCTTTTCTTGGGCTGCCTTTCCATTTGTTCAAGCAATACTTCACTGCATCAGTGGTTGTCTACTCCACTTTCAATACTAAAACTGTGCAATACAAACTCTTTGCCCTCAAAATTTGGTTTAGGTGCAGTTTCTACTTTAGTGTTGAACCATATAGTACAAGTTCAGTGGGGTTCGTAATCGATCGTTGTCAGAAACAATTTGACGCTATCCACAGTTCGGTGAGGCAAGAGTTCCGAAGTCGCTGACATGGGATTCTCACTACGCAGATTCATTGCATATCGTTCGAGCCAAATGAACAAAACCCATCTTGAATAAATCACAAAAAATTGGTACAGCATATTGTGTCACACCGAATTGCCACAAATAAATGTTTGGCGAAGTGGCACGCTTGTTTTTTTTTTGCGAAAAATGTTGAAAGACAAAGCCTGCCTCTACAGAACGTCTCAAATAAAAGCCAAAAGTGTAATGCACTGAAAAGTTTAGGCGTTCATGTGCGCCATTGGGGAAATTTGATTCTAAGAAGAGAGAAAAAAAGGTTGAATTCCGACCGTCTGTACCGCTTCAGGTCTTCTGGCCGCAGCAGGCGACCAGTACAGCCGCCAGGCCCCGTGACGGACGACGCGCAGAAGAAATTCGGCAACGCCAAGGCCATCTCCTCGGACCAGTACTTCCAGGGATCTAGGGATTCGGACGTAAGAAGATGCCTCTTTCACTCAATCTCGGTGTGGTTGGAGCCTCTACACGACCGAATCTCCATTGTATATGGCGTCATTTCCACACGAACGATGCAGACAGCCTAGAACCTTCATTTTGAGTAGATTGTGAAGTACAATATGCTTCTCTGATTGCACGCAGTGCCATTTATTAGCGTCCCCTAACACATGGAGATTCTCCCATTTTGATCTCGAGGAACGTCAATCTCTCTCGACTACCGTATGGAAATGTCAGAAATTAAGGGTCGACCTATAATCGTGATCAAAGAATTTCGTCCTACATTGCTGACCAAATATTGCGACCCTACCCAGCACATTGAGCTATCGAGGTTGAATAAAGGTGTGTCGAAAAAAGGGTCGACCTATATTCAAATTAATTTTTTTTTTTATTCTCGGTAGTAGTTGAGGACTTTCTCGGTAGTAGTTGAAGACTTCTTCCCAGTGTCAGCGTTGATGCAACACGGCACTGCAGAAGCCTATAGAACTTTTAAAGAGCAATGCACATGCTAGGGAATATTTTGCCAGGTAGTTATGCATCAGTGGATCGATCGGACCTCCTTCAAGGGCGATTAAAAATTTATGCGCACATGCTTTTTGACATTCACATTGCACAAACTCTTTGAAATCCAAATTTGTTGTTGATTATTGCATAGGCTCATTTGAAGATGATTCGCCACATCATACATTGTCACGTGTCTATCCGACAAAATCGGTTTGCGTGCACGCTCAATGTTGTCATTGGTTGTGGAGATGGATGTGCGTCCGGCTCCTCTTTCTTGGACGACAACCGTGCGTCCTTCCTCGAACTTCAGTATTCATTCAAGTGCACTTCGCGACAAGACACTTCCTCTACACTGTGCAGAATGTCTTCGACAAACATCCACTCCAGATGCATCCTCGTACCGCAAAAAACAAACTACTACTACACGCTGCTCTTCTTTCTTCCAAATCACATGTTGGGCAGCCATTGTTCCTCGCACCACAGTCACAACTGAACTGATGCAACGCGTTCAAACCTGCACGGTAGTGACCGGAGAGGCAGCGACCACGTACGAAAAGCACTGATAATACAGCACGGCCAAAAAATGTTTTGAAGTGGCCAAAGTGCGGCTAATTCTTTTAATCACCCTCGTAGAATAGTGCGTCAATTGGAAAAACACTTTAATAAGGGGCAGGGAAGGCCAAGGAACCTTTAGAAGCTTGGGGGAGCCTCCGAGGGTTTTTAGGGAACCCCTGGGCTACTACAGACGGTGTTCGGGAGCCCATGCTTTGTGTGTAACCTTTCTCCTGGTTTAAAACACAGAAAATTTTCCTTACCCCTTCTGAAGCGAAGTAAGCCGATTGAGGATTGCATTTTGCAGTTTGAGAGGCGGGCAACGCTGGCCCGCTTTGAGGGCTCCTCGTCCATCTCGAGTGCCGACTACTTTGGCGGCGGCAGTGGGGGCTCTTCGTCGCACGGCGGAGGAGGTGGAATCTCTGGCGGTGCCAGCGGGCCTAACCTCTACGAGATCCGCGAGGGAGTCCGGGACGGAGTGACTAAGGTGGCCTCTCGTCTCTCCTCCCTGGCCAATGGTGTCATGAGTTCCCTCCAGGTGAGCCTTCCCTAATTTTTGTATGTTTAATGAATTTTGTGGAAGACAGTTGCTTCACCACTAGGGAAGGATGAGCAGATGGGTTCCTTGGGGAATTTTGGGGCAGTGTAGTCTGTCCACCGTCGAGAAAAATGGGAACAAGAGTGCCTTTTTTAATTTCTGCATCTCGGGTAGAAGGAAAAACAATTGCATCACTTTTAGGGAAAAAAAGGGAACTTTGTTTCTTGCGAGGAAATTTTTTTGGGGGGGGAGGGGGGGGGGGGGCAGAATACCGTTAGAGCACAAAGGCACCTTTCCCAATTTTTTGCATCTAGGGAAAAATGAACAGTGCAGTTACCTCTCCACTAGGGAAAAGGGGGCAGGTGGATTTGTTGGGGAATTCCAGGGCAGTGTAGCATGTGCACTGTCGGGGAGATATGCGGACATGGGTCATTCCCTAATTTCGTGTCTGCCTAGGGCGGCAGAATTTTGGGGGCGGCCAATTTGTGGCCGTCCCAAAACTAATTGGCTTTTTTTTTTTTAAGTCTAGTTCTGCATTTAGATACTTTAAAAATTCTAGGTCGAAATCTAGCTACTTTTAAAAATTTGAACTTTAAACTCAATTAGTTCCCTATCCCCCCCCGAATGGTCACTGACCATTGGAAACTGGGGGTTGGGCGGGTAGGGTTGGTGCTGCTCTGTGAAAGGCTGCCTAGAGCTTCAAAATGCTAAGTCTGCCTCTGGCAATTGGGTCTGTTGGGGAGTTTCAGGACATTGTTATGTGTCCACCGTCAAGAAGATATAGCCACAGGGGTACCTTATGTAATTCCCTCTTGCTAGTGAATGAAAAGAAAAGCAGTTGCCTCACCACTAGGGAAAAAGGGGGCAATTGGGTTTGTTGGGGAATTTCAGGGTTTTTTATGTGTGTACCGTCTGAGAAATATAGGGACAAGGCACTTTTGCTAATTTCTCCTTATCTGGGGAAGATGGGAGAAAACAGTTGTCTTACCACTAGGGAGAAAAGAGCAATTGGGTTTGTTGGGGAACTTCAGGGCAGTCTACACTGCCCACATTTGGGGATGTTTGGGAGAATGTTTTTTTAAAGAAATGGAGTGTGTTAATTTTTAATGAAAAAAGAAAAGAGGCTTGGTTAAAAGATGGTAAGTGTGCAGGCGAGCTGGTGGTAGCTAATCATGTCATATTACACCTGAGACTGCAGTGAAAGAAATCGGAAGAACTTTCAGTAGAAGGAACAGACACAGAGAACGTCTCTGTCTGTGTGAGACGTTCTCTGTGTCTATTCCTTCTACTAAAAGTTCTTCCGATTTCTTCCACCGCAGTCTCGGGTGTAATACGACATGATGAGGCTTGGTTCACTTGGAAATTTTAGGGAAGTGGAGCGTATCTAAAGATACGACAACGGCTGGTCAACTTTTCCTTGTCACGCATGTGTGGAGGTATTTATTTTGGCTGACGTCAGCTATTTTAGCCATGATCATGGGTTTATAGAAAGGTGTGAGAGTTTCCCTCTGCACCCCACTGGGGACGTTCGAGTTAGGGAATGGCCAGGGAGAAGTGAAAAACTGGAGGATTGGGAACCAATATCATGTAGCAGATTGTCCGAGTGACATAGTGGAGGTGTTGTCAACGCCGAAAAACTCTGCCGCCAAGCGTAAGCACGCTTTAGCAGCTTCTAACACAAATTTAATTTTTGCTCTCTTTCCTCAATCATACTAACAGAGAAAGTGAAGCTTGTGCACGGTAAGGGAAGCTTTCTTAACAGCTCCAATACACCTACTCTTTTCCATGTTTGGTAGCATGCCCTTATACCCTCTTTTTTTTATACTTAGAAGTTCTGCATCTTGTTTTTAAGCATGCTTTTAGCTCCTAACATTCGAGTTAAAGACACAATGTTTATGAACGAGGCCCATGCATCCAATTTCCCGCAGAGCGTACATTGAATCGTAGCAATTTGCGCGAGAAGCATAGCAGCAGGTTGAGAAAATGACTTTACAAAAGTGATTAACTACAAAACTTACTTACAGAGATAGCAATTTTTCTGTAAAGCTGTCTTCTACGTTCTGTAAGTTACTGGGCTCTTTTTGTCCACCTTGACAATTGAATATGTATCTGAATGCTTGCAGGGAATGGAGTGTGCAAGCATTGTTCATGTGCAGTGTGTCTACGGCTCGTGTAAATACGGTTCTATGGTACACCATTACTGGCATGTTCCTTCACTTCTACGTGTTCTGGCATTTCTGATTTTGTCGCTTGTCTTTACCAGTATAGCTATCCCTTTCCTCCTTTCTCAACTTTTTTTTTTCTAATGGGAAAAGTACACAAATATAATTATTTTTTTCTAGCATACTTTTCTTCAATCAATGCTTTTTACTATTACGTAAAATTCTGTAAGAATGCCCACTCAAAATGAAGAGATAAATTATGAAAAACATTGAGTGGGCTATTTTGGGGGGATGCGACAGCAAAACTTTCTAAAAAAATTAATGATAAACCCCAGGATACCCGCTACAGACCACGTGACGCGGAAACTGATACTGCAAATCACAAACACGGCAAATTCGCGTTTCACGATGCAATAAACACGTGGGAATTCGCTACAAACTCCTGTGTCACTGGAAAGGATACCGCTGGTTGCAGACGCAGCAGATTTCACAGTACGAAAAACGCATGGAAACCCACCAAGAACTCTCATCTCACACAATGGATATCGAGGGCGCACCAGATTCAAGTTTCGTGGTGCAATGAACACGCAGGAACCCGCTACAAACTTGCCTGGGAACGGGAACCGACATCGCGCGCGCAGATTGCAGACAAAAACGCGGTAATCTGCTATGAACTTGCTTGCCGGACGTACCGGTACCGTAGATTGCGCGGTTGATGCGTTTCCCGTCCAACATCGTGTGACATCCGACGGGAATGTGGGGGTGGGTGATGTTTGGAATTTTTATGTTACGGATGTTGAGTCAGGAAAATGGGACGGGCGATCTCTGGGGGAGGGCGTCCTTACGGAATTTTACTTTATACATTTTTTTTGTGAACATAACTTGCAGTTGGTTCATTATTTTACAGTTTGCCTTTTAGAGCCCTGCTTTTTGGCTTACTGTTTCTGTTTTCTGACATCCCTCATCTCCGGTCATCAAATTAAAGAATGCTAAATGATAGAGGCACTTCTGGTGTAATGTTTTCCAGCACGGGTGCCACTTACTCTTTCATAGCTTGCCATGACTGTGGAGGTGGCATTTTTTGGCATGCATCTTTTCTTTGTTCTAGTACTGTTCTTTCAGCATGGATTTTTAGTTGCGTCTTGTTTTCAGCATGCCTTTTTAATTGTCCTTACGTTTCAGCCCATAATTTTGTCATACCTCTTCCAGGTACTAACTTACCTCAAGGGTTTACAGAGCGCGAATTTGTCTGCTTTTTGTGCAGGGTTTGCAGTGACTCAGAACGTTGAGCTCTGATTGGTTCCGATTTGAAGGATAGTGAGTAGACCTCAATGCTAGCTGCCTTGAGGTTTATTCAGATATCCTTTCAATCAAAACCAATCAGAGCTCGGCGTTTGGACGTCACCACAAGAAACAGGTGAACTTGCGCTCCGTATAGGGTGTCCCAAGCGGACCTTCGACAGCGAAATTCGGTGCCTGAATGTGGAAAGCTCATACCATCACCGAACGCGTACCAAGCATTTCAGCTTTATTGTGCGAAATTTCAAGGTGTAGTTCTCTTCCCACAAGCATCTTGTCAAGGTTGCGTGGGTTCACAGATGACCGTTCGCAAACTCAGTCGTCTGTGAACGCTCCCAATCTCGACTCTGGTGAGTTTTTTGCTCTCATTTGTTAGAGGAACAGAACTGTGCCTTGAAACTTTCCACATTCAGGCTCTGATTTTTCCGGCTCGTTTTGCGGTAGACGTCTGCTTGGGACACCCCATAGTTGGTATGAGTCGCTGCTTTTGTAATGGCCGGCAGGATGATAACGGCAGGGAGGTCTTTGAGTCGTTCCGACCCCAGCACAAGCTCCCTACCTCCGACAGTGCTTCGGCATCTTGCTAGCCTCAAGTGTGCAGGCACTGCCAAAGCATGGTGGAAGGCAACGAGCACGTGCTGGGCGCCCGGCATCCAAAAGGAACATCCTGCCGCTCTCACCCTGTGGGCGACTGTAGCCAAAACGAGATGTTGAGTCTCTCACCCGTTTGCCTCTGTTGCAGGATCGCTACGGCTACTGAATTAACCGCCTTGTGGTGGAGGATCCCACCGCACCCTTTGGCCACCCCCGCAAGAAGACTGAACACGAAAGCTTTCACGTTACGGAAGAAAGGAAGGGGGGCACGTTGCGATGACGCTTTGCAAATAAAAGTGCCATTTATAGGTTTGTACCACCTGGCTTCCGAACCTCTGGTGTCCTTGTCGGCTTTTGCTTTCGTCTGTCGTCGACCGTACGCGGCGCTTTGCAAACCAAAGGTAATTGGCAAGTTTCTTTTCTTTGATGCGGAATGTGTTTTATTATTTGAATTCCACGAGAAAACCGTCGTATCAATTTTTCCGCTAGATTTAACGGGGACATTGGATTGTTCCCAGGATCCAAAGCATGTTTGAAAATGGTAAAGCAAGCTGCCAAGAGAAAACACTCTTTTCTTCACTGTCCTCCGATAGTTTTGTTCGTAATGCAAGGTTTTTCGCCCTTTCCCATCGACAGCATAACAATAAGCAGACGGACCTTGCATAATCTGCATTAATAGGGAGTTTTCGTAGACCGCACTACCCCCTCCGCTAAGCGTTCCGCAACGAAAAAGTCGCTACTGCGCCTGCGCGCCGATAGCCTTGACTGTGGAGTTCCCGCTATCGTAGCGGATTGCGGAGGGCCTTGCGGGACGGCGAAAACGTTCTACGAAAACTCCCTAATGGCCTCATTAGGGACTTTTCGTAGACCGCGTTTCCCCCTCCGCTAAGCCTTCCGCAACGAAGCAGCCGCTACTGCGCCGGCGCGACCATGGCCTTGACTGTAGAGTTCCGGCTAGCGTAGCTGGTTGCGGAGAGCGTTGCGGGACAGCGGAAACGATCTACGAAAACTCCCTATTATCTTTAGCGTACTGCCATTTTCCAGCCAAGGATGAAGTATGGCGGTCGCGCACCATACTTCATCCTTGGCCTCAAAGAAAGAAAGGAGGAGAGCTTTGTCGACTGCGCACTTCCGCGCATTATCGGTCTCTGGACTTTGTTAGGATAAGATTGTCGGCTTCGAAAAATCTGCTTGACACTTTGCCAGCGAAGTGACGCGTAGCGGAACTAGCGGAACCGCAGTGTTGATAGAGATATGATAAGCAAAGGTCCTTGCTTGTGATCCATGCAACTTTCTCGCCTCCCCTTATAAAACAAAAAAAAAAAAAAAAAAAAAAAAAAACTGAATGCTGAGTCGGCTGAATATGAAGCACGGTACCGTAGCTGGTGTAACCGTGCTCAAGTCGAAGAAAGTAATGCAGCAATGCGGACCAAAGCAGGCGAACTTATGTAAAGCACCTTGTGAAAGGGAAAGAAAAGAAATGCAAATTTAACGCAAATTGTGCGCACGCAGGGAACAATTGGCAACCCGACTTGGCACGAATGAAAACGAAAACCGAAACGAAAGCTCGCGCCCGCTCCACGCAGCGTGCCAAGAAAGAAAAAAAAAAAAAAAAAAACCGAACCGAAGCAACGTAAGCAACGCACTTCCGGGTTCTTTCGTCGCACTGTTTGTTTTGGGAGAGTGGTAGGAGTGGTAGAGAGAGCGAGGGGGCTTGCGAAAACTGTTTCTTCGGTTTCTTCTCCCCGAGTCCGAAGAAATACTCTTCGCGGATGAAAACAGTCAAGTGACGTCAGCTTCCCTCGCACACACCCCATGTAGCTTTAGTGCATTTTGTACCCCAGAGTAAGTTTATAAAGTCACGTGGGTAAGACGTCACTAACCTTGCTCGTGCAGGCCACAGTGCTGACGTGCAGGTGCAAAAGATTATTATTGTTTTGTTATTATTGTGTACTATGTGAAGCCGTGTGGGCATTGCCAGGCTGTCTGTAGGCTCCTGCTGCTTCGCTGTCAGTCAACGAAATACGTTGACGGCCGTGACGGAGGCCACAGTGACGGAGGCTTTGTGGCTTTGTCGTCTTCAAAACAAGGTCAAAGGGCCTTCACCTTCGCTCGCTCCTTGAAACCGGAACTAAAGAGCTCGGAAAAAAAAAAAACGACACATCTTTCTTTTTCTCTTCTCTTCCGTGTACCATCCGTACCCTCTGCGTGTGTCAACGTCAACCTCTCGTGCGTGCGTTGTGCGGTGTATTCCTCGCGTCGAGGACTTTAGTCGGTGTAGATGTTCCTGTGAGCGTAGGACGACCGGCTCCACGAACGCGTCGGCGTACAAGACTCCGCGATCGCCAGCCTTTCGCCGAGGCAACACCAAATATGAGTGGCAGTCGTCGTCGAACGCGACAAGCGGTATCATTAAGCTCCAGCCGCCGTATTTGCCTCCACAACCACCAGCGCACGTGAAACAACGAAAAGGAAACAAAAAAAGAACAATCGGTAGACTTAAATCGTCGCAGTGACGCACTGTTTTTCCTACACCAGTTTCACCTGTGCCCCAGTCAAGTCAACTCGCATAGAGGAGAGAGGAGGTGAGTTATTATACGTTTGCTTTAGCTCCGCGTCTTTTTTTCCCCTTCTTTTTTTCTCTCCCCGTCGAGACCCTTTCCCGTCGCGTACGTAAGCACCATTATCTCTTGGTCGCAATCGCTGAAAGAGGGGGTCGTTTGGAGGAAAACCCCTGCCGAGATCTCGAGGTCGTACGGACCAGCCAGCCTGCCTACCGGCCGTCCAAGACTTCTGCGTGTGGTGCTGCTTGCCGCTAGGTATGTAAAAATGAAGCGTGTTTCCCTCTTCTTTTCGTCTTCTCGTTTCCTCGGCTGCTCTGTTTACATCCCAAGGTGCTTTTCTCATCTGTCTTGCCTTAAATCCTTAATGATGCGCGTGTGACGTCTTTGGCGGGGACCCTTGACCACTCGCGAGGAAGAAAACGTGCTATTTGATACTGGTCTTTCCGTCAGCTAGGCAGCGCGAACGGCGTGTGTCGATGAACGCTTGTCACTGTAGCGGTGGCGGCGTTTGCCTATTTTTAACTTCGCGCGAAACAGCTGCGTCGTATATTTTATTTGTATTAAAAAAAGTTTGACGTTCCACATTGCAAACCGTATCCACCAACGATGGAATGCACAGGTCCGTGTTTAAGTCTTTTCCTGCGGCACCGGTGTTGTGTGTACCGAGTGCGCAATTCAACTATCTGCGCGCCCAACCATGGAACAACCCGATTGCCCGTGGATACATGAAGAACGCCGGAAATTAGGTCACCCGTGTGACCCTCTACACTCGTGTGCCTGGCTGTGTGCATGTGTGTGTGCGCGTTTGGGAAGACCACCAGTGCCTCAAGAGTCTCCAGTTACTCTTGTCATAATTTTACTCGTCATCATAACGGCCAAGTCAGATTCTTGACAGTCCCATGGAAGCATATTAGCCAACGCAGTGAGATATCTTAAAGCCATACAGTGTGTACTCCTTTGTGGCCACTGGCTTCCATCATCCTTGGAGCCTATAAGCCATAGCGGAGGCAGCAGTGCATGCTTCAATTGCATGTTTAGTACGGATGTCAGAGGTAGCGTTTGGTTTGGCTAAGCTCTTTGACAAGGGTGGATTCTTGGGCACTAGTGGTTCTTTCTGCTGTGCACTTGTTTCAGGAGCACATGGGATTCTGTAGGTGACCCGCTCTTGGAAAGCAAGCCTCGAGTTCTCATGTGCTCGCTAAATTTCGCATGATCCTGGATTATATCATTCCGGTGCATTGCGCCTTGTAATGTGTGCGTGGTCCGGATTGCCTGTGTCACTCCACGCCAGAAAACTAGACGTTACATTTCCCAAATGATCATTCACAATAGATGTGTTTAGTGTGATGTTTTCTTTTTTCACTTTGCCGTGTCTTTGAGACATAGTGCAATATTTCTTAGTATCAAAGATATATGAAATATCCTATTCTCGGAAATTGGAAGTTTGTTGCGCAAACAAATTGCTGACAATTATTCAGATCCGTGTTCCACAAACCGATTTACTTCTAATCGCATGCCTTTATGAAATACTCGAGAGAACTGGTAGTACTTTAGAACATTTGCAAACTGTGAAGTTTGCAAATATGTTGCATTGAAGACTGCAATGCAATTGCTGAACTGTCGGCTAGCTCTGAGTACAACCTTAATTTTAATAGAGAGCTAGAAAGTGTAGTTGCAAAGAAGTGCAACCACATGCTGTACAACCACATCAGATATTCGCTTGCTGGCACCGCAGTTTAAGGTACTTTCTGTACCTCCGTGGCATTTTGACTCGTATTCCTTCATTGCTACTTTCATTTGGTGTCGGCATGCAAAACAGTCTGCACACTTGCATTCTTCTTTCATCATGCAGCTGCAGTCATTGATCGGACTAGTTGCGCTTGCAGCGAGTTTCGGTGACAGGTTAAGGACACAGTAGAAGCTCTGCCTCCAGCATACAGTTGTTGCCCTGTGTCCTGCTTTGGCTGCACATCCGTGGTGGAGGGTAATCAAAGGTTGAAAACTCATACTCAAGGCAAAGCTTCTATAGTCAGTCACAGGTTAAGAGTTCAGGGGAAGCTCCTGCCACCTCTTTACGCATTAGCAGAGCGAGCGCTGGAGAGGATATGACTTCCTCTCCAGTGTTTACTCTGCTGCAGTGGAAAAGGAGGGAGGAGTTTCAACCTGAACTCTTAAAGGACAACTCCGATCGAAAATGAAACCAAAATAAAGGACTAGTATCGCTTTAGTGGCACAAAATATGCCCACATCCGAAATATTACACTATAGTGAAGCCGCATACTCCACGAAAACTTATTTTAATGATGCGACCAGCTGCTCTTTAACGAACGGCAAGCGGGTTAAGTTTTAGTCTAGCAACACTAGTACAGCACCCTTGCGATGTCACATCACGGTGAAGCAGTGGTCAATTCCACATGTTCTACTGCATACCGCAGCACCACCATGACGTCGCATCGCGGCCATACGGCTGAATATTGGTGCTGCTGTATCTCTAACAGATAGTGTTTTTGGTTTTGCCTTAGATGCACGAAACCAAACTTTGAGCCATAATATTTATAAAGCTACACACAGTATCGAAGAAAAAAAAATTATACTTGAGCTGAAAACAGTTGTAATCCCAAATTCAGAAATATTGACTGGTGTTGCCCTGTAACCTGTCACCAACTATATTGCATTCTTCACTTGTCACCGACTGAAGTTAACTTCACACATGTTGCATGCATTGTTGCAAAAACACGAATTGCACAGGTTGTATCTAACAATATCAGCAGCACAAGTTGCGCACAATGCTGCAAATTCTATTGCTACATTGGTTGCAGACGGCAGCATGGCGGAGGCCCACCAGGCAGTTGCCTTCAGTTTCACGGTCACCCATGAGGGCGTCAACATCAACTATGACCGGGAAGTACTCCTGCTCGTCTGGCAGAGCGGCCTGCGATCCTGGAAGAAGCGGGTGGCTCGCTTCCTCACCAACCTCTACAACGGGGTCTACCCGTCCTCGTACCGGAGCCTTTACTTTCTCTTGTCTGTCGTCACTGGACTCTCCCTCCTGGAGCAAGATGGTGGACTCGTGGAGCAGATCGCGTCGCTGGTGTCGATGGAGAAGGCGCCCTCCGCCGCCCCTTCAATCCTGCCGCGCCTCGCCACCAGTGGTGCCGTCAGCGTGGTTCTTTGGGTCGTGTGGAGCTTGGCACAGCGCTATGCCCTCAAGGGACTCTTCATGTACAAGGGGTGGATGTACGAAAGCCGCGGTAGCGGAAGCAAGGTGAGGTTGCCGTCTCCGCATGCCGCAATCTCGAGATACTGAGCCGTCGCTCAAGCGCCGATAAGCGATTTGTGGGTTAGGTGCTGATAAGCGATTTGTGGGATGGGCGCCGATAAGCGACCCAATCTGCTCGACCTGCTGTCTCGCGTTGATTTTCAGCTCGTGAACAGAGCTGAATGATTGATTACACCGTTCGGTTAAAAGTTCCTGTGTATTGGCTTTACTTATGCCCGCTTTGTCAGTCTTGTCAAGCAGAATAAAGGAAATACAACTGACCCTAAATTAAATGTGCCTTTAAGGCACTGTTAAACATGCCGTGCGTTGCGGCATGTTGTCTTTTGCAGACGTGGTACTTCCCGCTTTGTCGACTTCGTTTATAGCTTTTTGGAATGTGGGAATGTTGTGTAAGAAAATGCCTGAAGTAGTTTCGAGCTCATGTAAAGGATCCATCCACTGTATCGTCTTAAATATTTCTGTAGGTGCATTAGACATTCATTGAGTGATCACATTTTTGCCACTTTACAACTAACCGTGAGAAAACGTTTTAGTACATTAATTAATTTTTTTTTTTTAATTTTTTTGAAACAACAATATTTGTGTGTAGAAAGAAAGCCGACTTTGTAGACTATGCAATAAAGTTAATCCTAAGAATGCATTGTTTTCTATGATATTAATGTTATAAATGGACCTAATCAGATGCTGTGAGTATTCTTAGCACAGCATTTGTAGCCCCTCGCACTGGCAGTGCGAGGTGTAACAACCCCATTCTTGAAGGCTCTGCATCAGCTGTGAAAGCTTTTTTATTGCTTTGCTTCTTTTGCCATTCACTTTGACATCAACATTCGGTTACTAAGCGCAAGTTTGTGACACAAGCTACTGAACCAAGTTTTAAAGGCTTTGCATTTGATGTGAAAGCTTTTATATTTTTTTTATATTGTTTTATCATTCTTCCATCTGGTACATCAAGACTCAGTTACTAAACCCAATCTCATGACAAATCAACTACTGACCCCTTTTAACACAGTAGAACGCGTTTATTAGTCGATTTATAAGGAGTTTTGTGCCGGTTGGCTGTAACTGCCGGGTGTAACGAAAAAAACCGACACCGAAAAGCATTAGGCCCTTGGGGAACCATATAAAAAGACTTGGATTGTGAGCCAAGTGCTTTGCCGACTGAGCTATCCAGGGTCGGCAGTCAGGGCACGCAAAAGTGATATAAACATGCCATGGTTAAAATTACGCACAAATGGAAAGGAACAGAGGAGTGAGAAGAGACGAGCACAAACTCACAACTCAATCTATTGAAGGAAGAAAAAGATAGAACAGACCGCAGTATCAGCTCGGGCCGAGGCCACACTTGCATGGGGGCACTCCAGCACGCGGAAGGCACACAACATCAACCACACTCGTACATCTCTTTCCTGCCTTATTTCAGCCTTAAAGAAGTCATGTTTCCACATCATCAAAGGCAGTTTTAATGTTTAAATGGAGAGGCTTACATCGTCTGGGATTCCAATGCAGGTGCTAACTGAGGTGGTAGGAACACTGATAAAAAAAGTAAAAGGATGTGAACAAGCTGCACGTATTTTCAACAAAAAAAGAGTGGTGGCAGTTTCGTATATACACAGAATTTCCCACAATTTGAAACAGGTAGCCAATAGGTATGGGTCCCCTTAGGGATGTTAGCCCCCCAAAAATTGGTCAAATTTGTTCTAAAGTTAGAGCAAAAGTAGATAATATTAAGAACCACAGGTGCAGCACAAAACACGTCCACCCTTATGTGCCCTGTTCAATCAGTGGATTTACAACATCCTCCTTTCATGTGGTAGATCCTACGTAAGACGGTGTTTTACAAATGAACTTCATGGGAGCACAAGGTCAGTTGTCCTGAAAAAGTGTCACTTCAGTTTCCTTTGAAATCTCAAACTATACTGACAAAAGGGGTTGGGCTTTTGAGTTGTCAAGGTTCCTTCAGGACAAAGTGGCTTGGTGATAAAATTTTGTTTATTTTGGTTTAGAATTTTAAAAATTGGAAATGCAGTAAAATAAACTCAGAATTTCACAGAATTGGGAATGTAACAGAAATGAACTTCGATAAATCCCAAACTTCCCGTGTAAAATGGACCCCGAAAAACACCCTCCGAATTTTACGGTGAAATGAACTCCGAAAGCACTGAATCCTAATTGTGTCAAATTATGTCGAGAAATGAATCTGTCACTCAACTTCGGTATGAGGACTTTGGCCCAACAAGTTCTTAGGAGTGTAGGAAAGTGATCCCAGAATTCTGTCGTTCCTTGAAGGGACGCAAATTTCAGGGAATAGTACTTTTAAAGAAACCAGAAAGCGATTCTTTTAATCGGGCTAGCTGGTGGCCACACATTTGTAAAGTATAGAATAGGTTCCAGGCTATTAACATGTACCAGTTTAATATAAAAGTGGAACTCAGTGAGTTTACATCTGAAAAAACCCGATTCACTTATTTTTCGGAAACACCTTGTACATCCACATCTGCAGTTACATAGGCAGAAACGGGGATCCGTAGTCGAAGCCGCCTCCCCCCCCCCTACACACGTGCACACACACAAAAAATATTTCTCGATACGCGATTGCACATAGGTAGGTCACTTAAGGGAAAACAGCCAAGGTTGGAGGGAAAACAGAATTTTGCATTGAGGCAATTATGCATAATGCACAAATGTAGCGTGCATGCTGCGTGCACAGGAAGATATGGTAATTTTAAACGCCCTTCACAAGAACACGCCAAAATTACTTGGCAAGCATAGTTGTCGCATCGTAGCAGGTACCGGCCATCATTGGTGAAGTCAGGTTCCGTCAACAGGAAATCGTAGGGAGAAAAATAGTTTCTCCCTTCCCTTATTTACAAGGCTCCACACATGTCACACCTTTTTCCTCGTAGCATTCACGAGGTCTTAAAGCTAATCGATACGCTTGTGCGAGGGCGGTGCAGGAGACGGAAATGCCATTAAAAACTATCGCAGTTTGTGTCAGTTTTGGGCGGCGACGAGGAAGTTTCTGCCGGAGTAAATTAGTCGACGGTGCAGCAGGAAAACCCGTGACAACTTTCGCTGGAACAGAGTTACTTTTTCATGGTGTCTCGCGAGCACTAATGCACACTTACGCTAGTACCCCAACTGAAAACTTTCCACCACTATTGTAGTTTTTGGTGACAGTCTTTTAATTTCGAGAGAACAAACAGAGAAAACCAGTGATAGCTGGTTTGCATTAACAATGTCGTTTGCCTGCTTTGTCTTGCGAAGCCCCGACCATTTACACTGAAGCAACCAACAACCTTATGATTGTAAAATCATAACAAAACAAACAAAAAAAGCTGATCTTAAAATTTTTGTTTTGCAGCTAATACTGTAAAACCCTTTATTTTCGCGGCCCCTATTTTTCGCGAATCGGTCACAGATGACATAATCGCGACCACTAAATTTCGCGAATTCCAGATGCCTGCATTGAAAATCTTAAGGACTGAAATTGTCACGCGCCCTTAAATTTCGCAAATTCTTCAATTCGCGAAATTCGCGAAAATTGAGGGCTCGCGAACATAAAGGGTTTTACAGTATCTAATGCAAAGCAAACTAGAGATGGGGACTTTTGTGAAACATCGATTCATTAGATGCCTCTGCAGTTGTTTTTTAGCACTTTTTCCTCCAGCTGCGACGGTTTCGAGCGTTGAGCCACCGTCAGGGCCGGTTTAATTGGCGAGTATTCCCGACTGTGCAACAACTGTATGGGGTTGCTGTCTGTTTGTTTTTGCACTCTTGGCGACCTGCCCCTTTTTGTTGCACTTATTTTTAATTCTTGGCAAGTGATGTGCATTTAGCACACGTGCACACACTGTCGCTCTTATTTGGCTTCAGGCTCTGCTCGTGTGCTGGCAAAGCAGGTTTACAACTACATGGTTTTGATCTCATTGCCTCACAATCTAATTTGCTGTACGGGTGAATTGAAGGCCGAAAGTTGTTTGTTAAGAAAGAGAACATAACTTTTTTGTTTGTTGAATCTGGGCGTGATAACCTCTTTATACGAAACGTATTTCTAAACAAGGGGGGAAAAGGGCAGCATTCTTTAAAGGCAGCAAGGTGAAAATTTTCAGTATTTATTTATTTACTCAAGGCTGAATCATTTTATTTTGGCACATTTTCCTGTACCTGCTGCTCAGATGTCGCTATTTAGAATTTTTCTATGCCTGTCACTTTGAGGGTTTTACATCTTCGAACCCAATTTTCTTCCGATAAAAACGTTTTTGAGTTGAAATGGCATTTACTGATAGACGGAATATATATAGACATAAATATTTTCAGTTGCCTTTAATATTTTTGTATGTTCACAGCTAAGCCCTAAAGTGAACTAGAGCATGACTTTTTCAACACTTAAATTTTTTAAATGGCCTTGAAGTGTTATTTTACTAGCACTCTTTCTTCCAGCTGCATTCTTTTTTAGTGTCGAGACCCCACGTGTACGGATTCTGTTTAGTCGGTGTGTCCTTCCGACCAAATGATAACAATACTGGAAACTGACGACACCGTCTGACAGACGCACACACTCAGTTGTTCTCATTTTGTTTCAAAGTGCAGTTGTTACGGTGAAGCAGAATTCGCTGCAGCATGCTTTGAACTCATTTCACTGTGGGCTTACTGCTATACTGCTACATGAAAGGTGTTTCGCCAACGACTGAGAATAATTTTTTTTTTTTTTTTTTAAAGGAGGCATTTTAAATAATGGAATGATTCCTTCAAAATAACATTATCGACCATCGGAGATGTCGAGCGTAGTAACAGGCATTCATTTCCAATATTCTTGCCTAACTACACAAATTAGCTCTAGCAGCAATGCAGATGATATTCGCGTCTTCGCACCTGCTGCACAAATGGTAACTTTACCGTACCCCCTACTTCCCACATGATCGAGTCCTAAAATTGACTGACTTCTGGGTTTTCGATGACCCTTAGGAAATTTCTAATGGGAACCGTGCGGTTAATTTTCCAAATGGAAAAGTTTGTCAATTTTAGGTGATTATTTTGGCTAATTAGTATGTCTTTTGTAATCCCCAATGTCTGCCGTGGCTGGCAGTTTGTTCCCGAAGAGGCTTTCTCTTTTATTCAGACACCCTATTTTTTTTTAGAGATGTTTGAAAGTCTTTGCAAAAACACCCAAAATAACTTGGAGGTTCTCAATAAAAGCTTAAAAGTTTTATATAAAAATAAAAGCATCATTATGCCTATTAAATTTTAATGCGGCAATTCTTTCATACTAAAAATATTGCTAAACAAACACTGACACACACAAGAAACAATGTTTGAATCCAGAAAGACGCCAGTTTGTGAAACATCGCTTTGTCTACGAGTGCGCATTTCTTTACTATGTGCCACTGACACATTGCAGTCGAGAATATCTCTGCATATTTGTCTTTTGATGCCTGTCACTTTAAAGGCGTGACATCTTCAAACTTCATATTTCTCCGGCTAACACATTCTTCTATTGAACAAACTTATCATTAGACTAAATCGTTTCCCGGTGTCAACTTGTTTGGCCTTGATTTTGTCCAATGACAGCAATTACAGGCAACAAAAGCTCTGCTTCAAAGAAAGCTCTGGCCTTAATTCCAGTGAGGAGAATCAGGAAGTTGTCTGAAGGCGAACGTTTGAGAGGCCCTTGGGGAGCCAGACGTTCCCTTTGTTCTCATCACAATAGTTGCAGCCCCTACATGTGCGTCTCGAATGAACCCCACACGAGTGTTTTGAAGCAGCCAGGAACAGCAACAAAGGTTCCACCCATCCGCTTGAAACAATCGATCACAGTTATGTTATTCGATGCCTAATCGGTGTAGTTATTGCACCTGTACTCTGCCTCACCATAGCATGGACCATGGCGAAGGCTGCACGCATGAGCGTGTAGCCTTGGTTTTTGCTCCAACTGCATGCACAATCATACTGGGAGGCACTTGGGAAGACAAGGAGCTCGCACTTTCTATATATGAAGTAACTCGAAATATAGATGCATCATGGTCTGAATTTGTTTGGGTATAACCATAATTTATGCTTACAACTTGAATTAAATTCAGGTTCTTCCTTCGAGCGTTCGTTCTTAGTGCCTGTATTTCTTTTGATTGTTGGGCTGTGAGTTGCTTTGCTGTTTTCTTTCTTTTTACATGAAATGTTTATACTTTTCTTCAGCATATTAAGGGGGTTATCAATTTGCATGTGACCTGTAATGTTTGTTCTTAATCATACTGATTAGATCTGTCACACCGACATAATCCTATCTACGATTCGTGGTTTGGGAAATAAAAGTTTGCTTTGTACTACAGTATATACTACTTTTTATCATAGCTACTAGTCAAGCCAAGCCTGCATGCACGAGCCTTGTGCTTTGATCATAGCTGGTGTGCACAAATGTCTGTGCAGTGCATGCGCTATTCAAAACAACATCCTCATGCTTGTTCCTGGCTCGCTCGCATATCAAAGTAAACGGAATATAGAATCTTCGAAGATGGTGAACTTATAAATGCATGGCATTTATAGGACGAGCCTTTAAGGTTTCTGTGTCCGCACCCGGGATTTAGCCTCAAATTTGATGTTGCGCCGACAACGCCACGGTGTTCACAACAGCTGGTGTCAGTCTGTGGTGCTGGAATGTTGACGAGTCCGAGGGAACTCTCGGGTCATAATCTTTCACGGTGCTCTACGACGTCACACGACCTAAGTCGACATCGCGATGTGACAATGACACTGTCATTACGTGACACCGCGATGTTACGAAGGACCTCTACGCGCAATGCTTTTTGCGCATCTTTAGAATATCCCGAAGAGATACGCAGTTTTGTCCCCCTTGAGATTTATGAACAAAATGGCCACACACCACGACCACGTGGTCCGACACTGCCCGCATCTCGTCTACAGGTGTCGCTGACGACGCGCCTCTGGTTTTGCGGAGTGCGGCTGCTGAAGGGCAAGAACCCGCTGCTGTTCAGCTACCAGTCGACGCTGCCCAAGCTGCCCCTGCCTTCGCTGGACGACACAATGGAGCGCTACCTGCGCTCCGTCAGGCCTCTGCTGGACGACGCCAACTACGCTCGGATGGAGGGACTCGCCAAGGACTTCCGGCACGGCATTGCCCAGAAGCTCCAGAGGTGCGTCCAGTTACTTTGCTGCGACCATACGGTAAAGACGGGAACAGGACGTGGCCAACCGTAATCACCGACATTGGTGCTCCGGAGAGGAGGAACGAGGAAGGGGGCAACAGAAAAGGGAAGAAAGAAAGCAGACTCTAGGTTGGACATAATTCATTTTGCCGTGACAGTGCTTAGATTGCCCGATCAGGAATCTTTTCGTCGTGCTGTGGGAAAGTTTTCCTTGGGGACAAATTGAGGCACCAGAGGCGTGCTGCCGACGTTGGGTAGTCGGCCAGTCAGTTTGCTCGGAAGACCTAATTGATGGACCTTGATTCGGAGAAGCTACCGCGGAGAAAGTCGCTGGGTGCGTCTACTTGTCCGTAAAACCCCTCGGACGCTCTAGAAAGGTGGACGATTAGAAGCGCCATATATGCACAATATGCTAGGGTGGAAACTGCCAAAGTGTTTAGACCAGTAAGTAGTTTTTCTAAGAACCCTGGTTGCATCACCACTTGGTTGGTCAGGCTTCATGTAGTGTGCTCTAAGCTTCGAATCTCCCATGGAGGATTCTCTTCAGAGTCTTCACGCCCCAACATAAGAATACATTAGGGTTCGATGAGGTGTCGCAGCTATCGCTGTGATTATACTGTAAATGCACACAAGACTGCTTTTTTTGCTTGCATTTTTATGCAGAGCCGCCTAGCTCATTCAGGCCCAAACACAGCCTTGCATGTTGTAAAAGTAGTTTCTTACAGGCAGTTTTCATTTCTGCTCCTACTGTGTCTCGCACGACTTTTATAGCCCTAAGCACAGCCAAACACAGCCCCCCGCTCGCAGGTACCTCTGGCTCAAATCATGGTGGTCGTCCAACTATGTGTCAGACTGGTGGGAAGAGTATGTGTACCTGCGCGGGCGGAGCCCCATCATGGTCAACTCTAACTTCTATGCCATCGACGCCATCCTGGTGAAACTGACGAGCAACCAGGCGGCTCGGGCGGCCAACCTGGTCTACGCCTCCTTTCTCTTCCGCCGGGGCATCGACTCCCAGCAGATGACGCCCATCATGGTGCAGAACACCGTGCCCCTGTGCTCCCGCCAGTATGAGCGTATCTTCAACACCACCAGGTGGGGTCCCCCATGGTGGCGCAAGCAGCCACCCGATTTAAAGAGTTGGCCGTGTGCATCCGTCTCTCCAGTCCCGCTTTGCGACCACACATCACATGGAGAGCATCTTCTAGGACGACCGTTACGCTCAGCCCAAATTGGCGGTAGCCCAGTACTGTAGTCACTTCTCTCTCGTTGTTTCCCAGTGTTGTTTAATTTTAGAGTGCACCTCTTCGGTGCCCGTTTCCGGCTTAAGCGGCATCGCCGTAACCGCGTGTTGCATTATGGGAAACGTTCCATAATGCAATGTGCGGGTCTCACTCGTGACCCGGGCATTGCATTATGGGATGTGTCCCATAATGACGTCACACGTGACGTCACGAGAGTTACGAGTGACGTCATTATGGGAAACGTCCCATAGTGCAACACGCAATTCATGATGGCTTTCAGTGACGTCACTCGTGACCCGTGCGTTGCATTATGGGACGTTTCCCGTAATGACGTCGCACGTGGCGTCATAACAGTCACGAGAGTTACAAGACATCACAACCGCCATGAGGGACATCATTATGAGAAATGTCCCATGATGCAACATGTGGTTTATGATTGACGTCAAGTGCGACATCACGAGAGTCCTGAGTGACGTCACGAGAATCACGAGAGTTCCCAGTGACGTCACGAGGATCACGAGAGTTACCAGTGACGTCGCGAGGGTCACGAGAGTTACCAGTGATGTCAGTCATTCCCCCTTGCGTTGCATCATGGGACATTTCTCACAATGAAGTCACAAGAGTTACGAGTGACGTCACGAAGGTTACTAATGAAAGTCACGACCTTCACCTGATCTTCACGTGGCCTTTACGAGTGACGTCACCAGGGGGGAGAAGGAAGGCAGGGGGGGGAGCGGAGGTTATGGAGGAGTAGGAGGGGCATACCCTCCTTTCTGTACCCTCCCCGCCGCCTCCTCAAGAGCTGCGTTCTAATTCGGCATTAGCAAGAGTTGTAAATGTCTTTCATTCTTTAAAAGACCCTTGCCCATAGGAAACAAATGTTGGCCAAGTGCAGTTGCACCGGAGTTCTACAGTGAAATACTGTGCAAGCTCCCGTGCAAAAGTTGGAGATCACGAAAAAATTGAGAATGAGCACTTTTTAGGTATGAGAGCAGAAAAGGAGGAGGGGCATACAGTGAGATAGACTTTTGTTTGGTGCTACGGAATGGTGTGGAAGCGGTACAAGAGCTTGGCAGAACCCTCAATTTTTAAGCCTCTTCACATGTCCTTTGCCTCTATATCAATTATTTTAAAAGTAGGTTGTGGGCGCTAATTGCAGTATGGGTGCCTGCTTGGTATTTTACGGCAGTCAGTGCTGCCGGCTGCAGCCTACCTCTCGACACCGGTGTTTGGGGTGTAAATTGCCCGTCTCATAAACAAGTCGTCTTCACTTTGGAACCATCTGTGCCTGCCGGAGCCCTTCAAGAGCCAGACGTGCAAAATCTCTTTTTAGCCAGGCTGGAACTCCTTCTCTTTCTCATTTTGCATTTGTCGATGAGGGAAGGAGCCTTGTTTTCTGGGAACCTCGAGCGAAAAGACCACTTACTATGGGCAGGAAAGGGGCCCTTTGTGTACAGGCTCCAAAACATCCCTTAGCTTTGCCTTACCTTGCCCGCATCCATTGGAAAAAGGGACGAGTCTCCTTTCCTTCCTCCCGAACCTCGAGTTGTCCTCTCGTCTGCAGCATGACCAAAGTGGGGGGTTGTCCGTTAACGCAGGGTCCCCGGCGTGGAGACAGACCAGCTGGTCCACTACCAGGACTCTCAGCACGTGGCGGTGTACCACAGGGGGCGCTTCTTTAAGCTGCCGGTGTATCACAAGCACCGGCTGCTCCAGCCGTGCGACCTGCAGCGCCAGCTGGAGCACATCCTGAGCAATGAGAGCGCCCCGCAGGTCGGGGAAGAGCGGCTGGCCGCGCTCACGGCCGGCGAGCGGTCCGCGTGGGCCAAGCTGAGGGAAGCGCACTTCCGCAAGGGCCTCAACCGGATCTCCCTGGACGCCATCGAGAAGGCGGCCTTCGTGTTGGTCCTCGACGAGGACGAGTACGGGTGAGTAGGAGCTGCTGCCCAATTGAAGAGGTTGAGCGTATGCATCCGTCCATCCATTCGTCCATCCCTGCTGCCACACACCGTTATTTTTATAAAATGTTAAACTTAATGTTCTGTGTCTTGTACACGGAGCGGTTGGAAAGACCAGCACATTTGGCACGCCTAGCAAGATTCTAATTCTAAGCATACATTCGTGGAATTGGACACACAGAGGTCATTTCACGAGGTTTTATGTATTTTTGTTAGAGCTCTACTTGGGGTGGTAAAATATTAAATATAGAGCAAAAAGGGCGGCCATACATTTCCTGTGCCCCATACTGGATTTTTGTCGTCTGCTCGCTGTTTTGCGAGCTTGCTCCCGGGGGGTGATCATTCATGTATTCTGTTAAAACGATTACTTATCGCGATTATTGTGCTTGTCGCGAGCCTCAATGGCATTCTTGGCATTTTTGCATTCAGCAAGCCACCCGGGAGCAAGCTCGCAAACCAGTGTGCATACTACCAGCAGGGTGATATAAAACAAAAAATGCACAGCCGCCGTTTGAACCTTATTTTTTTTTTTATGTCTTACCACTTCTGAGTTGAGCTTTAAAAAGGATAGATTTAAAAGTTCTTGTGAAATGACGTTTGAGTGCCCAATTTCAGGTACTCTATGTATGTTTAGAATTCGAATTTTGCAAGGCATGCCAAGTGTGCTTGTTCTTACGGCCTCACCCTGTATGTTTCACCTCACGTTGGACTGCTGCAGACGCTGCAAGCTATCGCCTTGACCGTATCACATGCCACTGGCCGCAGTGGCCAGGGGGCGCAAGTCACTGCCCGATTCAGAGTGTTCAGCCGTATGCATTCATCCGTTCTGTGTTCCAGGACTACTTTGGGCTTACGTGAACTCTGGCGGCAGCTGTGGCAGTACTGATTTGTGAACAGAGTGGACGCGAGCACGAGACACCTTGGAGACGAGAGCTGCAGTATTGGATATGCATAATGTAAACTTCTCATGTATGATTGCAGAACGATAGTGGCGACATCCAGTGAAATATATTGACAACATAGATGGCTTTCTGTCGACAGAGCCTGTGCCTCTATTTGAATGTAGTGCATGGGCTCTCAAGGTTCTTTGTCTCTGGGAACATTCATTGGTCTTGAATGACAGCCAAGCAGTTCTAACAATGTCCTTTTGGCATTACAGTATAAACTCAGTATTGTAGTCCTTGATATTCATAATGATTTTGGTCTGTTGTAAAAGGAACATGCAGAACGCAGACACTTTTAATCGCAGACTTTGATTTGATTATGACTGTAGCCTGTGCTTACTAGTGTGACTGATGAAATGCATATGAATATTAGACAAGAACTGGTCTATTGAAACTTGTAATCCTTGAAAGGTAGCTATTTGTTATTAAGCTATACAAATAATAATAATCACTACATGCCTTGGGTCATACTCCTTGCAAGCCTCTTGCAAAAGTGCTGAGCCCAATGACAACAGTTTGCAAACTAGACGCCGCCGCTACTGAAGCCGCGTAATGCCCAAAATAATTACTGATGTCAAGCTGTTTGCTATCACAGAATGGTGAATTTTACGGATTACATGTTTCTTTTGCCGAGAAACATGTAATCCTTGAAAAATAACAAACCCCGCAAAAAGCACCTGCGAATTCGACGACAAATAAACCCCAATAACACTGAACCCAGTTAGGACCAAATGCCCACTGTGATGAGACCTGTTGTAGTGAGGTTATGCTGTATTGCAACAAAGCTGTGTCGAAGCCGTCATACTTTGCTAAGAGTAACGCACTCACTAAGAAATGTTTGGCTTATGGCGCTGCAGCATGGCTCTAATGCGATACAAGAGTGCATAAACTCGTGAAACACTTCACTTCAGGATAAGGACGATTCAGAAGAATTTGGTATGCCTGAGGAATCCCGAGTTTACTGAAGGTACATGGTTTCAGAATTCATGATGTAAACATTCTAGACGTATCTAGCAAAGTTGTAGAAACCTTGAAATTTTCGGTATAAGCATTTTTAAGTCATTGTGCGGTAAGGCTGTCTTGTCAATGCACTGGTAAACCAGGCGGCGAAGACTAATATAACTAAAGACGTGTGTAGCAAGGCGAAATTGAAGTTAAGGCTGAAATAGGATATTAATATAATAAAGCGAAGTTGAAGTATGTTTGTGCTATAGTAGTGCCTATATTGTGAAGCCACTGATGTAGTGAAGGCTTTTTTTTTTTAGGGGCGAAGCTCCTTAGGGGCTAGCCATGCCTGTATGTCCGTCCGGCGTCGGGTGCTCATGCTCACGTCAGAAAGAGAATGTGTGGTATGGAACGTGGTTATATACGCATTTGGGCATTTGACCGCAGCGTGACATGGATGAAAACGAACGAAAAGCTCGGCATGCTGCGGCTCAGCGTCTACGCAGACAAGCACCACCAGAGCTTCGCCCTAACCAACATCATTCACCACGTGGAGATGCGGTTTTTCTTAGGAAAGAAATCACTTTGCCTAAAGAAGCTTAAAGGAGAGCTTTCATTTCTTAATGCCTGACTTTAGTGTTGAGAGGTTCTGCTATTTAAGTCCCATTGGTGTTGCCCCTCCCCCAGGTATGACCCGAAGGACCCCGGGCAGCTGAATCACTATGCAAGGTCGCTACTGCACGGGCGCGGCCATGACCGCTGGTTCGACAAGTCCTTCAACCTGATCGTGGGGAGCAATGCGAGGGTGGGCTTCAACGCGGAGCACTCATGGGCAGATGCACCCATCATGGGGCACTACTGGGAGTTTGTACTGGCCCAAGACTTCTTCATCCTCAAGTGAGTGTGCGCCCGGCTGGCTGCGGACAGATTCGAAGAGGAGGTATGCAGGCGGCGCTGTTCTTTGGGTCCAAAATTCGGTTCTTGTTTGGGAATTTGCGGCCTCAAAAAGCTCGAGGATCTCGAGGCACGGCCAAACTCTCAACCTTTTTGGTATCTCTGGCCTAATTCGCCAAAAAGGTTTGGCTTAACTGACGGTAGTTTGACTTTCGTCAAACTTTTCGGGCCCGAATCGCCAAACAAGTGCCAGATTTGGGCTTTAGTTCGGGTTGTTCGGTTTTCATGTGGCGTCTTTGGCTCAAGTCGAACACTTTGGCTATTATGTGGCGAGCCAGAGAGAACCCACAGCAACGGCAAAGAAAAAGTACTCTGGGACTGACGCACTGGAGCAAAACCGAGTTAGGCCCTGAGGATCGCCGAGCTCGTGCCAGGTTAAGCGTTTCTCTGGCATGCTACCTGAGTATAAACCCCGAGAAGACGGAGTGGCGGCACCTGGTGGCTCCTTGTCGTTGACGTAGTAGCAAGGATCACGTGACCGCTTCTGCGCTTCGTTGGTAGCGTATAGGTTGAGGTGTATCATTCACGATTCACGTTTGATTCATTCATTTGAACAGGAGTTTGGGATTGCTTTTCACCTAATTATTTCGTTGTACTTCTAGTCAAAATTAAACTCGAGCAGCGCAGCAACAGTGGTTCGCGGCCTATGGAACAGTGGCCCATCTGACCCAGTTTTGTGTTATCGTACTGACCACGACCAAATTGGTTGTCATCGTAGCTTTGGAGGCTTGTCAAGTGACCAGGCAGGTAGATTCTGAGTAATTTTCAAAACGAGCTTTTTTTTTTTCTAGCCTGTCGGAAACAGACAGAGAAAATAAAAAACAATCACGAGGATGGCCGAGCAGGCGTTGTACTTGACATTACCGATTGCTGATTTTTTTTGCAGTTTGTTCGCATAATTTTAGAGACACAAACAAAAAATAAATTGTATGTACCACATGATGCGAGGGTAATCCATAGCTTGTTTATTTGAGCTTACGTCAAAGAAAGCAAAAAATGGAATTGACAGGTGTGCCACAGCGACAAGAGCGTCTGCCACCACAGCAGAACACTCCGAAAATGACAAGAAATGGTTCTTACAAACAACCATTTCACATTGATACGATGTACATATGAAAATACTGCAAAACCTTTGCTCTAGGGAAATGCAGTTCCAGGGTCGGCTTGTAGATGGAGCCAGTGTGTGTTTTCATCGTAAGAGATCACGAGAACTCGGTTGAAAGCAAGTCATTGAACCAGCCCAGGTGGTGAGACATGCTTGATGTTTAGATGCTTCTGACATCTGGGCTCATTTGACCCACCAAATGTACTGGGAAGATTTTGTTGAAATGAATAAAGACAATTTGTATAGCTTTTTAGTTGCCTCTGCAATTGTAATCTCACTTTGCCGGGGTGCCCGGGGAAAATATCAGAGGTCCACACTGGCACGTGCCTGACAATGCCGGGGACTGCAGGTACGACGAGGCCGGAAACACCCTGGGCTTTTCGAGCCTGGAGCTGCCGAATCCGGTCCGGCTACGATGGGACCTGTCGCCAGAGGTGAGCTTTTAGTGCGTCGTGGCATGCAAAGCAACGTAGCAGTACGCTTTTCCGGGTCACAGTGTCAATTTGACACCTTGACGTGATGCGGTCGCGAGATCGCGGGATTTAGGGCGAAATGATCATGTGTCGCCCTAAGGCAGCCCTTTAGCCTGCATTCTGCATAATTCAACTTTATACATAGATCGAGGTATTTTCACAGCGACAGCCGTTAGTGGCAACCTTCCCGGGGAAATTGCGTAATCAAGCGCCGCGAAAACTCTCGGTGACGTAGTCAGCCACGTCATCAATCGCGTGATCGTTTCCAGCCGCCGCAATTGAAACTCATGGCTGTTCCCAGCGTAGTCGACACCCTCTTGTGCCACTGCATGTGCACAACTATCTTAGATAGGCAACTCCCTTCCTTCTTCGGCACTCGCTGTTGAGGACGGCGGAAACAAAAGCATGGGGCGCATTTGGCTAATAAACAAGCACACGAAGCGCGCAAAGAACAGACAAACCTTGCACGCCATACGGATGGATACGGAAGATCATTGGCGGGTCCGAGGAGTGCGACTCGGTTATGGTACGGCGCCTGGAACGCGTCTCTGACTGCTGCGTTTACCGTCGGGTCCCACCCATACATAGAAAGTGGTCCCAGAGTGGCAAAAAATGACTTCACAAAAAATGCAGCGCCATGCTGTCAGACGTCGCGGTCCCGGTGGTTGGTTGTAGAAGCTCCGACAAACATGGTTCCTTAACTAACAAAAACTCGAGGAACCATGTTTTTTTAGACGCGCTAAACACACCAGTCGGAGGCTCGTTCCAGGCACCATGGTTACATCACCCCGAGAAGGCTCGTAGGCAGGCTACGGTTTGGGCACAAAAGCGTAACCAAGCTGTCACCGTGACACACTTTACGCGATACGGTAAATGCACCATAATTTTAGAGCGCAGCTCTTAGGGGCCCGTTTCCAGCCTGAGCGGCGTCGGCGTCGCCGTTGGCGTCGCCGTCGGCGTCGGCGTCGGCGTCGGCGTCGGCGTCGGCGTAACCGCGCCCCTCCCTCTCCTCCTCCTCCCCCTCCTCCTCCCCTCATCCTCCTCTTCCTCCCCCTCCTTCTCCTCCTCCCCTCATTGTGTAGTATGGTCCGGGCGGGTCACGTGACCTCTGGGGGAGGGGGTCACATGACCCGTTTCCAGCCTGTGCGGCGTCGGCGTCGGCGTTGGCGTCGGCGTCGGCGTCGCCCCTCCTCCTCCTCCCCCTCCGCTCCTCCTCCTCCCCCCTCTTCCCCCGCCCAGGTCACGTGACCCCGGGGGGTGACTCCCCTCCCCCCGCCGAAGTCACGTGACGGCCCGCCCAAGGTCATGTGATCCCGTCCCCTCGAGGTCACGTGACCCCCCGGACCTCTGCCCTCCTCCTCCTCCCCCTCCTTCTCCTCCCCTTATTGTCTGGTTCGGGGGGGTCACGTGACCTCGGGGGGAGGGGTTCACATGACTTCAGCGGCGAGGAGGAAAGCAGTACGAAGGTGGAGGAGGGGGGGAGGAGAGAAGAGGAGGCGGAGGCGAGGGGAGGAGCTTGAAGGACGAGGAGGTGGTAAAGGAGAGGGAGGGGGAGCAGGAGGGGAGGAGGACTAGCAGGCATGATCACGAGGGAGGAGGAGGAATATACCCTCCACTCCTCCTCCTCAAGAGCTGCGCTCCAATTCGGCGTTACAGGAAGTTGTAAACGGCTTTCACTTTTTTTGTTTCGTCTTTCGTCTCCTTTAGTTGGTGAGCCACATCGAGGCCAGCTCGCTGGCTGCGGTGGCCCTGCTCGAGGACGTGGACCTGCACCTGCTCACGCACACAGCCTACGGCAAGGGCTTCATGAAGAAGTGCCGATGCAGTCCGGATGCCTTCCTGCAGATGGCGCTCCAGTTGGCGTACTACAGGTGCGTCGCAGTCGCCTTACTGCCGTGCCCCGAGGCTAAAAAGCCTCGTAATTTTCCGCCGTATTTTAATTTGTCAAACAAACCGTCACGTGCAAAATTGCGTTCTACAAGGAATGCAGCAGACGCCGACGTTCAACCTCGACCTTCTTGGCTGGTATTTTAGCAATGAAACGCCCTCCTTTGTGCCATTTTTTTATTCTTGTTTTCAAGGCATTTTGCAGCTAGTGAAGTCTTCTTGAAACTTTTCTCCTGCCCCCTTCTGTTTTTGTAAAGCTGCCTCGGCAACTCTGAGGCAAAGCCCATGCCGGCCTACTGATTCCCAGGTGGCAGGTCCGAACCCCGGCCTAGGTGCCCGCAATCTGACGGAGGTTTACTGCAAAGAAGGCGCCCTGTAACCGAGATTTCTGTTGCACGTCAAAATATTCCCCTTCCTGGTCCGAAACAATCCTCTGTCCTCTGCCGGGGCATGCCAGTGGGCCTTCGTTGATGTGCCACGTAAAACCCCAAATTTAGCTTTTTTTGATCCACCATTTTTTTTTTTGGCAGCCAGCTAACTCCCACTGCGGCATGGGACACTTGTGACACACTTCAGAATCTGGGCTTGCTTTCCTAAGAATGCGATTGTGCTCAATTTATGGTGCTCGACGCGGTACTAACCAGCCGTCTCACGGACACAGGGACGCGGGCCGGTTCAGCCTGACGTACGAGGCATCGATGACGCGGCTGTTTCGGGAAGGGCGCACAGAGACGGTGCGCCCTGTCACGTGCGAGTCCAGGACATGGGTCTTGGCCATGCTGGAGCCCAACGCCACCGTGCAGGAGCGGAGGCAGAAGCTGGCCATCGCTTGCGCCCGACACCAGAAGGGGTGAGTAGCCCTACCTCAAATTCTTGCGCGTTGAATTCGTCCGTCCACCCGTACGCAGCTTCTATCCTGAAACGTTTGTCCATCTGCCTGTGCGTGGCTTCTCACGCGATCTATTTATGCATCCGTGGCACGTGGCTTCCTGCGCGATACATTCATACTTCCATTTACGGCTTCCAGTCGCCTGCTGCGACTTCTGTTTGAGCAAGGGCGCAGCTTTTCTTCAGCTGTCACCTAAAACGTGAACGTTTTGTATGGTGAAATACCGTTTGAGCAAACTTTGAGGGACCTCAAGATGTTCGCGTAGAGGGATACTCCGGCAATTTTTCATGCTACTTTAACTGCTGTTTCGTATTGCGAAATGCTATTTCGTATTGCGAAATTCAGAATAGTTGTTGTGAAATCGGCAAGAGAAAATGATGCCAAAACCAACATTCAAGTATACCAGCCCTTTTAAATGCTGTGACATCTGGGGAAGGCAAGCTTGTAGGTTGAGGGGGTAGTAAAAAAAATATGGACTACGTTGAGCATCATTTTCGTGCTGCTGCACGGGTGCTGGAGCAAGCTTCCAAAGCATTGAACACCATGAAACTGCTTGTAATCAGTAGGGAACAAAGTCTACAGTCCAAAGAGTGAACCCGTGTCTTTCCTTGAGGTCACTTTTTAGGGGCGAAGCTCCTTAGGGTCTAGCCTTGTTCATCCGGTGTCCGTGCTCATATTGATCTTGCTGGTGCTCGTGCTCGTGAGCTCACACATGCTCGTGTAAAACAAAAAACAAAAAGCTAAAAAAAAAAAAAAATGTTAGCGCAGTTGACAGGATTCGAACCTGTGTGGGGAGACCCCAATGGAGTTCTAGTCCATCGCCTTAACCACTCGGCCACGACTGCGGGACGAGTAGGGGGCTCTGAGATGTGGTAGTAACTTGAGTTGGGAATGTCATGGATAAAACGTTGCATGTAGCCGCTCAACGTCTATACAGGAGAGGGCGCTGCGGTCAAATGCCTATATAATCGCATTAAACTTTGCATGCATTGGCTCAACGTTTATAGACGAGGGGGCGCTGCGGTCAAATGCTTAAATCCGTATAAAACCACGTTCCATACCACATATTTTCTTTCTGATATGGGTGAAAACGAACGAAAGGCTCGGCATGCCGCGGCTCAGCGTCTGCGCAGACAAGCACCACCAGAGCTTTGCCCCAATCAACATCATTCATTCTGTGGAGATGCGGTCATTTTTATTGTTGCTAGTACAGATTTTCACATTGAAAAACAGGGTGAGGTCCAAAATTGTAAGTTTAATAAGTTTGCAAAAAAAAAATTTTATTTTGGCCCAATATTTGGGGTACTTTTACAACGACGTCTATTGGTGCGTCTCGCAAATTTTCACGCAAATCGGAAACTACGAAGGAAACTTTGGAGCACACCTCTAAAGGGACACTGACGGGCTATTTATGCTCGCCAAGGTTTTTAATCATACTTGACCTATGAGAGTCCAACTACCCAGGAAACAATTGGCGGCTCGAAATTTGTTTTCTCTCCGCCTGGAATCCGCCAACTGAAAATTGGCCAGTTTGAGTCGTGCAGTTTATTTGCAGTTAAGACGCCACCAAATATGATCAGAGTCATGGGTCATTAAAGACACACACTGAATATTAAAAATAAAAAAAAAATAATACCCATTCTTTGTGGCTTCTAATAAACTGCAAATACATTGATTGAACAAAAAAAAAAGGTTGCGCAGCCATTTGATGATTTGCCTGCTCTCTCTCCTCTATATTTCTTCTTCCTCTCCAGTCTAATATCGGTTTCGAGAAATTGTGTTTTTTTTTGCTTTATTGAAATATATGTGACGCTGTAGCAAAATATTGATTGGGTGGTCTTCTGGCACCATAAGGAATCACCTGGCAAGGAATGAAGTTATTTTTGGGGGGTGTCAGTGTCCCTCTAAAGGCCGACCTACTTAGTTCTCTTCTGCTGAGCAGAAGACTGGTTCCCAGTTTTCTTCTCCATTCTCTCTTGCACTCTTCTCTCCTCTCCCCAGCACGGGTCTCTGAGCTACTCCCCGCAGAAAGGGGGAGTCGAGGGAGAGTTTTCTCCTTTCTGGCTGCTCGTCGGCCTTTAAGTGAAAATTCGCTTGACCGATTGCACTGGACACAGTGGGGTTTTGCTGGGAAATTTCGCAAGAGTTTGTTCATCTGAATAGTTTGTTCAAGTGGTATTTCATGTAGAGGTATAATGAAGAAAAAAAAAAAAGGCTCAAGGTACACCTAAGCACTTCTTGTGAGTTGTGAATGCGAAAGCGTGCACGCCGCTCTTCGCTGCCTTATTCCGTCTGCAGTGTACTTGCGTCGACAATCGAGCATGCACGCTGTCCTCGGCGCGCTGACCTTGGGCGTGAAGCGGTGGAGCCGCTGCCTTGCGGACATGCAGCGCCATGGGGTGGCGGTCGTTGAAACTGACGCGCAGCGGCCAATGGGAGCCTCGTTTCTTGAAACTGTGACGCGGGCCAGCCAATGGGACTGAAGCCGAAATTCATCAGCTTCACTCTGTTCCTTTGGGATGGGGGAAACTAGGTGCAGTTTGGTTAGGCTTTTCGCATGGTTTCAAAGCTGAGAGCTGGCTTCACTTAGAGAAAGAGGAGCCTAGGTGCCATTTGGCACGGCCTCAAAGCTGAGAATGTCGGCTCGCTCCATGAGACAGTTAATGCTTTCGCATTAATAATGCCCTCAAGGGGACAGAGGGCAAGAGTCACAGTAGCTGATAGAAGAGTACAGCAGGGAAAAGTTCCAGTTGTCCTGCCTTGAGCACAAGCTGCCTGCCTTCGATGACGTTTCGGCATCTCACGAGCCTCGAGCATGCACACGCAGCCAAAGCATGATGAAAGGCAACAGGCACATGGTGGAAGCTGGGCATCCGAAAGAGATGCCTTGCCGTTCTCATCCTTTTGGTTATTATAGCAATGAGGGTTACATTGTGCTCACTGCACTTAGGTGGCCAGTCTCAGTCCCAAACAACAAAAAAAATGTAATATGAAAAAAAAAAAAAAAAAAGAAACAGGAAAGGGAACATGAAAGGAGAGAAAATGAAAAGAAACAAAGGGAGAAAACAATAGGTGAGTCTATTTTCTGTCTTCTTTGGCATTACTTATTCTTTCAGTTTTCACTACCTTCTACGACACGTCACGCATCACATTTCAGAGCATGTGGTGTCGAAAGCTCGCGTTGCAGAACCCGAGGATCACAGGTGGGATCCCCAGCCCTCCCCGTTTCGATCTGGACAAGCGTCCAGATTGAAACGTCGTCCTTGAGGTTGTCTGAGACGCCGTACTTGGCGTCAATCTCTAGGACATCGTCTTCGAAGTTCACCTATATGTCGTCCTAAACTTTATTACATGTAGAAACCTTACTCGAAATTATTTCTTCCACGAGAATATGATGCTTTCGCCTTCAGTGTCCTATATGTCGTCCTAAACTATATTACATGTAGAAACAGTACTCAGACATTTCTTCCACGGGACTATAATGCTTTCGCCTTGCTACATGTAAGCAGTTTTGTGTGTCCTCCTGTAATTTTTTCGCTTTTATTTGATTTTGCACTTTCGTCACCGGCGGTTGTTTATCGGCATTTTTCAGTTAAAACCAGAAAGTACACAGCCTAGATATAAGCAAACATTACTGACTGGGAAGTACAGTCATCCTTGCTTCATTGCCCCTCTCCATGTTAACAAGTTTGACAAACAGATAACCTGAAAAACATTTTTTTTACAGCGGAGCTGTTAAGGGCTAGGTTCCCGAGGATTGTGTCCGGTACAGAACATTTGTTGACAAAAATGCCTGTGGACAGCTACCGCCTTCTATAAGCGACGGCGGCAAGCACACAACCAGTATGGTTGCCATCGTCATTGGTAGATGGTGCCAACCCTTTTAGCTATCTAGAGTTCCTGTATAGGCTCCCTACGGGAGTCAGAGTTGCTTGTTTATCTCCGTAGCGCCGTCTTTCCTGCACGGCATGTTGGTCCCGCTCGTCACGTGACTGAATTCGGCGAATAGCGGCGTCGAGCGTTCGAGGTGCGCGGCGCGCTCAAAAGCAGGGAAATGCATGCGGGGTACATGCAGCGTCTACTTTCCTGCATGGCACTTGATCTGGCTCCTCACGTGATCGGATCTCGGCTAATAGTGGCACGGCGGTACGTGGAAAACAAACGCGCAACTCTGGCTTTCGTAGAGAGCCTATACAGGAACTCTACAGCTACCATAGAAGAATGGATAGTCGGGCAACGCGTTGGTGGGAATTCATCATAGAAAACAGCGCGAAAAACAGACAACGACAAAGAAGGAGCACACGTAATGAGCGCAGCGCTCGTCACGTGTGTTTCTTCGTCCTCGTCTGTTTTGTGCGCTGTTTCCTACGCTCGGACGACGATCGTGCCACGGAGGCAAAGCGCAAGCGCGGGGCCCGGCGACGACAGCACTCCACGCCGGCTGAACTGTTCTCGGGCACGACGGTGATGTTCGGGAGGGAGTTCGTGGATTACCCGTTTGGCGTCACATGCGCTGTGTGCGAACGACTCTGGGTCGCCGGAGGCGTATCCACGATCGGCGGCATGTCAGACGAGAAGAAACGGGCGCGGGCGCGTTGCGGCAGTATATCGAGTACAGCTCCGCTGGTCTTCCTTCTTCACAAAAGTGGAAAGGCTGAACGTTTTTTTTTTTGGTTTTTTTTAACTTTTTTTTTTTTATTGTATAGACCGACACGCGGGCTTGACGTCACGGCGCTGCGGCGGCGCTGCGATCGCGCCGGAGCCGAGGGGTGTGGGCAAAAGGGCGCACGTTTCGCATGGCCGTCATAATATTTCAGCATGCCGCGAAGCTGTGCTGCCGTTAATCTCGCCGAAATGTAGAAGAAAAGTAGCGGAGTGAACTTCTACAAGTTCCCGGCAGACTCTGAAAGGCATAGAAGGTGGATAATATCCGTGGATCGAAAAGAATGGTCGCCTCGCGCGTTTGTGCGGCAAGCACTTTCTTGGAGGCAAGTGCGCTTCCATTTCAATCTCCGTCTCGAGGCTTGCTTGTGTACAGGGAAAGCGTGCTCTGATCGAGACCACCCGGATTTTGTTCCCACGGTGTTCGCGCACAAAGCACCGGCCAAGCGCTCGTCGGAGGCTCGCTATGCCCGTGCTACCGAGCAGAAGGGGATCGGCTACAGAACGGCAGTGTTGTAGGCGTTACCCAAAACAAGTAACGAAATACGTTACTCGTTACTTGCAAATCAAAGGTACGCGTTACTGAGCTACGTTGCCTAAAAATAAAAGGAACGCGTTACCGCTGCCTATAAGAAGTAACACACGTTATTTCTGTGTTACTTTTTAAATTATGATTTAACACGTTTTACGGTTTTGACGATTCAGGTATGCATAAGCTCGTATGTCAAGAAACATTATGTTCATGCAGAAACATAACATAATTACTTTATCTCGTTTTACAGTTTCACCTAAATACTGACGAGAGAAAAACGCAAAGAAAAACGTGGCTTGCCGCTTAAAAACACGGAAAAACTTGAAGTGTAATTGTACTAACGAGTAATGTAACTACGTTACTTGAAATAGTAACGTAAGTACGTTACCCGTTACTGTGTCGAAAATTTACGAGTAGGTTACTAAGTTACTGAAAAAAGTAACGCCTTCCTAGTAACGCAGTTACTTTTAAGGTGTTACCGTCAAGGCTGCAGAACGGACAGAGCGTTACTGCTTGTCATGCCTTGTGGTCATGAGAGTAGGAAAGATAGCATACCTCGACTTGAAAACGCTGTGTGTATTTTTTTAATTAATAAATACACTTCCGGAGACCCACAGTCTGCTGATCCCGGCGGCACTGCGGAAACCGACTCGAAGTAATCGTAGGCCTCGAGAGACTTGTACGCCTGCTCAGTGTCGGCCGTAAACTGGCTTAACGAAAAAACTAAATAAACGACGACGTGAGCCGCCGACTTCGGTGGCAGCAACTTCACGTCGGAAGTCCAGCAGGCCTTGTTTACGGCGTACGGATCCTCGTAGGCAACGCCGTCCACGCTCAGTTTGTTTCGATAGCGCTGCCGTTCAGGCTCGGGTGGCGAGCTCAAATAGTCGGGCATAGCATACGACATACGTAGCCAGGAAATACTACTCACAAAGAAAGCTAGAAGCGTCCCTACAACGTCAACAACGAGCGCACGCCACACAACACAATGGCGAAAACACGGAGGGCCGGGTCGCTTTTGCCCACATAGCTACCGCGCATGCGCGGCCTTCCGGCCTTGTTGGTAAACAGAGCCGCTCCGCGTGTCGGTCTATACATTGAAAGTTAGTCAACTTTTTATTTTCACCCAATGTTTTCTCCATTTTAGGAGGGCTATCTTTCGGCATTTTACAAAAAGTACATTAGGTACAGTGTACTTAAAGTACTTCCCAACACTGCAAATAACGACGTTGGGACGAGAAAGACAACGCGACAAACTGAAATAAGCAAAACTTACAGCTGTCTTTTTTTTTGGGGGGGGGGGGGGCCGGGCCTTTTACACAAGAGTGGGAAAAAATGGAATAGGAAGGAAGGGGGAAAAGGGGAGGGGGGGAGTGAAAAAACATAGATAAGGAATGAAAAACTTGCGATTTTCTCGGTTGAAAACGCCCAAACCTACGCCAAAATGGCAAAACAGCTGTTCATTCTTTGTCCATGTTTTTCACTTCTCTCCCTTTTTTATTTTTGCTTTTTTCGCCTATTTTTTTTTGTTGCATTGCCTTTCTCGTCTCAGTGTCGCCACTTTTAATCCTTAGCAGTGCAATTTAATCGAACCAATGAATAACCAACTAGCCCAATACAAGGCATCATTAATTAAACATCGGGCTAGCAGCGATATAGCACTAGCAGAACTTTCCATCTATAGCAGAGACGCCAGATGCCCACTTGGTCGGGTTCCCGTTGTCTCAACAAACGCGCTCCACAATTTACTGCTCCCGCAGGTACCAGGATGCCATGTGTGGCAAAGGCATCGACCGGCACCTGTTCTGTCTGTACGTGGTGTCCAAGTACCTGGAGGTGGACTCGCCCTTCCTGCGGGAGGTGCTCAGCGAGCCCTGGCGCCTGTCCACCAGCCAGACACCCCACAACCAGACCAGCCTGCTGGACCTCAGCAAGTTCCCGGACTTCATCTCAGCCGGTGGCGGCTTCGGGCCCGTAGCAGACGACGGCTACGGCGTGTCGTACCTCATCGCGGGAGAGGACCACCTCTTCTTCCACGTTTCGAGCAAGCGGTCCTCGCCCGAGACGGTGCGTGGCCCTCGTTTTAAACACGTGGCCTTTCCGAAGCTTCTGCGTGCACGCTCGCATGTGGCCTCGGCGGTGACGACGATGGCATTCGTAACAGTTGGTGTCTGACTGTGGTGCTGGAACGGTGACAGGTCCTAGGAGAGGAAGCTCTCGAGTCGTTGTTTCTTGTCTGGCATTTTGGCATCGCACGACAATGTCATGTCGTGCAACTTCATGATGTTATGCGACGCAACAACATCGTGCAACACAGTGTCAAGAGGCAACGTGATTTTACAAATCATTACGACGTGACGTCGCCATTGGGAAAGCACGTGGTTGCGTGACCACGTGCTGTCCCAGTGGTCACATTGGGACATAGGTGTCACCACAAAGTCGCTGGGGAACCTAGGAATGCCATGCGTTCGGAGCAGCTTCGGGATATCACTAAAGAGGCGGACATTTCTTTGGTAGACCTCTGGTCGTGCTTAGGCTGCATGGAAAGCGAGCGAGGCCAGACGAAATGCAGGCAGATAGGGTTGATTGGGATGGTAAGGGGTGCAACCCTGCCTGCATGGCTTGGAGCCACGAGATGGGTGATGAGCCATACATCCAGTTGTGTTTTGATTACTGGGGTGTGTGAAAGGGTATCGACGGACGGAATATGAGCATACTGCGTTGATTTGGGTGGTGAGTAGCGCAATCTGGTCGGAGTGGTTTGGAGCGATAAGGTGAATGACAAGCCTAACATCCAGTTTTGTTATGGTAAGTATGTAAGCATGCATGGATGGAATATTACAAGCAGGCTGTGTTGATTTGGGTGGTAAGTAGCGCGACCTGACCAGTGCAGTCTGGAATCATGAGATTGGCAAATAACAGCTACGACATCTTGAATGGGAACTTGGTTTTGGTTAGCAGAGGTGTTAAACCTGATGCCACTGTCAATTCTGTTTTTGCTATTGAAGGCGACTTTATGCCTTTAAAAAATGAAATGGCTTCGGCACAATATTACTGTAAAGTAGACAACTAACCTTGCCTGTCCACCCAATGAGGTATAGTCACCTGTAGTCTTGGCCAGTGTTGGGTACAGTACATCTAAAAAGTACTTGAAGTAAAGTAGAAAGTAAATGAGATGCTATGTACTTGAAGTAAAGTACTAATACACCAGGCACGATGTACTTGAAGCAAATTACTATAAATACAACATACTTTCAAAGGGAAGTACAAGTACTTTCACAATATTTCATGATGCTCTTTCATTACCCTATGCAGTTTTTTTTCTCTTTATACTGGTATACTACATTGTTTTAGGGTTAATGAAGGGTGCATCAGTTATTTTCGGAAATGGCCGCAAATATTGGATAAAGTCAGGTGACCACGGAGTAGTTGTTTTACTCTCGCTGACTAACTATTTAGCGCTATCAGCTTATAAAGCACTTATTGGCATCGGTCTTATAGCCACACTTGCCTAACTCAGAGAAATGGCCGGATCGAAAGACGATAGCGCATTTTCAAATGACAATACACCACTCCTTTGTTAAGTGGTTGGTGAACTCTTACACTCGACCTCAGAATTTGTGTACTATAGCACTGGGAAAGCCAAGAACGTTCCTTGAAAGAGCTTAAAGGGGAACTCTGCTTAATTCCGAAGATTTTGGGATAATTAGTGATTTCACATTAAAAAGCACTAATAAAAGACACTACGTCATTTGCTTCGCGAAAAATGGGATATATATTGATAAATCTAACTTTAAACACGAGCAAAAATCGAAACCGAAACTTCGGCTCCATCTGCCAACATTGGCCTCGGGCCGCCAAGAACATGGCTACCACATGGTACGAGATGTCACTTGATCCTCTACACAACGATGGGCTGTATTGAGACAGCCATGTACCAGGCGCAAGTGTCGTCTTCTCTGCACTCTTCACCATGTTTTGGTATCTACAACATTTGACGACGTCTTCACAACTGCGGCATAAGTCTGCGCAAATAGTTTGTCGTAGTGTGAACCAAACTCCAAGAGCCAATAATCGCATATTGAGACAATGACAGCGGTTGAGACTTGGGTGACGGCAGTAACGGTAGGACAGTTTAACAATTCCCAAGAAGCTCGCTGCACAAGCGCATTACGCGAATCACGTGGACATCGCTGAGCGCCGAGAGGAAACGTTGCTGACGTCGCCCGTTACGCTTGTCCGGAGAAGTAAAAACAAGCATTAAGGGGCAATGGTGATGACATTTGGCTTAATGGTGACTACGCCCATGCCGTAGCCTTGACTTCGCTTTTGGTTGCGCCTCAATACGCCCGCTCGAGTCAGCCGATTTCAACAACTTGGCGAGTTGCAAAATTTGCCAGACCGTGTAAGAAACATTTAGACAGAACTAGGTCGTAATATTTGACATGTGGTCTTCCTAGGTGACACTGAAGAGGACTGCATTATTTTTCCAAAAACAAAAATGAAGCAGAGTTTATCTTTAATTTCACCGAGCCACCCCCAGTACAAACGGAGCGATGCGTCATCTGCTTGCGTTACTGGTAAAAGTAAAATATCTTTCCCAGTATTTTTTTAGAGTTGACAAACCATCACTTAGTGATACAAATTTAACAAGACGAAATTTGGGGAATGTACTTTGAAGCCGGGAGCTGTACTTTCCTCGGAAAGTACCAGAAAAAATACTTTGAATAAAGTATAAATAAGTACATACTCTGTAGAGCGTGAGCAAAAACGACGTTGTTCCTTTCCTGTTCAAGCGCAGCTGCTCGTGCTTGCTATGCCATCATGTGCACCAGCCAGTCTCGCGTGCCTCCAAATTCTCTTTATTTTCTCAGCCTCATGACTTGTACTTCAAGTAATGTACAAGTTTTCTCAACCTACTTGAAATAATTCTTTAAGTACAATGTACTTTGCACTCCAAATCTCTTTGTCTCTTCTCTCTTTGGAGTGAGAGAGAGAGAGAGAGAGAGAGAGAGAGAGAGAGTGAGTTTGGAGTCTTCGGAATTTGGAGTGCAAATCTCTTTGCACTCCAAATTGTCTTTGATGTGTACTTTGGTTGTCAAGACCAGTGTGTTCCCGACACTGGTCTTGACAAGTGGTCCAACCTGGCTGCTCCTCAAGTCTGCAGTATTAGCACTGACAAAACAGAAATTATCTCTTAAGGTGGGCATTATCAACTTTTAGTAATTACTCCCAAACGCTCAGAGAGGTTGCATTTTACGAGTATAATACTGTTGACTGCTGTGAAGCTCCCCAAGCGCTGAACTTTGATCTTTCACTAAAAGAAAATGAACAAAGCACAAAGCTCAGGTTGGCTGATTCGTTTTAGGAAAGGACGTAGCAAACATCACCTTTTAACTGTTAGTTGGGTTTGCCGTTTGTATCTTCTTTTTAATTAGGTCTCCAGCTTGAACTGCGTGACAGGAGACCACTTTTTTTTATTTCGGGTGCGCCCCACTTTTTTTCTTTCGACCCAGGATTCCTTACGGTTTGCGAAGCACATCGAACAGTCTCTGAAGGACATGAGAGCCTTGTTCGAGTGAAGACAGCGACGAGGAGCAGCCGCTGCCACCAACGCCCAAAGGGGTGTCCGTTTCCCCACTCCACCTGTTGAGAGTGAAGGGAAGCTTGGCCCCCACCCTTTCCTCCAGCCCTGTCAATGCAACTCGGGATTGTGCAGCTCCCGCCAACCCCCGTTTTACTTGTGGCCTTGCGGAAAATGAAAGAAAGTCCGTCGGAACTGTAAGCTAGTGCACAAAGGGGAAAACTGCATGTGGCATAGACGTAGGCGTCAACAGAGAAGAGCGCCTTGCGGCGTATTTGGTTGTGAAGAGTGTGTTTATGAGAGCGCGTGAGGGACAAGCGACCGTACTTATTCACCCTTTACAGATAGAAAACGACGCCATACGCTGCTGATGCCGAGTGTGTAAAGTGGTTCTTTCTACGCAGTTTTGTTTTTATGCTGCAGTGTTTTTTCGCGTGTACCTTTTTTTTGTTTTTTTAGTGACTGTTATGTGACTGATGTCGCATGATATCAAATAAATGGATTCTATGGCAAAATGCAGATCTGTTTCATTTTCACGCTGCTCGGGAGAAATTGTTGTCCATGTGTGTCCCTCCGGAATATTTGCTGAAGATAACGCAGGTTTGTTTCTTGAATAAAAGTTGACTGTTGTCCAATTTTTTTTTTCTTTAATGTGCTGCCCAGGTGGTTTCAATGCAATTTGTGACTACTATTAAAAAAACACTTACACATCCCCAAAAAAAAAAAAAAAATTTTGTCTGGCAATTTGTTATGGTTTTACAAGACTACCCAATCAATATTTTGCTACAGTGTCATGTATATTTTTAAACAAGTAAAAAAACGCACCTACTCGAAACTGAAACTGAACTGCAATAATGCAATAATGCCCCTGCAATAATGCCTTCGGGTGCTGCGGGGTAACCCGAAATAAATAAATAAATAAACTGGGGAGTTTTGATAAATACATAGCCCCTTCCCCTGGCAGATGCCGAGCGCTCCGCGCTAGTAGTCGTCGAGCGGTCGGCCTCCGTGAGCGATCGGTCACGTGATCCATCCCAGTGGCACGCGCTGCGGAGCAAATCGAGCGTAACGTTCCCAGCGCCACCGCTTCCAGAGCGTCTGCTCTCGCTTTTGAACAGTTTCGGTTCCCATTGCTATCTTGCTGAAAGCATGAAGTTCTGATGGGAACTTTATGCTTTGACAAAAAAATTTATTGTTTACTACTTGATTAACGGTGATCCCGACGGTAAGACACAATTTATTTTTCTTTACAGTTATATAAGCCCAATGAAGACAACTAGAAGTACTATTACTACCAAACACGTATGCATCACTAAAAAAATGGCAAAAGGACGACGGTGATGTTCACCCAACTAGCCCACCAGATGATTTTAACGCAAACACGTATGCCGTAAAGCGATCGTCATCTCCAAAGGCGACTTCCATCTGTGGAGTATTTGGCGTGTTGTCTTCTAATTATTCCAATTACATTAAAGAGACCACGAAACAAACAAACGACATGCCTAGCTCTTCATCCGAGTAGGCGCGCACAACGCTTTCGACGTAACGCGTTATCTTGGGCCTCTTCGCTGGCCAGGCAAACACTTCGCTGAGAACGGCTGCCTCGTCGTCACTCAAGCTGGAGCTAGGCTAATATCTTCGTCGCTGTCACTGCGTTTTATTGGGCCTCCTGAATTTAACTGCAACGATGTCATCGCCGCAGTATGCTCGGGCGAGTGGGTCATGATGAGGGGAACGAAAGCAAGCACAGCAAGAGAGCCCACCCAGCAATCGAAACAAAAAAGCCGCGATACTCCTTCACTCTCCCGCTGGAATGTCAGGAACGAAACTGAGACGTTGCGAGTGACGACTACAGATCGTACTTCTCCAAAAAAGGCGGCGCAGAGAACTACTCCAGACCGCTCGACGTGCTCTGCCACTTTTCCAGGGAGCGGTTGGAGCCGCTCGGCGAGCACCCCACTGGTTCCAGATCTACAAGCGGCACACAGAGAGATTGCTCTCATCTCGCCCGAGAAAAAAGAATCCGCTCGGCGAGCGCTCGCTATTTGCCAGGGGAAGACGAAAATGGGTATAATTTTTTGTGACCCATGACTTTGATTATTTTTGGTGGTTGTGTCTGAACCAGAGAAAACAGCATGTGACCACGGAGAAGAGAGTGAGGGTCACTCAAACTGGCAAGTTCTCAATCGACTGTTTTCGGGTGAAAAGAAAACAAATTTTGAGCCGCAAACTGTGTTCTGGGTAGTTGGGGCTCTCATATGTCATGTACAAATAAAAACCTTGGCGAGCTGAAATACCCTGTCGGTGTCCCTTTAAAATATATATTTTTTTTTGGGGAATCGGAAGCAGAGGTTAAAAATAGGACGGAGTTGCCCCGTTTGCAAAATATTACATAGATCCCGAAATTTGAAAAGAAAGAAAGGCGAAGTACATTGATACGAGTTACACGCTTTAAAAAGGCGAAAAAATTAACCTCTGCCGTTTATGTTCTCGTATTTGAAGAGGTACGCCAACTAACCTTCAGATACTTCGGCGAAACATGGCGGCTCCCATAACTGCCCACTCCTGCCGTTGTCCGTCGCCACCATCCCCAGGTTGTCCGTGATCTCACCTAACACCTAGTGTCGTAAACAAGTGTGCGTGTATTTCGGGCTGTTTTCTCGATTTGGAGCAGTTTGTCCCCGTGTCCCGAGCTTTTTCGCGCTGCTCCACACAGCTGGGGGGCGGTGAAAAGAATGTCAGGTCGTCGCCGTCGCGCTCCCCACCGCTGGGCCAAGCGGTAAACCCTGCAAACCGCTCAACTTCGACGCTACCGGTAGGTCACGTGATTGCCTTTCGGTGCTGTGTCTACTGCTCGAAAAATCGGGAAAGTGTATCGTCGGATCGTCACTTGACGCACTCAAGCGCGTTGTATCGCCGTCAGAAGATTAGCACCACTCACGCGTGATGTCAGGCACCGAAATTATCCTTATCGGCGCGGTGGTAGTCGCCGTGATCAACGGTTGAACGGTTATACGTCAGATCTACGCGGAACAACCACCGTAAGTATAAAAAAATTCGTTGCGCTTCTAAAGCGCGTTTATATAGTGTGTACCATGTAATTCGTACGCCCACCAATCGTATCAACCCTACACTATTTCAAGCGCACAACAAAAAACTGAGAATGTTCTCTTTAAAAAGTACCGAGCGTCGAAAGCAAAAGAGTCGAGCGTCGATCGAATGCGCAGTGAAGTTCCGTGTCAAGTATTTTATGCGGAAATCTGAGCTTGTTGTCGGAAATTGGCACAGCAAGAGCAAACCTCCAATTGTGATTGCACGGTGATACCTCTGAAGAGTCATTTCATGCTCATTCACGGTCGCGAGCAACTCGCGGATCATGTGCAACGATCAGTTTGTTCCAGTGGCATGTCCGGTGGCATGTGGCTCCGACATGACGAGTGCGCCGAACCGGAAAACCTCCATGGACTTGAAGCAAGCTTGGCACCGATTTATCGCAGTGCCTGCCAAAAATCGCGAGGTAATTAAAATATCTGCACGGTTGTCTACGACAGAGCACACACGCAGGCTTCTGCATGTGTATCCTCAATATTCGCTTCTTACCACCAGGTGTAAGCCAGCTGCACGCTAATAATGATCCCAATTACAGAAAGAATTGCCTTGAAAAACCTACGTGTGTACTGTGGATTTTTTTTTTTTTTTTAGCCACTAGAGCACGTGTGCACCATACCTCTTTGAATAATAAACTGCTGATTTCGTTCGTGGTGGTGACAGGTTAAGAATTAAGGGAAGTCGCCTCCTCTCGAGTGTCCACTCCGCCAAAGGGGTGGGAGGAGCTTCTCCTGAACTCTTAACCTGTCATTGGCCATAGACTAGTTATCACATTGCATAAAGATGCGCATCTACCCATTATTCAGACCTGTGTTTATGAATGATGTGGAACTGATCAGTTACCTTACCAATGGCACCTCATCTCCTCTTCGGTTAAAGACTGCAATTTCTATCAGTTTAAAATAAAAAAAGTCAAATTGGACGTTTAGTAATTTTACAACGTAAGGTCTTGCTGCCAGGATGGGGCGACACTAGTTTACACTGTAGATGAGCAGTTTTGCCAGTGCAGTATGACTGCTAACCTGGTGTCTTTAACGTGCACCACGCAGTATTGATACACGACCGCACTCTGGTACGATGCTCATCCTGATCGAAACGGGCAGGGGTGATCCCTGGGTTCTGCAGCGCGAGCTTTCACACCACGTGCTTCGAGCTGGGTGTGCGCTTTAAGCCCATTCTACCACCGATCCCCCACCTCTCTCACAGTTTAACTTAATTTAATCAGCATATAGACAGCTGCTGTGACGCGAATGCCTGATGCCATTTGTTGTTGTAAAATTAAATTTTACATTTGATGAGAAGTGCAGGCGTGCCCACAAGTCACTACATACACGGGTAAATTACTTCCCAAATGTAATTTAATTACAGTTACTTTGCTCCAAAAATAATTTAATTCCAAATACTACTATGTGAAAAGTAATTCATTACACATGCAAATTACTTTTAAGAAGTGATGCAATTACTTTACAATTACTTATTTCTGAGAGCGACCCGACTTGGGCCATATAACTTTAGGGAAGAAGGGTAAGCGAGTTGTTTGGAATGCAGTGCATTTGTTTATTCCTTGCCCTAATGTTTGAGGAGGCTTAAGCATTGCTGTATAAATGTCACATATTGTACTTTCCTTTTGTGAATTTTTGTTAAATTAATGGTAGAACTTGACAGTTTGGGGTACTGAAGTTGTCCGTTCTTGTATTTTCATTAAATAAAAATAAATTAGTTCATTTACTCAAAGACACTAGATCACTACAGTAAAATTAGGTTGGCACACTTTTGTTGGTCAGGCAAATAAAAATGTGACAATTAGTCATATCTTAATTTTTATTAGTGTTAATATAAAACTACAATTCATGAGCGCTAATACGACCACATTCACATACAAACGTTTCATGGTATTGTTTACATTGAGTTAAAATTATAATGGCTCAGAAATATATAAGACCCGAATCAAGGCTCCCAAATCAATGGTGACAATATTCACAGGTGCGAGGTCAGTCTCTAAAATGCTTATGCAAATAATATCCAAAGTAAAAACAGCAGGAAATAAACTTGAAAATAATACGAAGAAACAAATATATGACAGTACCAAAAGAGGGACTTAAAAAACTGGCAAAAAAAATAAATAAATATTATTTCATAGATAATTAAAACTCCCAACCTCGGCTGAAAGCTGAAGCTCAATTTTGTTTCTTGCAAAACTCTGGCACGTTTATGCTATTGTTTTTTGCTCGCACTACAGACGGCACCATACGTCGTCGTTGAGGTAGGCTCCAAAGAGGATTGTTTCTCAACCCGCAGTGTAAACAGCAAACAGTGCAACACTTTTTATTGTGCGTGTGTGTGAGTGCATGTCTATATGTGCGAGCGTGTCATCGAGCTTTAGGCCACTTGTGCGAGTGCTGAGGCTTTCAGAGAGGTTCTGTTGGTGACGCAGTCTTGCAAAAGTAATTGTAATTGTGCCTGAAATTTTGCACTTACTGATACTAGAAAGTAGTTAAATTACAATTACAGTTCCTTGTAGCTGAAAGAAATTAATTACAATTACAAATTGCAAAAAAAGTAATTAAATTACTACCCGAGTATGGCCACTATACATGTCTCAAAAATGTCAGTAAAAACTACACTCTTTTTGGCTGATGCGCAATAGATAGATTAGGGATTATAGTAAAGCACGACATATCCACAACAAAAGTGGAGTTAAAAACGTCAATATCCACTTTTCCAGGGTTATATGCTGTATGCAGGTCATGGGATTAGTTGACGCAATTGGATTGACGAAAAAAAAAGTCTGAGAAAGATGCGAAAAGAGGAATCATAAAAATTATGGCATGGCAATCATGAAGTGGCTTTTAAAAAAGTGCTTGATGAAAAAGGAATAGCCTTAAAATTTAACATCCATCTTCATTCGTTTTTTTTAGTGTTTAGCGTATGTTTATTTAAATTTTTTTCAAGTTATTTGCAGACCTTTTATTTGTGTCTTGTAGATGAACAATCTGACAGTGTACATTAAGAAGCTTGTGGAACCCTCTGACACATTCTTTTGTGTTTGACTTTGGATTTGCATTAGGCCTGAATGCATTCGGTATGCTGTATAACGAGCGGAAGCTTGGTGTATATTTAGTTCTGTATCACTTGAGAGATAAAGATAAAAAGAAACACGAAAGCGTGCACCTCACATATGTCCGTCATAACGATAAGAATTGTTTGTACAACTATATGCGCAGGCATCGTGCGAAGGGCAGAGATGAGAACAAACCAAAACTTAAAATGCATGCCGGAATCACTTTGTCACAACTCTTTGAAGTTTTGAAGGTTGCAGAGGATTTACCTCTAAGTGGAAAAAAATGTTATGGTCGACGGTAAAAATTAAGGAGTTTGTTTCCTTTTAGGAAAGGACTAGATTAGACGTCCATGCACACACCGCACAATTGTTAAAAAAAAAAAAGAAAAAATTTTAAACTCTCTTTGGTTTTTTGCTAAGTGACTTTTTTAAACAAATAGCCTATCAGTACTTTTCATTTGGTTCCTGTCTGCTATACCAGTTGTGCAACATCTCTTGCCGTCATGCAAAATCCAGCTTTTAATGTTGGCTTTGCTTATTATTGATTGCATTTTGTTTGCACCTGAAGCTGGACAACGAAAAAAAATAATTTAATACCCTTTTTTAAAAGTTTGGTAGCAAGAAAAGAATAACTGAAGGGTGCGGAGAGCAAGTTTGCTACTTCTTGCGCAGGAGTGCGGTGACAGCAGAATGATGCCGAGCTCTGATTGGCTTTGATTGAAAAGATAGTGGGTAGACCTCAATGCTAGATGCCTTGAGGTCCACCCAGTATATTTTCTATCAGCCACTACAAGCTCGGCGTTCTGGCACGATTGGAACCCCTGTGCAAGAAGCAGACGAACTTGCTCTCCGCATAACTTCATTCCTACGACAGAAACGAAAACTGAACCTTAGATATTGCGTAAAATGACACCTTCTCTGCATCTCAAGGACGGTCGTATCACGGCGGCTCTTGACTAAAGCCGCGAGTCATACTTTTCACAGTCACTGAGAGGAGGAGGAGGACAGGGCATGTATGTGTTTAGAATGCCCGGCCTCTAGCAGGCGCTCCATGCCTTCTGCCATGCTTTAGCTGCGTGCACGCGCTCAAGGTGCACCAGACACCGAAGCACCCGTGAATGTAATAAGCTCGTACTGCAGGTGGGACCTTTAAAGCTCCTCCCTGCATCCTCACCTTGTCAGTAATTATAGTGCACACACTTTTTTATGTGCCCAGTTTCCCGACCGTAGTTGGCTCAGCTATTTTTTAAGAGTCTAGAATGGCTGGCTAGAAGATCATTTTTAGCCGTTGCCATATCAGATTCTTCTTTACTATGTGAAAGCCTCTTTCGTTAAAAAAATTTTAAAATATTTTTATCGTCGGCACGATGTGTGTGTGCCTTCAAGGAGATGGCACGTGCTAATTGTACCTACTGTTTACCGTTGTAGCTGCAGAACAAATTGCTGGATGTGTTCCTAGTCAAGCTGATCTCTCAGTACAGAGATGTGCCCAGCTCTACATACCTAACGTGAGTGTCTTTTCAGTGGACTAATTGCGTCTGTATAACCTCCCTGCATCTCTAAACAGCCATTGCCCACTTTGTCACATCTTTAGAAAAGAAGACAACATTTGAGTTGGTCTTTATTCTTTTAGGTGTCTGATTGTCGTTTCGTCAGCAGTCATCTTCATTGTGGGACACGATCAGATCTCAATACCTTTCTTGAGATGATCCTTTCTTATATTAGTTCCGTTCGGTAACAGCTTTGACCGCTCGTCAACAAGAAATCTCTCGACATCAAAAATTATTCTTGTGCGTTGTGTACAGGCAGTAACTGAACTAAGTGGCAGTTACATTAATAGTTGCATCTAACAGTTGACTGGGGTACGGAGCATTGCATCGTAGCGAGCCCTTTTAGCAAATTAATTGTTATTGGAGGATTGCGGCTAGAAACAACTCTTCATCCTTCTATCGAGTTGTTCTGTTCACATTGACTTTCTGCGGTGAGCCGGCTGAGCGGTCCCCTCGTTATATGCAACCATTGCAATCGCGACGAGCTTGTGGTTTCACGCAACATTGGGACCAGTTTGTCTGCCTTTCCCAGCAAAGATTGTGGTGTCATGTTTCAGGGAATGGGCCAGCGCCGGAAACGTGCTGGCCCACCAGCTGATGCTGGAGGTGCACGAGGCTTGCAATAGCGAGGACCCCGTGCCCTGCCGAGAGTTCCTCTTGTCCGGGCGCGGATGGAAGCTGCTGTGGGCCATGGTCCGAATCGGAGCTCAGGTGTGGAGTTCATTTTTTTAATTGATATTGATACCGTCACCCCATTACAGGGCTTTTACAGGAGTAGAAAGGTGATCAAACAAAACAAAAAGAGCCAATCACAGGTGCACATTTCACGTCAGGTCCCGAACAAAGTAGAATAATTATTTTACACGACAGAGGAGAAAAACCTCAGACTCCAAAACGATTGACGCATCGTTGAACAATCCCATTGACAAGAGCAAGCACAAAACAAAACGCTCCGAAATCTGAGAAATGCGTCGGTCCAGTTCCTGGCGCGCGTTTCCCACAAGCAACGTTGTAGAAGCGTCCTACTTTTGCCTACCGTGATCCTAGCGGTGTGGCACATTGGCGGAGGTAGATGAGGCAGACGCCCGTTTTGCTGTAGGTCAGTGTGCAGCCAAATACAGTCGACGGAAAAGCAAAGCGGACACGAAACGGGACTCCGCGACAGACGGTACCCTCGTGTCTGCTCGCCCTTTTCGCTAGCGTTTCTACGACCAGCCGCCAGGACCGTGACATCTGACAGTGATATGGCGTCTCTTGTGACACAATTCGCTACCGCTTCGGCACCACCTTCAACGTGTAGGCAAGATAGGATGCTAAGCGCACCAGCCGAAGACTCGTTTGGAGGCACCATAGTAGCGGCGGGTGTTTGCGCTGTCTGTTCGGCTCCATGCATTGGTGCAAAGGTCGTGCTTTCACGGACGCCGCCGTGTCCACGCTGTGCCTCGGCGGCGTGAAACTGCGGCTGAGATTACGATCTAAGAAGCTTGGTCACTCGTGGGTGCAGGCACTGCCATGCTGCAAGGAGGTGGCGCGGGTGGCCATATCGCTGCTGTCCTTCTGCTCGAAGTTCGGAGAGCCCTGGGAATCGGGTGCGTTCCTGTCATGCCTACTTGCCTCGCTCTCGTGATTTAAACGGAAGCGTCGTCTGCTCCGACAGACATTGCTGTTTTCAAAAAACTCTTTTTTTTAGCTTTATACACACTTCTTGAGATTAAGTCTGGGAACTTTGATTGCTATCGTCATCTCAGTAGCTCCGTTCAATTTACCTGCACCGGTGCAGAAAAGTGTAGGGCTGTCCACTTGCGGCTGCGTCTCAATGCACATACCGGAAGTACTCTGCCTTACATTTTTTTGCACCAGTGTTGGACGTGCGGGTAAATCAAACGAAGCTAGTGTATCTGTGCCAAACCAGTTGTGGTCTTCTTGAGGCTGACGAGGAAACAAGTTGAAGAGACTACCAAGCGGAGGATGTACAATGCCTGTACGTTTGAGACATCAGTAGTGCATGATGTTTGAATTATGTGCAATGGCTGCATACCATAATATCCTGAAAGATGCCCCACCCCCACCACCCCTATTTTTGCCACGATTTGCTATTTTTTTCATAAACAGCAAAAGATTGCAGGGTCAGGGCCCTGCACTTAGTTGTCACATTGTGGTGACCTTCGCATAAATGGTGTTACTTGGCCACGACAAAAGATAAGCGAACATTGCTGACTAGAAAGGACAATCGTCTTTGGTTTCATCGCCCCTCTTTACAATCACAAGTCACAAAAGATAAAACTAGCATTTTTTTTACTTTTTTTGATCACCGAAAGTTAGCTTACCCCTTATTTTCACCCGATTTGCTTTCGTTTTTGGGTGGTCTATATCGGGATATCACGGTAAGGGTTTATTTCGGAGGGTGGTCCAACCAGTCTCTTGGCACAAGTTCGGCTCTAAATACTTTTGTTGGTGGAAATTTAATCAAGGGGTTTATGAGTCGCTGCTTTGTACTGATCGATTCTTATGTTCACACTACCGAAACTGAAACAAATCGAGGAAGAATTATGAGGCGATCGAAGAAGTATTAATTCTCATCTGCTATTGACATACGAAAGTGATTGTGCCCAGTGAAATACGGTTTCATGACTGTCATTAGTTAATCAAAACTAAAGCTGCTTTTTGAGCCGTCAGATGGCACAGAAAACTGAAAAGGGTCTATTTGTTGCACTTCTAGGCACATTCCAATGGCACTTCGAGCAACCCAGCCTCATCTCCTGCTCGGCCGCTGGCTCCAGTACAACGAGCCACACGCCCAAACGCCGCCGCCGCCGCCGCTCCAGCCAGCCATCCACCGACACCCCCGCTTGCTCTTCAGACTCGACCGATTCCGACGGAAGAGGAGTTCCTCCTCCGCTTCTTCGGATCAGCACGTTTCTGTTCCCCACTGTGCACCCCGCTGCTGACTCGGCCAGCGAGGGTTGGGACGACCGGCCGGAGGGAGGGAGCGCGAGGCCAAGCTCGTCCCAAGAGCTCCCACTGACGGAGTCGGAAGCGGAACTCTCGGCGGCGCAAGTGTCGCCGTCTTTCCTACTACATTGCCTGGTGACACTCTTGAGGCAGGCGTGCGGTGCGTCATGCAAGGGTGACCGTCGGCGCGCGCTCTCTGCTTCGCTCTCGGCGTTGACCCTCCCGGGCGCCGTCGACCTCCTGGACAGTCTCGCGCACCTGCCCAACACCGACCCCCAACTCCGTCGGCTCCTTGGAGAATCGGACTGCGCTTCGCTGGCCCGCGCCACGTTGCGTCTTGTGGTGACAGCGTCTTCGCAACTGCTGGTCGCTGGCACAGGCTACGCCCACCCGTCCATCCGCAAGTTTGAAGTTCTCAACTCTGTCCTCGACGCCACGAGAGGTGCCCTCGAATCCGGCGATTCTGCTGCCGCGGCGGATTATCTCGTCGCGTCGCTCATCGTTCTGCGCGACGCGGTCCGCTTTTTCCCGGCCTCCGAGGCGTCGTCCATCCGCTGGCTTGTCGACGCAGTGCACGCGTTCTGTTCCCTCGGAGGCACACAGCTTGCAGTGTCGGTTGCAGAAGCCGCACCCGTCCCGTCCGTCCCCGACCTGCTCTCGGAGATCGTCCTCTCGCTCAAGCGTGCCAAGGTGGCACGAAGGAAGGAGGGTGCTGTGCAGCTGCACCACCACGACGCATCGCTCGGCACGAGGCAGCGCCACAGCGTTGCCGAGCACTCCTGCAGCTGCTGCATCGCCGCACTGTGCCGTGCACTGCTTCGCTGGCGCCCGCTCCCTATGAAAGCGCTCAGTCGCTGCGGTGTGTGTTGCTGCCTCACTCTCAGCGATGTGAGCGTTCCTCTTCTTCGAGGATTGAGTACGAAGACGGCAGAAGAGAGGGAGAGTCTGCTCGAGTTACTTCAGAGGTGTATTTATAACCAGCTAGGTCTCTACACGCACACGTGCCCCAGTTGCCTGGAGCGTTCGGAAACCGGGGAAGACGCTTGCGCTGCCTACGCGGAACTACTCGGCAACGAAAATGCGGAGGTCCAGTTGTCTGTCGGGAAGCACCTGCTCTCTGTCTTGGGGCCGGCAAGGCCCTTCTTTCGGAGCGTGCTCTGTTCCCGCGTGGCTCTCCCCTGCTTTCTTACGCTCGGCGAGTCGAGTGCGTCTGTTGCAGGGGATCCGGAGTCCAGCCCTACTTGGTTTGCCCTGTCTGCCTTCGCCCTTCTTGGGCCATCTGCCTCACCACTGTTTCCGCACGACTCGAAGCAGACGAAGATCCTCTACAGCCTCCTCTCCAACTCCACGGCGCCCGTCTTCCGACATGCCGCGCTGCTTCTCCTCGAAACCCTCATCTTGTCGTCTGGCCATGGCGCCGCCACCGAGAATGCCACCACAGATTCCGCAAAAGATAAACATGCAGACGACCGTGGTGACGGCTGCGAACCGCGGAAAGCAGACACTGAGGCAGACGACACCAGCACGAATGGCGACGCCGACAGCAGCGTTGACGGGGAGACCGGTGACTGGGAAGCTCTTGGGATGTTCTCGCGTTTCTTGGCGGCCGAGACGAGACAGTTCCTGCGGAAGGTCAAGGCGTCGTCTCGCGAGTCTGGCATGGATGACAGCTTGGAGGGAGAGGCCGGTTGCACAGCCGCGGACGGAGGGGCGGAAGAACGCGAGGCAGAGCTGTCTCGGCTGGCGGAGCTCTGGCTCGCGTGCCGGAGGGTGGCACAGGACGGCGCGGTGCGTCACCGCTTGCGCGCCGAGGAGTGTTGCGGGGAAGGCTACCGTCTGCTGCTCTGGATGGCGGACAGGGCCGCCCGTGGCGAGCCCTGCGGCCGGAGGATGTTCGCCGCCCTGGAGACGCTGTTGTCGCTTCTGCTCGAGCTGTGTCCCCTGCGCTTGTGGTCTGAGGTGGGTCGCTTGTTTGGCCATTGTCGGTCTTTCGTTTTGTGCATCTTTTTTTTTGTTGCCGTTTTCGGACTTGTTGCTGTGCGTCACTCCACCCCTCGTGTAGTGCCCCCTTCTTCTGAAGACTTTTGAGGTAAAATAAATTAATTTGTTCACTAGCATGTCATTTATTTCTTGCAAGTGCAGCTTTTCATGATTTCCTTTCCTTCTGATTATGAAAGAGGCTTCAGGTACAAGCAAGAAAGTAATGAATTTGAATTCATTTACCACTGCAGTGAAGGTGCAGAAGAAAGTAATACTAGTGTGATTAACGGGAGTTTCTGCCCCCCTGAAAGTTAGCAGTAGACATAAAACAACAAACAAAAAGAATGAAGCAAAAGCAAGTGCAAATCTAACAACAAAAGCAAGAACTAGAACGTCGCAGCTCAAAACCGACATGGAGCACAATACGAGGTAAAATGAGTGTCAAAAATAACCAAACGAAAGGTGCACAACCTTTCAAAATAACCAAACGAAAGGTGTTCAACCAAACAATGAAGGTAAACACAAAAGGTCATGTGATCATGATTGTAGAAGATGGCAATCGGATTACTGCGTAAAAAGATTTATATATAAACAAACCCCAGGAGCCGAGCACAATAAAACTTTTCATAAACATCTCTTTAGGTGGTGCATTTTGTCATACCCAAATTTCAGGAGTAGGCTTTAGGAAAAAAAATGTAAACCCACAAAAATTGTGTTTTGTTTCTATGCGCGGGCAGGAAAATGGTAGAAACCCTCTAGTCGACGCTGCCACTCACAAATGGCACAACATAAAGCAAAAATGTGAAAGTTTCTATGAGTAGGTCAGTGTGGTACCATCTATCTGCAGCAGCGTCAACCGGACGTTTTTTTTATTGTTTTTCTTCCTGTGCATAGGTAAAAAAAAAAGGATTATTTTAGGCTTAGATATTTTTTCACGAAACCCACACCCGTGAAATTTTAGTACCGATGCACCACTTAAAGACACCTCTGTGAAAGGTTTCGATGCACTCTATTCAGTGGTTTATTTATACAAATTTTTTTTTACACCCGATTAGCACGCAGAAACACTCCCCCCCCCTCCCTGAGGTTGTTTTAGAATGATACAGCGAGTCGGGTTAGAATGGGTGAAGGCACAAACACTAGCTGCGTTCAATTTACCTGCATCTCCTGCTCCGGTGAAGAAAAGTGTAGGGCGACATACTTCTGGTCGTATATCAATAGACATGCCGGAAGTACTAAACTGCTCTACACTCTTCTGCACCGGTGCAGGAAGTGTAGGAAATCAAACGCAGCTTCTGACTGGATAACAAACATCTGGGAGGTCGTTCGGTTTTCCCCGCCTGCAACACGAGTTTCCTACCTTTGAGAGCACTTCAGCATTAGGTAAGCCTCAAACACGTACGCGAAGACGAAGCACGGCAGGGGGCAGCAAGCGCGTGCCGGCGGTCGGGTGTCCGAAGCAAGCGCCCGTCGCTCTCGTCCCGTCACCGACCATTGCAGAACGCGCTAAAACGAGCGCGAACGCTCATCTTTGTTCCGCAGTTCCTGGAATCTAAGGATCTGGTGAGAGAGCTGCGGAACCAGCTGCACGGATGCCTCGAAGTGAGCCGAAGCTCCGCCGAGTGGCGCTGCCTTCTCGACGCCCTTCTGGGAAATCTGGTGCATCGAACGCAGCCGCCGCAGTCGCCTCGATCCACGGTGAGGTTCCTGCGTCTGCTTGTCGCCACTGCACGGCGTTAGAGACGGAGCCGTGTTAGAGATCCTAGATCACAGAGAGTTTTCCACCACTCGATCGGGGTCAGGTGATTTATGGGCCGTGTTTGCAATGGGAGTTGCAAGGAGACGGTGAAAGTGTCGATCGTCTGCAGGCGTCTCCGCTTTTTCGCTTGCTTTCTTCCTTGCCATGCGACGTGGCAGTGCGCGCATGCTTGCGACCTATCTCTGCAAGAGGAGTCTGCCATTAAATAGAAAATGCTGTCCATGGTATGGGTTGCTTTCTCTTTTATATCTAAGCTATCTTAACCTTGTACGCTTTCGGGCTTGCCCCCCGACAAGGGAAAAAGCTGCCTGATCATTATCGTCGGGGCTCGGCGGTGCGCTCAGCTGCCCGTTTAATAGGAATTGGCCTTGTCCATTCACCTATCTATGTGTATGATATATGTTCTTTTAGTGGCCGTGACCAGCCTTAGCTTTCTACAAAAGTGTTAAAAAAAGCTTTCTTTTTGCCTTATTTACTTATGCCCTCGGTATTTCAAAAGAAGGGCAAATCATAGTCAAAATATGTGACGTCTGTATGTTATAATCGATTTTCGAACAACATTACTCCCTGTCCGGCACCAGTCACAAATGTCAAAATAGTACTCTAGTATATTTATTAAAAATGTAATCTCCTTTTTTGGACTTCCGACTTTTTTGTGTTCTATCACTTTTTTTTTTTTAAAAATGACTTGCACATTCTTTAATCCACATTGAAAATTGTTTACTTCAGTAAATGGGAATGGGCTAAAAGGATTGTCAATAAACCTTTTAAGCAAGTCAAGTTTTAGGGTCTACACTAGTTTAGCCTTACTTCGCTGAGGTGAAATCTGTTGCATGAATACTACTTAGGCATCTGCAAATAGTGGTTTTTGAGTTCGAAGCGAATAGGAATTTTGGTTGAATATTTTCTAATAAAATAGTTTTCTCCAAGCCTTCCACTACTGCATCATGCTTAAACAGAAGCCCAGATGAATTCGTCAAGGTTGTTGCCAAGCTTACACTTGTCCATTTCTAAGCGAAGTTCTTCGTAATCTAACTATATTTACAGACTGGTAAAGGACACATTTTACATAAAATTAAATCTTTAAAGATGTGCAGCTGTAAATGATAGGGGGGGATTGATAAATCTCCTTGTTATGTGCAAACATATTTTCTTTAATCTCGAATTTGAAAAAGACTATCAGTATGGATGAATGCAGGTTGTCAGAGCATCTCTGCCTAACATACTCTCGCATAATAGCCACTGTTTGATTTTTCAAATTTTACTGCAATGTAGATATCAACATTCAAAAAGTTTCCAGTTCATTTTAAATACACCAGATGTGTGCTAGTGCACTGTCCCGCTTTGAAAGAGTGCTTCTCTTCTAAGCACGCGACTGCTATGTGTGTACTTTTTTTGCGGTAGATTTGCCCCATTGAGTGTGCTTCTTGTAAAGCACCGGTGCACTGCAGAAAAGCAACACCTGTTAAAAGAGCTCTTTAAGTGTTGTTTCTCTGCACTGCACCAGTGCTCGTTAGAAAGCACACTCAACAACGCCAACCCGTCGTGATTCACACTTTAGAAAAAAATGAATATTGCGGTTAATCTTAAAACGAATATCGAGTAGCATATTATTCCAAACTGCAATTAGAAAATCTGGGTATTTGCACAAGCCTAACTAGTGCCGAAAATACCAAAAGACGGCAGGAAGCTAGTCTTTCTCAGCTGATGTCTGGTCGTAAAGTCGGAAATGTTCCAGGGCTACTCAGTAGATGGCGCCAAATGTGTTCTCTCATTGGAAACAGCTTCAAGTAGTGGCAGCGCCGTTGACCACACTCGGACGCGAATGCATGAATCAGCGTCTGGAAACGAAACTAAGTGTTACTTCCTTGTCTCATTGCGTAGCGGAGCGGCGGTGGCAAGCCAGAATTTAAGAGAGGAAGGTTATCTCAAAGCGGAACAAGCACCACCTCAGAGCACTCTTTGTCGGCGGAACAGCTGGGTTACGAGGGGGACTCTGAGTCGACCCCAGAGGACGACTCGGCATGTCTACCCGATGGCACCTCGGCCACCTCACGAGAAGCAGGTGAGAGTTGCATTCTGACTCGCTGTTGGGTCTATCCTTTTGCATCTCATGAAGAGCTCCCCAGTCATGGTTACCTCCGTTTTCTCGAGCAAGGGACAGAGGTAGCTCGATTTGTGAATGTTCGGCGATGACCCGCGAGGCGATTCTTCTTTCTTTGTGTACCTTTGTGTGTATCGAGTTAGATATTATGTAAAACTGTGAAATTAATAATAGTTCACTGACCAGGTTCCAAGCAGTTTGGTTCTTTTCATTGCCGTATGATCTATTTCTAGGTAAGAGCGCATGGGATGATAGATTTTCCTCGATTCTACGGATGAAGCCAGTATACGGAGAATCTGTTGGTTTAAGCTACTTCCCTACTTTCCCCTGGCTCTTCAAATTCATGGGATAGGGTCACATGAAAACCTTTAGTGTAGCAGGGTAGCTATTACTTTGCAAGGGGCACAGTATTGCTTAGAATCCTGGGGTCCTGGATTGGATTCTCGTTGGGGAAAGTTAGGAATTTCCTTCTCTCTTCTCAGTTTGTTACTACAATTGTTCTTCTCAGTTATCCATGTTTTTTTTTGTTTTTATTAATTTCCTTTAAAATTTGTGTCACGCATTTCATAACTTTTCGTGGCATTTCGTCATACTTTCGTCATCAATCCTGTCCTGCGTTAAATCAAAGTGCGTGAAGTAGTTTTTCGACGGAATTCGACGCTCGCTAACAGAAGTCGAGACGAGTTCCGAGCGTTTTGTTATTGCGCCGTAGCCAGTGAAATTGCAGCATTCTCTGACGAACGCTGAAGGGCGAATCACGAGATGGGGACATAATGGGCCTTGCCCTGCATTTTTCGAGCTGTCGGTGGCTGCACTATGTCTCGTTCCGCCTTGTCGGAGCTGAAAATGGAAATCCTCTGACTTTTGACGAAAAGGCAAACAGCGCGCAGAAAATGGGGACAAGAGGAAGTGCAAACAGGACAAGCGCTTGTCCTGTTTGCACTTCCTCTTGTCCCCGTTTTCTGCGCGCTGTTTGCCTTTTCGTCAGTATGAACCAACTAACCCACATCGCCACCCTTACTCTGACTTTTCCAGGCGACGTGTCTGTGACGTGCTACGTGGAGGTCTGCTCGCTGGTCCTCGACCTGGTGTGCCGGCTGTGTCCCGTCAAGGCCGGCGTGGTGCTGCACGCCGTACAGCGGCTCACCGCTCTCTGCTCCCAGCACTCCCTCCTCCTCAACCTTTTTGTGGAGCAGGTGGGCAGCCTACATTTTAAGCTGGCTGGAAGGTGGCTCCCAAAAAATCCAAGCGCACTTATGCCACCGCGTAACGGGTGTTGCGACGGCGGCGGCTCGGCGTTCGCCTAAAATCGCCATAATTGTGACGGTGTTTTTACTTTCTTTTTTTTCAAGTTTTTTTAGCACGGATTTGAATATGCTCGCAATTCCACCCCTGTGCCTAATCTGCACTTTGTCCACGGTGAGCATCCTCCGCACGTCACAACTGAAAGATGCGTTCATGTGCACGGATAGTAGTGCGCTTGTGTTGGCACAACAGGGCTTCGCAGCCACTGTGAAAGTGAGAATGGTGTCTTTTCGCAATGCTTTGCCTTCAGCATGTGCTCATTGTTCCTTTTTACAGCGAAGCTGTTATGGGCTGGGGTCTGGGGAAAAATCTGTCCTCGCATGTCAACAGAAAACTCCCCATTGGTCGTGGCAAGTGTGAATAAATAAAAAGAGGAGGAAACCAGCGTGAGTCAGCCTTCCTTGGCATTATTTGATAGGGAGGTGCTGATCCCTTGTTATCATCACAAGGCATTGTCCATGAGGTCGTCCTAGAAGTCGTCCTTGAGGTCTTCCAAGAGGTCGTCCTAGACATCGTCCCCCAGGTCGTCCTAGAGGTTGTCCTCGAGGTCGTCCTAGAGGTCGTCCTGGATGTCGTCCTCTAGGTGTCGTCCTTGAGGTCATCCTAGAAGTCGTCCTCTACGCATTGTCCTAGAAGTCGTCCTTGAGATCATCCTAGATATTGTCCTCAAGGTCGTCCTTGAAGTCGTCCTTGAAGTCATCCTAGCTGGGATGATCTCAAGGACGTCCTGTTGCAATCATACTCAAAATTCACATAAAGATGGAGGACCAGCTTCGCTGGTCCTCCATCTTCACGTAATATAAATGGGCTATACAATTTTTTTTATTTTTTTTCGCCTGGCCTTTTTAGCGTGCATTTGTTTCTTTTTTATAGGTTTTCTGAAGGACGACTACGCAATCCCTCGGGGTGGTTTTCGCTAACAGTTGTCGTAAAAAAAAGAAAAATATGCTTTGTGGCGCTCTCTTCATATCTATCATCCGGCGCTGTAATTCTCTATCATTAATGTTGCGCAGACCCCTTGCAGATAGGCAAAGATGATGGAGGACCCCGTTCAAGCTGAGGGGAATAGAAAGGTGTTAATCATGATAGTGATTTAATAAATTCATTTAAATAATTGCTAGTGTGAAGCAGAATTATCTCGTTGACATAAACAAGAGAGAACTCACCCGAAAATTGGTATGTTTCTTCTCAGTGTGAAAAAAGACAACTTATATTGCCTGGGTTGACTCATGAAACAGGGCTTCGTGGACCCCTAGGGTACGATCATGGACCTCAAAGGGTCGGCAGAATCCCATTTGAGAACCGCTGCTCTAGCTTTTCTCGATCTGGAGTTATGTGTTGAGCACACGATTTATACAGAAAAATTGGCTGGACCTTTTATCTGCAAACTTGTGAACTGCATGGAGTTGTTTTGGAGAGTGTAGAAGGATGTATTGTTCATTAATTTCTGTCACCCTCCACTACGTTATCAGTATGCACTACAAGAGTATTCGCATATAGTAACTGTAGTAGGAGACCCATTGTAGGCTCCTTAGCCTGTGCACATAGAAAGGCATCCAGCTGGCACAGAGTTTGAGCATTGATCTCTGGACTGGGAGGTTCTGGGTTTGACTCCAGGTGGAGAGGGGAGCATACGTTGGTATAAAATTCCGAACAAGCACTTATGTATATTGTTTTGCTTATGTTGGGGGGGGCCATAGTAACTAAACCAGTTGAGCTGACTAGCTCTGCCATTGGGCACACCTTGCAATGGATGTGCAGATGAACAAAGTCCTGTGAGCAGGTAGGTTGTTTCATTGTAAATCGTTCCATGCTTCAAAAATGGGAATGTAATGGAGTGAAATGGAGTTATGGGTTGTGCTACTGTTACAGGCACTCAATGTGGCGGAGTACAACCTTGTAGCTTCACCAATTTGGTAGTTTGGTCTGAATTTATCTTTTGTTTGCGGTTCATTGAACTTGAGGTTTTCTTGTTCCAAGTAGTTTGAGACAAGCTGGAGGAGCACAGGTGTTGAGTCTGAAGGCAGGTTCTTTTGGTAATGATGTCTTGCTTCTAGGGTGCTGTCGGAAAGCTGTGCCATGGCTTGGGCTGCTTGCTGGAGATGCGAGAGCTACCAGACTCTCCGGAACACCACACCTTAGGTATGTTGCTGGACGGCAAATGTCAGTTTGAGAACCGAGATTTATGAAAAGCAGCAGCAGGATAAGGGAGTTGTAGTTGAGGAAAGCCCGAGTGAAGTAAGGTCTTGCATCATATCATTGCTTGCCCATTTTTAGATTTTTGAAGACTTGCATCAGATTGCTGTTATTGATGTTTTTTGTTTTTTTCTTAGTTAATTATGACTGCGGCGGCACAACTACGAAACCAAGAAACATTGAATGAGAACAAGATACAGTGTAGACCACTTACAACGTAACCGCTTACAGTGCAGGACCGGGTATAACGCGGCTTTTTTAAACCACCGGTTCGCCTCCCATAGAACTCCATGTAATTACATACCGCTTAAAATGCAGGCTCGCGAAGGGAAATACCGGTTATAGTGCAGTTTCTGGAACAGCCCGCCGACCGCGCCGACTGACCAGCACAGCGAGCATGCTTCCCTGTGCGACACTAGATAACGGCGCTAGCCGCGAGCGGCACTCGCGGGGCAAGGAGGTTGCTCAAAGGAGCGGGGAGAAACGAAGAGGGAGGCTTCAGTTCCCTTAGCGACAAAGGGACGCATGCATGTGTCATTCACGTGCATGCGTCCCTCCGCTGTGTTGGAAACAACCGCAACGACAGACCAATCGCAGGTCGAGGAGAAGTGTTCGCGCGCATTGCACGCCGGTTGCGGGCCGGCTGCTTCTATCCGCAAACATGGCGTCGGTTGTGATCGTCGACTTAGACGGCGGGTGGAAGCTCATCGTTCCGCGTAAAAGCGCTATCCTTGACTGTGAATTTTCGTTGTGTGTCGCTATGATAACCCAGCACATACTAGAAGGTAAGATCCACCTACTCGTGTGGCGGTGTCGTGGCGGCACTGTCAAGACGGCAGAAACGCCCGTGTCGTCGTGCTTGTTTACTTCGACTACAGTGGTGCTTTCTAAGCATTTGTGTTTTCGAACATCGCCCGGATTTCTTATTTGGAGCATTTCGTGCCTGTGGTCAAGTTGAAGGTATTACTGGCGCGTACCGTATAAAGGATGCTGAATTTTCACGCGTTTTCATCGCCGGAGAAAAGTGATTAGGTTTAGCAATCCTGAACGCTCGCAACGTGCGTCCGCAACCCGCGACGCCAGTAAAAGGCTGCGCCAGGCAAAAGTCGCTCATTTCTTTCAAAATGGGTGGCACACTTGAGAGAGAAGTGTACTAGTCTATTGAAATAAAGACTTTCCTCAAACTAAGCTTTATTTTTCATCTAACATAAAATAAATTCTTTCACAAAGGTAAGTTGTCTGATGGCATGTATTTTGGCCTGAAAAATTGATGTTTTGGTTATAGCGCGTTACCGCTTATAGTGCGGATTTTCGCGACTCCCGCGACATACGTTATATGTGGTCTACACTGTATATCAAGCATCGGTTAATGAGTACAACTATCCTCCTTGATAGATTCTTCAGGGCACCGCAATAAACAAGTGTACGATCGGGAGAAATGTAACCACTGATAATGTTTTTTGGACCTGAAGACGAGGCATTACAGAGATTCGCGGAGCAAATGATCTCTCCTGAACTTGTATTACTATAGAAAACTCCCTATTTATTAAATTATAAACAGATTTTTTGTATATAAAAGGTTTTAGAATGAAGGCCAGTCTCTATTTTAATAAAAAAATGTCGACCTATAAGAGCGAGCGAAATTTCAGAGCCCGTCAAGCTAACTCTGACTTTCCCCCTTAATAATTTTTTCCGTCCCATCCCCAGAGATTGTCATCCCAATATTTTTCACCCTTTTATTTTTTTGCCATGGATGGGCGTTTAGTCGTGAATTTACGGCACTACCGTATTTACTCGCATAATGAACGCACTATTGTCGTATTAGATGCCAATATGACACGGCAAGGTACTGTGGCACGACTCCAGTGATGGAGGCGTACCCACGGCTGGTCGGGGGCATGGCACAGTAACAATAACCATGCTTCATGAAATTGCAAACCTTTTTAGGGTGCTTTTGGGGCGCCTTTAGTCGAAGGAAAAGCGCCCTACAAAGCTCACTCAGAACGAAAAGCAACACGAGCATCTTAGTCGATATATATTGCTAGTATTGGGCGGGCACGCTCAGGTATAATCCGCGACTATGCGTATAAGAACTCATACGAAGTCCAACCGCTGACCCCCGAAGCCCGCTCGCACGGCTCAAGTTACGTTCACAGAGAGGCTACCAGACACTCTCAGCCTACAGCGCAGCGTGCACCTCGCCGTGCCGTTCTGTTGCGGATTAAATAAACGCATTTACCCGGAGTATGTGAAATTAGGCCTAACCACTTTCATAATTTCACTGTCCGAAAGCGGACCAGAGACGACGGCTTGTTTGTTGACATCAATGCATCCGATAGGCGAAGAATGTCCGGGGCTCGGCAATTCCTCCACTTAAGCTTCGTCAAGCGTGAGCGACGCTTGGTTTCACGGTTGATCACTTCCGTAACTACAGCAACTACGCACTTGCGGCCATTACGAGAGCAGTCTGGGCTTGACTTGGCCTGACCGCTTGGCGGCAAAAGAAAACTGGCTGGGTGGCTTGCTAAATTGTACACAATTCAAGACTCACTGACCTGAAAATTGGAGGTGCGTTGATTACGGGAGGGGAAAAAAAAAAGTAAAAATATTGATGCCCATTGTGGGGGGTGCGTTTATTATGTAAGTGCGTTTATTATGCGAGTAAATACAGTAGTTTGTTTTTGTGGCGAGAGAAATGCTGCAAACTTTTCTTGCAAACACCCGGTATTGTGATAGATAGTGAGACGGGTCAATATATGTTATAGCCACCAACAGAGTGAGAACGACAGGGCACATCTTTCGAACCTCTGGCACACACACCACACCTTCTGTCATGATTCGGCTGCATGCGTTTGCTTGAAGTCACGAGATGCCCAAGCGTTGTCGAAGGCAGATGTCAGCATTTTTGGTTGAACTCACAGCCAGTTCAAAATAAAAAGTTAAAAACTCACTTACCCTTACGATCGCACTTACCTTCAAGCAGTGTTGCCGAATCATGGGAAATTTCCTACCTTGCATGAAAAGCCCAACGCCAGGGGTAGAGATAAACAATGCATGTAAATTTTTTTTTTTTTTAAGTACCCCTTATGTTACATGCGTTTGAGTTGCGTTCCTCGTTGTCCCTTGGAGGTATGTTTGTTAGAAATTTGCCACGATTCGACAACACTGCCTTCAAGTCCTCACTTACAAACTCATGAACTCACCGAATTCACACCCCTCGCCAAACTCACAAACTATGCCCCTCACTGAACCGATAAACTCATTAAACTCACAAACTCACGCCCCTTACTGAAATCAAACTTGCCGAGCTCACGCCCTTCATTGAACTGACAAACTCACTCCCCTCACCAAACTCGCAAACTCGCAAACTCACGCCCTTCACCAAACTCGCGTCCCTCACTCAACCTCAAAATCTTGAGTTTTTGAGGCTTACAAACTTACTCACCCTCACCTCATGCCTGATCGGTGAGGGTGATGAGGTGAGCGAGAGCACTAATGAGTGAGTTTTGCCGAGGTAGGGTCGAAGGTAAGAAGTTTGGGCTGGAGGCAGGACAACTGTAGCTTTTCCCTTCCATTCTCACCTTTGTGCTACTGGTGCCACAATTTTTGCAGAGCTTCAGGAGAGCCTGGTGACACTCTTGGTGCTGCTGTGTCGCCGAAGCCTGAGCTCCAGGGACCTCGTGGCGTACTTGCAGCTTCTTAGGGGACCTCGCTCTGCCTTTGTGAGCTGCACAACATTCCCTTTCGGTCCCTCGGGCCTCCCCGACTCTTGCTTCGCCACACTTTAGACAAAGTTTTTGCAAAGGCGGACAATAAGAGCAGCAGACCTTCCCACCGTCCGTTTTAGTTGTGTTTCATGTTTTCCTTTTCAAATCTTGCATTTCACTACCTCGAAACTCTGATTCAAGAGTAAAAGACTACTCGGCCGTAACATACCCTAAACATACTATGTATGTTCGAATTGTTTTTAAAATATTTTAGTTTTTTTATGCATTTTGAATTTTGAGTTTTTTTATGCATCAGCGTCGCTTTATAGTGAAGATTGGTATCATAAACATTTAGATGTTGAGAAGCAAAGTTGATACTGGTACAGGCATTTGATATGCTCATATTTACCTAAAATATTGATTATGGAAAAAATAGTTCCCTGAAAAACTCGCTTCTATAGCAGATCTGCGCTAGCACTATTTGATTTGGAGGTCAAATCAAATAGCATGCTGATTTTGTAAATGAACTTTGAAAATATTAAAAGTATAGTATATATTTCGGTAATGGATGGTTTCAGTTTCGACCCAAGCTACGTAAACCAGTGAAAAGAAATTTTTAAAGAAATTTATGACAAACAGGCACGAAATAAAATATCCGCATCAACTGATTGCTCATTTTCATTCATGCAGTCTCTCTTCTTTAGAACGAGACTCCTCTGACGATCTAGACATACACGTACACCATTGGTATTGAATACCGGGTCTCGCAAAGGAATGCTCGAGATGACTTTGTTGCAGGGTCCCCTTCTACGTGGTCTCCTGGCCCTTTCCAACTGCGGGGACCGGGGCCCTCAGTGCTATCTCAAGTTTCCAGCTCTTGGGGCCGACGACGACGACGAGGTTATGCTGCTTCCTGGGGCCTCCCACGGCCCTGAGGTATGGCACCGTCTTGAGTCGCTTGAGAGCTGCACTTCGAGTATATGAGATCTTTTCATGTCATTGGCATTCTTCCGTTCTCGCCGTGTCACATTTGTTCATGTACCAGTGGCTCGTGACTGCCAATTTTTGCAGTGATAGTTGTTACGGGCTCCTCTCCCCGCCTGAAATGACGTAGTTGTAGTTGTATTTGTAGGGCGTCAGTCGTCGATTTCGCCAAATGCTTGAAACAAAAAACCCCATAACTCGCTGCTTTTTTTTCTGAATTTGATTTCGGGCACTCTGGTTGGGGAGTGAGCATGCTACCACAGAGCCACGCCAGCTGCTTCAGTGCACCGCCTAATAAACCACATGTGTTGAGGAAACTGGGCTAATGAGACTTGTGGAGGGTTTGAGGGTGTGGTGTATTAGAGGGCTTCAGGGTGCATAAAGTGGATGAGTGTGCCACTCTTCAAGCAGGCATGGCATAACCACAGCATGAGACGTCGGCCGCTCTATCCAAGACGCGATAGGGCACACACGGTTGATCAGACGAGCGTTTCTCGGCAGGGAGGCGCCGAGGGCGACGGTCCGTGGTCAGCATCCGACCGTAAGCGTGGCGGTGCCTGGGGACAGGCGGTGTTGGTGCTGCCGGTGACGGACCACTCCAACTGGTGTCCCCGTGCCTCCGGCTTCTCTGTCTCTCTGTGGCTCTCACTGCGCAGCGGATCCCTCTCGGGTGAGCTCCGAAACCAACTTTTAATCCAGCGCCGAAAAATTTTTTAGTTAGAATTACGCTGCCTTCAACCGGGATCCCGAACCGCACCAATTTACGCGAATGCGTAATTGGTGCGGTTCGGATCAATTAATGGGCACTAACTCCTCTCAGAATTTCTTTTTTTTTCCAGGATATTTACTATGGTGTTAGAAGACTACCCAATCAATATTTTGCTATAGCCTCACATATATTTTTATAAAAGTAAAAAAAAAAAAACGCAAGTGCTCAAAACCGAAACCGAAACTGGGCTGGGGAGGAAGAAGAAATATAGAGGAGGAGAGAGTTGAAGGAAGTCACGGGGCTGTGCAACTTTTATTTTATCAGTCAACGTATTTGCAAATTTTTAGAAGCCGCCAAAAATGGATATTACATTTTCTTTCTATGGTTATCTTTGGTGGTTGTGTCTAAACTGTAGAAAACGGCATGTGACCAAGAAGAAGACAGTGCACGCGCTTCAAACACTCCAGTTCTCAATCGGCAGTTTTTGGGAGGAAAGAAAATGAATTTCGAGCTTCAAATTGTGTTCTGGGTAGTTGGGCTCTCGTACGTCACAGAGAAATAAAAAACTTGGCGAGCATAAATGCCCTGTCAGTGCCCCCTTAAGGCACGTTCATACACTCGGGTTTGCATACGACCGAGTTCTTTCTATCTCTCGTGACGAGACTGCACGCTTGTGCCATCAAAAAGGCGACCCTGGAACTGCATTTCATTAGCGCGAAGGATTTGCGGTGTTTGCGAAATCAAGTGTATGTACTGTCTACGCGAAACAATTGTTTATAGCATCGTTAAAAGTTTTAAGAGCCAAAAAATAAAGAATGAAGTGTGAAAAAAAAAAAAAAGGAAAATGTACAAAAACTGCCAGTGTTCCCCAGCGTGCCCCCTCTTCGTGAGATATTCCAAAAGGTGTCAAGGCATGTGGCTGTAAACAGTCGCACCTACGACCCGTCCATATTACCTGCAGGCCGCAAGTGTGCTCGGCTCCATCTGGTGTCAGTAGGGTGCGGGTCCTTTCTCCTCGAAGCCTGGGCAGAGGACGTGGAGAAGGGTGACCTCTCGCTGTGGATCACGCGAGACGCGTCGGACGACGGCGCCTGCCATGGCGCCTCTCAGTGCAGCCTCGAGGGGGCGCTGTCTGGCCGCAGCTGGCACCACTTGGCGCTATGCTACCGCGAGAAGGTGTCGCACGACAGCCTGAATGCATTGGTGGGTGCAATGCTCTTGGCATTCATTTGGAATCGGTTTGAATTGTTGTAGTGATGACCTTTTGCGTCGTCGCAGAGTGGACAAAAAAAGGAGTTGGCAGTTCAGTTGGTACCGATTTTGGACGGGAAGAGACCACTGGGTGCTTACGTATGAGTCAGTATGGTTATCGCTTCGCTGCTAGATCTACTGCCACTGCCACTCTTAGAGCCAGTACCTTGTATCTTCTACATCCTCCAAAAAATTTAATTTTAATGCAGAAAGTGTTGTATGGCTTGCACCTAACCATCTCAGTTCCCCTACCAGCCAAAAATGGAAGTCTGTAAGCCAGCCGAAGGTCTTTCTCGAGTGCATCGGAGTTCAGGCAGGGTGGAAACATTACGTCTTAACATCAGATTCTGTTTTAGTATCACTGCCTTTGCCACGCTAGTATGGCAAAGCGGCGACTTTTTTCTATAGGGCTTGGTAATAATCGATTCACCTACTGATGTGTTTATTGCCAACCACACTGTTAGCTGACTAATTGGTCTACGAGGGACCCTTTTAGGAACTCCTCACAAATCCTGTGCATTTGAGCCACTTCTGTGCCATATGAAAGGTTGTCTCAAACGGCACGACTCATTGATACGGGTAGCAAACAAGGGGACTCTTTGCTCTTGGCAAATGTAAATGAAAAGTTAATACTTCGGCATCGCCGACGTTATCCATATTTTTGCAATTTATTATTTGGTTTGCAATACTAATAGTATCTTACATAATTTTGCAATACTTCACCAATTCTATTAAATTATTATTTTTTATTTAATTATTTTTTTTTTATTTTTTTTTTTTTTATATATTTCTTCAGCATTAGACTAATGAAGCGAATAATCAGTTAAACATTCTTAATCGATTCGCAGCCCTATTTTCTACGCAGAGCACTGGGAGGTGGCGTTTAAATACCTCGCCGAATTAGTTTTGCGCTGTAGAGTCGCGTATTTGCCGAGAAACAGATTCCAAGCGAAATCAAATTCAGAGGACCAGTCCAATAGAATGTGACTCCAGAAGTCACTGGAATGCTGTCAAACCTCACGATTATGCACCCAAATGTTATTTGAATTGACACTGTCTTAATGTTTGAGGGACAACAAAAACTCCGTGGGTCATGGAAGCTTGACCTTGAGGTGCAGATATTTTTTCTCGAATGCCTGGTACTTGAAGGGAGCGTTCCCGTCGAAGTCGAGATGCATATATATACCTTTGCTGTATGCCTCTCTGAAGAATGACACGCAACTTTGGGTGCTCTGCAGGGAAGATAATTCTTTTAGCATCTTCCTCTTCCAGACTATGAGAGGAGCCGTCTTGGGGCAACGCTTGCTAGTTAACAAAGCCGGAGAGCTTTTTTTTTTTCCATTGTCGCCTAGAGATGCAAACCCGAAACACGGATTGTACACGAGTCTCGGCCAATCGCCGACGCAGAACTCGTGTCCGATTCGTGCCCCGTGTTTCCCTCTTTAGGCTATGCTGAAAACTCTGCTCGATATCTAGGTCTTTCCGGTGGCACCGTGAAAAGAAATGAAGATTTGGAAAAAGGGGAAACGGGCGAAAGTGGAGCGAGTGAAGCCTTCGTTGTTGGCTCTTAAGTTGTGGCTGCGGCGCTCGGAACACATCTCCCACTAATGTCTTTAGCGTCCCATCCTACCTGTACGTCAAAAGTGGTCCCGAGGGCTCGACAGACGATGTCAGAGAAGCCGGCAAGCCATGCGGTCGGATGTCGCGATCCTGGCGGCCAATGGCTAGAGTGTCTCGGCAAAAAGTATAGACCTTTCCAAAAAGAGCGCTCTGGCTGCCGCCATTTTGTGTATCAAGCGACCCCTATCAGCCAGAAATTTCTGGCACCCACCTGAGCTGTGGAAACCCGGTCAGCGTGACTCCCCTCCTGCATTGTGCATTGGGAGTTCGCCGGCTTTTCTTGGAAGTTTTTATTTTATTCGCCTGTTTAGGATGCTTACCCTTTGTATGTTATCTTCCACAGTGAGAACCAGGGAATACCAGAGCTCGTAGCCCGCTCGGCATTCGCAGGAAACGAACGAAGAGAGCGAACGTCAAGCAGCCCGCGACGCAGGCAGTTCGACGTGCTTGGAGGATTATTTCCGTCGAGATAATCTCCTAAAAGCCTTCCAGGCTGCGTTCCGGGTCTTCGCAAAAACTAGCTGATAGGGTCGGGTCCGGGGTGTGGCGACACAATAAGCACGTTCGTTCATTTGCTATGAAGCTGTGCAAAAAAAGGAGCTCTCTTCTACATGTTCCCCAAAACACGCCAGATTCCGTCCGATCGTCGTGAAGTGACTATCGTCGACACTGTATATTGGACATGCTGTGTTATTTGAGACCTTTCTCAAATCCTGTTCGGATAACGCGGCACCGAGGGGTACGTACAATATATTTTTTGTTCGATTGATGAGATTCATTGAATTTTATGTTGTGGGCGGGGAATATCCCTGCAGTACGGATATCCCGTGTGGTCAAATATTTTGACCTTTATAGATTGACACGGCTGAATTAACGGTGTCGTAAAACAATGAACATAAAATGAAACAAACATTCCAGTTGCATTTGTTCTGTCGCACACGGACTCACCAAAACAGCTTTCATTTCTTTATTTTTTTTCCCCAAAAATAGAGAACTGCTTTCTTAAAGACCTCTATAAATTATGCTCGCGACAGAACACAAGATAAAAAAGAAAACGCGGCAATTCAGCCGCCACCAGCGTCCGGAATTGCGCCCAACGCAGGCTGCCACAGCCTACTGACGAGAAACTCCACAGCTCAGTGCAGTCGGGCAACACTGACATACACTCTCAAAACCAGGGACACGCGCTGTAAATCGCTTCGTTCGAGACTGCCGCTGGAAAGGTCTATAAGAAAGCATGTGTCGCCACCACCGCAGTGACACCGCCACGACTGTGGCCGTCGGCGACGCGACATTTCTGGGATGTCGTCGGGCGAGAATCGAGAGACCACTTTACGGGACATGGTACGCGCACCAGTCAGAGACACGTCCCGGGCGCCAGATTTGTTACGGCGGTACTTGGACGCAAGATTACGGTCGCAGGTGACCGTGACAATAGACGGACAGCGCGACCAGACCTGGGAACTGCCCTTGGATGGAATCGTGAGCGACCAGTGCTCTCATCAGCCCGGTCCTGCCGTTCTGCTGGGCCAGAGCGGTGCAAACGACGCTTCGGCGTCCTCCCTCGGCACCGGGGATTCGTGGGGACTTGGCAATGTCATGCTCTTTCAAGGTGAGCCTTTAACTTTTCTTTATACATTCGGTTTTCTACGAGCAAACTGTTACGTTCCAGCATGATATTCCAGCGTCGGATCCCAGCTTTACGTTTTACTAATTTTGCGAACAGTGGATTTTGAGTGCGAAGTTAATAGCGGTTTTTGCCGAATATTTTCTAATCGAATAGCGAGTAGTTTCTCAAAGTCTTTCACTACTGTGCACCATGCTTAAACAAAAATTCTGCTGAATTCGTGTTGGTTGTTCTCAGCCTTCTACTTGCCCACTTCTAAGTTAAGTTATTTTTAATATGACTATATGAACTATGGCATGTAAACAACAAATTTGTTACAGCTATGCTAATTGAAGGGATTCATAAATCTGCTTGTTTTATGCAACTATTCTTTTATTTCAAATTTGACCAAAAATATGAGTGAATGATGAACGTTGGCTGTCAAGACATTGCTGCCTAACATAACTCAACACTTGTATAATAAATAACCTTGGTGTAGCAGAGTTTGATATTTTTCACCCATGTTTTGTTGCACTTAAGTCATTTTTTACCACTACCTAAACCACTGTGCACCTTTACTACAGCTTCGATTGTTCATGGATACATAAAATGGTTTAATAATTGCAGTGGGTTAGCACTGTTGAATGCACTTCTCACTGAGCACCTGTGCAGAGCGGGGAAGCAGTGCTCGTGAAGCGAGCCTTGTTGAGTGCGCTTCTCGCCAAGCACCCGTGCGCTGCGAAGAAGCAACAAGTGGGGACTGCGAGCGTCATGGGAATTGCTTTCTTGCAGTGCATAGGTGCTCAATGAGAAGCGCACTCAACAGAGCTGACCCTTCAACACTTCAACTCTTAGAAAGGTATAAATATTGCAGTTCACCTTGAAGCGAATATCGAATAGTGTATTATTCGAAACTACTGTTTGAATATTCGTGCAATGCTACATTTTGTACACAAGGCCGATAGGGGCCATAGACCATATAGACCATAGACCATATGATATCATGACGGCCCATGGGGCCGTCATGATATCACGGTGTGACGTCACTTCATGACGTGACGTGACACCTAGATCTCATCTGACACTCTGACATGAGACGTCATATGACATCATAATGTTTTGGGAGACAGCCATTGAATTCCCCAAACATCCAGGGAGCATACATGTGGCTCGAATGCCTGGAAAACGTTTCTATACTGGTAAGAGAAGGAAGTTAGATATAAGGGCTCTGGTTTCCAAAAAAAGAAACAGCCTTGGGGACACTCCAGGGGGTGGCTGTGTCTCGAGTCAACAGAAAGTGAAGGAGATGAAGGGTTTCTTTCCGTATCGCTTGGGTATATCTCATTGAGAGACAACTTAGATTTGGACTTATCAATTGTTTTCTCTACTTTTTATAAAACCGGCTCAGGTTTATCGGTATATATAAAAAACATTGAGCCCTATAGTCACTGACAGAGTGAGTACAGCAGGTCATGTCTTTTGAACGCCTGGCTTCAGACATGCACTTTCTGACTTTCACCATGCTTTATCTGTGCTCGAGCATTCGCGGTGCAAGATGCTGCGAAGTGTCGTCGAAGATAGGGAGCTCGCGCTCGAGGTGAGATACCCTAAGCTCCTCCTTGCCACTCTCACCTTGTCTGTGACCATAGTCGTGTCCTAAGTAGCATGCAAGAGAAAGGCCTAGCTTGGCACAAGCTTGGCAATCCTAGGGCCCTAAGTCAGTCCTACAGTACTGTTTGCCCCAAGGCGTTTCTGCCAGAGTATGTTTCTCTTGTGTTTCCGTAACTCTTTGGCTTGCCACATAATTGCCAAAGTTTCGGGCGTGAGCCGAGGACGTCACATACGAATCGAAGAACCAGCAGGGAAGCCTAAATATGGCACTTGCTTGGCAATCTAGGCCCAAAGTTGCCACGGGAAAATCTAACAACCGGAAGGAGCCCAGTTCTGGCACTTGTTAGGTGACTTAGACCCAAAGATACCAGACGACAGCCAAACTACCAGCAGCGTAGCCTAACTTTGGCACTCGTTCAGCAAATTACGGCCACAACACCCAAACATTGGCCAAAGAAGGTCAGGTCTAACTTCACCGTGGCTTCTTTGGCACTTTTTAAGGCTCTGAATTTGTAGGCAAAACCATATGTTCAATCAAAGAACTGCACTACCTGCTGGGGTATGACCTTCCCAACCTCTCGAACCCAGGAGCCTGCCTGGGTCCGGCTGAGTGCCTGGCGTTGCACGCGAGGGGCTCTGATGCGGTGGCCCCGACGAGCTGCCTGCTGGACGAGAGGGAGCCCCTAGTGGTGGACGTCACTCCCGCGTCGGTGCGCTCCAGCGCCCCCACCTGGGCCCAGTTGGCGGGGAACCTGAGGGAGGCCCTGTCCACCATCGAGGTGACGCATCCCCCGACAAAGGGGGCGGAGTCAGTTTCATTGAGGTGACAGGTTAAGAATGCACCAGAGGCTCCAATTCTGCTGCGCGCTCGTTGGCTTCTGCCAGGCTTCCATGTCGTGTGCACAGAAGCATCGTCAAAGGCAGAAAGCTCACGCTAAAGGCGGAGTACATCTTCTGGGTTATTAACCCAGAAGATACTCTGCTTCCAACTACAGAGGGTTTCCAACTACAGAGGGTTGAAGACAGTAAAAAAAATGCTGCCCTTAGGTCTGGTAGGCAAGGAGGCAGTGGGTATAAAGCTCGGCGAACCGTTTCAGGCCTGGCAGGCTTTTCGTCACTCTTAGAACCCGTTGTAGTTAAAACTAGACTGACGAAAAGCATGCCAACTTTGAAGCCTTTCGCCGAGCCATTGCCTCTGTCTTTCCAAGACCCAAGTGCAGTATTCTTTTTATTCTATTACTTGTAACAGTTTGCTTTGTCAGTCCAGGTAGGTCATCCAAGAAAAGAAGACTATAGAAGAGAAGACAATTATGTCATTGTTAGTGAATACCTAACCCACCCGAAGAGGCAAATGCGCTAAAGCTCTACGCATGCGTCTTTTCATCGCTGCGTGCGATTCCAAGACTATGCGGAGTGCAAGTTTGTCTGCTTTTTGCACAGGGGTTGCGATGATGGCAGAATGCTGAGCTCTTATTGACTGATTGAAAAAATAGTGGGTAGACCTCGAGGCATCTAGCATTGAGGCAGGGGTTTCCCCAGGAATTAAAATGAGGGGAGGGGGGTGTCTGACACCATCTGTTATCTTCATGTACAGTGTCGTGCTTTACTACATATTTTTTGGTGTGACACATTATCCTGTGTGAGCACAACTGTCAGTGGTGGGCAGTAAAGTTGTAACCTCATCTTATAACGCAGCTGTCAGCTATGACAGCTTTGTTTGGAAATGCTGTCATTCTGGTTTTGTCTCCCACCCTTTTTTTCTGGGTTAAGTTGTAACTACTATGTCTTGTCAGCTTGCATCTCAATACATGGTATAGTATAACTTTATTTTAATTTAACCAAAACCATATTTGTCTGTGTTCTCATTTTTATTCATTTTTTTTGCTGTATTTTTTACTAGGGTCTACCAACTATCCCAAATGTCAACATTATTATACTCGTCTTTCTTTTCTTGAGGGACTTACGAGTTTGTGCCGACATTAGATCTAGATTTTTGCTAAACAGCAGTGTCCCCTTTAGTGAAGCTTGTGTTTCTAGTCATTAAGTTGCATCACTACTTTTAAGTAGTTGATAAATGAGCTACGAGACTTCTTTTTCACAGTGCACTTGAGCTGCAGGGGACATGTACCGAACGGAAAGCCATAATTCACCTTTTAATTTGTAAATTCTAACTTATAACCTCCTATTATTAGCAATCTGGGGACAGTAATAAAACTGCCCGAGATAAAAAGTTTGCTATTGCGTGCAAGTTTTGTTTAGGTCTGTGACAGCCCCTCATGTCAACTGTTCTAGGAAAGTCTACTTTGGTCGGTGAGCAAACCATCTGTCTTGCCATTTCTTCCAGGAACGGTTGTTGCTCTGGTTTTGTCCCCAACGAAGCGACTCCTTCGTGGCCTATCCGCGACCATCGCCGTTTTTGGCCTCGCTACTTGGACAAAGGTGTGTATTTGGCAGCTTTTACACGGGGTTTGTTCAGGTCTAGGGTTTCATAAAAAAAAAAAGTCACAACAAGGTGCAACTTAAATGTTTGACACATATTTTCTCCACTAAATTTAGCGGGAAATATAATTAGGGTATTCATACATCGATTTGGGTTTTCTCTCAAGATTTGGGGAACGAACCTCCATTTTTCTTGCTAAACTTATTGGGAAGCATCTCCCCACTAAAGATAGTGGGAAACACTTCCTTTCTTTTTCCCCAGAAACCTACACTTACAATATTCGACTGTGACAAATGCACCAACTAGTGACACATACCTTTGTTTTACAAGATTCAATGCACCGTGTTCATTGGCTTATTTATATAAAATAATCCTCATGCCCGAACGGAGTCGAGAAATGCCCAACACAAATCAAGCAACTTAATTGTTTTGTCTGCGATGCTTTCGCTTGTTTAGTCTGTCTGCCTCCTCTGTTCAGGAACGAAGGCAGACCTCGTGGCCTCCCTTCGAGGAGGGCGACGCTGCGACTGTCTCCCGTGCAGCTGCAGTGGGAACGCCACCTACACCACGCTGCGGCAGGCCTGGGAGGCCCCGGTCTCTTTCTCTTTCTCCTTGCCAGGGTCAGTGCTTGTTTACTCTCAACTAGACCTATACAGGCATCCGGGTCTTCCAGATATTGATTCTAGTACAGTGATTTACTCTTGAAACCAGTTAGAACGAAGTTGGTTATAACGAAATAGCGGATATAGCAAAGTGATTTCCGATTCCTGTTGACTTCGTTATAACCGGTCTCGACAGTACCATATTTACTAGAGCACAGGTTTGCAGACCGGGTTTCCAGCACACATGTGCGGCTTGTTTGGCAAAAAAAACATTGACGGGTTTTTTTTTCACCGCAAGAAGAGACGACGTATTGCCAAATGCTCGGCCTCCGCTCCAATGTAGTGCTAGCGGTTCCATCTGGATGCCAGAGTTTCATAACTAAACTGTTACCTCAATCAAAAGTAATATACCGTATAAACTCGTGTAAGGGCCGCACTATTGTTTCCCGATTTGAGGGAAAATTTTCGAGGTGCGGCCTATACACGGATAAAATAAAAAAAAATACCTGTATCCACATTCCAAAATGAAGGTACGTGAGCGGTTGCAGTGGTCAGAGACGCCTTCACTCTGGAATCCGGACTCAATCGTCAATCGGATTTAATAAGTTTACATACTGCACAATATCGCCATACTTGATAGAGAGCGCGGCAACTATTTGACTAGAATCCCGTATGACTGTTGAAGTGGTACTTGCCCATAGCTCTCAGGTTGCGCCATAAGGCAGACAAATCACGACGCTTTGGCACGAATTGAAGAACAAAAGGAAACCTCCCGGAGCATACAGTGGCGTTCGGAAACCTGAGTGCACGCGCGAGCCAAGCCCGCTGAATCCTTGTTCCTCGCGCTTGCCACGGAAGCTGACATATCCTTTATCTTTTCTCAATGCCTTGCCGCAACAGAAACGCATCCCGACAGTGCGGCCAACCACGATTGAGGTCGACAGCCATTATGCCATACGGTGATACGGATGAGTGGAGAGCAAATAGCGGGGATGCGGACACATGCCGCTACGTGCTCGGGCGGTGGCTGGCGCCACCTAGCGATATATATTCATAGAAACGTGGCATTGCAGTCGCCGCGCCTCAAGAACAAGGGGGTGCGGCGCATACGCGAATAATTTCTGTAATTTTTTTTCCAATACTTTGTCCTAAATACGGGGGTGCGCCCTTACACGCGGTTATAGGGTAAGTGATTTTCTGAAATTTTAATGGGAGAATGAGGCTTTTTCTCAGTAACTGGTGCCTCTCGCCTCCATGTATGCAAGGGCTTTGTTAGTCACCATTTTCCCACTGAAAATGTCAGAAGATCAGTTGAATCACAGCACGATGCCAAAAACTTAAATAATCGTCAGAACTTCCGGACACGTCATTGTCGTCGGAAGCTTTGTCGGCCTTGTGAACATCCTCACAAATTCGCGACCGTACCTCACTGACACCGTTACAAAATGACGAGAACAAGAAATGAAAGAAGGTGGAGACGGGTGAAGCGACGAAAGACCAAATGCAAAGATGCAAGCAACGCCGCAATTCGAGTTGCTGTGAGCAACGTGCAAGCAGCCGTGAGCAACAAGCGAAAGTGACCTTTGTATTTTCTATTGGTGCGTGTCCGCGAGGGAGAGAGGGATGGAGGGGAGGGGAGGAAGGAAAACATGGTGCATCACGTCCCTCTCACTCCCTCTCCCCCCTTGCGTAGCGAGGGGCATGTGTGAGTGGCACAGGCCGCCAATAGTCGCGTAACCCGACGCCCAAGGGTTGGAGCGGCGGCCACGGTGGGCAGGTTGCCGGCTACTACTGTTTCGGTTGTTTTCGTGCACCAACAGCTTTCTGAAACAGGAAACGGCGCGGCTCTATGGCGACGCCGACTCAGCGACTCGATAGCTCCATTCCCTCGGTAGGGTCGCAAAATTTGGTCGCGAATGTAGGCCGAGATTCTTTGGTCACAATTATAAGTCAGTAGTTCTGAAACTTTGGCAGCTGGTTTGGGCCGCTAGTGCTACGTTTAGGCAGTTAATGAGCTTTCGGCAATGGATAGTTTAATTTTGCAATAAAATAAACCAAATTTTTTCTTCTTTTTTTTGGCAGGGGGGGTGGGCATTTTGATGTGTTATTGCAGTAGATCAACTAAATACCATTATTCATTATTCAAAAAGTAACTAAGCTTGTTAGTTGTTACTGAGATTCAAATGGAACGCTTACCTCAGCTTGAAGGTGACACAGTATTTTCTCGTTGCTCCGAATGTGTTAGTGTTGTGCGAATATTTGAATTTTTGAATAGTAGTTTCAAATAGTATGCTTTTCAATATCAGCTTCAAGATGAACTTTGGTATTTGTATTTTTCTAAGATTTGATTGTGGTGAGTTAGCCCCAAGGAGTGCGCTTCTTACCGAACATCGGTGCACTGCGGAGAAGCAACATCCACGGAGTTTGCCTTTGCGGGTGTTGCTTTTCTGCAGTGCACCGGTGCTCAACAAAAGTGCACTGAACGAGGCTAACCTACTGTGATCATTATTTTGAAAAGTTCAAATAGTATTGCAGTGGTATGCTCAAGAGGAAATCACACTTTCAAAGCAGCATGGTGCACATGCCCTCCTCGTATTCCTTAAAAAGTATGGGGAACTTTGTGAATGCTGATATCTACACTGCACGAAAATTTTTCAAACTGACTATTACGCAAGAGTATATGTTAGGCAGAGATGCCCTGACAACCGATGTTCATCTTTTGTGATTTTTTTTTTCCCAAGTTCTAGATTTAAGAAAGGATACATGCATATAGCAAGAAAATTTATCTTCTCACTTTTTAGATATAGCTGGGCATCTCTATGTTTATGTCAAATGCGTTGTTTACTTGCTGTCCCAGTAGATGTTGGACTTTCTCAGGCTACGGTCCATAAATATAGTTTGATTAAAATTAACTTGGTCTAGAAATGGACAACTGGAAGCTTGGAAACAATCTTCTTGAGTCTATCTGGGCTTTTCTTTAAATTAATCATGGTGCAGTAATAAAGGGTGTGGAGAACATTTCGAAACTATTTAGCCAAAATCACTATTTGCTTTGAACTCAAAATCCACTATTCGCACGTGACTAGTCATTTTTATGAAGCATTAGCCGCTTCCAGTATTTGTCGTTTTTAATTAATTTCTTGCTTTTTAATACCTTATTTCGTGTATAACTGTGGCTATACTGACATTCCTTGTGCACATTTGTGCACATCTCTTTATGGTCTATCCTGCAAGCTATTTTAGATCTGAGCCACCCATTTATGCCTTGTTTTTTTATTACTGCTCTCTCGTATCGCTAAGAGATAATTGAGCATTCTCTCGACACTGTGGGATCTTCGCCATTTTATATTGCTTAGCTGTGGACTGTCGACTGCAAGAGAAAGCCTGCGAGAGCAGTTTGTCTAACACTTCACGTGTCAGAGATGTCTTCTCCGGTGTCCGTGAGAGATTGGAGCTATTACGCTCGTTACACCAGCTTTGCAGTGAATGTCTGCTCAAACCGTGCATCTGCCTGCAGATAGCACCACATGGTACTAGCAGTAGGCAAGTGTTTGCGTCCATACTTGGCAGGTGGTGGAGTGCACGACCGAGCCGTTGCCACAAGCGCTCGCTCTCGAGCTGATGCTGGGGCTACTGCGGAGACCCGGTGCCACCTGGGGTGTGCCAAGGGCACTTCTGGGGCAGCAGGAGACCCTCGATCTTCTGGGGCAACTGGTGGCGAACAGCCGCTGGGCCGCTGACTCCCCGCACTGCCTTCAGGTAGAAACATTGTCCTACCAAAACGATCAACCTTCCCTTGCTAATAGACTCAATGACTGTAGGGTCACTGCTCTTCTCCCGCGCATTGCGTATGCCATTGTGTAACGCTCATCTGAATTAATTTGTTGTTTGAGAAAAAACAATGTGTGTTTCATCTTATGCAGAGAGCATGTTAAATTCTTTTTGCGCTGGTGTTGCAGCGATGTCAGAACGAATCCGAGCTCTGATTGGCTTTGATTGAAAGGATATTGCGTAGACCTCGATGCTAGATGCCCCGAGGTGTACCCACTATTTTTTTCAATCAGAGCTCGTCGTTTTGACATCGTCGCAACCTCTGTGCAAGAAGCAGACGAACTTGCGCTCCGCATTCCATCAAGGCATCGAGATTGATTGTGAAGTGGCAACAAATTGTCACAGAAGTTGGCGTGTCACGTTGTTGGATGTTGCAATCCCGGCGGTGGGTGAAAAGTCCCAGCAAAAAATATGAGCACATGCGATGCGTTGCTGTGTTTGCGGAGCAATTCTTGGCTGCTGGAGCTTCCATGGACTGTCAAGCTGGAGTGCGACCTGAAGCAAAACAGGCATCCACTGCGTTCGCCTCTGCTGCTGCGACGCCACCAGGATCACAGCTGGCGATAACGTGACACTTGTAAGATGTCGTCAAACGGAAACGGAGTGTCCACCTTTTAGGACGAGTTAAAGACACCAGTCCGAGATGCGATCCAGGCACCATTGTTTTAGTACTCTCGCAACATTCGTCTGCTCCAGTTGCCACTTCTGGCCTACAGCGCCGAGTCTGCCCACAGGTGGCGCTGAACGCCTGCACGAACCGGGCCTTGGTCCAGTGTGATGGGGAAGGGGGCGTGCGTCCGGTGTCGCACCCCGCCGGCCAGGAGCCCCTCCTGGTGTGGCCGCAGCTACTGTGCGTGCTCGTGGAGCACTGGAGGCCCGGCCCCGGTTGGAGGGACCTGCTCGGCGCGGTCTGGGGGCTCGTCAGGGAGCGCCACCGCCACCGGGACTTCAACCTGGCCCAGGGGGCGCCGCTGTTGCACCGTCTGCTCGGACGACTCAAGGTGGGGCCAGTCTAGAACCACAGTTGTACAGGGTGTTTGTTTTAAGTCGTACAGATTAAAAAAAAAAAGAATAATGTTGTAAAAGTTACATTAGTGCGCTTTGTGCATGTAAGGTATACGGCCAGGGGCACAATATCTAGGGAGCTGCTAATTGTCAAGTTGTTTATTTAACCGAAATTTTTTAACTTTTTTGTTTGTGAGAATAAACATGTGGTTCCAGTTAGAAACTTGTCAAGCACCTTTGAAAACCACTAAATCAATTAATTTTTAGAAAGATTTGGAGCATGGGGGAAGTGCAGTGGTGTTCTAGAGTTACCACTTGCGCAACAGGCATAGTGCTGGCATTGCCAAAATGTGGATGTTATTAGACAAAGAAATGCTGCAAGCGTGTTTTTGCACCTCCAGCCTCGTGCCTGACCCACGAATGGTAACTTTAGTGCTTCATCACGTTCCCGTAGGCTCTGTCTTTCTCAAATCTACTGATTTAGTGGTTTTCGACGACGCTAAGCAAGTTTTTAATTGAAATCATATGTTTCTCTTCACTGCCAAATTTTAGTTAAATTACCTACCCAAATTATTCTGATGATTAGCCTCCTATATTGTAAGCTTCTAGCCATGTGACTTACCTGCAGAGACCGGATTGTGTAGCTTTCACGGCTTTCTTAAAATAAATCTGTAAAGTAAAAAAAAATCACCCTGTATTTTGTCTAGTGTTAGGGAACAGTGATCGGTCTTTGGCTTCTGCAGAGGATGTTAAAGGTGTCGCTTTGCATGACTGCTACTGCGTCGTGCGGCAAAGTTGTCCTTGAAGACAGTGCAGCCCTTGCTGCTTGGATTTCTCGAAATATCACTTCATTAACAATAGAAGTGTGTCCAGCAGCATTGAATGATTGATTTTCGTTCTATATTCTGCCACCTAGTGACTCAGTTTGCACCGGCTGCAGACAGCTTTTGCTAATGGACTCGGTTTTTTGTCTTGGGACTAGTCCAAACCAGTATAAGTCGGAATTTGGAATGCAGTCAATGTACTCTAAGGTTTCAAGAGGGGAGTCAATTTACTCCAAGATAGAAGTCAATAAACCACCCGAAAAGTGTCATTGATTTGACCCCTATGTTGGAGAAAAGAGACCGCACGATTGGATGGACATGGAGTCAGGAGTTGTGGTACCCTGTAGCAGACAGCACGTGACTCCAGCCGTGCCGACTGCACACAGCGTCTGCTCGTGGACGAGTGTTCTCCGAGCCTCGGCCCTCCCGGTACACTGTCGCTGGTGCTGAAGCTGCTCGGCGCGCTGGTTCAGCCGGCAGTCAGCAGTCAGCTGGCTGGACGTCTGAGCGCCTGTCTGGACCTGCTGCTCCTCTTGCATAAGTCCTCGGACGCACACGTGGCACAAGGCCCCTTCTACTACCTTCCCGCCATGGATTGCAAGGGCACAGGTTGGCTGCACTCCTCTTTCTTGTTCTTGGGAGGCACAAGAACATTCAAACGGTCTTGTGCATTCTCGAAATTGTATAGTTGCTCTTGCTTATTGGTGCACTCCTCTTTCACTCAAGGAGCTGCCACCAAAACATACTTGTATGTTTCGAAATCACATAATTCCTCCGATTTCCTTGTGCACTCCTCTTTCTTGCATCTGGGCTGCCACTGAAACATTCTTGTCAATTTCAAAGTTGTATAATTGCTCTGGTCTGTTGAGCTTCAAGGTTTAAGTGCTTGGTTTCAGAGATATGCTTTTTTTACCATTTCAAGAAGCTGCTTGTCTTCACAGTGTAGAGGGTTAATGAATTCAAGGGGCATACTTTTTACCTTGTTTTTCATTGGTGGGAATAAGCACTGAACTGAGAGATGATACCAACAAGTTTGTGCAGTCACTGACGGGATTAAAACAGCAAGGAGATCTCCTGGTGTTCCGCCTCCTGTGTGAGCTTCCTGCCTTTTATGATGCTTTGATGTCTCATGAGCTCCAGAAGGCAACCGGTGCATATTGGAGACAGGACACCTGAAAGAGAGACCCTGCCATTATCATTGTCACACTATAATTTATAAACACCGGCTTCAATCGACGAATTGTGCGAATAGAGAAGTAAAGAAGGAAAGAGCCATTGGCTATTTCAGAAATGCCGCCAGCATGAACGGTAATCAGCAAGGAGGCATTGCAATGAACGTGAGAAAAATGGAAAATTAGCAGGTGACAAGAAACTGTATAGGGTTGTGCGAATATTAAAAATTTTGGATAGTGGGTTTGAATAATACGCTATTCGATATTCGCTTTGAGAAGAACTGCACTATTCATATGTTTCTAAGTGTTGATCGCAACAGGTTAGCCCCGTTGTGCACGCCTCTTGCCGAGCACCGGTTGCGGTGCAGACAAGCAACACCCGTGGAAGTGAGCTACGCGGGTGTTGCTTCTCCTCAGTGCACCGTTGCTCGGTATGAAGCATACTCAATGGGGTAACCCGCCGTAATCAACACTTGGAAAAACATAAGTGTCGCAATCGCGTGCTTGGAGAAGAGCACACTTTCGAACCTGGATGGTGGACATGAGCGCCTGGGTGTATTTGAGCATAGAAACTTTGCGAATGTTCATATCTACACTGCAGTAAAATTTTCAAAATTAAACTGACTGTTATGCGAGAGTACTATATGTTAAGCAGAGATGCCCCGAAAACCTGCATTCATCATGCATTTTTTTTTAATTCGAGTTTTAAGAAAGAATCTTTGCATATAGCAAGATTTGTAAATTTACTCATGTGGGTATAGTTGAGCATCTGTATAGGGTTAATTTTATGTCAAATCCATCCTTTACTTGCCATCCCAAGGCATTAGACCTTCCGAGGTCACAGTCCATAGATATAGAAAGATAAAAAATTAGCTTGTAAATGGACTAGTGGAAGCTTGCGAATAACTGTCATGAGTTTAGCTGGGTTTTCCTTTGAGCTTGGTGCGATGGTAGTGAAAGGCGTGAAAAAACTATTCAATATTTGTTTAGAAAATAGCTGGCCAAAACCACTATTCCCTTGGAACTCAAAACCCACCCTTTGCACAAGTGTATGTAGATGCCATGTGATTAGGTGCTCGAGATTTCAATGGAAAATGTGAGAGAAAGGCGAAAACATATTGGCAGACAACAAAGAGTGTGCAGAGGCTATATAAGTAGGTGCTTGTGCCGCGAATCTGCTGACCCTTCTCGGTGGAAGCTCCCCAGCCTCCAGTGGGGAGCGTGACGTCTTCGCCGTCTGCCAGCTCCCTCTCCGAGAGCCCTGGAGATTTTCACCCCGCCTCTCGTCGGTCGTCTTCGCAGGAACCATCGCCTGAGACGGAAAACGCCCGTGAGTTAGTTTTGACTCCAGCAGCTGACATCGAAAATGTGCAAGCGTGTGCAGTTTTGTGTTGAATTCATCATGTGCAACTGGGAGATGTTTGCTGCTAAAACTTGGATTTTTTTGCTTGAATTGAAGAGGTACTGCTAATAAAAAAGAATAATGCAGATCAAGGACATCCATCTGCCGATCCCAGTGCATTTATTGTTTCATGGCCATGGCTCCAAACAGATCTAGAATACAGTAGGCTTGCAATAATTAAAACTCGGATATTTCATAGTTCTGGTTAATTCAGACAAATTTCAAAATTTTGGATGTCCCGCTATGTTTTTAATGTATTCATAAGCCGTTTAATTGAAACGGCATTTTCGTGCAATTCATACTTTTTGTTCTCGCAGCCCCGTTGAGTGCACTTCTTTGTGAGCCCTGGTCTACTGCAGAGAGGCAACACCCGCTGAGCTTGCTCGCATGGGTGTTGCTTCTCTGCAGGGCACAAACGAGCTATGAAAACGGGCACCACGAGGAAATTTTCATAGCAACTTGCGCGGACACTGGGACGTGGTGGCAAGGCATAGGCCCACATCACAGCATCCGCGCAAGTTGCTGTGAAAACTGCCGTGCGGTGCCCGTTCTTATTGTTTGTGTCTTCTGCTTAATAGTCCACCTTAGACAACTTCTTGGCCTGATGAACAAACCTAATTTTGTTTTGCGTTGTCATGTACCGTCGAAACAGTCCACGGTAAACAATGTCTAGGGATAAATAAGCTTGCGTCATACATTTCAGAAATGTTTCATGTGTATGATCAGTAGTGGGCCTTTGTAAAGGAAATCGTCAAATATCTGCTTTCTGCGTGTAACCATTTATATGACAAATCAAAATTTTATCTTGCATCATATTTAGATGAATTTCTGATTATTCAAACTTCTGATAATTCAAACAAAATGTGTGGCTTCCTGGAGTTTGAATACTGTACTAATGAGAGTCTACTGTAGTAGAAACACAATGGTATATATGAAACATCACAAGCAGCTTCGGAAGTTCGAAGCCTTGCTGTTCCCTTAGAGCTGAACCAGCTCAAGCAGTCATCTAGCTTTGTCTCTGATGTTTTTAATAGAGGTGTGCAAATATCAAATTTTTACTGCAAATAGAATATGAATACATTAAAATCTGACTTCAGATTGAATTTAAATATTTTCCAAGTAAACATTTTACATTTAGTGTGGATATTTTATAACATTTTGGCTAGATTTGTTTTCTCAAAAGCATACCTATGAAAAGATATAGCTTCTTTTTTTACATTTGAAGCATTTCAGGTGTCTATATTAAGGAAGGAAAAAACTCTTATAAAATGAGTTGGGTAAAACATGCATAAGCAAGACTATGACTACCTTATTTGTTTGAGTGTAACGTGAAGTTTTTTTTGTTTTTTTTCCAGCATTGTCCTTTAAAATCGGGGGTCAGACTAATTATAACCGAAAAAGCTGACCTGCATGAGTGAGCAATATTTTTTGGATAATCGAGCCAACCTAGATGCTCGTGGTCGTTTCTCTTAGCATACCGGTACATTTCAGTGAAGCCTTACACGTACACGCCGGTGCAAAGCAGTGAAGCTTGGCACATGCACGTAAGTGCGAAACAGTGAAGCTTGATTCCAGGGTGCTCGAAAGAAGCATTGAAACTTGACACTCTCGCGCCTGTACAAAGTAGTGAAGCTTGACATGCGCATGCCGCTGCACAGCAGGAAAGCTAGATGCCAGAGTGCTCGAGCGAAGCAGTGAAGCTTGACACGAGGATTTGGAGAATTCTGGTGACGGTTTAAATCATTTCGAGAACTCAAATACTTTGAACTCTGATTTAAACCAAATAGCAAAGACTATTTGCGAATTATTGGAAGTTTTTATTGCTCACTCACCTCTAGCATTTAATGTCTTGTAGCTTTAACACCAAGCCCATCTAAAATTGTAGAAATACAAGGTTATAGACAACAGCAGAGACAACCTTGAGAGATCAAAGACTCGCTGTCTCTTTACAGCCGAACCGTCAAAGACGGAGGTGTCGGTTTCCTTCGAGGCGCTGGACTGCGCCGACGGCCAAAGCTTAGTCGACGCCAACTTGGCCTCGGTTCACGGGACCAGTCGCGAGATGTGTCCCGTATTTGCGAGGAGCAAGTCGGCGCCGCCGGGCACCAAGGGCACGGCGACGAAAGCGATGGCGCTCCTGCTGTCCGGCAAAACAGGCGACCTCGACCATGTAGAGGCGACGGACTCACTCGAGACAGGGTGTCCCTTCGGGAAGGGACGGAGTAGTCCACGGCCACTGAGTCCATCTGCGGTGAAGCACGACTCGAAGCCAGCCAGCACTTGCCTCTGGGAGGAGGAGGAGGGGGAAGAGAAGAGTGCTGATGACGACATCACCGGACTCATCAGAGGCAAGTGTTGATGTTACAAGCTAGGTCAATCAATCAATAGACCATTTAATTAATCAATACATTGACCAATCTTATAATCAATCAGACAAGCAATTAGCCAGCCAGTCAATACATAGATGAGTTTTATAACCAATCAGCCAACAACTAAGTCAATTAATTGGAAAACCAACCAATCAGTCGCTTAGCCAACTGATTAATTAATAAGTCAATGAACCAATCAGCAAACATGCCAGTTATTTAGTCAGCCAACCAACCAATCAAGCCCTAAGCCAGCCAAACAATCAATTGTCAGTCTGTTAAAAGGGAGCTCTGGCAAAATATTGATGGTCATTCATTTTTATAAAATTTTCACCGTGGACTAAATATGTACCTCTGAGTATGCCTGCAAAGTATCTAATCAAAATATTAATTTTTTTTTCAAGAAAACTACTTTTAAAGTTTACACATACACCTCCGAATTACTGGCTACCGCTCTTCTGGCCACAACTGCTCGGGACGTCAAATGTTGTATCCGAGAGCAGATGACGCTTTCTCCTCCACCTCGTCATGCGGTGAGCACCTGTGGTTTTCCGGATTGCATCTGGCTTTGCCTAGGGTGAAGGGAATTGGTTAGGGGGGAGGGGGGGTTAGTGAACTTAGGGGTGCAACAACAGCATGAAGAAATGCAGCAGAGTGACAATTTATTGATTTCCGACCAAGAAGTCTCTGCGACGGAAAAGGGTTTGAGCAGTCTGGCGCAAACGCTGGCTTTATAGCATGTGCTTCGTGCTAGAAAGCATTTTGTACCATGCAAGCAAACACAATTTTTCATACCACTGTGCTTCTGGAACGGCATCTAGGTCCGCATGTCGGCTGGTCATGAATGCAGCCGCCACAGGTGGTCCCCTCGGAGGCGATGCCAACGGATCGAATGCAAACTGCAAATCATCTCAAATCTTCTGCTGAAAATCTTGAAACATTTGCTGGTCATTGTGTGACTCAGACAAGCTCAGTGAATCATAGCCCATTATCTTCCACGGTCGATCATAGCAGCCTTCTGACTGCTTCTGACACTGGGCAAAACAGGCTCAAGCCTGCCCATGTGCTGATGTTTATACATTTGACATTGCTACAAGTTGGTGGACCAGTCAAGTTGCAGGTTAGTTTCAGTTTCGGTTATATTGTTATCTACAATTTAAAGTTATTTAAAAATTTTCGGGAGATATTTATTTGCTGCTTTAGGCTCAGTTTCTTGTGCCCCTTCAGCAAATATGTTTAGTAGAAAACATTCAAGTTGACGCTAGAGCTCCTTTTTGACAGCACTGGAGAGGATGATGGACCCATAAATAGTTTCTAAGGGGCATTTATTGCTACAATATGGTAAGGTGTGGACATGGTAATAATGTTTAGTGTTTCTGCCCTTTTTTTCTGCTCGAACATTGTCTGGATACTAATTGTTCTCGTGACATTGTTGGGGCCACAGGTCTCCTCACCCTGTTACGAGATGTGCTGCTGTCCTCGTCAGAGTCCCTAGTCCAGGAGAAGCTTGAGCCCGTGGTGCGACCAGAGGCACTGCTGGTGTTGGCACACAACCGAGATCCCATCGTCCGCAACCAGGTGGTCTGTGTACGTAACACCGGAAGCATGTTTTAAGGCGATAGTCGTGATTAAGCTGATTGCCAAGTTGGTTCAGCATCACAAAAGCATCTCCTTTGTCTTTTGTGCTAACCGTTTTTTCTTTTTGGGATGTTTAGCAACTAGGCCATCAACTCATATTGTTAGCACTTGTCCTTTTCAGTCTTTTTATGTGTTCCTTGTCTTTCACGCTAACTGTTCTCGTAAAGCGATAGCTTTGTGTGAGAACCCTGCACAGACCTTGCTTGTTGGTGTTGTTTGCAGCATAGCAAGGCTATGGGAGAGATTATTAGAAACGGTGTGAAGCCATGTGTTTGATGTCACAGCCCCTGTCGTGATGTCATGCAATGTAATGGTTACCCATTCTCCTCTCCAGCAACGCCTGACACGAAAGCGGCGGCCGAGCACGCGTTCTCGTGAAATGGTCGCCAATGGCTATTTAGGAGCCGTTTCGTGCAGCGAATAAGCGAATGGGCATTTTTTTCGCATTTTTTCGCAGTTATAGATGCCGCCAGCTCTGCTCCATGAGGCAGTTAATGCTTTTGCATTCAAATAAACTCTGAAAAACATTCTCCGAATTTCATGAGAAATAAGCTCAGAACACCTAAAATCATAGGTACAAGCCACTACCCGAATGCTTAGTCGAAGTATTAATCGACACGAGCCCGAAATCAAAATGCTCGCGCCACCCACTGCACGAGCCGCATTCTAACATCGGCTGCACAAAGATCACATAACTTGCGACGAAGTTGTAAGGATTGCATTGTTGGCGTTGTCAACAATGCAGTCTTTACAACTTCGTCATCAAGTTTTGTGAACGGGAGACTAAAAGGAAACATTCTTTTGTCTTTGAAATTATACGCAGTGACGAAGCAGCTTCTTCATCGGTGATGTTGCGTGCGAGTATACTCGGATCGTGCCAGTGAGCTTGCATAAAGCGAGAAGCATTCTTCCCAAGTATTGTTGCTTGCCCCTTTAAGAAAGTTGAGCGCTCCTTGCCCGTAGGCTCTGGAGGCGTACCTAGCCAAGAGTTCGCCGGAGATGGAATCTCGGTTCCTCAAGGCCAAGGGTTTCCAGCTCCTGGGCCTCCAACTGGCGCAGCACCCCGCGACGGCCACCCTGGTCCAGTCTTGCTGCCGCCTCCTCCTGGGACGTCCCGTGCTGCTCGCAAGGTGCGACACGTCGGCCGAAGGAAGCACGAAACAACTTTCTCGCTTCGGCTAAAGAATCAATGTTTTGTGTTAGTAATGCGTGGAATGATTATCGGGTTTTGTTTAAACGCTTTGAGTCTTACAAAAACACTATTCATGAGGCTCACATTCCGCTCACCGTGGCGGTCCCACTGCTCAATAAAACAAGCAAAAAGAAATAAAATCGTCTCTCGGCAACTTATGATTAAAGTTCCGTGTTTTCGGCATATTCCGATAAACCCCGGAAAGTGACCCTCGAGCCAGTTTTATGAAAATTGGGGTAAACCGAAAAAACTAGAATCGGAGCTGTGCTTGAAAATAATCTTTATGTACAGCTTTGTTTTATGTTGAAATTAGGCATGTGCGAATAGTGGATTTTGAGTTGGAAGCAAATGGTGGTTTTGGTCAAATATTTTGTAATCGAATAGTTTTCCTAAGCCTTTCACTACTGCAAAACGCTTAAATGAAAACCTAGCTGAACTTGTGAAAATTGTTGCCAAGCTTCCACTTGTTTATTTCTAAGGTAAGTTAATTTGAATCTAGCTATATTTATTGACTGTGGCCTTTGAAAGTCCAATGCCTACATTGGGATGGACAAGTAAATGATGCATTTGACATAAAATTAAACCCATAGGGATGCCCTGCTGTACCTAATCTTTTCTTCAATTGCATATGATTAACACAGGTTGTCAGGGCATCTCCGTATAACATGTACAGTAAACCCTCGTTAACTCAAAGTCATAAAAACCAGAAAAAAATTTGAGATAAGCATAGTTTCGAGATAAACAATCTACCAAATTTTCATTGCACTGATTGTGCTGGAACCTTTCGAACAATCGAGCCAATTGACTTGACACTCGCGCGGCATTGGTACCTCGGGAAGAACGAAACAACAGCAGCAAAATGATCAGCAAGCAGCAATCACAAGATTATAAAAAAGGCTATCTAAAAAAAACTTAATAACCTGGAAGAACTTACGGAAAAAGAATGAAAGAAAACGACGAAGAGTGGAAAATAATGTGACCTTAAGGGGGAGAGAAACAGTGGCTCCAGACCGCAAGTGGCGTCCTTGAGGCGTACACCTCTCCGCACGTTGCGCACTCATAACACGGGGCTTATTTTTTTATTTTTTGCCGCAGCATTGCACTTTTTTGTGGGGATTGCTATTACTTCGCTAACCAATGTTTCGGGCTACCAGTTCATTGCTTGCTGTGTCCTGCCTGTTTTATTTTTCTTTTGTAATATTTGTTAAGATTTTGAGATATCCGAAGTCGATCCTGAAAACTTTTCCAGATAAGCGATGAGTGAATGCATTGTGCCTATGGAAGTTCATTCCACAACGAGGGAATCGCTCGACTTGACCAATATTTTGAGTTTGCTGAGTTTGAGTTAAGGAGGAATCATTGTACTCGTGTATACTAGTTTAATTTTGAAAATTTAATTGCAATCTAGATGTCAACATTCAGGAAGTTTCCATATCTTTTTAAACATGTCAGGTGCACGCGTGCACCCTTTCACTTCAGAAATTAGCTTTTCTTCTAAATACGTGGCTGCGATAATAACATTTTTCGAAGCATTGGTCATGGCGTGTTAGCCCCGTTAAGTGCGCTTTTTGCCAAGCACCGGTGCACTGCGGGAAAGCCACACTCGCAGAGGCGGGCCTTGCGGGTGATGTTTCACTGCAGTGCACTGGTGTTCGGTAGACAACTCTCAATGGGGCTAACCTGGCACATACAACTTAAGAAAATAGGAATATCGCAGTTCATCTGGAAGGAAACATTGAATACCTTGCGTATCATTCAAAACTACTATTCGAAAATTTGAATACTATTCACATAACACCTATTAAAGTAAATTGTCCACAATGCAGTTTTTTGTTTTTTTAAACTTTGTTCTTATCTTTTTTTTTTACCGATATTTAAACATTTTTTAAGTTTTCGAGTTACCCAGCAGTTGGGGAATTTTGTAGCCATGTCCAGTTTGTTTCTTGTCTTCATTGCTGAATCTGTAAAAAAAAGAAACCCTGGAGTCAAAAAAAACAAAAACAGAAAACATGGAATTTTTTTGTCACATGAGGATCCCAACACGCTCCTAACACGTGGGCAAAAGGAGTCTGCTGGTTCCCCGCCGCCACTCTACGTTTGAGGGTCTCTCAGCAGGGCGTCGGCCAAAAGTGGCGGATGAACATGTGTGAGAAGGCTGCGCTCCGTCTGGCGGCACTCAGGCTTACGCCTCACGCAGGAAGATTCCTCGCTGCACCCTGTCAAACCAAGCTGCCAGTCGTGCGTCGGTGACTCTGCTCTTGGCGCTGCTGCCCCGGACGGCCCAGAATCCGGCCCTGTGTCACGGCACCCTGACGGCTGTCACCCAGGCGAGTCGACAGCAGAGTGACAGCACCTCGTTTCGCTTCGAGTCCTACCAGAGCCGGTATGAGGGTCCGGCGGAGCCGATCAGACAGCGCCAAAAGTGCCTCGTCACTGCGCTCGTCATTCCCGTGGGTTCGCCGTCAGCGGCTCAACCAGTCGTACACCGAAAAAAGTGCAAGATTGCGGTGCATTCGCGGTGCGTGATTGCGTAGTTTTGTCGAGATAGCAGACGCACAATGACGACAAGCACCATGGCAGTGCACTTTTGTCTCCGTTCGATCGGCTAACTCTCATCGTGGTTTCGGCTGTGGTCGGCCTTAAAGTGAAATGAAACACCAGTGCTCAGCTGAAAAGCGAAACAAAAAGACTCGAGATACACCTAAGGACTTCATATGAGTTGTGAATGCGAAAGCACACACGCCGCTCTTGGCTCCCTTCTTTCGTCTGCGGCGTATGGCGCACTGACCTTGGGCGTGGAACGGTAGAGCCGCTGCTTCACGGACATGCAGCACCATCGGGTGAGCGATCGTTCAAACCGACATGCAACGGCCAATAGGAGTTTCGTCGACGTGCACCAGCCAATGGGACTGAAGCCGAAAATTCATCAGCTTTACTTCGCTCCTTTGGGATCGGGGAAACTAGGTGCCGTGTCTAGGTTTTTTGCGTGGTTTCATAGCTGGGAGCTGGCTACACTTGGAGAAAACAATTTAAGGTGCCGTTTTCGTGCTTCAAACTGGTGACGTCGGCTTGCTTCATGAGACCAGTTAATGCTTTCACATTAAAAGATGGGAGAATTCAATTGTGGGATATGCCCACCTCTTGAAAAAAACCACCCTGTTTCTATGTCTCTTTCGCTGCCTTGACCCGCCCAATGTCGAAACGCTAGACTGTATCTGTGTCTTTCTAAATGCCAAAGGCTGATATTTCTGTGTAGTAGCGGCGGTTTGCAATGTTTCGTTTCCACAGATGTCGGGCGATCCTAATGGGTTTCTTTTTGTACTGTACGGCCACTGACAATACGAGCAGTAACGCAGTGGCAGGCCTCCCAGAAATGCGAGCCGAGCGCCGGATAGAAATGGAATTTTAGGCCTCAAGTTGCGATTTCTGTCAGAGATCAGGGCAAAGCGCAGCTTGCAACCACTACAAATGTGGCTCGAACCCAGGTCAGGCACTCTCGCTGATGTTGTCTGACCGTGCAAGACATTCTGCTCGACATTCTGTAATTGGTGCGTGACACTGGCAGCTAGAACACTCCGATTGCTTGTTTCTCGAGTGCCTTAGCTTTGTGCAGCTAAAAGACTATTCTCAAGACAAAAATCAATCTGTCTGTATATGAATGCTGCATAAATTTGCTCTATGAAGCTTTGAGGTTTGGCCCAAGCCTTGGAGATCGTATTGTGACCTGAGAGTTTGACTGCGTGTCACATTTCACGTTACACACCAACATATGGCTGTATGGATGTGCACAGAATGTCGCATACCCCAGGATGTGTCTCAAGTCTCGTTAACACAAACTGCACTTTATTTAAAGAGTCCCATCTTTTCAGCTGTGTGACTCGGTGGAAGGGGCAGCCCATCTGCTTTTCTCCAACGGGCTCGGCGAGAGTCTGGCCAGCCTGGTGCTGTCGGCACCAGCCCATTCTCCCTTCAGGCACAGGTCAGTTGTCTCCATGCTCTTCGACCTGCCACAGTAAGCTCGTGACAGGCCGAGCTCTTCGCATGTCGCCGCCACTTTCCCCGTAGTTGTATTGCCTAATTAGATGTTAAACTTTTGCACCTTTGCTACTTTTTGTGTATGTGTAACTTCATTCATGTCTCTATGCATCTAACAAGTGATAAAACCTGCTGGTTGATTGGCCATTCGCCTATGCACTCACATGCCGAGTGACTTAGACATTGGGTATCAAATTCTTTCATGATTAGATCATCTGTCGTTTGTACCTCTACATGAAGTGTACAAATGACCTATGATGGTCTCTGGATCCTTTTGCTCTCGAAAGTCATCCTGGAATCCTTTATTCCTGGCATCCTTTATACTTTGTACTATTAGCATCTTTGATCTTGACCTTTTTTATGCTCATATTCTTGATACTTGCATCCTTGATTCTGGCATCCTCAGTTTGGATACAGCCAGAATTTGGTCCATGTCAATCCAGATTCTGGTTATCTGTAACGTGACAACTCTTCTACTAGCACCTCGTGTTGCATACAGACCAATTGTTGGAGACAGTCACAGATTTCTACAAGTTCTTAACGTCAAAATGCCTTATTCTCCATCAAAGGCCTTCCAACCGTATGCATTTCTGTTGCCTAATATAAAACCTCTGTTCTGTTGGCAGCTCAGATGCTGAAAATGAGGCAGACATTGTGGAGGCCATCCTGTCCCTATTGAGAACTCTCATGCTCCAGACGTGCAGGTGAGTGGAGAAAATGCTTTTGCTCCGTCTTAACATCGCAGGCAGCGTGATAAAAGTCGTTGCGACAGATTTTTTCAATTACCCGCTTCTCTCGTAGGCACCTGTGGTAAGCATGCCCTTGCACTCCAGAAACTATTAATGGCAAGGGATGACAGCATTGAGGCACTACTCACAGCCTTGTCTGCCTTTCGCCATACCAAACGATTGCTGAGCGCATTTTCTGAAGGACAAAATATGCACTGACAGAGTGAAAACGGCAGGGCACATCGCTGAAGCTTTGTCGAAGCTAGTACGAAGCTCGCGCTGCATGTGGGACGACTGAAGCTCCTCCCTGCCATTCTCACCTTGTCAGTTACGGTACTATGGTACAGATTGAGTACTTTACGAAAAATTTTAGTGTAGAATACACAGAAAGAATAAAACACATAAAGGACGAACACAGACACACAGAGTTCTTTCAATGAGCTACGAACATTTATGAGATGACCATGATGCTACGACCTTGAACTCCAAAGAATTGAAAGAAAACGTAAATATTCAAAATTTAAAATAAAACCAAATTACTCAGAAATTTTAAAAATACCAAATTAAAATGATAGGAAAAAATATGGAAATTAACCCCTGAAAAAGGGGGTGAATTAGTGTAATAAAAGAAATTTTTGTGCAAACACAAAAATAATGTTTGTTTATTCATTTCACGTACATTTTTGTAGTGCCCCGAAACACCTCATGGGCCCACTAAAAGGTGCACCTCAAAATAATGCAGACAGAACAAGTGGTGAATTTCAGAAAATCAAAAGGAGTTTTAGAATAATGTATGCAATTTTAGCGCACGCTAGCGCTAAATTTAGCGCTTGTGTTAGCGCACGCTACGCAAGAGTGCTTTAGAATACCGTTTTTCTGCCGCGGTGCAAAAGCCCGAGCATCTCGTGCTTGCTACGCCACCGAGATGCGGTAACAATTTTTATTTCATGCACGAAATGTTGTAACTTGAGAAAAAACAAGTTTTTTGGGGGGTCAAGGTAACTTTTTACATTTGTTTAAATATGAGAAATCAATGGGAGTGGTCGACTGGTGGTGTCCACTTGCGACGCCTTGGCAAGAGAGGTCTCACCTTCGCCTGGAAACGTTCGCGTATCACAAGCAGCAAGTTGCCGGCGATCGTTACCCACCTTGCTGGGTCTTCCAAAACGTTTCTGACGTCCACCTTCTGTAGGAGTGCAGTGTTGTCCTGTGTTGAAAATAGCAGTCATGAGCATGCTGCCGAAGTCGCGCTCACGACACTGCTGCAGTCGTGGTCCTGGGAGCCGCCATTTTTTAACTGTGCTTGTCTTGGCTTTAGCCAACTTCTCATCGCGAATCCTTCTTGGGAGGAGCGCAAAGACTTTTTGTGTACACACGCAATTTCTGAAAAATAATGTACGCTAATGTTGCGCGTGCAAAGCGCAAACTGCATTTAGCGTTCGGCGCATACGCAGTGGCTACGATGGTATTTTTTGCGTACGCAAAGCATTAATGTGCACTATTCTAAAACTGCCTAAAGTGTGCGATACAAGGGAAAATGCTGTACCGGCTAGAATTGAGGTTTGCAAGGCATTCCCGACTCCAGAAATGTTTTTTTATAGGTGCATCTCTGCAGTGCACGGCTGACCTGCTAAGATGGCATCCTCGAGCACTTCCTTATATCCTAAACATGCAGATTCCAAACTGAGTTTCACTGTTTTATTTATTATAGTACAGCAGCATAAGGCTACCCAGAAATTAGAGAAGGGCAGGAGCTACTATAATAGATAATACGCAAAACAGAGCTCCATCCAGTGTACTTGTGATCGAGTTTCCGCCACATTGGGAGGCTTTCGTAGTACCAATAGTTTTGCCCAAGAAACGTTGGTCCTCCGGCAAAGTGGGAGTCGTAGAGCTAAAACAATCATGTACTGCCAGTTCAGGGGGAAACCTTCGTACAGCGTCTTCGGTAAAGACCGCTCACTTACGTGGATGGCCCAGTTTATTGAGCCAATGACGAGTCTTGAGACCTTATTGCTGATAGTTTTTTGGTTTTTTTTCGTTGCACCAAAACAAAATGGCAACTTATTGAGTGTACTAGTGCATTGTCCTAATATATTGTGAGAACAGAGTTGAATGCAGATGCACCTTGCCCCATGGATGGAAGATGGCAAAAACCTTCTGACATGGCAGCATCAAATAGAATCATGACGATAGCTGGCAGGAGTTTTGCATGTGGCCTCCTAGTTTGATTTTTTTTATATTTTATTTTGGCATCAATCTGAGCATTCGCTGAGGAAATGGCTGGCAGTCGTGGAATATCAAAACGTTTTTATGCATACTTAGGCATTATGTTCACACACTTTTTCTTGCAATCTTGCAATACAGAGCCATGACACAGCAGAGTGGGAAGCTGTCTACAGAGTGTTTTCACAGCCTGTGTGGACTTTTTGCGAGACTGACAGAGGCGCACACTACTTATTGCGGTGAGTGGCTTTCCCATTCTAAAATTTTGTGCTCCATTAAGGAAATACTGAAAAAAAATGTGCCACACGGAACTACTCTAACTCATTGGCACTGAGTCACAGTAGTTTATGTCAGGTCAAGAAACACGTATTGAGACTTCAAAAGGGAAATAAAATGCAGTCAAAATCAATTCATATAGATTGGTTTGAACTGGCAGTATAGATTATGCCCCATGCCAGAAAGAGGTTAGCGTCATTTGTTGCAGAAAGTGTGGTTGTTGAACCCTGTAGTTTCTTGCTGTTAAAAGGAATGTGTCGTACAGGTGGTGTGACCAGCCAACTCCTGGAGTGTTCGCAGGATCATTGGATCCTAGGTAATACAATGAAACCTCATTGACATGTTCCCAGCTTCTGCATTGCCCTGACAGTTCTCATAGGAACGCATTTACTGACTTTTTGCTTAGTGCATTTGCTTTCCCAGTTCTTGCGTCCAAAAAGCTGCAGGCCGATTCAGACGATGGACCGATTGGCAGACGGAGCAACCATGTGATGACAGGTCCACAGATCGTCTGCCTCTTAAACACATTTGCATGGAGGGAGCACTTTTTGGGGTTCCATATTTCATGAACTACTTCCTGTCTAATTATCAGCACCTAATTCACTGAGAAAATATGTTTAAAAAAAATATTTGCAAGGTTTCGGCGGCTTCCAAATTGCGCTCAAGCCTCCGAATCGAACCAAATTTTTTACAATTGCTGCTTCCATTCAACTTGGCGGATGTCCACCATCTTGGTCTTGTTTTGAAGTGGAGTTCCTTTGCTTCTTTTGGCCGCCCTTCAATATTCTGTCCGCCGCATAGTTTCGGTGTGATCGGCGTTTTCTCGATTCGTGATTGCTAAGCCGTGATTGGCCGATGCACAAGCTCAAAAGAACTCGCAACGACTAGTGGCCGCGACGCTTGTTCTCCCTTTATTGCCATGGCTACTGCACCTCCACGAGCTCGCGTCGTCTGCTACAGCTGCTTGCTTGCTCCTGCAGTTTGTCAACTACGCTTCGCTTTTTGCCATCCTTATGATCGTTTGCAGCATTTTGTTTTAGTAGTTCCTCATACTTTGCCCGCGTGTCTTGTGGCCGCGCGTGGTGCAGGGAGTGAGGTACAAGGCTGTGCATGCGTTCAACCCACAGAAGCAGTCCTTGCAAGTTCCTTCGCATAGCGACCATCGATGCTCATCGCGTCGCTACTTCCGATTGTAATTCTTCTATGCCACCGGATGTCGGCACCAAGCAAAGACAGAAAAGTGGAACAAGAAGAAAGTGTGGAAGAACACTACCAGCTACTTTGTAGAGTAAAGCCGTTTCACATGGCACAATCCTGCTTGCGATTTTCACGATTACCTGTACCGGAACCTGCAGTGCGTCAGTCAGGACGAATTTCTGCAGCTTTCTCCACATGTGGAATCACGAATCACGGTACAAAACAAACGAGCAAACGGTCGGGACGGACAAAAGGGAACAATGCGCAATATTTGTTTTGCTTATATAAAAAAAAAAGCTCTGTTGTTGTCTGATAAAGGCATTTTTGATTCGACCCCCGCAAAAAATTTGTGAAAGGTGCAGACCAAAAAAGTAGAGCGCCTTTTCCCTTAAAACTTTTTGAGGCAACGAAAAGATTTTTTTTTTTTAGTGAACAAGAAGATGGTGCATCATTGCACTTTGTTCTGTTTTCGTTCGTTTCCTGGTCCGTGTTGTTGCGTAGCTCTTAGTTCCGGATGTGAGACAAGCTGCAAGAACTTTGCCCGGCTGACGTGCTGCGAGTTCGTGAACTCCCCATGGGGGGTCCGTGTCAAGAAGCTTCCGTCAAAACGTGTCTAGCACGCTGCAATTTCTCCTGCACATGTAGTACGGCCTGTCATCCAGCAAGATGTTTTTTGCTTCTTTGGTGTACTGAAGTGTTGTGCATAAGTGCACGGGAACAAACCGACGAGAATATCGGTAAACACCCCTCCGCAAGCCCAGGACCCTGTCGCTTGCCTGCGTTTTAGTCACCCAAAGCGTCAGGTGGAAATTACGAGCTTTTTTCTGAATGCACTCGAGTTCACGCCGATCGGCGTGAACTTTCTCTGGACATATTTGAGATCATGCCTACAAACTTTTACTGTATGCTTATTTCAGTTCATACCTTGATATGTTTACAAACTTGTTTTGAGCCAATTTGAATGTGCACCTACGATTGTTTGCATAAAATAAATCGTTTCATGACAGTTTCTATCTGTCTCATCTTTAGCAACCCCCAAACGGCGTTCTCTCTTCTTACATTTCTCCAGATTGTATGTTTTATTTCCGCAGTCCCCTGAAAGACTTATCGAGGGGGTTCTACTGTAATTGACGACATTAAGGGGGGGATGTGGAGCTTTAGAGTAATTTTATAATTTATAAAAGAATACTTATTATATTATACTCTGATATAACACATGTCACATAACACAGTATTGTAAAATAAATAAATGTCGCACCTATTCCAAATATGCAGTCGGATATTGAATACCTTTACTAAAACCCGAGTATGGGAGATTGGTCTAATTTGGTTGGATTAGGTCAGTTGTTATGGGTCTTTAGAGAAATATTATTCGTAGATTATCAAAATTTTTAATGCAGTTGCATTCACAGAAGTGTAATTTGTGCGGTGATGCTATTTTATATCTCTTGAGAGGGTTATGTTACTAAAAAAACAATTGTAATTATAGTGTAAAAGATGTGCTTTCTCGTTATTTAAGAAAGTAATTAATAGGATAGAACTCTTAAGTTGGAAGACTAAAAATAACATCATCGCACAGCTCCATTCTTCCCGATTAAAATAGCACCTGACGTGTTAGTATTGTCCAAGACAAACTTTAAAAAACGCTTGTAAGGCATCGGTATTTGTGAGAAAAAAAGTGTGAGGAGAGGAAAAAAAGCCCTTGAGGTATGTGTAATCCTACTGAATGTTCATAGAAAGGTAAGACTTCATATTTTCTTTTATATTTGAAAATTAGATTCAGCAATAATATTTTTCACTGAGCTGGGTGGATATGTCTAAACATTCGAACAGCCATTTTCTCCAAAATGACTTTTCCCTAACTTTTTACCATTTAAAGACCATCCCCTCCCCCTTAAGTGGTATGTAGTATGGAGGACGGGACATGATTCTGGGACTTTGCTTGGGTTTATGCTTCACTAACCTCAGTTTGTTTTTGCGTGTCTAGTGCTCCTGAGCTTTTTTAGGGAGTACTGCTTTAAACCTTTGCATTAGGCTGATTGAGAAATAGAGCTGCAGTAATAACGGCAGTATGAATGGCAGGCTTCTTTGGGCAACTAACATGGGATGGTTGGGAAGTGAGGGTTGTCACTTGGACTGCTTTAGTGACATTTATAGATGCAGTGTGGTCAGTAGCATTGCAGCTTACATTATAGCCCTGGCTTAATGATTATGTTACTTTTCTTTTTTACGTAGGTGAAGATTGCCGTGGGTCTCTCATCTTCCGAGAGTGCCAGGCTCAGCTCTACCTGGCTGCACTGGAGTTGTTGTACGGGTATGGGAGTGAAGGTGGGTGCGGCAATCACCTGTGCACTCTCATTGCTCCTACGTAGCAGCTGTAAGCGGTCGTGTTCTTGTTGTCTTGCTGGTACAGTAAAGCCTCGTTTCGGATCCCATGGGACCGGCAAAAAGAGTCCAAATTATCCAAAAGTCGAAATATTGAATGGACAAAGAAAACTGTGCGAAAATGTTTCCTTGTGACATACCTTTATTTAGAGAAGAAACCTGTTATTGTTGCCTGCTTTCTGTACGACATTTGGGCTGAGACGACAACTTTCCTTAGCGTGGTCAGGTGCCCCGCCGCACTTGCACAATCAAAGGTGTTGTAGCGAAATTCTTCGAGCACAACGAAAGCCTCCGCGGCCTCTCGCACAGTGCGACTTGACGGCGGCTCCTCACATGGAGAGTCTTCATCTTCGTCCTAAGCATGCCGGTTGTCACATAGGGCATCCCTGATGATCTCAATGTCACTCGACTGACCGGCCACAACAACACCATCATCAGTCTCAAGGTAGTCAGCAAGTTGCACTTGGACAGGAAGGACACCATCGAAACGGCCGTTGCCATCTTCAGCGACGTCTGGGGTCTCCACCACCTGGCAAGCTTTGGACTGGTCAAAGTCGCTGTGCTTAAAACAGTTTGCGATATTCTTAGCCAGGCGTGTTGTTCTACACGTACAATAAAATGCGGATTGCGTTGAGGAGCAAAACTTCATACCGTATTTGCATGAATATAACGCGACCACGAATATAACGCGAGGGCAGGTTTTGATGCCCTCAAAAAGAAAAAAAAACATTATTACTATTATAACGCGAACCGAGGCTGCGTCGATTTCTCGCACTCGGGGGCATAGCAGATGTGAAAAGTCAATGGAAATAGAAGAAATATCAGTCTATGTTTTGACTGCACTCATCCTCACTCCGACACACAAACACCAGATCACTCTGGAGCAGAAACTAAACAATGCGCAGGCAGAAATTAAAACTGCTGAATCCGATACACGATCACACTTCTTGTTCTGGTCCCTCTGCATAAACAAATGCCTCGTGTTGCACGATTGCGTAAACGCGGTCGGTGGTCTTGGCTTGGCTTGTGTTGACTTGACTTGGCCCTGCTTGGCTCAAATTGGCCGGTGCCCGCATTCCCGAATGGCGCGCGCGCGCGCCGAGTTTCTGCGGCGTGCGTGCGCGCGTTGTAAGAACAAAAGCGATAAAAATGCTTTTTTATGTTTTCTATTCGCCCCTTCACCTGGCCCAATAGCTAATAAATTCTCTTCCACCCCCCCCTTCTTTTCCCACCGGGTATTTTGCATTGAGCCGGAGGGATGGCTTTCTCCTCTGACTTTCTCCAGACTCGCGCGCCTCGTGGCTGAACTCGATTCCGAATATAACGCGAGGTGCGTTTTGGAGCACGTAATTTCGATAAAAAACTCGCGTTATATTCGTGCAAATACGGTATTTCTCTGCAGCCTCGCTGCACAGCAACATTTACTCCAATACGTGATTCCTGTATCTGCTTTCCACGTATTTAATTATCCCTTGATCCATAGGTTGAAGGGCAGCAGTAGCGTTCGGAGGGAAAAATACGACCTGAATGCACTCTAGTCCCGATATGTTGGAGTAGGCGCTGCAATTATCGACAAACATCAACACCTTGCGTTTCTTGGCGCGGAAGTGTCGGTCTAGCTAATGCAGCAACACTTGAAAAATTTCAGACGTCATCTAGGCCTTCTGATTCGCTTGGTAGTTCGCAGGAAGTTGTTTGAGTTTTTTTAATGTCTCAGCTTCTTCACCTTTCCAATCACAAGAGGTGGCAAGCGCTCCAGACCAGTCATGTTTGCGCCGAGGAGAACAGTGACCCTTCCTTTACTTCTTTTGCTGCCTGTGCAGGCGTCTCCTTTCAGTGTGATGGTTTTGTCTGGTAGGGCTTTGTAAAATAACGCTGTCCCGTCTGCATTGAAGATGTCGTTGAGCTCATATGCAGCGAGGTGCTCGCAAAGCTTGATGTTTTTTCAGTCATCGACTACATCGCCATCGACGGCACCTTTCTCTTTGCACACGTTTCTGAAGACCACATGTCTGTGTTCGAAGCGGGCAAGCCAGCCCTTTGATGCTTTGAACGAAATTATCTTCATTTTCACTGCGTACTTCTCTGCGCTTGTGCGCAGATCAGAGGACCACTCAAGAGCAGCTGCACATCCTGTCACTGACAATCCAGCGCACCAAGGCCTCTTCTACCCGGTTTCTCAAATGGCGGCAAGGCTCTTTAAATCGACCACAAAAATCAGTTTCTTAACTTATTGCGCTTCGATTTTGTGCAGCATTGCCCACAGGCGAATTTTTTCTATAGAATTTGCAAAAATCGAACTTACCTGAGGAAAAAGTAATAAAAGAAAAAAACCTTAACTCCTATAGAAATGCAGCGAAGCCACCGGTCTTCAAACAATAGGGCGCCCTATGGTTTGAAGACCGGTGGCTTCGCAGCGTTTTCATAGAAGTTAATCCTTTTTCTTTTTTTACTTTTGTCTCAGGTAAGTTTGATCTTTGCGAGTTTTATAGGAAAAATGCACCACCTGTGGGCAACGCTGCACGAAGTCCTAACTCAATAGTTTAAGGAACCGATTTTTGCCGTTGATTTAAAGAGCCTGGCCACTGTTTAAGACACCCGGTAGTTTCGGGTGTGCTGCCTTCTGCAGCTGCTTTCTTTTCGCATTGAACTTCTCGCTCTCAAAAGCCCGTAGGACCTCGGCCTCATTTTTCATGTATGTGGCCAAAGCGCTTCTCTTAACGTCGTACCTTTCATCACTCGTTGTCGAGAAACGCCGTCTTTCAAGGCCCTCAGTATTTCCACTTTCATCGCTAAATCCTCGGCCTGGTTCTTCTGCCGCTTCGCTGGCGGCGCCACCACGGAGGTTGCTGCAGTTGCTGCACGTGATGACGACATGCCAGGAGCATGCAACCCAGTACATTGAACATGCAGCGTTCCAGAGCAAAACTGGCATGAAGCACGGAGAACCGAAAGAGATGAGAAAACACGGAAGAACCACGTGTGCACCTTGGATAGATAGCGGTCATAACCTTTGGAACGGGTGGTAGCTTGCGCCACCTGCCGAATTCATTCAAATTAACCATAGCGCACCCAACTAATACACATGTTTGACGGGACCGGATCGGCACTTCAAATTATCCGAATTTCCGAATTAGCGCACGTTAAATTAACGAGGTTTTACTGTACGAAGATAGAGCGCCGGTCTGCAAATCGAGAGTGCTCGGGATCAATATCTGCGATGGAATACATATACATATTTATATTTTTATTAATAATTATCATTATTAAATAACCAAGTTAAATAATGACTGTTAATATTAACAAATGTATTGTTGTTGATTAATAATTATTAATTATATTTAAATCATGGCTAATTTTTATCATTATTATTATTCACATAATTATTACTAACATTGAAGTAAGGACTAAACTTAATATTTTGCTAACCAATAATGACAATTAACAAGTAAAATTGATGTTAATTATTGTAAATTGTCTATATAGTTAATTATGTCTAATTAATGACAATTAAAATTTAAATTGTTTAAATTATAATTACTACTTTATTGAATGATTGTTATTTAACTATGATTAAAATTGTGGCCACAATAACCAGCAAAAATTACCTATGTTGCCATGGCAACTGTGTGTCGGTTTTTCGTAACGGTCGTGCTCATCTCCTGGAATCCTGTCCCATAACACACATGTCAAAATGTGTGTGTAGTCATTGCAGGAGCACCTGGCCCCACCTCTCCGACCCTGCTCGAAGCGTTTGCCATCATGGCTGCCCCGCTGGCCGGGGACTTGGAGGGACTGTCGCCCGACATGCGGCCCAGCGACTCTCTCGGTTCGGCGTGGTTCCGGCCTCCCGATACCGGACTAATACCGGGCAGAGCCGCCACCGTTTCGACAGTGTCGCGCGAGCTTGGCGCCGTCTTCGTGCAGGCTTGCGATTTCGTCGTTTACCAAGGTAACCGTGACCTCGTAGCCGCCGATATTCCTTGGACGAGACACCTACCGTGATATCCCGAGTCATCGCCCACTCCACTTTTCGTGGCGAATAACGGTTTGCAATAAAGAACACAGAGGGATCGCCCACCCCTGGTACAAATACCCCAACGCAGACTCCGCAAACATTCATCCTACCCAACGACACGGCTGCGGACCTTACTGTTGGAGGACGTCCATGACAAAGTAAAACGAAGTAGGGAAAGACATTTCCCTTTCTTTATGCATTTCCTCCCCGATTTCTGTGACCCCGCAGTCGGTGTACGTGTGTGCGAAAACAAAAAAAACGATGGAGACAACAAAATGAAAATTTGTCTTACACAGAAGTTTGTTTAGCTTTATGTTAACTTTCTGTGTTTACTCACCGAGACAGGCCCACCTCACTTTTTTTATGAGTTTCAGGTGGCAGGGTTGTGGGCGATAGCTCTTAATATTAACGGTAGACGAGCGAGATACCCATCCAGGTAGCACGCCAAAGAAACGCCTAACTTGGCATAAGTTTGGCAGTTCTAGGTGCCACACTTAGGCCAAAGATCCCATGTGTGGACCGAAGGACTAGCAGTGAAGCCCAATGTTGGCACTTGTTTGGCAATCCCCAGACTTTGATACCAATATCCAGACTCGAGCACAAAAGACGTTTTGGGTAAAAAGAGGGCTCAAGGTACAGTGCAACCCACTTATAACGATAATGAGAAAACCGGAAATTTCAGTCGTTATAACCAAATATTGTTGTATCTGGACTAGAAACTGATCACTTCCAGTCTAGAAACTCTAGAAACTGATAGTTGTAAGCGGTACATCGTTATATGTGGTATATCGTTATAAGTTGGTTGCACTGTAGCAGATGACAACGCTCCTAACTAGCAAAAGTGTAAGAGGTGTCCCCTCGCTCACTCTCAGGTTTTGCAGTAGATCTATCGGTGTGCTGGTCAACTGAAGGATGCATTTGGGTTGTTCGAAAACGTAGGAAACATGGTATCGATAAAACTGGTCATTGTTGGTCTGAGAATGCTCAATGATGACTGTTATTTCAGCATTGCCGTGCCAGAGGTCACCCACTGAACTGGTACTGGTCAGCGTTCTCCTGAGAAAGGCAGTTGCTGGGATTATCCTAGCACAGGCAAGCCGGGTCAGTATGGACTTAAACTAGTTTTCTTTTTATTAATGTGGCTTTTTTTTCTTGACTTAATGTTTTCGGTAGACTATACGTGAACAAGAAATGTTTATATAGTTATCGCCTTGTAAGTTTAGAAGCTTTAATACCTACATATTGTTTTGTAGTTTTATTGATCTATTTCAACATCTGTGAGTAGTAGTAATCTTAGTAGTCCAATCCAAGGATGTCGGCATTGTAACATTTCTAAATAGCAGCCAGTGAAATGCAAGATTTCGCATCAAAAGGATTGCGCTTGTGTTGTTGGCCTTAATGATGTATTCTGATTTTTCTATTGTCTGTTCAACAGTTCTATTAAATAAATAGTTGAATTAATCATGCTGATGGATTCTAGCTTTTTTTTTTAATGTGTGATTCAGACACTTTTCAATTTGTTAGTTTGATTTCTTCAGTCTTTTTTTTTTTTTAACTTTTAATTTAATTTGTAAGAAAAGTAGTATTATCTCTAGTGATATATGATCAAGCTCCAACAGTTTGATCTGCCATGATGGGTCCACAACTGCTCTAAACTCGCCCCTCCCATTCATTTGCATTTCTCGACATACAGAAGTCCAAGCGCAAGTTGAACTCGCTGGAGCAACTGATCTTCTCACTCAAGCACATCTTTCCCAACCTGGTAGGCAAACTGCATGCCTCACATGCTCAGTACCACCCCAGTTATGTCACGCACACATGCACATAACACTTCATAAATCTTCTCTGAGAAGTCTTGATATCGCAAGGGGCATTTAAATATGAGTTGCACATGAATCTGTCACAAGCAACAGTACCAAAATAATTTGATTTGCCATTGGGAAAACATGTTAGAGGCATATAGCATAAGGTATGAGGATGAATAGAAGGCATAGACAGGACAAGCGTTTTTTGTTCTGCTCTCCTCCCTTTACCCAATTCAAATCAAGTCAGCTCAATTTCATTTCTAGCACAGTGTTGGGAGCCCTGGACGAAAACCTGTCACGACAGCTTGAGAGTGTATAGGGACCTGTACAAGCAACTCTATTTAAAAATCGTACGTCCTGATCATACCTGATAAACCTGGAGACGCAGAATGTGTTGCAAATCAGCTGGGCACATGTAGTGTGCTTGTGTAATGTCATGTGACTGATGTCGGGCTTCGTCATGGTGTCTCATGACGAAGCCTGTGTGTCGGTGAAGCATTTACATGTCGCCTTTCTCATGAAACCCAGCCCTATAGCACATTCTGTGTTTAAAAGGATGTAACTTGCTGATTTATTCATTTTCAGCTAATCCCTGTCGTTAATGCGCAGCTCTCCAGGCTGTGCGTGCACCTGTTTGCACCTGGCCAGGACCCGAGGCTCGGGCTACATGCGGCCCAGACCCTGGTCTCCTGCGGTTCCTTTCAAGAAGCTCTCAGGGTGGCGCTGGGACCTTCAAACGAGGTGGGTCTTCTTCTTTGAGCCCATACTTTTCTTGACACATTTCTTTAAAATGTCCCCTAATACAGTAATTCCATGCTACAACAAAGTCATTGGGACGGCAAAAAAGTTCGATATAAGCGGTAATTTGATAAAAAAGATAGAGCCATAAAAACAGTGCCAGCAGCGTTAAAGGTGGACGGGAACACTGCATAACACTGACCATATATTTAATCAAACAAACCTTAGTTACGAACATCTCGCGGCTGCTTTGCGGAGTTTTCCGATAATTTCATTTAGGCATTAGCTCTCCTCGAACTGCTCCAGGCATCGCAAGAACACTGTTACTGCCGTTGCACTCCACTTTGTTTCGAAGTAGCCGTAGGATGTGTTGCATCTCCGCAGTCGTCGGCGTTTCCCGAGGTGCCTCTCCGACATCGCTTCGTGTTTACCCTGACCGCAAGCAAGGTCTACAATCGCAGCATCCGCGGCAGGAGCAACAACAGGAACATCCGCATCGACAAGTGCAAATGAATCAGGATTATCCTCGGTGGCTTTGCCAACATGTTTTCACCCACTTTTATAGAGATTGTTGCAGCTATGGAAATCGTGCGTCAACTCGGCAAGCATACTCACGAGAAAAAATCTGACGTGCATGAAGCAGCTGGCAATGTTTTATCTTCGGGTTGCGGGCGCACTTTCTCCTGCTTGAGAAACTTCTCAAACCCATCCAATATGCCTCGCTTCTTTTGCAAAATGGTGGACAGTGTCGAACAGCCAATGCCAAATTGTTAAATTTTTTGGCCACTTTTCTCAACCTCGTAGATCTAAGCTACTTTTGGTAACACTCCAATCTCCCATGTGACCCATGTGTGCATGTAGTACGCCGCCAGGCGCACATGGCGGGGGCCCTCGAAGGGACCATCTCCTTCGGGCTTCATCGTTCCCTTGACCCAATTCCGACAGGAGTCGGGCAGCGTTGGCCGCGGGCACCGTTGTCGCTGCTCCCGCTGCTCCCTGCCCGCATCGGCGCGTTTCCTCCCTCTGCCAACTCTGCACGCTTTGCTCTCCGTCCACCGTTTACTCCGTTTTCCCAGTTTGCCATTTGCCTTGGTGGAGAAGAGGGAGGAAACTCAAGGGCCTCCATGCGCCTCTGCGTTGGCTTGCATGCTTTCAGCACCTCGGCCTTTGTAAAAGCGTGGTCGGCCGCCAATGCACTTAGAATAATCCGATTAAAAATGTCTGTATTTCAATCGGGACCACGTTGAACTTCGATAAAAGTGATAACTATAAAAAAGCAATTTCGTTATAACGAGGAATTGCTGTACGTAACAAATGTTTGATTTAGATTTATAGTACAGATGACCTCTGCATACACAGAATTTGTTTCTGCAGCATTCTTTAAGGTTTGTGGCGGACATTGGAGTTTTGGTGTTTTTTTCGGTTAGAGCATGTTATTGTGTCTTAAGCTCTCCTTTTCTGTGTAATAATTGCCATATTTTAATCTTTTCTTTTTTATATACTGTAGAAACGCAACTGCAAATGCAAGCATCCGGCGTTTTCGTTCAAGCAAATAGGAAAGAGCACCGCGGGATAGACCAAGCAAGCTAGTTATGTGTCTACCCATTTAGCACAGTGGTAGGCGGCCGTGCTCACGACGATGGGGTTGTGGTTTCAATTCCCATTGTGGTGCATTTAGAATTTCGTTGTTTCTTTTCATTTTACCACTCTTTTGTACAGATTTCCCTCAGAAGTATGTGTTGCAAATCTCATACAGTCTCCCGCAGTCCTTAAACGTATTCTGCGTTAATAGTACTATAATCACCGACAGAATAAGAACGGCGGGGCGTGTCTTTTGAACGTCCGACCACCACGTTGCTCTCACGGCTTCGAACGTTCCCGCAGAGCCGGACGCAGGTGAGGACTTTCACGCAAGACCTGCTCTGCTCATTGACCCAAGAGGGCGCCATAGAAGGTGCCACCCTGGACGTGGTTACGCTGGTGGCAGCCATGTCGCAGGAGGCACCCAGCACGCTTCCGAGGAGCCCTAGCACGGAGAAAGCGGCGGGCGAGGCGGCGCAGAAGGCTCGCCAGCGCTGGCAGGTCCAGTGGGCGGCACAGAGAGAAGCCTGGCTCGTGCGAACTCCTTCGATCAATGACAAGTGAGCCAGTCCTCTTGGCTTCTTTGTTTGTTTGTTCCTTTCTTTCTTGAAGGCCCGTTTTTTAAGTTTTATACGGCAAATGTACCATACCCCAACGCGCCGTTTGCAGACAAGCCTGCATTGCCCACACCAGGTGTGGGCACTGCACACGCACAGCAGTCAGATATGTGCGAGAGAAAGCGTCTGCTCATGCGCAATACCAACAGCGGCGCCACCGCAATAGAGCGACGTTGGACAGCTCAGTTGGTGTATGGGGCTTGTCTCCACAATGCGAGCGTGGCTTTGCAAAAGAGCTCCATAGAAACCCGTTGCATGATTACCGTGGCACAATAACTGAATAAATTGTGAATAATTAAAATCAACAAATATAATTGATTAATTGTTAATATTTGGTTGTAATTAATTATTAATTTTAATGAATGATAATTATTAGTGTGGTGTGAATATTCAAATTTTCAGATAGTAGTTTTGAATACTACGCTATTTGATGTTTGCTTTGAGGTTGACCGCAATATTGATACTTTTCGAAGTGTTCATCGTGGCAGGTTAGCCCCGTCAAGTGCGCTTCCCCCCGAGCACATGTGCACTGCTGGTAAGCAATGCCCACGGAGCTCGTAGGCTCTGCGGGTATTGCTTCTCTGCAGCGCACAGGTGGTTGGTGAGAAGCGCCCTCAACAGGGCTAACCCGCGGCGATTAGGTGAAAGTAAAGTTAGGTAGCAATGTCTTGACAGCCCGCGTTCATTATTCGTGCTTGTTCTTTTTGTTGCATTTGAAATCGAAGAAAGAACATTTGCACATAGTGAGCAGATTTATAAATCTCGAATAAAGGGAAAATGAAGTGGGTTTGCATTTGAGAGAAATCACTTAAAACTTCTTCATTTGGCCTCTAGCATGTCGAATATCAAAATTGTATTTCAGAATGATGCCCCAAGTAGTCGCAACAGCAATTTCAAAATGGCACTAATGCCCCTTCATCCCGGCGCATTCGGTTGGGGGAGAGAATTGTGACGTATGATACAGAGATCTCAACGTTTCCGCGGCTTCCGCAAGCCTCGCCCGAGCAGTCAAAAATGCTGCACGCGTTCTCTCACAAGCGGTACACACAAGGCAGTTGCAAGCTCTGGGTATGACGTCACTCTCTGCATTTGGTTTTTCGGTTTTTCTCACATCATTGATACGTTCGGGTCAAATGCTTGTGATATTCAAATTCACAGAAAATTGCGCTGGAATTCACGGCTATTTTATTATTTTCAAGAACCCTCTTCAGCTTCTCTTTAAGAGAGCTGTGACAAATCTGTCATTTATGTGCCAGTTTATACAGTTCTATTAAAATTAACTGAGCTTAGAAGTGGACAAGTGGGAAGTTGGGGAAAAGCCTTCACAAGTTCAGTTGTATTTTTGTCTAAGCATGGTGCATAGTAGTGAAAGTTTTCGAGAAACTATTTGATTTGAAAATATTCAGCCAAAACCACTATTCGCTTCGAATTCACTTTTAACTTAAAATCCATTACAGTGCAATCCACTTATAACGATACCACGTATAACGATATACTGCTTATAACGATCAGTTCCTAGTTAGAAACAGTTTTTAGTCCGGATACAACGATAATTGGTTATATAGGATAGAATTTCCAGGTTTTCTTAATATCGTTATGTGGGTTGCACTGTATTCCCACATAACTACTGGTTATCAATTGAAATTACCTTTAGATATATATTAATTTGAATTAGTTATCATTAATAAATAATTGTTATCATTAAGCCAAAGGAAATAATTGTCATCAATTAATAATAATTAACATTAAAAATAATTCTAAATGTACCCTTTTAAAAAAAATTGACAGTTCAGGAGGTTCTGGTATAAAAATTTGTGTTTTTAATTTGCACCGAACCTGAGCGCACTGAACGTAGTACCTTGGTAAAACTTTTCTTTTCTCAAATTTCGCTTGATTTTAAAAATATAATAGGCAAACTAAAATTACAAAAACAAGCAAAAATAACCTCCTTTATGACGTGCCTGGTCCTGGCTCGGGTGGCCATGAACAGTCGTGAGCTTAGCGAGCGCTCATGATTGCCACAGTCCGTGTCAATGGCTCGAGAGGGCGCTACTAAAGCATGTGCTGGATGAAGCGCGTGGCCAGGGCTGCTCGCATTGCATTTGATGCGCGATTAAACACTAATTCCGCACGACACTTCATTGGCCACAAACGACAGCAAACATGGGGTAAAGGTCAGTTCAGAATGGGAGCCACTTCGCGCTGCCAAACTGCCAAATGGCCAAACCGTAAGCCAAACCTGTTCACCGAAGGCCTTCGGAACGCTCAGAACCGGTCGGATCCTCCAACCCATACGACCGCAGCGCCGCCACATACGTCCGGGACCTGTACCTCAACTAAAAAAATGCTTTTAGCGGCTCTGACCAATCGTAAGGCTGGAGCTGGCCAGGATTGACGTCAGGATGTCGTCACATGCCGCGCGCGTTCGGTACCACGGGGTGCCCCTGAGGTAAAGGAGGCTTCCGCGTCGTCCGGTTAAAATATGACGCACTGGTATTTAGTTACTCTCTTCGTGCAGGCTGAGTTGCCCAAACCACAAGAGATGTGGAAACTGCAAAAAAGGTAGACGCTTAAGTAGGAATACAGGGCCCCTTTAAGCGAGCACGGGCACTTCTTCGACCCAGAAAGCAAGGTTTGCTGGCCTTGTTAGGCTGCAGTGACCTATGTGGGGCTCCCCCAAAGTCTCTGTTGTTCCTATTGCAGCTTATCTTTTTGCCCCCAAGTTCGTTTGACGGCACTTCCTCCCGGTTCAGTGGAGTAACTTTGTGTGGTAGGAAGTCCAACTATCAGCGGAAACTGGAGGCCAAGGCATCCCGGGCGGCCGGCGAGGCTGCCAGGGTGACCCGCTCGGTGGCCGAACTGCTCCATGCTTTGCGGAAGGAGCTACTGAGCGACGCCAAGGCACGCTCGTGCCGAGACCTGGTCCTGCGCCAAGCGTGGTTTCGGATCGCCACGCAGCTCACGCACGAACGGTCAGTGGCACGTGCTTGTAACCGTTTTGGAAGGGCCGGATTTCTAACACTTTGGCAGCGGCTTAAGTTATGATTGGGGCTTCAGATTTTGTTTTTTTCATTAATGGGGTTTTACTTGGCAGTGTGCAAATATTTGAATTTTCAAATATGAATCAAATATTTAAAATTTCTTATATATGTATCAAATACGAAAAAATTTAAAATATGAATTGAATGTTAAAATTTGTGAACGTGAATCAAATATCAAAGTTCAAAAACGTGAATCAAATACCAAAATTTAAGAAAAAAGGAATAGAATGTTTAAAACTTCATTTGTGACTCAAATATGTAGAATTCCGAAGATGGCTCAAATACTTATAACTTCTATTATGAACCAAAATATTAAAAATTTCAAATGTTAATCAGATATTCAAAATTTCGAACACAAATAGAATGCAGTAGGCTTACATTAGCTTGACCTCGATGGAATCTTGAAGTTAAGTAAAAGTGCTCGAAAATTTAATTGTTGAATTGCCTCCAGCGCGGGCTCCCAACCTTTAATGACGTTTTGACGTCTCACTGGTCCCGAGCGTGAACGCACGACCAAATTACGGCGGAGGGCAACGTGCGCATCCTGTAGGCCGAAGATCATGAAGTCATGCCCTGCCATTCTTGTCAGTGACTAGACAATTTTTGTCTTTGGTTTCCATTACCAAACAAAGTAGTTGTTCGTTTCTAGGGCCCCTTGGTACTTTCCCGAGAGCTTTCCGGCCAACTGGGAGCTCGATCCCACCGAAGGACCGTCGAGGGTCCGTCGTCGACTGCGGCGTGCTTTCCTGGGCGTGGGACCGCAGTTCCTCAAGCCAGAGTTTCGCGGTGCACTCGGCAAGTATCAAATGAAAGCACGCACGACGCATTGTTGCAGACTACACAGTCTGCAATTGTCCTCGGGGCGTACTGTTGACGGTTCTTCCATGGTCTCCACTCAGGCAACCCCGATACGGTGCCACCGCTGCACTTTCTGTACGACAGCGATGCTTCTCAGGGCGAGTCGGCGACATTCCTTCATCACCTCTACATCAACGAAAGGATCACGTGAGTCGGAAGTGCCTCACTTGCTGCGTCACGACTCACGGGCACGCTGGAAACGTTCTGCGTGATGTCCATGGCTCGTGAAGCACGTGCGGTTTTGTGGGTCTAGACTCGGCCCTAGCTGCACCGCACGCGCTCTCGCTTTTCTGGCAAGCTCGCTTCCCCTGTGGGCTAGTGTGCATTGCAGGGAAGCGGTAGAGACCGTTGATTCACGGTAGTTTATCCTACTCTGGGTTTCACCTTAAAATGGATCGCATCAGACGCTACAGGCCAATCCAATGTCGTGCAAATGTCGCAGGACCTCTGGACAAGACGCAGCTATGCACGTGGTACTTAGTCGCATCATACATGCAGCACGCTGGATAGGCTGGGATGGCTCGTAGCATCTGCTGCGGTCCATCATTAGGTGAAAGGGAGTGTAGTATTTGAGGTGACGGGACATTGCGTTGGTTAAACGTTTTAGATAGGGGTTTGGCTTATATCAGTTAGAGGCAGTAATCAACTCTTGTTTTTCTGAGCTCTCTTAACTCTTTTGTTACCGCGGAAAAATGACTGATTTTCAGTGCTTTCAGAAAATATTTTTTTTCTCTGGAACTACTGGGCACATTAGACATTGCTATTTATCAAACTGTAGGTTATTAGCTGGGCATTAAAATTAAATAAACGGCAGTGTTATGAATGCAAACAGTTAAGAGAATTTATTTGTCAAATGAACAAAAAGTTGACAAGAAAAGCACAAGCAAAAAACAAATGAGTGGCTATACTGAGCCAGAAAATTATTTTCACAATTTTGAAATATACAAACTGTTGCAAGTGGCCCTAGCCATCATTTCACTATCTTTCAGTCCTGTAGGGCATGTTTTGTATTTTTCGTGGCCAGCCAAGTTAGTGGTCCCGATGGCTGTGCCACTCACAAAAACAATCACGCGAAGGCAGGAAGCAAGGATAAACTTCGCATGTGGAGCAGAAGACGTTTGTTTTTGATTGTGATTTCGTCTTTTGATAGCAGAGCTTGCAGTTTCTTCTCTCCATTATTTTTGGTTGGCGGTGAGCAGGGATCTGGGGTGAGAATGGAATATGGCCCTGGTGCTGGTTCATCATACCCAAAGATCTGCTGAATTACCTCTTCCCTAAATGCCAGCTGGTCAGAGTAGGCACTTCTAGAAAGTTCAGGGACGTTTAGGTTCTCTTTTCGGTGTTCTTGGAAGAGTATGAAGCTATTTACGCATGCAGTGTCCACACAATGAAAAAACAGTGTCTTCCATCAATGCACGCATTGCAGAGAAACGCTTTCTTGGCATAATTTTTGGTGCGAGATGGCCTCTGAATATTCCTGTTGTTTTTCAGTATAAGTGCAGTCGCAGAACTTCAGCCATCCCGATGTAGATGATAATCCCAATAAATTTCAGCATCTCCAGCGGAGTGACATTCCTCCAGGAGCTGTCACGTCGAGCGTATGTCTGCCGGTTCAAAATATGCATCCAGTCATATTTGTTTGTGTTCTCAGAGAAAGTCCTTACCACCTAGGCAGTGAAAAATAAAAGAAAAAAAATCCAGTGCTCTTGAGAACCGCCGCGAGTCGCTTCGCAGTACTGCGCCGACATGGACACCGGGCTGTCTCTTGAGGTGAAAACTGGATACAGCGCGATGCATTCGGAAAAATATCCTTGCCATACGCTGTCGATACTCTAAACATGCAAAAAATAACACTGTTGTCAATTATAAAGCCCGTGTTTGTATAACTGCAACGTGCAAGCTAAAACGAAATGCACCTGCGAGCTCCAATTGACATTCCAGGACATTGGGCTGGAGAGTCGCTGTCAGAACTAAAATCTGACGGCCCCACATTGTTACTCGAGTCATCACTGCTGCTTGAGTCGTAAAAATCAGCAGCAGAAGCGGCCGAACTGCTTGCTACAGCCTTCCACTTATGCGGTGCGAGCGGCGACCGCGATGCCTTGGCTCCCGACTACGCTGTTACTTTCGGTTACAGTTTCGTTTTGTACAGCGCCGCCTCACGTCAAAAGATGGAAAACCAAACCGAAACTGATAGAGTAGATGTCTATAAGCAAACTAGGTGGCACTGCCTGTCCTCATGCGCCAATTTGTATTTTTCCAGACGCTTTGAAAGTCATCGTAACTCCGTGTCCGATTTCCTATGGCGCGGTACTGAAAGAGTTAAGCCTTTCAAAAGCCTCAGATCTTGCAAGTCGGGTCTCGTCTTGATAAGGTATTGATTTGCAGGCACACCTCAAAGTGCACCAGGGTCTTTCCATCTTCTGAAATGCATGGAGAAGTGTTGCTCGGTTAGTACACTTGTTTTACCTTTTGTTTTGCGTAGCATATGATGACACCATGTCTTGAGATAACTGGATATCACTATACAAAACCACAAAAATGCTGTCAGTATGTTCCTTTGGGGAGCTTCGATTGTTCTTTACTCTTATTAGATTGTGCACGCCCAGTCATAAATTAACAGAACCAATTTGCGTCAACATATTCCTTCTTGTATATTTCTGGTTAAAGAAGCCGGAGCAAACTTATGTTCCTTCTAGGCCTTTTCCAGAAAAAACCGAGAAATTGGCCAAATTTAAAGTAGTGCTAGTCTTTCCAGCTTCGTAGCAAGACTCGGAGAAGTCTGGCTCGATGTGGATATTGGGCTAGTGCTGATGGGGATTGCTCTAGACCCAAATGTGGAGTGCGCGTATAAGAGAAGACTTGGCAAAGGTTATTGAAATGCATGTCGCGCTAACTGCTTACTAAATACCATAACAGATACCTTATTTATTTTTTTTTTTTTTTACAAAGCTGAAGACGTCATTGTGTTTCAGGTGAAAACAGCCTCCAGTTTGTGCCTGAAGAGCTGGGGAAACACAAGGTGAGTTTTGAGCGTCAGAACTGACTGTTGTTACAGCGTCTATTGCTCCTGAGTAGCATAGTTTCACGATACGGATCACTTTAATGCCGTACATCAAATTAACTACTTCTTTAAGTTGCCATGGAGTTGCTGTGAATTTATAACGCTTTTGAGTCCTTCTAAAACTTGTAAGTTGCACAGGTTACGTGCCCCCGCACCGTTGTTGGAAGTACAAGGAATATGCTCTTTGGCTTGGTTACCCGAGCTTTCCTGACTGCTTATTTTCGGATGGATGGTGCTATGACCACGGTTTACCTTAGTATCAACCTGATGCTCATGCACAAATGCCAGAAATGAGATCAAAATAAATGACAAATCGTCAGTTTGTGGAAATCTTAACTGCATTGGTTACACGAGTGTGGCGAATAGTTGTGTTGCGGCTGCTGCAAACTCAAGGCTGATCTCTTTTAATGTTTTAAGAATTATTTCAAGCACACGGTGAAAGAATAATACGTAAAATATAAGCGGTGGCGGGCGGCTGCAACACGTTCGATCACGCCGAAACACAAATGCCATTAATGGGGGTTTCGAGTTTTCAGGAAATCGGTTAAGCTTCCAAGGTAGGATTGCGTTTGAGGGTGAACTTTCGAGTAAGGTTGCACCCGACGAACGTTAGAATTTCCGTGGGCGACGCAGTGTGCACTCGGCGAAGAGGAGGCGAGGCACGAGGTGTGGCCCTACGCGGAAGTGCAAGAGGTGCTGCTCCGCCGGTTCCGGCTGCGGGACAACGCCTTGGAGCTGTTCCTCCGCAACGGCGTCACAGCGTTACTGGCCTTCCAAACAACGCAGGTATCTGCACCCATCCGTGCCGACGTTCGTTCCCTTTACGTGGGTCCATGATGGAAGTGGGTGTACCTTCCAGATAATCAAACAGTAAAGGCCCGTTCACACTCTTGCGACCGAGTACGACTGAGAGGGACGAGATCTCTTAAGACTTCTTAAATGTTTTTAGAATGAGGGAACACACTGGCATCCTGGCGCCATCTATGCGGTGACCCTGGAACTGCATTTCCCAAGAGCGAAGGTTTTGCGGGATTTCCGAGGTCAAATGTGCGTAATACCCATAGAAAGGCTCGTTTATAACATTGACAAAAATTTTTCGAGCCAAGAAAGAAAGGATAATGCGCGAGAAATAAAAAAAACATGCCGGACTGCCGAGTTTACACTGCTTCCCAATAGATGGCGCCAGTGTGTTCTCTGGTTTAAGAAGTTTTAAGGAACCCAGGTTTAAGAGGTCGCAAGAGTGTGAAAGGGCCTTAAATTGCTGCCAATTCTACCGCGCACGTAAAATAATGAAGATTGACCAGATACCTCAGAGAACAGATTTCATGAAACGCACGCCAACACAAAAAATAAATGCCGTGCACTAGTCGCCGTTGTTGGAGTCCGACGATAGCTCTTCGCGGTCCAGAGAGGTAATCCTGGCTTTCGTCTAAAGCATTTTAAGTGCCGCGCTTCTTGCACATGTGCAAGTGCGCAGCCGTCGCCTCTAACAGGATCGTCTCTCAAACACTTCGCGAGCTCGTCAGGTGGCTGGGATTGTAAGGCCACATCGTGCTGCTCCGTTATTTTTTTTTCCACCAGTGTGATGGCCTTTCATTTAAATAAAGCCTCCTAGGGAAATTTTGTTTTGTTTTTTTCATCTTAAAACGACAGACACGAGTCCGTAGACTTGAGAGAATGCGCGTGATATGGATACCGAAATGGTGAATGTAAACAAACGGCCACAATAGCAATGGAGCAAGCCACTTTTTACAGTGTATTGCATTTTTTTTTAGTTTCGGTTTTTGATTTTGATTGTAATGCGCATGTAGTTTTTGGGCACCGAGTTAGGCAAAAGAAAGTATGCGTCAGAATCGTGCAAACACGGTATTCAGTACATCAACAAACTGCACATAATGCATGTTGTGACGTTCGTTTGTTGGCTTGCGGTGGCATGTTATGACAGCTGTCTTCTCAGACTGCTAATGTTCACGAGGCTCTTTTGTTGGTGGTATAGCGATTGCTGTGCTACAAAGCTCATGCAGAAGTTGTCTTTTTTGCCTTCTGTGGTTTTGCCTGTTGTGCCTTGCCCTGAAGAAAGCACAATTGATTGTTGCTTGATGTCAAAGATCATAGTTGACTGCTTAAGGAAAATAACCAAACAACAAAAGGTCGCTCTACTTTTGAAGAAGTTGACTGTGGTGGTGACTAGATTAGATTGTCACGACTGGCCCTAACAATCTCCCCAGAAAGTGTTCCAGGAAGAGCCCGTGAAAAGCAATCTGCGTTTTACTAAAGGACTAACTTTCTCAAAGTCTTCTCGCCGAAAATAGACTGATAGCACTGCAACTCGCATAACTTTTAGTGTAAGCTTTCTTGTTGTTTATAACTTCCATATATTAGGTCTTGTTTCACAATGCCCATTCAGATTGAGATGATGTGACGTGAGCACCGGGACGTCATCAGCACGATGTCACCATTGAGGCTACATGCCACTGTCACGGAAGCACTAAAAGAAAAGTCAGCCTTGCGAACGTGACGGGGCTTCCCTCCCCAGGACCGCAACGAGTTCTGCCGCCACCTGCGCCAGTGTCCACAGCTCCAGGTGCAGCCTCCCGAGGCGCTGGAGACTTTGAGCCAGCGTTGGCAGGAGCGGCGCCTCACCAACTTCGAGTACCTGACGCAGCTGAACAAGCTGGCGGGACGCTCGTTCAATGACCTCATGCAATACCCGGTGTTCCCCTTTGTGCTGGCCCACTACGAGGGACACTCGCTCGACCTGGAAGACCCCTCAGCCTTCCGGTGAGCATGGCATCTTGCTCGTTTGTCTTTCCTATCAAAACGTGAAGGAAAAGCTGCTAGGTAATGTGAATTGGAATGGGACTAGGCAAATTCAGACCCTACAAAATATATTTTGTGCGGTTGTGCGTATATTTGAATTTTCGAATATTTGTTTCGAATAATACGCTATTCGACGTTTGCTTTGAGATGAACTGTGATGTTCGCATTTTGCGAAGTGTCGGTCGAGGCGAGTTAGTCTCATTCAGCACGCCTCTTACCAAGCGCAGGTGCACCGTGGAGAAGCATCACCCGCATAAGCAAGCTCCCCGGGTGTTGCTTCTTCGCGATGCACCGGTGCTCGGTAAAAAGCGTGCTCAATGCAGCTAACGCGCCGCAATCAACATTTTGAAAAGTATGAATATTGCAGTTGCGTGAATAGAAGAAAAGCACACTTTGAAAGCGAGATGCTGCATGTACACGCTTGGCTTGTATTTAAAAAGAGAAAGAAACGAAATCTTGGTGTATGTTGATATCTGTGACTATCATGTAAGAGCATGTGTCAAGCAGGGATGCCCTGACAACCTGCATTCATCATTCATGATCCTTTTTTTTTATTTAAGATTGAAAAAGGGAAGATTTAGAAATCCCCTTGATTAGGTACTGTTGGGCATCTCTGTAAGTTTAATTTATGTTAAACATTCTTTACTTGCCATCCCAAAGTAGGCATTGAGCTTTCTGACATCGCAGTTGATGAATATAGTTAGATTCATATTAACTTGGAAATAGACAATTTGAAGCTTGGGAACAACCTTCTTGAGTTCAGCTAGGTTTTCATTTAACCATGATGCAACAGTAGTGAGAGGCTGGGTGAAACTATGCGATATTCAGTTCAAAATAGTTGTCCAAAACCAGTGTTCGCTTCGACTTTGCTTCAAACTCAAAATCCACTACAGTGGAATCTCGGTATAACGAACTTCAGGGGGCCGCGGAAACTTGTTCGTTATTCTGAAAGGTCGTTATAGTGAAAATTGTGAAATTAACCATAATTACTTATTTTCTAATGATCAGAACGTCTGACCTTTACAACGGTGGGTCCTTAAACTCGTTTTTCACAATGATGCACGAGTCAACATCAGACAAAGCACATTTATTTAAAGTAGTCGGTAACTTTTTTTTTTATGCGTGCAGCACAAACTTTGCAAAACGAAAGACAGGTTGTTTTTTTTGTTTTTTTTTATGCGGCAGCATTGCAGCACGAACGCCGGCTTGCTTTGTGGACACATTAAACACCGAAAAAAGCTGCATCTGGCAAGGCTGAGAGCACACGCAGAAGTGAGAAACAAAGATGACAAAGATAAACCCGATGCGTCGCCGGCGACGCAGCCAGTGCGGTGCCACTGTAGACTGGCGTGCTTCGTAAAATAGCCGTTAACGAGAAAAGAAAAGAAGAAAGAAAGAAAATCGTAATAGCAAAAAGAGTTACGTTCCCTTTACCCTTTTTTTTTCCCCACTTAGATTTTCTGCACACGTGCTCCCTGCCTCCCTCTCGCCCTTTCTGAACCCTCGCCTCTGCGCTCTGCGCCGTCTGTGCTGGTAAAACCCGTCGTCATTTCAACAACAACAAAAAAAAAGAAATAGTAGTCCATCTTTCGTTACCTATCGCACTGTCTCGCGTTTTCAACGAAGCAAGTTGCAACTTTCAAGGCGTCCGCTCGCCGTGTCGTCTGCTAGCCTGCCGCTCCGGCTGCCGTGTCGGATTCACCGAAACCTTAGAATTCCCGCACTTCAGAATATGAGTTCGTAGTACTGAGGTGTTGTTAACATGATGCGGAGCTAAATATAGTGCTCGTTATTCTGAAGTATGTTGTAGTGAAATAATTTTGCATTACAACCATAGGCAGTCAGCACGGAATTTTTTAGAAGTTTGTTAATCTGAAAAGTTTGTTAAAGTGGTGTTCGCTGTACTGTATTCGCGCATGCGTAATATTTTGCACTAGTTTCCAAGTTGTGAAAGTGACTTGGAATGTTGAGTGATCAGCAGTAGTGATGGTTTATGACATTTGGCAGAAGAGCATAGGAATTCGTCCTCTCCAGCTTCGTGCGGGTAAGTTTATCACATCACATTGCAGCGGCGGTTGGTACAATAGTTATAGTAACAGTTGTGGCGATAGTTATAGCAATAAGTTGCGACGACAGTCATAGCAACATCTCTGACAAGTCATAACAGCAGTGGTGACAACGGTCAATGCAGTAGTTGGGACAACTATCATAGCAACGATTGTGGCAGCGATAGTTGCGACAACAGTAATTGTAATGGTTGTCACAATGCAGCATCCCAAGGCTGGTTTACACATGTGTTTGAGTGTGATTGACTGCATTGCAGCTGCTTGTAACTGAGTATAACTAGACTGAAGGTTTTGCGGTATTTGCGAGATAACTCTATCTGATATCTATGAGAAATCATTGTATAAGAATGTCGGAAAGATTTCAAGCGCAGTGGAAGAATGATGTGCAAAAGTGTATGCACACCAGAAGTGCTCCAGGGCTGCCCAATAGATGGCGCCAGTGTCTCCTCCCGTTGTAAGTGATCAGGAGCGGCTGCAATATGGAGAACCGATCAAATGCAGATGCAACCAGCCTTAGTGTGGTGTTTCTCGTGCACTTCTCCGCAGCCAGTTGGAGCGTCCCATAGCGGTGCAAGACCCGTCACGAGAAGCCCACTACCTGCACAACTTCCGCGTGGAGCAGTCGACCTTGCCCGAGGAGCGCCTGCTGCCCTGGCTGGGACCCTTCCACTACGGCTCGCACTACAGCAACAGCGGCACAGTGCTCCAGTTCCTGGTGCGCCTGCCGCCCTTCACCCAGATGTTCCTCTCCTACCAAGGTGCACACCTGGGGGTGCCACGAGCGCACCGATCCGTTTGACGGTTATATAGGGTGTCGTCAATCTCAAAGCTCGCCCTAAACTCGACCTCAAATACCGGCACCTGCACGTAGCACTCTCAGATTTTTTCACGAAAGTGTATCTTAGTGGTGCAATTTACCTCGTATAGTTTGAAGACATATTTGCGAAAAATGAGACTAGCACCTTTTGCCGGGGTCGTTGGTTGGTGGCCCATTCGCCCACTTGCAGCTGAAGAGGACCGGCTGAGACATGACTGGTTTTTAAGCCTCTTGCGATGGCTTAGGACGTGCTCTACAGCAGCGCATCCAGTCCTAAGCCGCTGCAAGAGGCCTAAAAACCGGTCTTGTCTCTCTCGGTCCTACTCGGTTGCAAGTGTGTGAACGGGCCTTTAGCGAGGGTTGTGCTTGAGATGCCGTCTGCCAGTAGACACTCGGTCAAAAGCATACAAAGCCATCGTCTGCTCGCTGTGCCCATCGGAAAATGGTGGCACTAGTTACAGCCATTCCTAACTCGGTCACCTGTGAACATGTCCACCGTTTACCCCAAGTTTGTTGTTTCATTTTTCGCAGGAAGAAAGCTATGCCTCTAATTTATACGAAGTAAAGTGCACCACTAAAATACGCCTTCCATGGAAGTTTGAGATAAATGGGTGCAGGCGTCGATTTTTCGGACGATTTTAGAGCAAGCTCCGGTATCGATAACACTACATACTTATTGTGTCATCCATTTAGTGCCTAAACGAAACGATTGCTTTGGCCAGTGAAACGTGTAATTTTCCACAAAGGTGTATAACTGGGCAGTGGCTGTTTGTTTCTGAATTTTCATTGCGTAGGGCACATACGTCGCGTGTGCTTCTCCGGTCTGTTCCTGTTTTCGTGTTGCGTACGGTTCTTCACCGTTTTTGACATCTACCACCTTGCCCTGCCTGCCAGGTTACTACAAGAATTAAGAACTATATAACTGAAAAACAAATTCAGGTTTGTGGCCAGTTGCTCTCTTAAAGCCTTTTTTTTTTTTTTATATATCTAAGAATTGACATATAGCATGCCGTTGAAGCACGTTATGACGAATTGAAAAGTCTACACTTTGTTTTATCATAAGTTAAAAGTGCCGTAAAAAGCTAGAAAAAATTAGAAGCTGACACAGGTGGACTAAAATTGTTATATAACAGCCCACCCTCTGCTCTCGATTGATTGGAGTAGCCAACGGCAACACATGCAAGTAAACAAGACGAGCATGGGGCAACGTGCTTGCTGCTTGACTGATTCCATATGCCTTGACCATTCCATATGCCTGGACTCGCGGTGAAGCAGACTACGGCCTTATAGTGCAATACCATATAGAGGCCCATTAGAATAATAGTGTGGATTTTTGGGAAAAACTGACGCCGCCAAATGGGACGCAGGTAACCAGTTCGACCTGCCCGACCGGACCTTCCACAGCCTGCACACGACCTGGCGGTTGGCAAGCAGGGACTCCACCACCGACGTCAAGGAGCTGATTCCGGAGTTCTTCTACCTGCCGGAGTTCCTGGTCAATGGGCAAGGTGTGACTGGCCAGCTTCCTTGCTCTTTCTTTTTTTTTTATGGTGAAACAATTTGCAACTTTCAGCGATGTTTGTATATTGCGGGGTAAAAATCGCGCTCCCTCGCTCGTGAATGATTGGCTTCACTATAAATGGGCTTGCCTACACCTTCTTGACGTGAAAAAAATAAAGTAAGGCTCTAATACTGCTCGTATATAACAAAACTATAATTACTTGTGTGTCGCAGACCCAGCCTCGTACTGCTGTTCTACGATGATCATCCAGATGATTGTCATTTTGATAGGCACCAGTGCGCCTCTATAGGTCGTGAAAGTTGCAAATATGCTTGACTTCGACATAATGTCGGATGCACTGAAGGTGCAACAGCACATGATACTGTTTTTTTTACAAACGGAATTTTCTGTCAGAATGATTTGCAACGTGACACATAGTAGAGGAATTTGTAGATGCATAAAGGACGAGGCTACCAAATAAAAAACGTGGATGATAAGATTATCATCCTCATTTTCGCATCGCCAGCCTTCTGTGTGAGCAGGAACTATGGTGCACTTCCACGCTTCATACAAAACTTCAAGTCTTCCCAAAATTAACTAATTTAGGGATTTTTTTTTATACTCTGGAAGTTTCTAACTGGAATCATATCTTTATTTTCACTAATCAAAGGTTAATTAATAAAGTTGCTTATTTAGGTAACTACCATGATATCCTGAGTCATCATCCATTCTTGAGTCATTGCCCACCCCACTTTTCAAGCGACTATCGATTTTAAAAAGAAGAAAAAAAAAAAGACAGAGTGATTGTTTATCTTTACAAATACCCCAATGCGGTCTCTGTGATCCGCCAACATTCAACCTACCTAAATGACACAGCTGTGGACATTATGGTTGGAGGGCGTCCTTGACGAAGTGAAACTAAAAAGTGAAAAACACTTCAGTTTTTTTACTCACATCATCTCCGATTTCCACGACTCCGAAGTCGGAGTACATGCATGCGAAAGTGAAACGATGGAGGTAACAAAATTAAACTTCGCTTTGCGTACAAAAAAGATTGTTCGGACAAAAAAAAAAAAAAGTCTGAAAGATAGGTAATACAAGCAGTAACCCAATCAGGGATCGCGAGGTCAGCGGACGCCCCATATCCTGGGATGTAACCACGGAGTGTAAGGTCAAACTCCGTCTCCACCGAAATAAGGTCATTGCGAGTCCGCTCCTTCTCCCGGAACGTCGCGACAGTGGTTGATGAGGTTGTGCTTTACCAGCCGCGCACAAATGCTCGCATGTATGCACCAAACAAGACAGTTGCACAAAAGCCTCCTGCCTGTGATTGACAAGGCGCCCTACGCCAAACTATTTGCCAACGCGATCGCCAACCTTCCTGCTTCCTCAGCATTGCCCTTCGTCTGTTCTTTCCCCTGCTCACTCACTCGTTGCACCTTTTTGGTTTTTCTATTTTCTTGGGGCTTTTTTTGTTTCGTTTTTTACTAACGAAGAGAACAAAATGGTATTGGAAACGTGCTTTCACGGAATAAACGTTCGCGCTGTACGCCGATTGGCGGTGTTCGTCGTGCGCACGCAAGCAACGGACTTTGCGATAGTAAAACATTTCTGCATAAGCGTTTCTTGCATAAAACAATGTAACTAATTCGAGTTTTGACTTAAATCTTTTGTGCAGCTGTGCGAAATATGTACGGAAAAATGGGCGGTTTTTTTTTGTTTTTTTTTTTTTAGCTTTTTTTTATACTTTTTGTGCCCCAATTTTTTATAAATTTCAGATGGCAAGGGGGTGAGCAATGACTCGGGATATTACGGTAGTATATTTTTTGCAATCCCTGACGTCTGTTGTGGCTGACAGTTTGTTCCCCCAAAAAGAGTTCCTTTTCTATTCTCAACCACTGTAATGGTAAAAATTTTGGAAAGTCTTTGCCGAAACAGGTTGTATATCACTATCATATTCTGTATACGAGACATTTGAAATAGTAAATCTAAAAAGCGCTTTGATTATTTCTTTTCTTTCTTTTACTTCAGGGTTTGATTTGGGTGTCCGTCAGACGGGTGAGGTGGTGTCAGACGTGAACCTTCCTCCGTGGTGCCGCGGGGACCCCCGCCTGTTTGTGCTGGTGCATCGGCAGGCTTTGGAGTCGGACCACGTGACAGAACGGCTCGGCCACTGGATCGACCTCGTCTTCGGCTACAAGCAGACGGGCAAGGCCGCCCAGGACGCCATCAACGTCTTCCATCCTGCTGTGAGGCGTACACTCTAGTAATCCAACACAAACATTCGGGAGAGGTCTGTCTAGTGAGACGAAATATTAGAATTATAAAGAAAGGCTTCTTAACTAAGCCCTAGAACATTAAGGTTCCAACGTTTCTAAGCCAACACGGTCTCTTTTTTGGGGGCGGCCATAACCATTGAGGAGGGCTAGCTTGCCGACGTAGACCATTTGCCTACCTTGGCAGGCTACGCAGCAAAGAAGAAACAAAAAAGAATGTCGCATAAGAGAAAAAGACTACCACTTCTTACGTCGCGTTGACCACAAGTCAATGCGAATCTTCCATTTCAAAACTTCAGAACGCCACAAAGTTCCCCAGACAGACGGAGGCACACTCTAATGTGGATACCATAGTCCCTGACAGGATTACAACAGTAGGGCATCTCTTTCAAATGCCTGACCTGCAGCAAACAATCGTTGCTTTCCACCGTGCCTTGGCTACGTATGCACACTTGAGCTTCCCGAAGTGCCGTAGCATTATCGTAGGTGGGAAGCGCATGCTGGAGGCGGGACGACCGAAGGGCTTCTCTTTCCTTTTCTTTCTGTCGGCTACTGTGGGTTTGGTTTATTTGCTAAAGGTCTCGCTGAGCTCTCACCGAGTGCTCGTGACGCAAACCTTATTTGCTGAATCTCAAATGTCGTTTGCGTTATGACTTGCCAGAAGCATTTGCGAGTCAGGCTGCTCGAGACGCATCCGACGGTTCGTCTCGTGCAGACCTACTATGGCGTGGACGTCAGCCTGTTTGCCCACGACACCGTGATGCAAGAGGCCCTGGAGACCATGATCTGTACCTATGGTCAGATGCCCAGGCAGCTCTTCAGCAGCCCACACCCACTGGTGTCGCTGCCCCTGGCCTCGGTGCAGCAGAGAAACGCTCCCCTGCCGACGACGCAGGTCGGTGGTCCAGGCATTCATGACCTTTGCCATTGATTACCGTAAAAACCCCGCATACAGTGCAATCCACTTACAAGGATGATGAGAAAACCCAAAAATACAATTGTTATAACCAATTATCGTTGTACCTGGGCTCTAAAAACTGATCGTTATAAGTGGTACATCGCTAAATGTGGTATCATTATAAGTGGATTGCACTGTATAACGTAAAAAAGGTTTTTTTTGTTTTTTTTACAGCGGAGCTGTTAAGGGCTAGGTTCCCCAGGATTGTGTCCGTGTATTTCGACACAAACCTACCTGGACAGCTACCACCATCTATAAGCAACGGCGGCAAGCACACAACCAGTATGGTTTCCACCGTCGCTCGTGGATGGCGGCAACCTTTCCGGCTATAATGGAGGAATGGATAGTTGGGCACGTTGGTGGGAATTCATTGTAGGGAACGGCACGAAAAACGGACGACGACGAAGAGGAAGCACTCAGTGTATCGAGAACAGCTCTGCTGGTCTTCCTTCTTCACGAGAGTGGAAAAGCTGAACGTTTTTTCTCTGATTTTAGTTCGTAAAATTTGCACTGTTATTATGCGGATCCGGACGATTCTAAGCTTTTACGGGGTACAGGCAAACGGTGGCTCACGCTGTTTTGATTTCCAACCTTCATCAGCAGGGAAGCGTGGATGGGGAAAGGGTAGTGGCATGAGTGAGTGTAGCGATGGCACATTATGGCTACTTGGATTCCGACTTAACTTCTGTTAGAATACGTTATGCACCAATATATTTCTTCAAAGCGGAACATTTTTATGAACTGGATCGTCATCACAATCTCGCGTGATGTCGCTGTTACTTCGTAGTGTCACAATACATGGTGCCTTTGTAACGTAACAGTTGCATCATTGTGTCCCGTAATGTGGTGCCAACACTGTCGCATTGAGGTGTCACGTTACATGGTGCCATCGTGACGTGACTGTTATGTCCTGGCATCGCGGGACATCATGATGTAACAGAGACTTCATAAGACAGTCTCAGGGTCTCTGTCACGTGGCATTGTCACACTGATGCTGCCGTACGACCACCGTATACAGTGCAATCCATTTATAACGATAGTGAGAAAACCCGAAGATGCAATCGTTATGACCGATTATCGTTGTATCTGAACTAGAAACTGGTCGTTTCCAGTCTTGAAACTCTATATACTGATCATTATAAGTGGTCAGAGCCGTATATGTAGAGAGTTTGGCCATTCATTGGGAAGTATAGGAGACCAATGAGGAGCCGCCATTGGCCAAAAGCGGGCTGGGCGTGTTCCAGGGCGTCTTCAGAAATTCGAATGTGACCAACCAGAAGCCGGAAATAATACCCTGGCGGTGGTCGCGAAAAACAAACCTGATAAGTGCATCAGAGTAACTCTCTGTGACTGAAAATATGTTACACGTGATGTTTCAATCTTGCTCTACCAAAATGATGGTGGAAGAGTGCAACTAGCGGAACGATCGACATAATCCTTATGTCAAGCGCCGAGAATCGAGAATCTACCATCCGAGTGGTCCCACTCTGTCCGAGCGAAACAGAGTTGAGCGGCGCATTTGTTTCTTACATCTTTCTGCATGATCATGATCAAAACATCACTTGAACCCTATTTTCAACCATAGAGAGTTACTACACTTCACACTTACGCACTTATTAAAACCATATACGAACATACTCCTTCGATCAGAACTGTTTCTCGCTACCACCGCTAGGGAATTCTTTTCGGCTTCTGGTTGGTCAAGACAGCATGCCAAGCCCTCTTTCCGAGTCTGGCGCACGCCCTTGCTCTGCCCGCGCCTCCCATTGACAGTGATGTGATTGCTGCGCCAATTGCGCCAAACTGCGCCAAGGGGCTATCCCTGCTACATCCTGCTACATTTGACCAAAATATGGGTAATGTGCGCCAAGCCTGCGCCAAAGAACCAATTTCGGTTGCCTTTCAAAACCAAAACTAAACTAAGAACGTAATTGAGCATGCGTGAGCTAGGTGGCGCAAGGGGCCGCCCGACACAAAGTACCCTGTATCCATCTGGTCTTACATAGTTTCTGCCGCCGTCTCGCGTTTCGCGCCTCGTTGTCGCGGGACTCTCGTCTCGCGTCTTTTTTAAACTTTTTCAATGATAGATGCGGGCGTGTGCGGACGCTCCGACGCTAGTGTGCTGGGTGCCAGACATGCCGTCATGCCGTGAAACAAAACCACGTTTTTGCGCGACGAGAGTGGCTTTGTGAGCTGAAACGCCGGTCGCGCGACGTCGGGTGTTGCCGTCCCCACGTCGCTGCAGTTGTGGTGCTTTCTAAACTTGTTCATCGACATTCCTGTCCTTTTTTAAATCATACTCTACTATACAAAAATCTCTCTTTAAAGGGATATTACAACGAAATTTCGGCTCTTATTTCTTGGTCTATTCGTGTTCAAGGGAGCACTATCACATCAGACACATTAATCTCTTGTTGAAAAAAGCACGAAAAGGAATTTTAAAACGAATTAAACGATTAGCAAAGAGCACCTGGTGGTTGTTTCTAACGCCTCGTTTGTAATGCCCGTCTAGGAACTTTGACAGGTAGTGACGATAACTGTCTCGCCTCCGGCCACCACGGGAGAAAAGGGGAAGGAGGAGGTCCCCTCCTTCCGAGAATGACCTTTGTGTCTCCCAAAAGTCGCTACTGTCCATCTACAAGATAATAGAAGATTAACCCGTCACTCAAAATTCGTACAAAAGCAGCCACTTCGGTGGCTGGAATGACCAGGCCGTCCTCTCGACATCAGCCTCGCCTAAGCTTTGCTTGTTCCGAGACAAATTACGTCACGATTGCGGCGAATGTCACGTGCTCTCTGCTGGCTGCTCTCCGAGCGCTTGCCAGAGTGCGCCGTTTATAAACAAAAATACAGTGATCAGGCTAAAAATACAAATGTGCTATTATCAATTAAGGAAATTGTGGATCATATTCAGCCTATTTCTGAACACGACGGGTGTTTTTCAAATTTCGTGTAAGTGTCCCTTTAATTCCAAGACTACTTGTCGAAATAATGATTATTCATGTTTCTCTTGGTGTGCTTTCTTTCGGGAGGGATCCCGGTACGTGAAAAATGTGCTACGAAAGAAAGTTGGTAAAGATAAGTGAGCTAAAGCAAAAAAGGCAGTGTCTGCACACTGAACCCACGCAGCGCGCTTGTTTGTCTCGAGTTCAGTCGTTGCACAAAGCGCTCCAAGAAAATTTTGACCCTGGCTCGCGATGTCTTGCATCGATGTGCTCAGGTTCTTTTCTCCTGTGTCTTTAGATTGTACCTCACCTGCCGGTCTGGCAAGCAGGCGCCGCTGGACTGTTGTTTTGTCGTATGCTGGATCGTCAGTTACATTTTGCGTACTATTTTGGGAACCAGTTGGCGACGGAGCGGAGTGGCATCATTCCGATTTCGATTGAATAGCCGTTGTTTCCGCTTGTGCGACAAAGCACGTACCACTGCAAGCCTGCTGATGTTGCCCTCACGTGCATGTGAACATGACTTCACGACAGAGGCACCAGCCGGTACTCTTGCAATTCATTGTTTTACGTTTGCTTACTTTTGACGAAAATCTGGCACGTCGGGAACCAGTAAAACGGTGGCAAGCGTTCTTTTCGAAATCGCTCGGAAATGCCTTCAACACTGTACACTTGTGGGATGTCTCAGCAGTAAAAACACGAAAAGCGATGTTCCGTCACAACGCAGCACAAAGTGTCCTTCGTTTGACCAGCACTTAAAACAAAACAAAAAAATTTTTCTAAGAATTTTTGTTTTAAAAGTCACTTTTGCTACTCCGAAAAACTGTTTTGGCTGCTCCAAAAGCTACGTTTGCTGCTCCAAAACGCTGTTTTGGCTGCTCCAAGAGGTGCTCCAAAATGGCTTAGACCAATCACATCACTGCATTGACCAAACTCTGTAAGTGGTATATCATTATATGTGATGTCGTCGTAAGTGGCTTGCACTGTATCATATATTTTTCTCCGTAAAAAACCCCTCAGTCTACATTTTCCATAAGCTTCTTTTTCTTTTGTCAGTAGCCCCTTAATGGCATACTCATATAAGCTTCGTGTCAATTGATTTTGAGTATTTGTTGATTGTACTTTCCCAGGAGTTATTATGGAGACGCTTTCCACTGACATCCATTGCATCTTGCCAGAGGATGCCTGTAATTAGCCTCCTCCCTGCAGGTGGCGATGGCCGAAGTCCGGGGCCTTCGGTGGGGCAGCTACGTCGGTTCACCGTCCGACCCCGCGCCGCGACTGGTCCTGGTGAGAGCGCCCCTTGGGGACCAGAGCCTCGTGGGGAAGCTGCTTCCCCTGCGCACCAACGACGTCTGGGGCCTGCCGCCAAACTCCTGTCTGCTGCTTGGCTATAGCCACGACAAACGTACGTGCGTTTCACGCGAGGCTGATCACTTGGGTTTAGTTGCAACTGAGCACGTCGTGTAACTTCGTGCTCCCTTCTGATCGGTTACGACAAGTGAACACACTGGCACGCTAATGCCACCTGGGGGCTAGCCCATGAACTGCACTCAACTAGAGTGAAGGTGTGATGTAGCCCACACACACACTTAAGGTGCTTCCTTGGGTCATAGACAGATTGTGGAAGAGCAACAAATTGTACCGTCGAAGGTTGTGTCCCAATTGAGCACTTTCCACCACGCAGTAGTATTGACAACATACTTTTAACTCGGAAAGAAAAAAAAAAAAACGGGAAAAACCTCACTTGTTCTGACTTATACTTGCGCTCTGCGTCGCAACACCAGTCATTGCTTTCTGGGGCTCATTTCGTAGCTTTTGCCATAGGAAGTGTGAACAAGGAAAATATCTGTATCTGTTTGTGCTCATTTATTAAGGTGGTTAAAACTCTCTCTTCTTGAGTTTGTCACGCAAAAGCACTGCTCCACGGTGTTTGTCTCCGGATGGATGCAAGCTAAACGATGCACAGATGTTTTTGTTTCTATTAACGTAGCTGTTTTTTTCTGTTGCTACACATTGCCAGGTCCTAGTTATGGTAGCTTCAGCGAACGACATGCAAGCAGATTACAAAAATTGCTTGTAATAGAAACAGTGCTATATAAAGCAGGAGCAACTACACGAAGTGTACAAACAAAGTGCTTTGTTTTAACCCCTTGTCCACTTGTCCTTCGTTTTAATTGTGCCATTTCCATTTTTAGCCTCACATTACTTACCAGCCCAATTGGCTACAGTACTACCGATTCTGTAAATACTCTGATGGGAATTGCGTCGTTTATGTCATACGCCTACTCCGCTAGAATTTATTTGGTCACCCATGCACTCTTGATTCTGGCCCGTTTGCGGTGCAGCTCAAGGTCCCTGTTTTATGCAGCCTGCTTTCATGCAATGCAAGTTCCATGCAACATGAGTTTCATGCAACTGAGAAAAAGCCGTCATCTAACCTGCTTTCATGCAACCGGTGCTTTATGCAACTCAAGTTTCGCCATACCTTGTGGCGATTGCAGAGGGTCCCAAGACTGCGACCCAGACGTACATCTCGAGTACGGCGCTGGTGTCCTGGCAGCACGCAGACGGACTGGTTCGCCTCAAGTTGCACAAGGAGGAGGTGCCCGTGCCGCTACTGGGGCCCTGTCCCGGCGATGCGGTAAGTCTGTATGATGCAGATGGAGAGGAAACACAGGGTGGATGTTTTACCTTGCTGTATATACTAGTTCTTGCAGAAATTAAAGGAGGATTGCAGCAGTCCTTTGATGCCCCCTGTGGAAATGTAAAACAAGGCTGGTCGGTTGCAAGCGAAGAGAGGAGAGTTGCACACATGCAGATGGCTCTCTTTATAGATGGATACATCTGGTGTGTACAGCTTCAGTTGTAATTATAGCCACAGCCGTAATCTTAGCCATAGAGCAGTGTCGTCTGTTGCTGTGGCTACTGCTAAACAGAAACTGCAACAGTCCTTTGATGTTCCTTGTTAAGAAATGATGTCAAGACTAGTCAGGTACAAGCAAAGATGAGGATGTGACGTGCTCGGAGGTTGGCACGCTTTATAGATGGCCACATTCAGGGTTTACAGCTTCAGACGTAGCCATAGTCACAGCCACAGCCAAAATCGTAGCCTAGAGCGGTGTCACATGTTGCTGTGGCTATATGGCTAAATGATACGTGTATAGGGGACTGCTGATCACTTTAGGTGACTGCGACAGTCCTTTGATGTCTCTTGTTGAAAATGGAAAGCAAGACTGGTTAGGTACAAGCAAAGATGCGGAGGATGGCATGCTTGGAGGAAACCACAGCCATAGTGCAGTGTCATTTATTGCTGTGGTTATGGCTAAACAATCAGCATAGAGAGGACATGGTACTTACTTCACTTTTTAAACATTATTTGCTAGTATTTTTTTTGTGAAGGAGGACAGTTGTTGTGAGTAAAAGGAATACAGTTGTTGGGAGTAAAGCTCTTTAATCTTTGTGAAGCCGCTGCTGTTCCTGGGTCCCCAGTGTCTGCAACCGTTTTTTAGCTTGCTGGACTACATCTGGACCATATTTGGGATCCGAACTACAGGTTCCGAGTTTCTTTTGTTTCCTTTGTAATGCAGGTGTCGTTGTGTTCCACTGCGCCAGACTGCCACCTACTGTTTGTGGGCTACTCTTCGGGGCTCGTCACCATCCACAAAGTCCGGCTTTCCGGCACAAAGGTGAGCTCATTCTCGCCCTTATGACGCGCGCTCTGCACGTCTCGTAAGGCTGTTTTTTCGAGGAGCACAACTGTCCCCAGAACAGACGAATCAACTACAACCTACATCCAGGATGACTCATCATTCAATCTGCAGTGCTTTAACTCGTTGGAAGGGGTAAATCGAACAAAGTTTGCAGCTGTATTTCTATCCAACGATCAAACTGAAGCTGTCTTTTCTAAAGTGTGCTTTTTAAGTATTTTTTTAAGCTTTGTCTTTTCGTCCTTTCATACCTCTTCTTTTTTGCAACGACAAGAATAATGCACAGACTGAGGTGCGAAAGCATTGTGTGAGGCGACTCATTGTGCGTCGACACGCGACGAATGATAACATGTGCAGTCGCTTGGCGGCGCAGCCATTTGGTTGGCGGTTAACTTCACTACCCTCCATCACGAAATCTGAGTTAGCTTCGTTAGATTGCAATTTTGCATTAATACGGTGGCTTGACGTCAACATACGTTCTTCCTCAGTCTCGGAAGCTGTGCTTCAGACGACACAAAATCTGAGTTCGCTTCCGTAGAATTGCAATTGTGCGCTAATACGGCAGTTCATCATAGGCGTGCCTTCTTTCTCGGCTTCAGGTGGACAACACCTCCAAACCTGCGTGCCTGCTTGGCCACACGGATGCCATCACGGCGGTGCAGGTGTGCACGGCGTTTGGCCTCGTGGTGACCGCGAGTCGCGACGGATCGTCCATCGTCTGGGACCTCAACAGGTGACAGCCGTCGTCGTCGTCCGCATTTTTTGAGGGCGTGCTCAGTTTCGTCTCGACTCCTTTCAACGCTCGTCCCTTCTCTGTCACTGCAGGCTCGAGTATGTACGCACGGTGGTCGCGGGGCGTCGCCCCATCTGTCTGGTGTGCGTGAGCGACACCCTCGGTGACATCGCCACTGTCGAGGCCGACGCAGGTGAGTCCTAAAGTGACCCTGGGTCGCCGTAATATTTATTATACATTGTCATCCTCAGCATTAATAATCGTAGTTCTTTGCTTTGTGTTTGTGTATTTGCGATAAAGTTCCTTTGTGTTTTTGTGAATACGGGGCCTAGTCTCCTTTGTCGTTAACTCTTGCACATTGTCATCGGTAGATGACAATGTGCAAGAGTTATGTCTGCAATGTCAGGAGGTCGCATGACATCACAACACACTGACGTCTTGTGAGACCCAAACTTGATGTCAAGTAACATGACTCACATCGTGAGGTCAGGTGACGTTACGAGTCGCATGACATCACATGATGTCGCAGAATCGTACGACTTTATGACGTCACAGACACAGCATGTGCCCAACTAATTGAAAAACATTTTGTGTGTCTCAGAGTTTTTCTTAGATATGATCAAGAGTTGCTTAAAATTTTTTGGTGTGTGTTGCGGTCACTTTAGCGGTAAGAAAATTTGTTGTCTTGGGTCTATGCAGGATCTCCCACAGGAAGTACACTGCACGTGCACACGCTCAATGGCGTCTCGGTTGGGGAGCTGACCACTGACATTCCTGTCAGTGCCCTGTGCTATTCCGCTGCCAATGAGGGCATCTCCATCAACGTGCTGGCTGCCGGCTTTACAGATGGCCGTATCCGGTGTGTACTCCTTGGGTAATAGCAAAAGCCACAGCAGAGCCATAGACATAGTGGAGTGTCAGCCAACCTTTTCATATCTATCGGTTGACAAGCTCCATGGAAGAGTGTAATTTAAAAACGGTTTTCGGTTGTTTGCATGCAAGCAGGTACGGGTGGATGGCGATGCTAGCACCACCAGCGACACCGCTCCCACAGGCAACGGGGAAAGACAGAAAAACAAAACTTTGCATAAACACACAGACACAACTCTCCTATATCACTCTGTGGCGGTAGAGCCTCAGGCTCACTTCCAGTTCGGTGTGTAGGCAAAAAAAGGCCACATGGGCCAGGTATCGTTCTGCTCATCTTTAACAGCCCGAGTGACATCGCATCCGGAAATAGCAAACATATAATCTTGTCACGTGAATCAAGCTTCAGCGTCAATACTGCGGCATCCACGCGGAATGAATCGCCGCGCACATCACATAATTTACGTTGAGATTTGTGGTGTAACGAGCCAACAGCATTTCATATCCCAATGGTTTGTTGGTGGGGGACAGTGAGCAGATGCACCACAGTGATTCTATTATAATCATAAAGATTATGATAGAATCACATTCCGCTGCAGGCAATGTTGCAGTGTTCCTGGGCTGAGCTGATAGCATAGCAAGTGTCACCGAGCAGACGCACCACGAAAAGGCGCCAGGCGTTCGGGGTAGCTTGTCAACTGACTGCGATCTAGTAATATCGGTGTGAGGCTGGTGGCTATGGCTAAACTATCAGTTTCCTCACATAATCACCTGTGTGGATTGGCTATGGCTAAACAATGGGCTGCCTCATGTAATTGATAGTTTAACTGTCATCGTTACGGGAATTGAATGAACGGAGAGAAGGTGCGGCAGGCGTATTGGTTCGGGCCGCATTCCCAATGTGTCACGGCATCTCCTCGCTGTGATGGTCAAGAATGACGCAGCGCTATGGTTTGATTCAAGCCACCACTTCCACAGCCCTAAAAATGTTTTCTTCTTCTTGTTTGCTAACATGTTTTGCACCCTTTTTTCAGGCTTTGGAGTTCCTGGGATCTAAGCCCCGTTCGAGATATCTGTTCCGATAAATGTTCTTTACCCATCATCAGGCAAGTGGAACTTTTCTTCTGAGGTTGCCACCACAATATTTTTGTCATCTGCTTCGCAGTTCACTGCCGGTACTCGTAGCTGCGACAAAACTTTTAAGCAGAAACCATCAGGTACAACTGACAAACAAATCAAATTTGCTCATAGTTGGGCCAGTTCTCATTACCCTATGTGTCTTTAAGATCGGTGGATAAGCTGTAATTATTACTGAAGAAACCCGACTTGTAGCCAAAATACTGCGATACGTCAGACGTTTCTCCTTGCATGCCAATGCAAAGTGTCGAAACTTGCGACCCGCGCACGCCGGTGCAAAGCAGTGAAGCGTGACGCCAGAGTGCCGGTGCAAAGCAGTGAAGCGTGACGCCAGGGTGCCGGTGCAAAGCAGTGAAGCTTGATGTGAGAAATCGAGAATTTTTAAGACATTATTCGTCATTTTCGACTATTCGAAAGACTCGTACTACTTTGAACAGTAATAGTGTGCTCCGAATCGAATTGAATACCCAACACTATTCACTAATTATTTTTGATTTCAAGTACTTACACACATCTGTAGTCTATTGCGAGTTTAGAGCCCCAAATGTCCTCCATTCTTTCCACTTTAGCTGAGTGAAAGCTGGAGAGGAAGTGAGGGAGGAGGATGGAAACTACAACTCGTTGAGAGAGGAGACCTTTGTGGGAAGGGCTTTTTTCTCTTCACCCTGTTGTGTTAAGGCCGTCTAAAGTCATATTTTTATGGCTTTTCTGATATTTTTCGTTTCCATCGTGTCTTCCAGCCTGGCCTACTCCCAGGACCAGCAGCACCTCTATGCTGCTGACAGTCAAGGCAGCGTGTTCGCGTGGGAGGGCAGGGCACGGAACGGCGCCCACTTCCCACGCTTCCATCTTCTCCTTTGATGACCTTCAGATCTCATCGTTTCCATCGTGAATGTGCCTTAGAAGAGTACCGAGAAAGAGTAAAAGAGAGTGTTTTATGCAAGAAGATAGATAAAATAAAAGAGTGTTTATGCAAAGGCAGAAATCTTAATTTATCCATCTGCATCTGTGTCTCAAATTCATCTTAATAAGGTCAATGTCACAGTACATGCATGCATCCACCATATCAGTAAAAAAAAAAAATAAAAAAAATTGTGTGTACCAAAAGTGTTAACTTTTGCTCGGAGTGGATTACTACTTGTGGATTTTCTATTCTAACCACTAAGTCTTGAGCAAGCGGGCGCTTTAGAATGACAAGAGCATATGGAATGTGATAACCCTAAACTGGAGGCTCCGTGCAGCTCCAAGCTCATCAATTGCTCTTGGCGTCTGTTTTCTGGAATAAAAACTGAAAACGAGAAGTGATGCCTTATTTATGTGGAGCGCAATTCAGTCGTTCTTCTTGCACAGGGGTTGCAATTTGGCCAATTGAAAAAAAATAAAAAAAAAATAGTCTGTAATCTTTAAGGCATCTAAAGCTAATCGGAACTCGGCGTCGTTCTGATGTCATTGAAACCCCTGCGCAAGAAGCAAGCAGACGACTTGCTGTCCATTGCAGGTTGTGATCCATATTACATGAGCGAATGTTTTAGCAAACAGCGACATTTTAGCGAATCGACGTTTTAGCGAATAACAGGAGTACGTGTTAAGCCAGTTAAGCACCCCGCCCCCCTTCGCTGCGCTTGCGCTGCTTCGCGGCGGCCTACTATTTGCTAGAATCATTCGGTGAAACGTGGGCGTTCACTAAAACGTCATTCAATCAAGTGAGCCTCCCGTGATAACGATCTATCCGGAGGGCAAGTTCGTCTGCTTCTTGCGCAGGGGGTAGCGGTGACGTCAGAACGCCGAGCCCTGATTGGCTGATCGCGCCCCCCTATCTGAGTGTCGTCTGCTCCTTCGCAACGTCGTCTGCTCGCAACGTCGTCTGCGTCTGTCTTACCTTTCCTGCGACTTCCGGAAGTGCAGAGGCCAGATTCACAAAACGATCTTGCGCCAAGAATGTGCATAAGACAAAACTTAAGAACAAATTCGTATTCACGAAATGAAATTTTCGTACGTTTTGCGCAGGTTACGACGAAATCCTACGACAGCTCCGAAGCTGTCTTACGTGCATCTTACGATCAAATCGGCATGGCCGACAGCGTCGCGGTCGCGACGACCCACGGACGTTTATTTTTCTGTGTGCGCTTCTCACGCGTCCCGACTTAAAGCAGCAAGAAAAAAGTAAAAAGTACTTGAAACAGACCACGACGAATAAGAACGCTGAATCCACAACCCCCCAGGAAAACCTCCAACGGCCACGATTCCATTGAACGCGACCAAGCGAGCTCGGCCAATACTGGCTCGACAGTTAGGCCTAGCGGGCACTCCGCGACTCGGCGACCGTCTGCCCAGGACCGGCTGGCGTGCTGAATGGAATATGCCCGCGCGACCCTTGTGAACCCTTTCCGTCTTCTACTTTGATCGCTGACCTCAGTTTTAGATTAAGAGGTCAATCTCTTCCTCTTGTTATCTCCTTGTTTCCCGAGGCAACGGTGACTCTCGCCGGTGAAAAAGCGGTGAATCTCCGACAGACGCAGGAAAGGTAAAGCAGCCCTCGCTTTGACTAGCAGACGTAAAGCAAACGACGTTAACTGCGCCAACCCGCTGATGCCGTTAAAGAATGCGGGGTCTCGCTGCACACGAAAGGAGGGAAAAAGCATTTGGGAGGGAACTTCACGCTCTATCTCAGTTCTTAGCAAACAAACCTCGGCGCCTCGGGACACCTCGCCAGTGAGTCCTTTGACTTCCCTCCTTGATGCGCGTCTGCTAGTTGTTAGACAAAAACAACGTACCGCTCGAGTTATTTTGTCTGCCCTCTCTGGAAGGCGAAGTCGAGCTCGCTCGTAAAGACCTGCACTTCCGAAAGTCGCAGGAAAGGTAAGACAGACGCAGACGACGTTGCGAGCAGACGACGCTCAGATAGGGGGTAGCGATCAGCCAATCAGGGCTCGGCGTACTGACGTCACCACTACTTCCTTTCTCATGCGCAGAAGACGAAAATGAGCCCACTTGCGAGGCGTATTAATGCTTCTGCTGTATTAAATTTGGGGTTCTAACATTTGAACTCTACTGAACTCGGATGTGCGTTTCGCAAAATTCGCTGCCTACCTGTATAGTTTCTGTTTTATAACTTTTTTATTCACTAAACATAGTTTTTTACCGCGTTCATACTACTAAAAACTGGAGTTTTTATTATAATTTTCACGGTAAATGTTTTTATACCGAATCAGTACAAACAAAAATAGTCTGTGTTCAGTCGTTCAGTTCCACACTTAGCCAATCCAATCTGTCTTCAATCCAAATATTTGCGACAATAATGGCGGCGCCGGCAGCTCTTTTTCGCGCGGTGACTTCTCGGAGGTCTTGTAGTACCATCGAATTCTGTGTTTAGCGAGAAGAGCAAACACCAGCGCGTCCGTATGATGCGAAACTGATATCACTTTCCTGTGTATATAGAATCGTGTCTGCGAATAACGTAGACTGCCTGAGCCCGACTGCTCGCCATGACTTCCATCATCAAGCTTCACGCCATCTCCGGCGTTCAAGACGAATCGCCTCAATGTTACCTTCTACAAGTAGATGAGTTTAAGTTTCTGCTAGACTGCGGTTGGGATGAATTTTTCAGCCTGCAGGCCATCAAGGAGATGAAAAAGTGAGCGTCTATCTTCAACACCGCTACCCACCCGGATGCACGAATTCATTAACGGAGCGCGGTGTCTTTCGTCCAAAATTAAGGCCTTGCTGGTTTGATCGCAAATTGCGTAAGATGATTTCTTACGTGCTGAATCAGAGCACGGGTAAAAAGCTTTCAATGTTTACTTTTTTTTTTCTTTTTTAGAAATCAGGTTTGATACTTCGAACCTTATCCGTGATTTGTCGTCGGTTGCTGTCGATTGGTTTCAGTTTCTACTGCTCGGTTACGTATGTTTTGCATAGAGCGTGGGTTTTATTGCCGTTATGGCAAAAACCAGTTGGCGAGTATTGGCCTCGAAGTTGCTCGGAACAATTACAGGACTGAAACTTGTAAAGTTGCCCTGAGTGAAACACCGTGGGCCTTCGACATGAGGAGGCTTCACGCCAGAGTCACTGAGCACTCGCAAAGTAGTGAGTCTTGGTGTGTCCTCTGGGAAAAGAGCAAAGCTCCCCGATTGGTCGCCCGCTACTGTGTCGAAGCCAGAGCCGACGTTCCATCGAGAAATATCGGATCGCCTGTGAACACTCGTTAAAAGGATCTATCCTCATTCATTCTGAATGGTTCCATAGTGTCCTCCCTTTTTAGCTTTAAACATTTAGTAATTTCGTTGTACACACAACCCCCCCCTCTGCTGTGAAGCTTTACACCACAAACCGATTAGGATATCGGTCTAATGCACCATCCAGTGAGCGTGAGCACAAAAGACGGTGTGAGCATCTCTATGCTTTTTAACAAGTCTGGTAACTAGTGACTATAGTCACTGGCAGGGTGAGAATGGCAGGGCATCCCCTTTATGAGCCCAGCCTCCAGCACACGCTCGTTGCCCTCCACCATGCTTCGGCTGCGTGTGCATGCTTGAAGCCCGCGAGGCGTCAAAGCCTTATCGAAGGCAGGAAGCACACGCTGGAGGCGGAACAACTTAAAGAACCTTCCTGCCTTTCTATTCCTGCCGGTGACTGTTACAATGTTTTCCTCCATTTGTCGACTAAAGGCTGGTTCACACGTTTACATTTGACTGCAATTAAGTGCATTGTGATCTCTTGTAACCGCATGACACACTGCCGCCATCTGTCGGGTAAGCCCAGAACTCATCCAACCTATATGTGACTATCGTTGGTGACACGTTAAGAGTTGAGGGGAAGCTCTTCCCACCTCTTTTCTCTTTAGCAGGGCGAATGCTGGAGAGGAGGTCACCTCCTCTCCTGCGTTCGCCCTGCTAATGTGGAAATAGGTGGGAGGTGCCTCCCCCGAACCCTTAACCTGTTGCCGACTATTGAATGAATGTTTTGCGGTGTTTGCAAGATCAGATCTATGCTTTATCTACGAGAAACAATCAATTACAACGTTGTCCTAATAATTTCGAGCGTACGGTGAAAAATAAAAAATTGTTGTAAAAAATTGTCAACATATATGTGCGGGTCAGAAGTTTTCCGAGGCTACCCCGACAGATGGCGCTAGCATGCGAGTGTTTTAAGCGCTCACGAGAAATCGTGCAAACGTGCGAAACCAGACTTAAACCGTCGGATCACCGACCTTGCGCTCGCTCGCAGGCATGCGAGCCAGGTGGACGCGGTGTTGCTATCTTTCCCCGACTGCGGCCACCTGGGGGCGCTACCGTACCTCGTGGGGCAGTGCGACCTCAAGTGCCCCATCTACGCCACGGTGCCCGTCTACAAGATGGGCCAGATGTTCATGTACGACCTGTTCCAGTCCCGGCACAACATGGAGGACTTCACCCTCTTCACGCTGGACGACGTCGACGCGGCGTTTGACAAGATCATCCAGCTCAAGTACAGCCAGACCGTGGCGCTGAAAGGTGCGCTCACTTTGTCCTCAATCCGCCGCTGATATGCGGCAGACGTCAAGGATGGTTGCCTGTGCCAACGTGAAGTCATTATGATTCTCCGTTTAGCAGAAATGACTCGTTCCCCGCACCCGCTCATTTTGATTTGGATTAGCATTGTACCGGCTCGTAGGTATGCAGTCACTACGGCACAATGTATTTTTATACGGTGGTACCGAACGGACCGAAGTGCCATTCCACAGTGGAGATTTTAATGCAGTCTAACTTCCCGGTGTCTGACCTCTAAGGAAAAGTTTACTTTTCAGAAATGTCATTATGAGCCTGTTTGTCTTGGCCAAGGTGTGCGAGCGTTCGTAACACGCGGCCGTGTAATGCTTGGATCGTGCATAAGGCTGCACTGCAGCGTTCAATCATGCAGAAGGCACGGTCGCTCGCAACCGTGCCTTGTGCATGGTTGCGAGCTGTGTGGACAGATGTCAGCATCTGTCCACATGCTGTAACGGAGCATCTAAGAGAATTAAGAAAGTTAAAATAAACCAAAGAAATATGCAGCTCGCACTTTCTGTCTCTTGTCAAAACGATAAGAATGGTCTTCCTCTAGCTTCCTTGTTCCTGTTATTTCCTTTCACAAATTTAAACCCACCAACGATAGTCTTTCAGCTTAGCGTCTGCGGGCAACGTAAAAAAGCGCACCAAGGCGTGACCGAGAAGTATTCGTTTCTGCTTGCCAGAGGCGCCGCCCAAATTTGAGAGCTATGGCACCAAGGTTACCATCACCAGTACCTCTACTGGGCTTGCTCTCAGAACTGTGAGTTCACGAGTTGTGATGTTTCGCGACTAAACAGGAAACTTGCGTCGACATGCATGGGGGACCCCATAGTGCTCGCCTCTCCTTCGCCAGACTGAACCGTTGCGTGACCGCATCGCAGGCAAGGGCCAGGGCCTGTCTATCACGCCGCTGGCCGCGGGCCATATGATCGGCGGCACAATCTGGCGTATCGTCAAGGACGGCGAGGAGGACATTGTGTACGCGGTGGACTTCAACCACAAGAAGGAGCGCCACCTCAACGGCTGCGTCATGGAAACACTCACGCGGCCCTCTCTTCTCATCACCGACGCCTACAACGCAAACTATGTCCAGGCCAGGAGGCGCACCCGCGACGAGCAGCTCATGAGTGAGTCTGGAGGGTGGAACGCTTCGTGCGGACCAGTGCAGTTTATTATCGTTTTAAATTGATAGCCTTATAAGGCTGGCTCGCACACTCGTCACTGCTTATGAATGGGTGCCGTATAACCTCTTGTGACCTTTTACGACTGTGGAACACTCGCAACTTGATATATGTCCTACTTTTTTGCACATCATTGTCTTTTTCTTAGCTCGAAGGACTTTTGACAGTGCTATAAACGGACGTTTCTCGTAAATAGCTTGTATGTATGACCTCGCAAATACCGCGAGGCCTTTGCTTTAGTTAGATGCGATTCCGGGGTGGCCTCGTAGGTGGCGCCAGCATGCCAATCCATTTTCTTGTCGCAAGAAATCGCAACAACTCAGTCGTAAGCAAACGCAAGTGCGGGAAGCAGCCTTTGTGGGGATCCCTGCACGGGCCTTGCTTGTTTGTGTCAGTGTTGGTCGCATTGTAGCAAGGCCACGGAAGAGAGTGCCAGCAACGGAGCACAGCTGTTGGTTTTGTCATCAGGGCGCATGCGACCAATGGCATTGCACCGCATGGAGTGCTAAAAGGGGGGGAGGGGGGATAAGCACTACACTAACATTCCCACCCCCTACCGTGCAGTAGGGTAGGAATTGCACATTAGTGCTTGTTCATTGCATTCAATGAAATACCTAATCCAGGCAATCTTTTTTTCTCTTTAATGTAGAGGGTGTGATTCTGTTAGCTTAAAAATGCATAAAGTGCTTTCTGAAAAAAAGAATACTTGTTGGTGTGCACGTTGGTAATGATGTAACTTTGGAAAGAGTTTTATACATAAAGACAAGACAGGACGACGCAAATTTTTTTGTGTTATATTGTTTGATAGGTGTCACTTAGAAACTGCATCTGGTTCCAGATTGCAATACCGCCTACTGACCCCATGGCAATAAGAATTGTGCAGACTCCTTTCCCTCGGGTTCTGCTTCTTTTTTTTCTGGACCGATGCAGATTAGGAACGTTATAATTAAACCTTGTTTTTAGGCGCGTTGTGCACTGTATTTTGACAAAGACGCAAAACGTTAATGGTGCAAAAGGCTTAATACTGAAATTTTCGTTTCGAAACCAGCCAACTATATTTTTCCTCGCATTCTCTCGCTGGAGCCGAAGTGATGCGCCCGCCTGACTGCATCAGGTGGATGGATTGATGGATATCAATCGTATTCTTTTTTACGGGCGGTAGCTTGCACCACCTAGCCTCAAAATTGGGCTAGGTGGCGTATGGAGTGTGCGTGCTTTTTCATGTCCTAGTCATATCTTGCCATCTCGGACGACAAGCCGGAACTTCTCACACTTCTCTCAAGGCCTCCGCTCTTCGGCCCATCTCAGTTCGTCGGCGTCGTGTCATACAAAAGGGACATTAAGTCACTGTCCGTCAGAGGATTTCTAATTCTAACGGTGTCAGATTGTGAAGGTCCATCACATGCACGTGCGAACAAAACAGCTGCCGAAACATGGTTCGTCGGAGCAGCGGCAGCTTGGGACAGCTGGGGATCCGGAGACACCGCTCTGATCCTCAAAGCTTCACCGGTATCTTTATATTAGGTGGTCTGTTTCGTGTTATTCCCTAGGTTAGAAATAAAATAAAGTTGATTCTGTTATGTCCTTTTTGCTGCTTGCCATCGCAGTAGGCCGTGCTGTAACTTTTTCAATCGAATAACTTTTTTTTTTTTGTCATCTCTGTCTAGCCAACATCCTGCAGACCCTAAGGAACGGCGGCAATGTTCTGGTGTCCGTGGACACGGCAGGGAGAGTTCTGGAGCTTGCTCACATGCTGGTAGGTGTCCCATCGTGCCGCAGTTTTTTTGGTCATCCCCGCCCCTCAGGGCCAAGACTGCCATGCCTACCCTACACCGCTATGGCGTCGTGTGCATAGCATTCAGCTCATCGCCTTTATAGAGCTTCGCGCTGTGGGCTTTTGTGGCACGGGCCTTTTGTTCTTCCGTGGCTACTGTCGCAATTTGTCAGCAAGAACACTTTTCTTTGGTGCTTTCATATTTGTACTTTAAGTAAGCGTCTTATAAAGCAAAGCTGCTTTCCTTTAGCCTTTGCTACATCCGTGTTTTTAATTTCTGAGTTCATTGGGGCTGTTTTGTTTTTTAGAAATTTGAGAACAATTGAGAGTCATCACTTGATGGACTCACTAAAAGAGCAACGTAGAAACAGATAGATAAAAATCCTCCTAGCATTCATTATTAGTAGCATACTAAAAAGAAAAGTTTGGTTCCCTCTGGAGCGTGACAAATTTCCCCCTTCTTTATATGGCGTACAAAGATGCTCATATGTGCATTTAAGATCGGTTACATAATTGTTAGTTTGTCAAGTTTCTCAAAATGGGAATGATTCAAATGCAAAATGCATTGCTTTCTTCTGACAATCTCATCTTGTAAAATCTAATTTGTACGGTGCTTCAACTGTGCAAAAAATGTTTTTTTTTTAGGTGACAACGAGTACAGTAAAGATAGTATAATCACTTACAAGGTGGAAATAACAAGGAAAAGTTTCAGTTGCCCTGCCTCTGGTGCAACCTTTCTACCTTCCACAATGCTTCAACGTCCCGCACACCTCAAGCGCACGCGTGCCTCTAAAGCACAGCAAAAGGCATGTAGCGCATGCTGGAGGTCGGGCATTTGAAAGACGCGCACGCATGTACGGACTTCCTTCTGGTTGAAGTGGTAATGAGGCACTGTCCGCGTGGCTGAATTGAAAGCAACGCGTAAGCCCGCAAGTCGCGTTGCGTCGACTGTGTTTCGAGTGCATTCTTCTCCGCAGGAACAACTGTGGCGCAACCAGGACTCCGGCCTTATGGCATACTCGCTGGCGCTCCTCAACAACGTCAGTTACAACGTGGTCGAGTTTGCAAAGTCTCAGGCAAGTCTGAAAAAAAACATTCAAGCGTGCGCGAAAAGTGCTGGGATTGAAAGGGCCGTGGAATGCAAAGGGCACCGGATAGTCCTTCTCTCTTGCACGTGCTTATCTTGTTGGACATATTTCATGTTTTCTTTTCTTGTCCTTTTTTTTTTTTTTTTTGTGCACCACTGGCAGGTGTTTAAAGCTTAAGAGATATCACCTTTTTCGTTCTCTATCACTCTATCAAGGCCGATTTAAACGTAACTTAACACTGTTGCAATGCTGCATCACTAATATAGCACTGTATCAGTGCTGTGTCACTAGTGCTCCATCAGCAAGATCGGTGCCATTTTTAGCACCGACTGTACAAATTATATATGTATATGTCATGTGTTGTTCAGGGGGACACTACCAAGAAAAGACAACAAATGTCTGCAAAGAAAAGTTGATTTTTAAAATGGATTTTGAAAAATGTCATATTTACATCCACCATCATCTAGAATATTTCCAGGAAGTTTTATTTGTTTACATGGCATAGTTTTTTTGTTTTTTTTTTTTCATATAAATAGTGGTTTGTTTCTTTGTTGCTAAAGAAAAGGGAGAGAGAGGTTCAAGCACTTTGAAGACATTTTTCTCCGTTCCGCTTTTTGGCATGAATTTCAGTTTAAGAAAGCTCGTTTGGTAAGAGGACAAAAGGAAAGGCTCGCTCGTTGTTTTTTTAATTGTGAATTTAATAGGCAATTCAACTCTGGCATTGTTTTTTTACTTTGTGGATGTCTTTTATAAAAGATCTTAGGATTTTGTTGACAACAAAAGCAAAAACTTGTTTGATGTTTCCAGTGCGGTGATAGTATAATAGAAATTACTTTTTGGCAATTTTCTTTTCACAGTTGCACTCTCCAGGCATTCTGCTGCATTTATCTAGTGAAGAAAAACGTTGGGTATTGTGTTAGTTCTCAAACTATAGTTTTCCTAAACAATGTCATTGCACTCCTGATGAAAACGATTATAATTTCTTTCATAATTAATGTACACAGATGAAACTTTGCACTGCATTTTGCCTCGCAACTGCCGGCATATACTGTAAATTTTATTCATATTAAAGGGACACTGACGGGGTACTTTAGCTCTCCAAGATTTTCATTTGTACATGACATATGAGAGCCCAACTACCCAGAACACAATTTGCAGCTCGAAATTCGTTTTCTTTCCACCCAAAACAGTTGACTGAGAACTGGCCAGTTTTGAGTTGCCCTCACTCTCTTCTCCGTGGTCATGTGCCTTTTTTTATGGTTTAGACAGAACCACCAAAGTTAATCAGAGTCGTGGGTCATTGGAGGCACACACTCAGTACTAAAAATGGACAAAAAATATTATACCCATTTTTTGTGGCTTCTAAAAAGTTGCAACTACATTGATTAAAAAAAAAAAAAGTTGCACAGCCACGTGATTTTTGGTATCTTTCTCCTCCTCTATATTTACTCTTCCTCCCCAGTCCAGTGAGCAATTGAATTTTTTTACTTTATTAAAAATATATGTGACGATGTAGCAAAATATTGATTGGGTAGTATTCAGACAGCCTAATAAATCGCCTGGCAAAAAATAAAAAAAAAGTTTTTGGGGGGTGTTAGTGTCCCTTTAAGGGCCAAAGGTTTAATAGTTGACCCTTTTGGGTAGTGTCCTCCCTTTAAAAAACCCTGAATAGAAAAAAAAAAATTTAAACAGTCTGGTTGGGACATGCGTGTCAAAAAATTAATTTTACGGGAAAAAAAAAAATTTTTTTAGAGCAATATTGACGCCGCAATTTAGTCGGTAGTCGCCTCCTTTCCACTTCTTTTCTCTCGGAATTTCGGGCTTGTGGAGGAGAGGTGGATCGGCTTGTTCATCACATTGAGGTGGAGAGAGTATATGACCATTCCGTGACGTCACAAACTTTGCGCGCAGAATTTTAAAAAAATATTGCGCCGTCAATATTAATTTTAAATTTTTCCCGTAAAATTTATTTTTTGACAGTGTCCCAACAAAACTCTTTAAAAAAAATTTTATTTTCTTTCTTTTTAGGGCCTTTTAAAGGAGCTGTGCAACGATTTTAACGTTGAAATAATTGGTATCTTCTACTTTTGGCATTGTTCACCTTGTCAGAAAAGACAGAAAACACACCTCCTTCGAAATGTTGCGATTCCGCCACGTAATCGCGAGGCAAAAATTAGAATATTCCTCGACCTGCAGCCGCGAGCGGCGGCCATGAGAAATACGCGGCATGACGTCAATGGGGGTCTTGTAGAAAGATGGCAAGTTGTGCGAATACCTGCTCAGTAAAAGGTAACTTTTCTATAAATCTTGTCGTTCCAACATAAATATAAATGCGTCAAAACCCTGGTATCATCGACAAAACTTTTATTATACGGAGTTTTAGTGGTGCCATCTATCCTAAATCCACAAAACCGTCGGCTCTACCTCCGACCGCGAACAGCGGAACAGCCACCAGAAGCTGGAGGGGGAAGGGGACAGGGCCGGACGGGTATGGCCGGACCCGGATGAGACTTACCTCCTTTCACCATACTGTTCGCGCTGCGCCTGCCAGCACGTGGTCACATGGTCGCGAGTGGATGAGTTCTCGCTGCTCACTGATGGCTCTAGAGAGAGAGCTTCACCGGAACCCCGCACCACCCCCATTGACGTCACAGCGCACGTGACTCGGAAGATGGTGAAGGAGTTGAGAGGTGCCGAAAACCTCAATCTTTGGTTATTTTTAAAATAGAAACTAGGACATGCAGGCAAAAGCGGTTTTTTGTTCTTTACTTCAGCAAGGTCGAAACACCAACTCCCACATTATTTAGGCAAAGCACTGAAACTGTTGCACAGCTCCTTTAACATGAACAACCTTTTGTATAGACAACAATGTTTAAAAACAAACTGGGCAAACTTTTTTTTCTCTTGTCTCGTTGTTTTGGAGGATTTACAGCATGGATAATTTTTGGGGGCAACAGAGGTGTTTGTGTTAATGAGACATGACTATGCCATTGTATAACTGATGTACCACTAATGTAGTGGAAATTTACTTAGGTAGCTCTGTGGCATATCTGTGAACATGTCTTTAGTAGACATGGGCGAATAGAGGATTCCGGGTCCGAATCGATTTCGAAGCAAATAGTGATTTTGGCCGAATAATTCCGAATAAAATAGTTTGAATAGTACAAGCAACAAATACCGCAAGATATGTTTATAGTTTGGTATTTGCACTTATTTGGTGTTAGAAGTAAGTACTGTAATTATTGATTTCAAGTGTATTGAGTGCGGGAGCACAAAATGGTCGAAATGGTTTAAAGCTTGCGCCACCTGGCCGGAAATCCAAGCCAGAGTAAGTCAAACCCGTTTATATCGAACTTGCAAAAAAAAAACGTCTACCAGTTTGATATAGCGGGCAATTCGATATAAAAGTTTTAATAAATTTGACTCAAAAATACACTTTCTGCTGAAGTATTACACAATGAAGTAGTGTTGCATCTTCTGCTGCTTTTTCTTCATTGTATCCGCGATAACGATATTTTTCTACGCTATCGACGGACTCCAAAATGCTGAGGTGGCTACCTTCTATATACGTGTATTAGCGCCGAACTATGCCGAGAGCACGGAGCACGTCCGAGCAGGAGCACCTCCTCCTGCTGAGTGCCATTTTGCTCTGCAAGTTGGTTTTCCCCTAAAAGAATTGGGTGAAGCCAACTAGAAAAGCAATATGACTTTTTTTTTTGGGGGGGGGGGGGGGGGGGGGGCGTTAATTGTTTAAAAGAAAAAACAGTATGGGAGAGGGAGCACGGAACACCCTTCTCCGCTCCCTCCACAAAATATATTTTGCGCGGCCGCCCGGAAAAGAAAAAAAGCTGCCTTGCTTTGCAAGCTGGGTTTCCCCCAATGCTGCCGCTCGTGTTGGGGGAAAGCCAGCTTGTGGAGCAAAACGGTGCTCTTGGCAGTTCGATATATCGGTAGCGGCTGCCATTTTTGTTCGATGCAACCGTCGTTTTTGCTATATATTATCACTGTAATATTACTGTGCACAAAGACTGTTCGATATAAGGAATCATTCGATGTAAACGGCTTCGATATAGTCGGGTTTGGCTGTATTTAGGAAGGTTGAATAATTCTATATTGTCGAATAATTCAATATTGTCGAATACTTAAATTTGATTCGAAGCGAATGCTGAATAGAACAGAATTCGATTGACTATTCGTAATAACCGAATATTCGCCCATCCCTAGTCTAGTAAACCAAAAATGCCATTCTTCTTTTTATTATTTTTTAGCACAAGATGTGATTTGTGTTTAGCTTGGTCACGTGTACTAGCTTGTGATTCATGCTTCATTTCTAAAATTGTTTCACTTTTTTTTTTTTTTTTAAATTTTAGGTGGAATGGATGAGTGACAAGGTGATGCGCTCCTTTGAAGGGGCACGCAACAATCCGTTCCAGTTTCGGCACCTCCAGCTCTGCCACGGCCTCGCCGAGCTGGCACGCGTGCCTGAGCCCAAGGTGGGTCGGGCTCTGGTTCAGTATTCCAGCTGGCGGCAAAGCTCGTTAGTCAACCTGAACTCGCAAGTTTATTGGTACACCGAGAAGCATACTCCCCTGTTGCCTGAAGTGAAAGTATGCAGGCAGACACAAATAAAATACCAGACAGCACAACTCGAAATCTCAAGAGGGATATCCAGGTAGGAACTGAGGGAGAGAAGACACAAGACTGTGCTGGGACGTTAGAACGCTGAGCTCTGGCTGGAATGATTAGAGGGTGGGTGCAAAGCTACCTACCTTTGTTTCTGCTCAGTTTCCGAATTCATTGGAGTGCTGGACGCCGGTGTTTGAAAATGTCTAACATTTGCCGTTTGTACCTGTATTGTGTCGTGCTGTTTGTTGTTTTATTTCTTCGTGGGTTGGTGTTTAAATTACAATCCTGCTATGTGTTTGCATTGTCTAGGCTGTGGATTCGATGCAAACCAGAAGGGTATCTTGGGGTATGAGGTAGTCACATTGTCAGCAGACGGTCTCCTTGGTAGTTAGAGGAAGGCAGATTTGTCAAATTGATGTCTACATTTTGGGTTCATTCTTTGGTTCTTGGAGGAAGCTGAATTTTGCCCAATACTTTTCTAAACCTGGAGGGTTCCGTCAAAATTAGATTAGGCAAAAGTTTTTCTAAAAAAGGTGGAAAAAAACTGATAATCTCAACAACTATAGTTTTTTTTATTAGGGATAATGGAAATGAGATCGAGTACAAATGTATGGATGGGCATAATCTACATTAGACAAATCCAAATAAATAAAAAAAAAATGGGGGGGGGGGGGGGGTTGTAAATAAACTCTGAAGTGTTATTTTTTTTTTAAAAAAGCTTGAATGCACAGTGATGGTTTTCACAGCCTGAAATTGGCTCGCAAAGGGTGACAATTTCCTGAATCTTAGTTTTTGACGCACAGCTCGACGGATGTCACCCCTGTAGGTTTCTCGGTTGCGAAACATCATTGCACGAGCTACGCCCGGATACTCTTGAGCTACCAACGACGGTAGCGAACCGACCTTACGCTGTCTAAATGCAGAGGTCTAATTTGGCCTTCTTTTTGGCAGTGTCACTGCGAAGCAGCATGCAAAACATTCGTGTTACACTTGTGACGGGCTTTTCAGGTGGTGCTGGCGAGCATGGCGGACATGGAGTGCGGTTTCTCCCGGGAGCTGTTTGTGCAGTGGTGCCGCAGCCCCAAGAACAGCGTGGTGCTCACCAGCAGGACCGCCCCCGGCACCCTGGCGAGGCAGCTGGTGGAGAACCCACATCAGCAGACGCTCACCATCAAGGTGAACGTCTACTAGCGTAAAAATCAAATACAATCTTTTTTCTTAATTTTTGTGGGTTGGTTTTTAATAATGGGCTTGAGTTGAGCTGGTTGGTTCTAGAGCATCACGAAGTATTGTTATGAGGGTGCGATAACGCGGCCGGCTATAAAAATGCTCGGTGCTCTGCCAAGAATCGAACCCTGAACCTAACGCTTTGCACTCCGATGCTCTAACCCTACTCCAGTGGAGCAACTCGGAGGAGCGTCATTATGGTCGCCGTGCGCTCGTGGCACTCCAGTGCCACGCGATTATGTCGGCCATGGGTTCTCCAACTGGGTACCGCGGAACAAGGGGGTTTTGCGAGCTGGTCTTGTGGGTTCCGTGAACAGCCAATTTACTCTCCCCCCTCCCTAGTTCAACCTTCCGTGGACTGAGCCATGGATTGAGTTGGTGTTGCAAACAAAGCAGGCCTCACCTTTCGCACTAATATGTTTACATATTTTACATTGTGCCCCAGGTTAACCGCTCTGCCTTCTTGCTATGAGTACCGTATATACTCGCATAATGAACACTTTTTCCTGAAAAATTGGCACTGCAAATGTCATATTAGGCCCCATTCTGACACGGCAAGGTACTGTGGCACGTCTCCAGTGGCGCACCCACGGCTGGTCGGGGGCGCACCACAGTAACCATGCTCTATAAATTGCAAACCTTTTTAGGGCACTTTACGGGGTGCCTTTTGCTGATGGAAAAGCGCCCTACGAAGCTCACTCAGGATGAAAAGCAGCGCGACCGTCCTTGGGCGATATATATTGCTAGTATCCGGCGGCACGCTCAGGTATATCGGCGACTACGCGTATAAGAACTCGTACCAAGTCCAACCACGGACTGCCAAGGCCGCACGCACGGATCAAGTTTCGTTCACGGAGACAAGAACTCGTACGGAGTCCAACTGCCGAAGCCCGCTCGCACAGATCAAGTTTCGTTCAGGGAGAGGCTACCAGACACTCTCAGCCTACAGCACAGGGTGCACCTCGCTGTGCCCTTCTGTTACGGATTAAATAAACACATTTAGCCAGAGTATATGAAATTAGGCCTAATCCCTTTCACAATTTCATCGTCCGAAAGCGGACCACAGACGTCGGCTTGTTTGTTGACATCAATGCATCCAATAGGCGAAGAATGTCCGGGGCTCGGCAATTCCTCAACCCAAGCTTCGTCAAGTGTGCGGAACACTTGGTTTCACAATTGATCACTTCCACAACTACCGCAAGTACGCACTTGCGGCCATTACGTGAGCAGCCTGGCTTGGCTTCACTTGGCTTGATTATGCCTGACCGCTTGGCGGCAAAAGAAAACTGGCTTGGTGGCTTGCTGAATTGGACGCAATTCGAGACTCTCGGATCCAAAAATTGGAGGTGCGTTGATTATGGAAGGGAAAAAAAAGTCAAAATATCGATGCCCGTTGTGGGGGTGCGTTCATTATGCATGTATGTTTATTATGTGAGTAAATATGGTAGTCTTCCATTTTGTCTTATTCTGTTGGTGCAATAAACTCCTGTTCACTATCTAAACGCCTTTATTGCTAGTATGATCGGTTAACAACAAAGGGAGGGGGTTGTTCCTTGGGACTTTTTGAGGCTTGCTGGGGTTCCCTAGGATGAAAAAGGAGAACCCCTGATGTAAGCTATTGCTACATGATCATGTGACACCCCCAGTGTCACGTGATCATGTAAGCCATTGCTACGTGATCGTGTGACCACTTTAGCTGTCATGGGATCCACTAGAGGTACGCAGTTACTATATTAGGTGACCACATTACATACCAATAAATCACGGTGTGTCATTTGACACGCCAACGACTTCAAGTGACCAAGTCCGCTAAATTTAGGAAGAAAAACATTCTGCATATTTTTGACTTGATAGGTATGATTAAGGATGCTTTCCTTGATTTCTTTTGTCCCAAACCAATGAACGGTATCTGACATGCAACAAAGCCGGAGAATTAAAAGGGCGACAAAAGTTATATGGTATGTTTGAACATTTGTGGCACGTAAGTTTGAGCGTGTTTATTTGCCCTACATAGCTTTTTCCATGAGCTAACGAACAAATGTCGCCTGCAAAGCCAGGCACTATGGGAAGGCGTGTAAACCAAACTTGTGCTGATTGAAGGATTCGTCTTCCACAGGTGAAGAAGCGCGTCCGTCTAGAGGGCTCCGAACTGGAGGAGTACATGCGCAGGGAGAAGGAGCTGGCCGCGGCACGACACAAGGCAGAGAGAGACACGTGAGTCGACTCGCCTTTGGACCTCGTTTGCACGAGACTGATCCAGAGCCGAAACAACTTGTTGCAGCCCACAAATCGATCGCTTTCGGTCGTAAAAACGGTTTCAGAGTCAGGTAGACGCACTGTATGTGAGCGAGGTGCACTCATCTTTTTTAATTCAGAACACATAAACATCGCCTTATGCGAGAGATGCAGCAAGGTTGGGAAAACGGTTCTCCACAAAAACGTGATCTGCACAGATGTCGTTTTTGCGGGAGGGCATTTTCTCTATCCCGTCGATCACAACAATTGGTTATCCACGTGCCCTGTGAGCAAATGGATGCGCAGGTTTCGTTTGTAAGCATTGCATCGAGTAGGTATTACTCGAGCAAGTGGCGTTATTTTGGGTGTTGGTAACAAGGTTTAAAGAGGTCCTTAAGCATGCTTGAATTTCAATGTTGATTGCAGAGTGGGATGTTTTTGATCTTTATAGCTTGAATCGAAGGCACCACAGTCGTCATTCTTATTGTTCCTCGTTTATTTTGTCTCCAGCTAAATAATTGAAACATTTTCACTTTATTCGGAAAGTGTTTCTAAACATATTTTAAAACTGAATGCTGCCGCAGAAGGGCAGCTCTTGTCGTAGTCGTGCAATAAGTTACACTCCTGAAAACACTAATGCTCTTAAAATTCCGTATTCCGTGATTTCTCATTTTCTAATTAAGCCTCAACGTTTCTCTAGAAATGCATAAAATATTTTTTTAATTAAAACTTTGCGATTCAGGGAACTGGATGCTTCAGACTCGAGTGAGGAGAGCGAAGACGACATGGACGTGGATGAGAAGAAGCCCCTGCCAGAACCCAAGGGGGAGGTGGGCACCACACCCTTCTTTTTTTCCCTACTCATGAGATAGCTTTAGCAACAGCCATAGAAGTATTTCATTGTGCATGGCATAGATAACTTTTCTTTATCGTAACGCACAAAAGTTAAAACGTTCGGGATCGACCTCAGCTTTCTTGGCAACAGCCTTGACCTTTGTATGACTTGCAGCAAATTTGTCAAATTTTAAAATGAAAGAAAAAATATTTGCACGTGACAAGCAGATTTACAAATCGCCTCGATTAGGACAGCTGCAACAAATACTCCTTTTACATGCCCCAATTCATGTACTATTTGTATTAAAATTAACGGAGCTTTGAAGTGGACATGTGGGAGGTTGGAAACAACCTTTACGAGTTCAATTGAATTTTCGTTTTAAGTCCCGAATTCGCTTCAAACTCTAAATCTACCATTCTAAAGTGTTGGCGAGCGCGTTGGTCGCAACGTGCCGCATAAATGGGTGCGTCTTCGAACCAATGTGGTTGCGTTTTGACGGGTTCCCCTAGGCCAAGTCCAAGTCGTTGGGGTTCTTCAAGCAAGCCAAGAAGTCTTACCTCATGTTCCCGGTCAAGGAGGAGAAGATAAAGTGGGACGACTACGGAGAGATTATTCGGTACGTAGGTGGATTTCCCACAAACTTCTATTGTTCCTTTCACCTTACGATGAACCCCCACCTTGTGCCACCAGCCATTGGGAGACAGTTCAGTACCACGTGGGTGCCACGTGATCTTCGGGAAGGTTGCTGCAACGTGCAGGGCACTTGGTCACGTGATACATTCACAGCGCTAGATTGGCTGGGGTGGCTTGTAGCATCCGCTGCGGTTCATCGTAATTGTGAAACAGAGCCCAGTAGACTTCCTACAACTTTTAGAAGACTTCTAACAGACTTCTGATTTTCAGGAATTGTTTTACTTCATTTTCCCGCCTTTGCACGCAAGCGCTGGTTGAACGAGCTTAGGTAGCGTTCCACGATAACAACCTATTTAACAAGCATGTCAGAAAAGCTTTTAGTATCATTTACTTTTGCACTTTTGCGTAAGTTTTGTTTGAGTGAATGAGGCTTTTCGTGACGAGACCTGCTAGGCTTCTTAGAGTCTGTTCAAATGGGGTTTTACCACACGGCCTCTGTGCCAAGCCTACGTCTGGATTGCTTTGTCGTATCACCTTTCTGACTCGAAGCGAGCGTGGAGCCTGGCAACGAGAGTTTTTAATGTCAGAAATGCGATTGCATGGTCAGTCTATAAAATGCAAAAAGAAAACCGAAGAAGTTTGTTTGTTGGCAAATCTGTTCTGATTGATCTTTGGGAGAGGATAATTTGGTCATCGTAATATAATTCTTTTCTTTTTTATTTTTATTTTTTTAATATAGAGGCTGACTATGCTCATGGGTTGGCCGGGCTCAAACCTATGTTTTGTGAAGATCTTGCACCTATTTTTCTCTTGTCGTAATGCTGTGGACAGTTTAAGGTGCCATTAGTTGATGAGAGCTTGCATTTCGTCTGCAGTCCCGAGGACTTCGTGATGGTGGACAAGACGACACAAGAGGAAGAAGCAGACGACACGAAAGCAGACGACGACGACCTTGCCCAGGGTGAGCATTTCTTTTGGACTCACTGGCTCATGGTTGGTTGTCATCATACTACCACCAGACTCCCTCTCCTTATACATGAAAGCTAAAATTGCTGGACTTCATCCCTATCTCTAGAGCACCCAGAACAGATGATGGAATGATGGTGGATTTCCCGCTCCTGCTGGAAATATGGGTGTTGCCTTTCATGGCATTAATTTGTTAAACAACAGTCGTTGCAATATTATAGTATACCTAAAGAAATGTCAGGTTTTTCGAGAAAAACCTCTACTGCGAGAGTGTCTGTTATATCAGTGCTACCTCAAATGCCTCTACAAATATTCTGTACCTGTATTACAAGCATGCTTCAGATTTGCTTTACTATACGGAGGTTCTACTGTGTACCAGTATCTTTGGTATATGGCTGAAAATGAGCTTTGGCTCAAAACGAGTCTCAACGTGAATATTGCACTAAAAGCTTCTTTTTTTTAAGTTTGTTTTGTGGCATAGGTGTAGGTATCCCGGACACCTAAGAAAAATGTCTTCTGGAAATTCAGTGTCAATTTAAAGGGGTTGTGCAACGATTTTCAGAATTTGGCCAATGAACTGCAGGAATTAGTTTGTGTCACCTAAAACCTCTTTCTGTTTACCCTCGTCCCCAGCCACGTAGTTCACATACCTGATATGGAGGGACAAAAAAAAAAAAAAAGCAAGACATTACAATCTAGAACAAGTAAAAAATTGAGCAGTCTTGTGTTAACAGCGATAGCTGCAACACGTCACGGCAAAGTCGTCGGGCATCGGCATCGCGTTAACGCACCGTGGGGCGCGTGAACGAAAGCATTCGGAACAAAATAGACACCTGGCCATTTTCTTCCGAACGCTTTTGCTTTCTTTTTGTTCCGGAGCACGTGAAAGCGCTTCTCCCGGCACGAGCTCTTGGCATTGACAGTGCTACAACAGCACTTTGTTATCTACTTTTGTTTTTCCTTTTCTTTTTTTTCCCAGAAAGAATGTGCAATGGGCATTGGTTACTAGAAAAATCCAGAGTATAGAGCAGGTTATTAACGCCGTGGCGTAGCTTGGTCACGTCTCCGCTTCATATGCAGTGAACCAAGGTTCGATTCCCGCAGGCGGCAGACAATCTTTTTCAGGGATTTTGTAACATCAACAATGGACGCCCTGCATCGCCAACGACAACATCAACAATGGACGTCGTTTCCAGTGGTGGGAGGAGCCTATAGCAACTATCGCTGTAAACAAATATAGAGGAGGCAAAACCAGGAATGACGAAAACGTTAACACCTTCCAGTTGCTTGGCAAGGACAATGCAATGTTTTCTCCTGCACCAGAAGCCCTTTGATTCAGGATGGCGACGACTATGCGGAAAAGGAATATACAATAAAAAGCAGAAAACCATTTTCTTTTTTTTTTCTTTTTTTTTCGCTTGCTATTTTTTGTTTTAAGAAAGGAAACAAATTAAAGTTTGGAGGACGCCTCAACTCTTCAGAGCCCCCAGCCGCTCCGTCTGCAACTGTCGACTTTTCAAAGATTAGCATCGTTGAAGGTTGCAGGGAGCGATTAAACAAAATATGGTTCGCCACAAAGTCATACGGCGAGTGTGGCAGCGGTGTGGGACTGGTTTTGTTGGCTTCCATGTACTGCCCGTGATGAGACACCGTGGTTCCCATAACCGCTATATGCGACTGCTGATCAGCAAATAATGCATCTTTTTTTTTGCAGTTATGCAGCAGATTTGCAGTATTTCGGTGGAAGTTGGTGCGTTTTCACTCTCTCGTGCAAAGACAAACAGACTTTGCCACTTTGTTATACTGGCGTGGCAAAGGCAGTGGTAACTTAGAATGTGATGTGTTAGTGGGGAAAAACTGTGTACACATGTGAGGACTGGATGGTGCAAATTATTGCTGGGTGCCATCTTGTGCAGCGGCAATTTAAATGCTACTTTCTCAGAGCCTGTTGGAGTGAGACTCATTAGACCAATCGTGCAGAAAAGAAAACAATTAAAACGCGACAGCGCCAAGCCGAGCTCTGGCGATAGCTTGCGGCAGGGCCAAAAGCTTGGAACTACCTCCACCTGTTGCGGCAAAGTGAGCACATCAGACGGAGCGTCTACCTATTTTTCTGCTTTTCTGTCACTAGCTGTTGCATTCTTTCTCTAAAGAAGCTCGGAGCACGCTCGTTTCACGGTGCAGAGCACCGTTGTATGACTGAACAAGTGGCGTTCCCCCCCCCTCACTGATTGAACACCAGTACCAGCCGAACCTCTTCCTCAAGTTCTTCAGTGTTACTCCCAACGGCGGCAAAACACCACAAGTTCAGACATAGGGTGGCGCTCTGCTTCATGAAACGAGCGCACTCCAGGCTTCCCCAAAGAAAGCAACAGAAAAACAGACTCCTTCGTTGCAATGAGTTGAAATAGTTTCGAGTGTTTGATCCTCTTTTGCCGCGAGCTGGTGCCAGGACACTGCTCGGCGCTGTCGCGTTCCAATTGTTCTGTTTTCCGCACGCTCCGTCTAGTGCGTCTCGCACTTCAACAAGCTTTGAGAAAGTCATATGTACACCTCAGCTGCGGAAGATGGCACCTACAAGTAAGACGTCCACAAGCCCTCATGCGCTTACCTCGGACAGCACAAGGCCACTTCACGCCATCCAGGCTCCACATGTGTACACAGTTCCTATGCACTAACGCATCACATTCTGTGATACCACCGCCTTCGCCACACTAGTGTGGCAAAAGGGTAATTTTTTATTGGGAGTTTAGCGCCAATTAAAGTGAGACGGAGTACGAAACGAAGCACAGATTCGCAGTATACACCACACAAATGACGATCTTTGCAGACGTGGCCGAGGTGCCCACCAAGTGCCTGGAGAGCACGCTGAGCCTGGATGTGAACGCGTCGCTGCAGTACATCGACTTCGAGGGCCGCTCGGACGGAGAGTCCGTGCGCAAGATCATCTCTATGATGAAGCCCCAGAGGGTGATCCTGGTCAGGGGCAGCCCCGACGCCACCCAGGCCCTGGCCGCATTCTGCCGGACCTCGGGCGCCGTCCAGGGGAGGGTGTTCACACCAAGGCCCGGGGAGGTGAGACGACGACGCTTTTCGTATAGGGTTATTTCGAATAATACGCCTTTTGATATTCGCTTTACAATGAACTGTGATATTCATACTTTTCAAAGTGTTGATCGCAGTGGGTCAGCTCTGTTGAGTACTGCAGAGACGCAACACTCGCGAGCTTTGTGGGTGTTGCTTCTCTGCGATGCACAAATGCTCAGTAAGGAGCACATTTAACATGGCTAACCCACCACGATTATGCGAGAGTGTATGTTATGCAGTGACATTTTAATGCGAAAGAATTAACTGGGGGGGGGTCTCATGAAGCGAGCCGGCTTCATCAGTTTGAATCGTGAAAACGGCAGCTTAAATCCCTTCTCCAAGTGTAGCCAGCTCCCAGCTAGGAAACCGCGCGAAAAGCCTAGACATGGCACCTAGTTCCCCCTATACCAAAGGAGTGAAGTAAAGCTGATGAATTTTCGGCTTCAGTCCCATTGGCTGGCGCACATCAACGAGGCTCCCATTGGCCGCTGCGCGTCAGTTTGAACAATCGCTTACCCGATAGCGCTGCGTGTCGGCGAGGCAGCGGCTCCACCATTCCACGCCCAAGGTCAGCGCGCCGTACGCCGCAGTCGAAAGAAGGGAGCGAAGAGCAGAGTGCGTGCTTTCGCATTCACAACTCATAAGAAGTGCTTAGGTGTACCTCGAGCCTTTTCATAACCCACGATCATCATTCATATTTGTTTTCTTTTTTGTTTCTTTCTCGAATTTGAAATTGAAGAATGTTTGCTTATATCGATCAGATTTCTAAATCCCCTTGGGTAGCTTAGCTGCCACAAATTTGTCATTTACAGGATATAGTTTTTAAGTATAGTTATAATAAAATTAACTGATCTTAGAAGTGGACAAGTGGAAGCAGGGGCAGGTGCAGGTGTTTCCAGAGGGAAGGGTCAGCGTATCAGATGTTTGAGAAAACGCCCCCCATCCACTTCCTTGCCCTAAAATTTTACATATGTGGAATTCAAGGGGGGGGGGGGGGGGGGGGGGGTCACAATGTTTATACCTCGCTTCTGAATCCGCCACTGAGAGGTTGTTTACTATTTGCGCATGCCAAGTTTCGGATCAGAAATCAACTCATAGAATCAGACTTTTTTCTAAGGAACCCTAATCTAGAAAATTCTATAGAAGTTGAAGGCTGCTGGCATATGTGTACCATGTTTCAGACTCAGGTACAAGGTCTGGGGTGATACCTTGTCTATTTCTTGGGGTATTATAATTGAGGCATCTGTTGGCTGGAAAAACCTGGAAATATGGAGGAGTCATTGGGAAAATTTGGCCAGAACGTTGCAAAAGTCAGGGTCGCCTGGGAGCCAAAGATTCATTCATTGGAGGCATTCTTTGATGTGTCTGTTTGGGAGATTCATGACTTTGCAGTTCTAGGTAGGAGCTGTCACTGAGTTGTGAATCCTATAGGCATGTGCAAATAGGGGATTTCGAGTTTGAAGCAAATTAAAAGTGAATAGTGATTTTTGGTGGAATATTTTTAGATCAAGCATCGAATAGTTCCTTCAAGCCTTTCACTACCATGCATCATGCTTCAATGAAAATTCAGCCAACCTTATGTAGGTTCTTCCCAACCTTCCACTTGTCACTTTTAAGCTCAGGTTATTTTAATATAACTATATTTATGAACTGTTGCACCTAAACTACAAATTTGTCAAAGATATCCTAATCAAGAAGATTTATTTTCTATGTGCAAATATTCTCTGCTCAATCTAAAAATTGACAAAATAAAAGTATGAATAATGAATGCAGGTTGTCAAGAAATTGCTGCCTAAAATGTACCCTCGCATAATGCATAGGCCCGTTGAGCGCGCTTCTCACCGAGCTTTTGTGCTCTGCGGGGAAGCAACACTCGCGCAGCGTGCGAGCTTCGCAGGTATTGCTTCCCCACAGTGCACAGGTGGGTGGTGGGAAGCGCACTCAATGGGACCAACCACCCGCAATCAACACCTTCGAAAAGTATGAATATCGCAGTTATCTCGAAAGGAACATTGAATGTCGTATTATTCTAAGCTATTATTCGAGCATTCGCACAACCCTAGAATTGTATATATATGAATCTTGTTTTTTGTATTTTCTCTGTTTTTGAACCCGCATTGTGTCACTGTCCAGAACAAACAACACATTGCTGTCATCTATGTTTCTAGGTCTTTTTTTTTTGTTATTATTAGTCTGGAAATTTAGGTAGGAATTTGTTTGGGGGAAAACTCTGAGGAATATGGAGTCTCAAGTAGAGTAGTTGAGCCTTATTTATCTTCACTCGAGAGTCTTCACGCGACGTAGAAAGCTTCGTGTGGTCACACGAGCCCTTGGCCCGCAACAATGACGGACTTCCCTGTTGTTTTCAGGTGGTGGACGCCACGACGGAGTCGCACATTTACCAGGTGAAGCTACGGGACTCGCTGGTGAGCTCGCTGCAGTTCTCCAAGGCCAAGAACGCCGAGCTCGCCTGGCTGGATGGGGAGATCATCGCTGAAGAGCACCTGGCACCTGACGGTTCCAGGGAGGATGCGCCAGGTGAGTACACTCCCTCTCATCAAACTAACCCACTTCTTGTAGAAGAGGGTTACTTTAATGTGCTGTGAGCATTGAGGTAGTTTTCGATTTTAAGGCAAAATGCTTTTAAGGGCCTGTTTTAAAATCTAGATTATCGTTGCTCTAAACATTAGACACTGGAGCATCGTTGCTCCAGTGTCTGAAGGCATATTTGGAAAAGCCTGTGAAGCACCAAGTCAACAGGGCAATTTCGGCACTATGACTGCCGTATTTTCAAGAATGTCATGTCGCCTTCTTTACTGGAAGAGAGAGAGAATGTGGGGCCCGAGGCTTAGGTAAACATCCCTCGGTGATTTATGCGCTAGGCTTTAGCCAACGTTACTAAACCATTCAGTTGGGAAGCTCACCCTTGAAACATAAACCGCTCGCGTCCACCGAGACCATACTGGATATGATAACAGCGCCGCCCTTCAGTTACGAGTCCAAACATTAAAGTTGATTCGTATAGCTACTGCGAAATAGCACTGTGAAATGGCACTGTGAAATGGCACTGTGAAATGACACCACCGGCCCTTGAACGAGCCAGAGCGACTCAACCTGAACTGATCCGTGCAGCCATGCAGTTCCCGGAGCAGCAGCTGCAGTAGGAATGGCGGCATTGCGATCGCTTTAGCTCGGTTCTCAAGTATGGATTGAAGCCACTTTTTCGAAGCAGGCTCTAGGGCAGTTTCCCAACTGAGTTCTAGTAATGTTGCCTTTAGCCTACTCCCGGATTTGCTAACACCTATCGGGTAAGCAAATCTGAGAGTTTGCTAGAGGCTGGTACGCGAACACCGAGGCTTGTTTAGCTAAACCTTGCCCCACCCCCCCCATTCCTTCTCTCTCCCCCTTTGCAAACCAGATGATGTGACGTTATGAAAATGCACCAGAGGGCAAGAATAGGCCTGCTAACTTACGACACAAACTTTTCCAAACATCCCGTCGAAAGGGGTCACGTGATTGCGTAATTGCTGTGGTTTATGCCAGGCCTAACAGCGACAGGAAGCCAGTTGCCATCACACAGCAGCCGACCGGCGGTTCAAGTGCCAGTTCACAGATAATCCGTTCGGTGCAGTGTGTAATGTGTGTGACTGACCGGGTTCAGGCGGATGTGAGCGAAGGCTTTCTAAAGGCCATGCATTTAGAACGCCTCTGGGAAATGCCAAAGATGCAGCCGATTTTTTGTTTTATCTTTGCTTTATTTGTCTCTTTCAGACGTGGAAGAGTCAAGAGACAGCATGTACATACTCCAGCCGCTGCCTCCAAGTCAGGTGCGTAGTACTTGCCTGCCTCCGTGCCTCGCCTTCAATAGTTTGCATTACAGGAACGAAGGCCTCGCAACGGCAAAGCGTAATGGGGCTTTTTCTTTCCTTGTGTTTTGTTTTTCTTTTGCTTGCCCGATTCCTTGACGGTGCTTTGTATACTTGGTTGCAGTCACTGAGATGACGTAACCCTTTGTTCCATTAATGTTTGTATTGTATAACATTGTTCTCTGTTAGCTTTTGTACTGCAGCATGTTGTTCTTTATTGATGTTTGTACTGCAGTTTGTCGTCCTCCATTAACGTTGGACCCCAACGTTTTGGAATGCAAACGTTAATATTTGTTGGGGTACAAGCATTAATGTATGTATTGCAACATGTTCTTCATTAATGTTTGTACTGCAGCATGTTCTTCTCCATTAACGTTCCCACTGCAATACATTCTCTATTAACATTTGTACCTCACAATGTTGCTGTCTGCTACTCGTCACAGATTCCGGGCCACGCCACCATTTTTGTGAACGAGCTGAAGCTGTCGGACTTCAAGCAGGTGCTGCTCCGCAACGGAGTCCAGGCAGAGTTCTCCGGCGGAGTGCTCTACTGCAACGGCATTGTCGCAGTGCGGAGGGTGAGACATACATACTACCGGCGAATCACGCTTAATATGTCGCACAATTCGCTGCGTTGAAAATTTTGAGAAATGTTGTGTTATCTAGGTGTAGGCAATCTAAAAGAATAACAGAGTTCTAGAGCTACCAGAGATGGTTTCTTGGGCATTTGTTGAAGCACTCCTAGATACAAGCATAGTAGAACGTTTGGTGTCTGTCCAGTGAACGGCAAGAAGTGCTTGATTCCCTTTGTAATCGTTAGTTTTAGATTATATGCTTCAAAAATGGGGATACGCTGGAAACATGTTAACAGATTTAGTAAGATTTTATGAGTATGATATAAATGGTGGATCTTGAATAGTACCGTCATGAGGCCAGTGGCTAGTTTTGAGGAGATGGAGGTAGAGGGCAGAGGTGTGCATGAAAAACATTAGTAACCAACACAGTGTCACTGCACATTTTTGCAGTGCTTTATGCACACACTTTTGTTTTTTCTCTCACTTGCCCTTGTTTCCGTTTAGAATGAAGCTGGCCGGATCAACATCGAAGGCTGTCTGTGTGAAGACTACTTCAAAGTGCGAGAGATCCTGTACAAGCAGTATGCCATCATCTAACATTAAAAACAGGGAAGAAAAATGCATTGTTGTGCAGTGTGTTATTTTTGCTAAAACCTTGGAAAGTTCTGTTTTCATCAAGCCTCACTTGGGCCTTTTCTTTTATGTGCAATGCACAAGGGTTAGGTGGGCCAGCGGTGTTGTAGATCAGTGGGTTCCCAGGGGAAGCTGCCCACTGTTTGATGTTTGATGTCTTACAAGTACTGTGGCGTCATGACCTGTCTGATGTACGTATTTTCAGAACTCAATTACTGTCCCTTTATAGTTATTTAACTTTTAATTGACTTTTTTGCAAAGAGCTTATCCTTATTTCCTTCACATTTGTTGTTTTCAAGGCATTGGCTTGCAGTTGAGATCAATCAGTTCTTTTTTTAACATGAAGTGTTCTTTGGCTAAGTGTTTGGCATTTTATGAAGCAAAAAGTGAAGCCTGGATAAAACCGTTGCATCGAGGCTCGACACTGATTGGTTGATGGGTGGGAGAGAAGGAGTGAGGTGCTCGATGCTGGCTGGTTAACGAGGGGCTTATTGTGACCATCGGTGGAGTGAGGACAAGTAGGTGAGGAGGCAAAATGGGAAAAGAGTTGGGGGTTAGAAGGTTCTGGAAAAGCACCAGGTTTATCATTTTATGTGTATGCATGCCACGCGTTAAATTGTCTGATGAAGACTGTCATGAATGTAGGCGTCCAGCTGAACATGCTACACGTGCTACTAAACGATAATGTAAACATTTACGATGCTAGAATGTTTCCTGTGTGCAACAATAGAAAATATGCAAAATTGTTTGTACGTCTGGCAACACTGTGTGCTGCCACCTTTGTTGTGTTGAGATTCATCTGCTTTTTGTCAATTTCGTGGCACTGTTGCTAATAATCGAGGCCTACTGCCCACCGTCATCTATCCTCACCCACACCTACGAGCTAAAGGTTAGTATTGTTTTATGCTCTTGCACGTGTATGTGCTTGTCGCACCGCCGGAAACCACCCCTGAAAAGAAAAAAAAAATGTTTGTGTTTTAAACAGTCTAATTGGGGCACTTGTGTCAAAAACAAATTCTACGCAAAAACAATTATTTTTTTTAGGAATATTGATGGCAAGAGATTTATTTGAAATTCTGCACGCTAAGTCCATGATGTCACGGGTCATTCCGGAATAACCACCTCGATTGTGAAGGCAAGCCACTCCACCTCTCTACCACATGCCTGAAATGCCGAGAGAAAACAAGCAGAAAGAAGGTGGCTGCCGACTAAACCGCGTCCTGCGCCATCAATACCGCTCTAAAAAAATGGGTTTCTTTTTGCGTAAAATTTATTTTTTGACACGCGTGTCCCAACCAGAATGTTTGAAAAAACTATTTTTTCTTTTCAGGGGTTCTTTAAGTGTTGGCAAAGGCGCAGGCGCCTGGTTTTCGAAAGCTTTTTTTCTGCGTGAGTGCCCTTCCGAGCAAAGGATTCTTCACAACTATGCTTTTGCACCCTGGCCTTTACCAGCACCGAAGCCAAATGGTGAGATGGAGCATGTTCTTTGGTGCCCCACTAGATGGCGCTGTGCATTTTGCATATGGTCTATGCGGAGCGCAAGTTTGTCTGCTTCTTTTGCAGGGGTTGTGGTGACGTCGGAATGCCGAGCTCTGATTGGCTCCAATTAGGGGATTGGGCAAGGCAGATTGCTTTGAGGTCTACCCACTATCCTTCAATCAGAGCCCGGCGTTCTGACGTCACCACAACCCCTTCAAAAGAAGCCAACACTACTAGAGCACTCAGTTGGGAAACTCGCCGTCGAAACCTGGGTCGCTGGCGTCCACCGAGACCGAGCTAAATACGACAACAGCGCCACTCTTTATCATTTGTCTGTACTGTAGTCACTTTGAGCTTTTACAAAGCATGTTTTTACGTAAAAACAAACGGAAAAGACTCTTTTTGTATGAAATGTATTGGAGTTTAGTACAAAATGAGGGGAGTGTGATGTTTTTATAACCTTTAGTTTGCAAGGTTTCGCGGAATAATTAATATTGTTTTTATACAACCATGCCTCAGCGGTGCTTTCAGGTAGCGCGTCCCGACCTAGGTGCAATTTTAACTTCGGTAGTGATTCGCGGCGCGTCCGATGGGGACACGGGGGTGGCACTCCTGTAACCTCTTCCGCTGTATCTGTTTCGGCGCCGAAGTGGCCGATTAGAGCCAAAATAGAAGTAATGTGCAGTTCCTCGAATGGCCGCTGCGGGAGAAATGGCGGCGTTATGTTCGCCATTAGCTCGGTTCTGGTGGACAGATCGGGGCCACTTTTTCAGAGCAGTCTCTATGGCAGTTTCCCAACTGAGTGGCTAACAAACTTGTGCTTGCGTTGCCTATCAATTTGATATAAACTTTTGTGCTCACCACTTTGTATTAAAGAAAAAAAAATAATATGAATTGCTGAACGTGTTAGTTTCTCTCCGTCCTTTCGTTTTAATTGTCTCATTTATATATCATATCTTATGATTTCACACATCGCGCGGTCTGACGACATAACAATATCAATATCAATTTAAAGTATGCTCTGCGCCACACCCGCCAGATGGCGCAAGCTACACTTAAATTCAACGGGAGTATTCATTCATTTACTTCTCTATCATGTACAAACGCTCCATGCAACGAAAAGTACGAAAAACAACTAGGGTGGCTAGAGAGTTGGGTGTGTCGAGCGCGCCGGCTCTCCCATGCATCGCCGCGGCCGGTTTGGAAAATCACCGTCAGGGGCGCTCTAATCAGCCTGTATGCTAGGCGCGCGCAGCTGGCGCACTGATTTCCGTGCGGCAAGGCGGGTAGCGACGAGTTCAGGCCCGCTTTCATCTGTTCGTTAGCGCTCGTGTGAATTTATTTCAACCGTTCCTGCATGCCCGTCAGTCAGGTGACACGCGGAGACCATGGGCATTGCCCAATCAACCTCCGGCGTAAAGAAAAAGCAGAGAGCGAAGCACTGCTTCGTTCCAGGATGCACGACAGGCTACAGGTCTGCAAAAGAAAAACACACGCTGTTCACCGTCCCGAAGGACCCAGTCCTCTTCTCTCAGTGGGACAGGAATATTTCGAGGGGAGACACGCATCTTCAGGAAAACTCTGTGGTGTGCGCATTTCACTTCGACAGCGGTACATCAAGCGATACTTCTCTAATGTATCGCTCGATCCGTTCGAGATATCGCTGTATGAGTGATGTTTTGGGGCTCATAGCTTCCTGCTGAACACGTCTGCGGCAAGCGTTGGGAAGTACTTTAAGTACGTTGTACTTAAAGTACAATGTACTTAAGTACATTGCACTTAAATTACTACTTAAATTAGATTTAGGAAACTTGTACTTTACTTGAAGTACATTCTCTGAGTATGTACTGTACTTTTTTTCTGCTACTTTCCGAGGAAAGTACAATTCCCGACTTTAAGGCACATTCCCTGAATTCGGTTTTGTTAAATTTGTATCACGAAATGACGCTTTGTCAACTCCGAAGAATTACTGGGAGGGATATTCTACTCTCACCAGAAACGTGAGCAGACGACGCATCGCTCCGTTTGTTTTTGGGGCGGCGTTCTCGTAGCTTTTTAAACTCTCGCTACTTCTCTGTCGGTCAGCGCAAGCAACGAGGTTTAAGATATCAGGAGAGCAAAATTAATCATAATGCAGCACCTGAGACTGTGGTGCGAAAAAATTAAATTGTCAAGTCGAAGTAAAAGACAACAGAGGAGGACGTCACAACGTTTTAAGACATTCTCTTTTGTCTTTTCCTTCCATTTGAAAGTTCCTTAATTTTTTTCGCACCCAAATCTCAGGTGTCACGCTATGATTAATTATCACCAGCTCGCTTGCACACGCTTTTTTTTTTTTTTATTAAGAAGAGGGCAATTTTTCTATGAGAGCTATGGGGCTGACGTCATGCTCCGTCCTATTACATTTAACCCCCTTGGGTGCAACAATCCAGTGCAAGGGGTGCCAAATTCAGAAGAGGGTCTTCTAAATCCGGCTCCATTCCTGAAAAAAAAAAAAAAAAAAGCTACTTTGTGGTTACTTGACTTTATCAAATATTCGCCGCTGTTCTCGCAATCTCCCCGCCCCCGATGATCTCCGTTTTTAGCGTCTGCATGAGAGAATTCACCAAAAAGCACCGGTATTGGTGAAATAAATAAACGCCGATAAACATCCGCCGATTTTTGTTATAAATAAACACCCTATGATGTATAATATGTTACTTCGCTCACTCTCTTTTAAAATCGATTTTGTAAAATTCATTGCTAGTTTTCCACGTTGCATAAACATGTAAAGTGCCAAAAATGCATTGTTTGCTTTGTGTCATGACAACTTTTCGCGTTGTTTCTCGCCAGCCATGTCTGCTCTTGAATCACAGGGGAATTGCTCCAGTCTCCAGAAGTATCCAGCGTCCTCACACCTATTTTAATGTTGAAATGCCTGAGCCGTTCAGCGTCGATTCATTTGATAGACTTAACACAGCGGCTTGAAACGCGAAATTTCGTCACGGCTGCTGATACCTCGGCGGACGTTTCACGTATCTTAAAAACATAGTACAAGATAAAATTAAAAAAAAATTGCCCCATTTTCTATATTACCCCGAGAGCGTTGCGGTGTGAAGAGAACGACTTCAAGTGCGAATTGACCTTCGTCGACGCTCCAAAATCGGGTCGACTATCGAATCCGGGTTTATCAGACATTCATTATGCCACACCAATTAATTTTGTAAAAAAACACAGCCGACAAGTGGCCGGGAAAAGGTCCGCACGCAGCGCATTTCGGCCCCAGCGCAGCCAAAATGCCGCTGACGCCGCGGTCGGATAGCATACAGGGCTTCCGAGGCGCCTCCTGGCGACAGATTTCCTTTTGGTGCCGCGCGCCGGCCGCCGCTCGACACACCCAACTCTCTAGCCACCATAAAACAACTAAACACGGCACGGCGCCTACGACGTTGGATCGGGACGAATATCGCTGAAAAGTGGAGGCTGGTTCTCTAAACATAAAAATCCCCGAAAAAGGCCACAGCGGTATGGG